CTGCACCCGTAGCGACAAGGGATGCGTCGGTAGCGACCACAAATTGTCTGGCGGGGTCAGGATTCCGTAGGACTGGTTGCTTCAAGAAGCATTCCTTCAGCTTTAAAAAGGCGGACATGCATTGTTCTGTCCAAAGGAACTTCTCGTTTTTTCTGGTGAGGTCGATCAATGGTCTCGCGATGTCGGAATAATGGGAGATGAAGTTGCGATAGAAATTGCAGAAACCCAGAAACGACCGAACTTCTTTCACGGTGGTGGGTACGGGCCAGTCCCGAATACCGCTGGTTTTAGCATTGTCTATTGCTACGCATCCGGGGCAGATAATCATTCTGAGGTACTCTACCTCTTGAGCATCGAATGTGCACTTTTTGGGTTTAAGGAAAAGTCGTTCTTGCCGGATTCTGTCTAGAATACGTCGAGTTCGTTCATGATGGGAGGTAAGGTCATTTGAGAATATTAGGATGTCGTCCATGTAGATGACTAGCCATCCTTCATTTATCTCCTGCTGGAATGTCCTATTCATGTACGCTTGGAAGGTGGCGGGGGAGTTGCAGAGACCGAAGAACATGACATTTGGTTCGAAGAGACCGTATTCTGTAGTGAAGGCGGCTTTCCATCGATCTTCTGGATGAATACGGATGTTGTTATATCCTGAACGAACGTCCATCTTCGTGAAGTACTTTGCACCGTGTAACCGTGCAATCAAAGAGAGTGGTAGTGGAAGGGGATAGGCGTTCTTGACCGTCCACTCATTGATATACCAGTAGTCCTGACAGGGGCGAAGATCTCCGCTTTTCTTTCCTACGAAGAAGAACCCGCTAGCTTGTGGGGACTTCGATTCTGAAATGAATTCCTTCTTTACGTTTTCATCGATGAATGCTTTGACCGCTGCACGTTCCTTTTCCGATAATGGGTATACCTTTGACGTTTTAGGGATAAAACCAGGTTTGGTTTCTATCCGGTGATCTATCCCGGGTCATTCTGGAGGCAGCTGGTTTAGTCCGTCTTTTGCAAAGATGTCGGCGAAGTCGTGAAGGTAGGAAGGGACGAGTTCTTCGAAAGACTTCTTTTGCTGCTCAAGCCCAGCAGCTAATGCAAACTGTTGGGCTTTATTGCTAGTCTTGACGTATTCAGGGAGCCATGCCAGGGGTGTAACCATGTTTCGCTGTTCCACAGCGCTAGTTCCATCTTTCGTTAAAGGGGTGTCTAGTGAGACATTGGTGATTACCCGAAGTTCGGAAGTGTCAGCGGGATATTCAACCAAAAACTCGTCATCCTCAAGGTGATAAGTGGAGATTTCCCGCACTGCTGGTGCATAATCTGTTGTCCATACATCCTCCTTGGTGTCGAAGGTTTCATCATCGTCATCAGGGATAGGGTCGAGGTTGGGCAATGGCAGGGTTTCCTCGTCCGGGATTTCTTCGATAGTAGCCCGGGGAGCTGGTTCCGGTGCAGGGAGGCGGGCCTTTGGCAGTACTACAACTGGCGTGGGGTCCACCTCTTGCTTCTTTCTAAGGAAGAGCGGAGGTAGGTTATTCTTTCTTCGCTCCTCATCAACTTCTTCTTCAATCTGATCGCTCTTCTCTGTCCTAGAGAGTTCTAATGTCTCTGCCTTCCATCGGATTACAGGGTCCATAGCACGTAGCCAAGGGATCCCTAACAAGATCTGATCACGTTGACCAAGTCGCGTGATATTGAACTTTCTGATCATGGATCGGTTATCAATCTTGACAATGAGGATGCAATATCGTGTGATGGCGCCTCCTTTCGCATAACTTCCATCCGCTGTAGTGACTCGGAATGGTTTCGAGAGTTTATGAGTGCGGATCCCATGGATTTTGACAAACTCTTTGGAGATAAAGGTTCCGGCCGTGCCGGAGTCTACAACTGCTGTTGTTTCGACGGTTTTCAGACGGGTCTTGGAAATAAGGGAAATGGGAACACGAAGCTCCTTTCTGATTCCGATACTTTGTACAAGTCTGATAGGTACATTGGAAGATACTGACGTCAATCCAGTCTTCCACATCAAAAATCCTCGGCGAGGTGACGGATGGTCGTATCCTCATCATCTCCGCTGTCGCTCATTTCTTCTCTGCGAACAGGGATCTTCCTCTTCTGTGGGCATGCTTTGGTCATATGCCCCTTCTGGTGACACGTGAAGCACAGTCCTTTCTTCATGTGCTCGCTTCTTTCCGCTTCAGTGAGTCGGTCTACCTCCATGGCGTTTGGATCATGCCGGTCAATGGAGGGTCTGGGGACATAACGTTGTCCTGACGGTTTGGTGGTGGTTTGATGGTTTGATCGATACGCAACCCCTCTCTGGTAGTTACTATCCAGCCGAATAACGGCAGCGACATACTTGTCGAAATCTACTGGAATGGTTTCCATCTGATAGATGGAGTTAACGATTCCTTTCTTCAGTCCGTCATTGAAGAACGTGATGAGGACGGCGTCCTGCTTTACAGAAGCTTGTGCGGCAAGCGTCTTGAAGCTGGCGATATAAGACGTGAGGTCGCCTGTCTGTCTCAACGTTCGGAGTTTGTTCATGGCGGTGCCGGCGGCATCAGCTGGTACAAAGGCCTCTTTGAACTTGGTTTCAAAGTTTGCGAAGGTCCCGTAGGTCTTAGCGACAGAGTTGTCGACTTCGGTGTAAAAGGTCAGCGCCCAACCCATAGTGCTTCCTTCTGTCATGTAAGCAAGGGCAGTGATGACCTTCTTATCGTCGGTGTTGTAGATCATAGCGTTAAGCGCGAAGTACGCTTTAACTGCATACAACCATCGCAAAGCCTGAGCGGGACTCCCATCATAGGTGGATGGAGCTCCGGCTTTCAATTCTGGGGAAGTGGTGACTGTGGACATCCTGACGTCTGGTCAAGTGATGTTTCGGTTTCAGGGGAACATTATCGTTCTCTCGCTGAGTTCTGTTTCAGGGGAACGTTATCGTTCTCTTGCTGAGTTCTTGGTTTCTGTAACCTCCCTGATGGAGAGGGTCGGATAGAGTGGACTTTAATCTTTTGTTACGGCGAACCGTAGGTTGACTAGGATAGGCGCGACAACAGGTACTCGATAAGAGTAACGCCTGAAGCCGGATCGTGTCCTCACAAATGTAAGGTTCTTAAGACAAGTTAGAGAGAGTGTCTCCGACTTGAATATCGATATCAGACACTTAGGATTGGAGGTCCTAAGCGAAGGATGTTCTGGGTAAGACCTAGTAGATTAAAGTGAAGTCTATCTAAGTACAGGACCTGTTTTATATAGGTATGGCCTACTTTAGGGCCGGTACGTATACGTCATCAAGACGAGTCAGAGATAAGAAGTGACGTCATCAAGACGAGTCAGAGATAAGAGGTGATGTCATCAAGACGAGTCAGAGATAAGAGAAGTGAGTCACCTAGCGACGGCAGCGGCGATCGTGGTGTAATACAGATATAGAAAGCGCAGTCTACTGATGGCGCAACGTGGCGCGGTTATGACGTAATACACAGATAAGAAGAGAAAAGAGATAGGGGGCATACGTTATCGTAACAGTTCGTAACAGAAGGCAAGTCAATCTGCTCACATCTACATCATGCTTCATTAGGTTTCCAGGCCATCGCACTTTTTGATACAGATCAACACAAGGCAATTATGCCCAGCTGAGATCTACCTGTTCAAGTAATGATACTCTTGTATGTCATGTTGTGAAAGTGAGTTTCATCATTTGAGGTTCATGCATTGACACTGATCTCTGCAACATCATGCCAGACATATCTTCATGTTCAGCTAGGAACTGGTGCCTTGGATGGCATGCATCATGATGAAGCTGCAGACCATTTCACTGCTGTTGTCAGAACCAGCACTTTTTCTGTATGAGGACTTGGCAGTGGTACATTGATATCATACATTCAACAATAAGTTTCATGCATACCCCTGTGTTTTCCACAGCTTTTCGAGTATAACCTCAAGTCTTTGTGGCTAACTGCATACCAGAAACTATGTCAGGCTCTCCTTTCTGCGGGTAGACTTGATGCCCTCGAATCACACCGACACATGATGGATACTATGACTGACACTACGAAGACCAACTGCCTCGATTTGTCTATAGGCAAGTCTTCAGTAATGTTCTCCCATGCTATCATCTCACATTAGCTTTCCAACAAGGATGCAGCACAACTACGCCAAACGATCCTGTTTTCCATGCATACACACCCTCCCTCATTGTCGCTACTCACCACTGTCACCCAGATGGGGATCCCCGGTTGAGGTCAATATGACAGCACGCAAAATGTGAAACCTGATATCTTCCGAGGAATGGTGAGTGCAACATTTTGTCTGTTGTTTACTCACTCACATCATCCGTTATAGCACCCTCAAAGTTTCTCGTCAAGACCATGTCAACGCCCAGGGCTCCTTGAGAGACTTCGCAGTATCCCTCATTCAGCTCCTTCACTGGCACCGTCTGTCAACCCATTCTCTATCGCCCCTCTCATCACCTTCAAAGTCCGCCTACGTTACTTATTAACATGACGTTCCATTCACTCAGCGCCGCCCGTTGCCGACATTCCATTTATACCGGGTCTACTGATGCGCTCGATTGATGCTTGCCACCGTCTTGATGGCTTATGCATGAATTTTACAATGGAGTACTGGATATCTATAATCTGATGCAGATCAGTACTGCTATATCACATTGACACAGACAGAAGGATAGATGGTAGGTAGTAATTCAAATTGATGACGAGCGTGCTTTCGGTTCTGCACACAAGGCAATTCACGGAGTATATATAGGCGCTTATCCACGGTTGTTCGAAGCTCTAAGGCTGACTCCATACCACATCGCTGCTACGGCATGGATTTCATCCCGCTTGAACTACACGAAAGGAAACACGTAGGTATAACAAATCCCTAGCAGTATAACGATATATGTATGCATGAACTCTCCGAGTGTCTAAGACCAAACATTACGAAGGCCACGACGATGTATGCCAATAATTTTAAGTACTTGATCCATGGCTGTGATTTCAGAAATGACGTGAAGCTGTCGATTCCTTAGGTCTTAGTCCTAGAAAGGAAGCCAAACGCTGTATGCGGGATGGCTTGCGAGAAACAGATGCTTCTGCCTGGACATGCTCAGTGGTAGGGATGTAGACAGGCTCAGCCGTAGAGTCAACTTCCTCCTCGTCTGACAGCCCCGGCACCTTTGGGACCCACGGTTCAAGTGGCATATCAGCGTGGTCAAGGTTAAGTGGCACTGATACGTGAGGACGGACATGATACGGTTGTTGAGGCTGCTGGAGTGGATATGGGGGCTCGGGGGTGTATGGATTTTCAGAGGCGAGATGCTCAAAAGTAGATGGAGGCTCAGGGGTGTATGGGGGCTCGAGGGTGTATGGGTACTCAGAAGCGTATGGATACTCTGAAGCATACGGCTGTCCGTACGGTGCATCAGTGCTAGGCATTTGCACATTGATGACAGGCACAGGCATAGGAAACGATGGGAAAGGCGCGGATGAAGGATCTAGAATGGGCGGAGAGGAGTCGACTATAACATACATAGCGCGCGGTTAGTCCAACACTGACGGGAAAACAAAGGAACAAGTTCTACGTACACGGTCCATGTTCCATGGTATGTGTATGTCAAAGCGTTTAGATGAAAACGCAGACTGAGTACAACCCTAGCTTGAGGATAAAAAGAACTGGGAGGATGTGATGGGTGTCGTAATTGTCCAGATATCCAGCTATATAAGCCACCGTCTGAGGGGAGCACACTTCCCAAGGGTCCGTTCGAGTGGAACCTTCTGGTCCTGGGGGCTGCGCGCGATGACGTTCACAGCTTGGTTCTTTGTAGAAAGAAAACTTTGGCGAAAAAAGTACAGCATCTGCAGAAATAGGTCCATAGAGGTGCTTTTCTCCACTACGGACGTATCGGACGTCGTCCCTGCCTTATCCGATACAATGAGTGTCAAACATGTCAAACCTTGTTGTTTTCACGGTCAACCCTGTTCGAAAGAACAGCTCGACGCTGTGCAAGCGCTTATTGCTCTCATTGTTTCAATGATAACTATAGGCCAAAATTAGTGATGTCAGTAGCACCAATCGTGGCATGACAGGGACACGCATGCGTAGTTATGAAGCGTGTGGCAGATACAGAGCCATTCGGCGTCCAGCTCGCACGCCTGACGTAGAAGTCATACAGCATCCGTTTCAGTCCAAAGCAATGAATAAATCCTATGCCCAACTCCTGCCCGCGCGCCTCCCAGCTTCTACGCAGTCACCAACGCTCACGCCCCCCACGCCGGCACCAATCACCTCTAGCTTACCTCTCCACGGCTCTCCCCGAAGGACATCGCTTAGCTCCTGCATCCGCTGGAGGTGCCCTACACGCAGCAGGGGGATGCAGTGTGCGTTATCATGCACCTTCACGATGAGTGGGTCAGGGAGACGCACGCCCAACTGCTCAGAGAGCATCTCTACAAGGCGAGGAATCGAGGTCAAAGGCTTGCGGAGCATCGCAGTCATTTTTACAATACCCGCGCTCCACGGGGCTTCTTGTGCCGACATTGACGGGGAGTCGAAGACGCACCCCAAGATCACGTTTTCCTCATGTTCAGATGATGCTCGGGGTACAAGATACCCGAATCCTACGGGGTGAAGTGCATGTCCTGGAGACGCAAGGAACACGAGGTTCACGGCTGTCACCGACGAATAGGGATTTGCGGTTAGGTGTGGCAATGGCATCTTGGGTGAAAGGAGTCCTTTCAGGCTCGGAAGAGGTACAGCTGAGACGATGTGTGTTGCGCGCAGCGTCTCACAAGACGAGGTCGTTATCTGCGTACAGGTAGTCATTAACAAAAGTCTACCTATTTGAGGTGTACACGTACTTCGAACTGCGCAGTTCTTGGATTCATCCGAAGTCCCGTCGCGGACACCCCACCAAGTAGGCGCACGTTCCGGCGTGTCCTCAGCTCCCGCAAGAGTGCGTCTACCAACGCACCGATCCCTTGTGAGAACGAATACACAGATACTCCGCGCATCTGCTTGGATACGTCCCCTAGCTGATATGGGTCATCGACTTCCGCTGTCGCTGAGACTTTAGACGGCCGGAGAAACCCAGTTACCAAGGAGCCACGACCGCGTTCCTCGGCATCCCAGAGCGACGGGAACGCTGCACGGACGCTTAATTCTCGAGAATCCGCTGCATAAATACCGTGCACGAGTGCACTTCCGAAGATCCTTGCAAATTCGCTCCCGAAACGCCTACTCAAGAACTCGTCGACCGACTCATCCTCGATCATAAGGGGTCTGTTCCATGGGCGAAATGGCTCCCGTGCGACAGCTGAAAGAAGGATATGACCAAGGGGGGAATGCAAAGAAGAAGACTTGGGTGAGAGCCCAGAAGTAAGAATGCTAAGCGGAGATGAAGGAATGCGAAGGAGACCTTGGGTGCCAGGCAGACGCAAGAAGCGATTCCGAGCGGCCGGTGATGATTTCGGGACAGTTAAAAGAGACGGCGATAGGCCCAGAAGGTTAATCTAGCCTGGGACGTGCCCGATGAGAAGGTCCAAACGGAGGTTGTATTAGACTAGCTTATTACCCACCAATTCGAGAACACTCTTTGAATTCGGTCTAAGAGTGCGCGGGCCCGCTTCCAAAAGCACGCTGGTTTCGCGGCCGTCTTTAAGGGTGATTTTAGCGCGCCTAGAATGTATCCATCCGCCAAAGTGGATATCCTTGTTCAGTAGAGTGATCTGAGCTGCTGGAAACCGACGTGAAAGGTGAAAGGCAGCGGAAAGGCCGGTCAGACCACCACCAAGGATAGCGATAGAAGACGGTGCCATAATCCTCGTATCTCAAGCACAACACGAAGTCACCGACACATTTTCTGAAGGGCCTTGTTATAGACTGGCGCTCCCACTACCCAGTGATCGAAGGAGCTAGTTGCTGCTTAAAGAAGTATTTTCCCACAGTTCTGGTGTCACGAATCAGATCTCGATGTTCAAATACACGAGGAATTCCAAACACTTTGAATCCTCGTTAATGATCAAACATATGATCTGCGTGCAAACCCAGGAGTTCCCAATTTTACAGTGCTTGTCGTTCTGTGATCAACAATCACGTGGACATTTCCCATATGTACCACTACGTTTCGTCCTCGTCTCCTTTTGTATCACGCTGGAAAATTCACGGTTTTGCTATTCCCGTCCGAATGATAGTATTTCCTGCTGCTACCATACGGCGGGCTTTCAATTTGGTTGCTCATAGTACTGATTCTCATCATTAATATATATCGTGCTAACTCGTACGCTTGTATCTTATCTCGTACCGTACTGCCGAATCCCATTATCCATACGCTCATCCCCGTTACTTACTATCTGTTCAATTAGTGTTGCCGTCTACTGTGACGGCCTTCCAGGTGGGTCTTTTTCACCCGCAGGATAATGCTATTGAAGGCGCAATTCAGATCAGGCTTATCTCGAACAATTCCGGTCCTGTCAACCTGTTGCACCTCCGAGTCGTCATCCATCCTCACAGCTTTTCCCAATTTGTGGAAAATCCATTCCATCTTTCGTATCTCTTTCGGGACAGGTCCTGTGAGCGCCATTGTTCCTGCTGGTTTGTTTCAATGTCTTGGACTTGTTTGTACCCTCGTGCTGTTCGTTCTGACATTTGCCCGAAGCCATGCATTGACGCACTCATCATCTCGATATGTCAGTCTGTCAAGACAGCCGGATAAATATGACAGGTACCTAGTTCCCTGTCCATTCCACCTTTCATTTGAAGGAGGACGGAGTCCTCAGATATGTGTATCACTCCTAAGTGAGATTCCTAAGCTAATGTGCGTTGCCGTTGCGTCTTACCAGAAACATCCAACACTTTGTCCACGCCTATCGATATTCGACCAGACCTGTATGTCTTCGTCTGCGCATATATCCTATCGTCTGAACCGTATCTGAGCAAACTTCGGGACACTCATGAAAACGAGCCAAGCTGATACAACTACTGATGCTTGACTTGATACGACCTGATGAGTGATTGTAAAAGCTGTTCGTCGCATGAACTGATATTTTAGAGGCGAAGAAGGGTAGTTCGCAAGATATAGTATCCGATCCCTCAAGGCAATCATGCTCGTCTTGAAGGCTATTTGAAACGCAGACTCGAATACCAGATACTGGTCAGGTTTTCCTCGATCGAGAATCTGTACAGGCCATCCTCCCTGACGCACTGTAAAGTACTGAGGCTGGGTGGTGTGTATCTCTTCCAGCAATATAATGAGGTACTTGCTCTTTCTTTTCGTCTTGTGGTATTTATAATACCTCTCCAGGATACAGAACTCATGGAAGGGGCGTTTCGTCTGCTCGTCGAGAATTCCGGTAACTTCCAGGTAGGTCCTTTTTCATACCATTTCCAGCTATCTGCTGAATCGTCCCCTGATGGCTGGATCATTGTAGAAGACTTCTGTTTAATTCTTAGTACCTAGGGTGGAGTTGTCGTCCACCAAAGATGTCATGGTGAATGTTGATACTCCACAAATACATTTCTTCACCACCTCAGGATATGAATTGGCCTCTGTTCAGGTTTGCGAGTGAAATAGAAGGAATCCGAAATGAAAACTGCTATCTTTGTGATCTCTCTGTTGAGTTGTCGACCAGTTTGATGACTTCCGCTTTTAAGAGCGCATCGGCTCCATTCAGCAATCCCTGTGCACCCTGTAGCTTCCGTATGCAGTCGTTAAGGATCGTTTGATCGTTGAACTCGGTCAGTCCTGCAGCTCGTTCCTCAGGGTCTCATCAGCAGCAAATACCGCACATCGATTATTTCATATACTCAGCTATGAAGCGTGTTTTTTTTCTGTCCATTAAGCTTTTTCTCGGGCACGTTCAAGCTGTTTCTGTCATTTTGAAGTATTTCACCTGTATTGTACCTGATATTCAATTGATTCCTAATGATGACAATAGTCGTGAACAGCTAGTGAGAACGAAGCGAGCGAGCTTTTATATTAGCAAAACACGAACCTCATCTACAATACATACTACCAATACAAGCAATCCAATAGATATCCAAGCGTCTCCAAGATGGACCTTCGACACTGAGGAAAATACTGACGCTGTTAGATGGGAAGGAGACAACCATATCGATGAGGACAGATGCGAGGGGGAGAAGAGGAGATAGTTTACTAAGTTTAAAGAGAAGTGGTCTTCACGGAATTCACGATGGACCCATGGGCATAGTCTGAAGTCGTAATTCGCTAAGGAAGTGAGATCGTTCCCGGTGCTGGGGGAATGTGAGTTGGGAATGTGGAACGGACGGGGCCACATGCGTATCGAAAGAGTATTTCTGCCTTGCGGTGAAATCATGTTCGATGAGGGGCAGTGTTATCTTTACTTGACATCGAGAGCCTGCGAGATGAAGAAAGATTGAGGAGGCACAGAGCTATCCTGATTCCCGTGAGCATGTTATACATAAGGACATAGTTTTCGTTGGCCTCTTCTATCAAATTGCCTACCAAGGGACATTTGTCCTGTCTGTGCCACTTCGACGTTCAACGGAGCTGCCACTTCAGCAGCCTGTTTTCGCTTCCTTTCACAGCGAATTTGCTCTGCTTGGAGCTGGATGGGGAGGGCATGCAAAGCCTGTCGTGTTGCGAGGCACAGGACGGGAGGGTGGGTGGAAGTCGGGGGTGCTAACACTCACAACCGTCGACGTGAGGGTTTGTGATCAGTGCTAATGGTTCAGAGTTTTTAAAGTCCGCTAAATTTGTCTTTCACCTTCAAGTTATCGCGAGCTAAAGTGCGTCCTGCTGTGTTACTGTACATGTATGTCACACTGCGTACAGCTTGAAGCTCGAACGTTTGAACTTCTGTTTTCACAAAGTGTTCGAACATTCTCTTCCCATGGCATGGACTCGACTGGTATAGAATGGTAGCGACTTGTCTGTCCGCGTCGTTTCAGTGGTTTGCAATCTTATTTGCACGATGACTTCTAAATTTTCCCTTAGCCTTGTGTTACATGTCTCATAAAAGCCAACTTAGTACAACCTATCGATGGGTGTAGCGAGGTTCGCATGTCCGGACCCACAACCTTGGTGTGCCACTTTCGCTGTCGATTGACCATCCCCACCTCGAGCTCTGCAGTACAAGCTCCTTTAGCCTCAGCGCTCGCTGTATGTTTGTACTGAGTGCCACTCAATACAATCATATAAGCATCTGAGACTAGAATCGTGCTGAACAGCCCTCGGCAGCATGGAAATACATGTGCAGCATGACCTGAATGTTCTGCACGTTAACCCTCAACCTCTTTTCCGTCTCACTTGAACTTCATCCATAGTCCCCATATCCTTACTCTGGTTTTTTCCTTCAACCCCTCTGTATCTTACCTGAAATTCACTCACAGTTCCCATATCTTTACCCCTTGTCTTTTCCCCCTACACATTCTGCACACTACTCAATATTCAATGCTCCCTGCCGTTCATCGTTCGTTTCATCCCGCCATTACGCCTAGCAGCTGGGAAGGCCAATCTATCAGGCTTGAGGGTCGGTCACTCGATATCACCTTAGTATTTGTTGTGGTGATCTCGCTCTACTTACAGTCATCAGCGGCAAAAATCTCAAAGTTCCTTCCAAGCGCATTCCCGCAGGCATTTACACGTTCATCTGTGTCGATCCCAGGAGGCCCTGGAAATCAATCAACGGAGTCCTATCATCAGACGAATCTGTATTGCGGGGCGAGACCGTGACCCTGTAAAGTCTCATGTAAACTTTTGAACGCGATTTGAGGACTGATCTTCTATTTGTAGAACGCTCGACGCATCACCCAAATTATTACCGGTCATGTGTACATCCTTTGAGCTTGGTCGAATGCTAGGCAATGGGGAAGTCATTGGAAAACTAGAAGTGTCATGGGATGAGTTGTTTAATCGTGGAAATGAGCCCTTTGGTGAGTAACGTGCTTCCTATTCATGCACATCTACTAACATCTCGCAGTTCTGTCCTTCCCACGCGTTCGTGGTGTTCGCCCTTCCCTCACGTAAGGCCACTGTTTTACAGGCTTGCAACAATCGGGACGGTGTATCGTTTGGTGCGAGTCACGCCTACCTTTGCCTTTGTTGTTGGCTTTTGCTGACCAAACGTTAACTGCAGTTAATTGTCGACTGCGAGATTGCTCGAGACACAGATGCAGGTCACGCATGACTCGCCGAATATGTGACACGCACATTGAAGTGGGTCTCTTACCTGAACGATGCTGTAAAACATTTTCAGTTAGTTCTGGACCAGTGCCCAGTCAGCTATCCGGACTGCGCAGCAGCTCTCACTAACCTTGCATGGGCCCGCCTTCAAGGCTACATTCGAAACAATCTTCATGATATCGACTCTATCACTTCTCTCTTCCGCGAAGTCCTTGTATTGCGTCCGCAGGGTCACCCCGATCATCTGTTATCTATCTATCACCTCACCTCAGCACTGACCTGGCGCTACGGCAAGGAGCATACTGTCGTCTATATCCACAGGTCCACGCAACTGTTCTGCAAGCTATCGCCCCTCTATCCAGAGGGCAGCTACTTTCGTAGCATCGTGGTAGGAGCAAATGGCGTCGATTATGTGATCCGCGAATGCAACAACCTTCCAACCGACGCATTCGATGAAGGCATCCACCTTCGACGAGTCGTGCTCGAGCTCTGTCCTCTGGGCAACAAACGACGCCCCAGAGCCCTCCATGAGCTTGCACAGGCAGTAGAACAACGCTTCCAACAACACGGTAGCATTGATGATCTAGACGAGTGCATACAATGTCGTCGTGAAGCCGTTTCTCTGTGCTGCGAGGGACATTCTGAACGTGGCACTTACTTGAACAACTTAGCCTCGTCACTCAGTCACCGCTTTGATCACCAAGGCACCTCAGGTGACCTCAACGAGACCATCTCTTTGTACAAAGAAGTGCTGCGCCTGCGCCCTGTTGGGCATAAATATCGTGATTTATCATTGAACAACCTAGGAGCCGTGCTTCTCACCCGTTTCAACCAATGCAATGATATCAACGACATCACCAGAGCCATCAGCCTCCAGCGCAAGGCACTAATGTTGCGCCCGCTTGGGAATCCATATCATGATTCCAAGCTCAACAACCTTGCTCTTGCGCTCCAAATCAGATGTGGCAAATTGGATGCCAGCGAGGATCTCGACGAGGCCATCGACCTGTACCGGGGTTCACTTCAGTTAACGTGGCATGGCGATACACTTCGCCATACAATTCTTCCCAATTTGAGCGCAGCGCTCTCTTCTCGCTTTACGCATACTCGGAAGAATGAAGTCATCGAGGAGGCCATTCGACTCTGCCAAGAGCCGCTGGAGGATTTACCTTCACTGCACCCAGACAGATATTTCAGCTACCGGTGGCTGCAGCAAGCCTATTTGTCTCGTTACCGAGCTCAACACAACCTCGCTGATTTGTCGCTTGCTGTAGAGAGCTTCAGACTGCCATCGAGACACCCTACTCAGGGCTTTCCATGCTGCAAAGCCCGGAAGTGAGTCGCTGCAGCAGAGGAGCATGGTCATATATCTGCATTGGAGGCCTACAACACATGTTTTGACCTTCTTGACGGTCATTTGGCAACACGATCATCGACAATTTCACGGCGCGAAGCTGCCCCTGCCTTCAGCGGTGCTAGATCACTGCCTATGAATGCAGCCTCATGTACCATACGTCGTGACGATCTGCGACAGGCAGCTGAACTCGTGGAGCAAGGCCGTGACCAGCGGTGGTCGCAGGCCTCTCGACTCGGGACTCCGCTGGAAGATCTGAAGCTTGCAAGTCCGGAACTAGCTCGCAGGCTCTTGGATATCAACAAGCACCTGTCTAATGCTCAGGGTTCCGCCGGCAGCGCTGACCGAGCTGCTGCCGATCGAGCAGCAGTACAGTACATGAGACTTCAGGAGCAGTGGGGAGCGGTGGTAGCTGAAATTCGTAATCTTCAAGACTTCTCGCGGTTCCTGCTCTAGACAGATGATGAAGACACGTGTGACTCCGTCCTTCGCTGCAATCGGACAAAGTTCACCGGGCGCGGGACAAGGCAAAGCGCTCTTGACTATCGATATCGAGCTTGAACTCGTCCACAAGCTCGTCCTCAAGGCGGCCAAACTCGCCACACTCTCCGGTGACAACGCCACGCGAGCAAGTGCACTCGACGCTTTGCAACGCAACACCTGGGTGCACCTCACTTGTCATGGGATCATGGGAAGCAGGACCGCGAACAGCCTTACTATTCACGTTTCGCATTCTTGTCGGCGTGTCATACTGCTGTTGGCGATGAGGAGACACCCGACGAAGTCATTCACCTCGCAGCTGGACTCCAATTTTCCGGGTTCAAGAGCGTCATTGGCACGCTGTGGGTGGTCGACGACGCCGTCGCAAAACACGTTGTCGAAGCTTTCTACGAAAATATGTTCAAGGATTCTGAGGATAGTGGTGTGATGGACTGTACGAAGGCGGCCTGGGCACTCAACCGGGCTACAAACGCCGTGAGGTCGAAAGTGCCGCTCGAGCAGAGGATAGTTTTCATTCATATTGGTGTGTAGTTCTACTATGTTGTATTGCTGTCGTCTGCTTTGGTTTTACGAGTCATTGACCATGGATTCTATACCCTCACTGTATATCAAGCTGTTGTAGATATTACCCTGATGCTCTTGTGGTGTAGTTATCTTGCTCTCGCATATACCTGTCTCGCACAAGTTGTTGTCTATAGTTAACTCCTTGCCTCACAACTTTTTCAAATACATCTGCACCTCAACGCAGCCTCGACTAAACACACTCAGTGCAGTAACATCAAGATAGAGGCACAGCTCATCCACCGACTCCCCCGCGCAGACATGCTCACCGACCGAAGTCGGGGACTTATTCGATACCCTACCAGATGTGTTTTCCAACAAAAAGCAGGATGAGTGATTAGACATTGGGTACCGAGCAATTCTGTCGGCGAACAGCAAGGATATGGGAAGTTCCTAGTAAATAGCATTGCCGCGTCGTAGAACGACCAGCGCAAGATTTCTGTCTAGAGGTATTATAACATATCACAGGTGTCGTCAGAAACCAACGTGTCTCGTATAGCTTAGATCAATCATATCTTGCCAAGAAGCAAGTTCTTTATCATCTCCCGGCCCGTGATGCGAACGGTGTGGTATAACGTCGGAACATCTAGGGTAGATGTGAAAGTGTCCGCAAGACCAAAGGGCATCATCAATGGGATCCAGCCTTCAAAAAAAAATTAAACCAAATTGAGACAAAACGACAAGGTCATCTTGGAATACTACGTACCCCGAGCATACTCAAGCGCGAAGCACCCTTCATGCATCTTATATTGCTTCGCAGTACCCCTCGGGAGGAAATGCACGTCCCCAGGGCCGTACCTCTCCATTTCTAATGCGCCTGGCCCGAACGCCCACTGCTCGCCGACTAAAATATGGAAGTAGTCATCTGCCGTATGTAACCCTGTGTGTCCTTCTGTGCCTAGAGGGGTACCGAAAATGATGAGGTACTCAGTAATGGACGCGTGGATGATGTACATTGCGCCCATTGCGCCTCCAGCGTTGCTGAATACCCACTCAGAGGCGTTCACGTTAAGGGAGATGGCAGGGGAGTCGAGTTGTGGGTATGTAGAGGTGAGGTTGGTGAGAATGTGGGTGATCATGCCTTGGGGGTCATTCGGTGAGATGGAGATGGCTTCTTGGGCAAGCTCGTGGAGGAACTTGGGCTCTAGGACATACCACCGATCCTGTAGTCGAAGTCACTTCATGCGGTAGAAGAGTTGGAGTAGTGACTAACCTTGATACCATCAAGCCAGGTAAATGTTGCACCGAGGAGCAGCAATGCAACTATGCGTGTCATCCACTTCGTGAAGTTGTTTTGCGGCTTTGGTGGGGGGTGCTCTGGAGCTGCGTCTACGCTTTCTGATCGTATCTTTCCCATTGCGAATTCTGTGTTATTCTGACCTTTCCTTACGACTTGGGACAGAATGAGAAATGATCTAGAAGTTGCAACGACAGCAACTGCGGTGGACGACGTGGATTCAAGGTTCTTTTAAGCCCAGACTTTTCGGTGGTACGATGCACGGGCACGTGACTGCCACGAAAATCAGACGCGCTGCTATGAAGAACACGTCCCACGTACTAGGAGAACAGGATCAACGAGATGCTATTCCAGAGTGAGAAAATGATATAGAAGACCGAGTACTATAAAAAAAATACAAATACATCCTACACTGGACAACGAAAATAAATCGAATAAGATTATACTTCCTGGCTCTCCTTCTTGCCTTTTGCACTTTTACTGGGCAGAAGTTCAGGGTTGATGAAGGGAACGACACCACCCTGTGAAATGACGACGTCTCCAAGGAGCTTGTTCAGCCTATGGAACAAGCGAGTTAGACACTGCGGAACGACTGAGAAATCTTTGCGTACTCTTCGTCATTTCGGATGGCGAGTTGCAAATGTCTAGGAACGATACGCTGCTTCTTGTTGTCGCGGGCTGCATTACCGGCGAGCTCCAGGATCTCAGCAGCCAGGTACTCTAGTACCGCCGCAAGGTAGACTTTCAATCAAGTTAGAACAAACGCCTGAGGGATTGATTTTAGTGATGAACTTACCGGGTGCACCAGCACCAACACGTTGTGCGTAGTTGCCCTTCTTCAAGAGACGGTGAACACGACCGACAGGGAATTGAAGACCGGCTTTGGCTGAACGCGATTGAGACTTGGATGAAGATTCACCGGAGGCCTTGCCACCAGACTTGGCCTTTCCACCGACTTTGCCAGACATGATAGATTGATTGAAGAGTGTTGTGGGAGTGTATGTACAGAGTACGATAACGACGACGACGACGAAGGACGGGAATGAAATAGGGGAGGCGCGATCAATGGCCGCTTGTATTTATACTGTCCACACGTGATTTTATAAAATAAGGTTCAGCAATCAACAAAGGATTGTGGACGCGTTGATCGGGTACCAAATAAGACCATACGCGTCACAAACCATAAATACAAACGCCCAACGAGTCTGGTTATCATTCACACTACCCCACAACCTCTTCATCTCCCACTTCATCAAATGGCACCTAAACCAGTCTCAACCGCCTCAAAGGCCCCTGCTTCCACTGCTGCCTCAAAGGCACCTGCAAAGACCACCGACAAGGCCAAGAAGGCTACCAAGACTTCTGCCGCTGCTGCTGCGGGGGCTGATGGTGAGAAGAAGAAGCGTCGTAAAGTTCGCAAGGAGACCTACTCTAGTTACATCTACAAGGGTATGTCCATTGACATCTCTTACTGTTCCAGGTCTGACTTTGGTCCCAGTGTTGAGGCAGGTACACCCTGATACCGGTATCTCCAACAAGGCCATGGCCATCCTCAACTCGTTTGTCAACGACATTTTCGAGCGCATTGCAACTGAAGCATCCAGTATGTGCTTTCTGATCATCCAATCGATCATTTCTAACCTCTTGCCTTCAGAACTTGCTGCTTACTCCAAAAAATCGACAATATCTTCCCGGGAGATCCAAACATCTGTACGACTTATTCTACCTGGTGAACTTGCCAAGCACGCCATCTCGGAAGGCACAAAGAGTGTCACCAAGGTCAGATTTTTCACCTTCATGTCGTCTCTACCTCTCACTCATCTGTTGCATCTACAGTTCTCGAGCTCATCAGCGAAGTAGGCTTATCCTTGATTGTTCTACTACTGTTGTCTCGTTGGACAGCATGGGCTGTTGTATTTTAGGTGTATCATTTACATTATTTTAATCTACTCTTCGATCGGGAACCTGCTGAGTGCATGAACCTCAAATAATGAGTACTACGCTTCATGGCGGGCGTCACTAGCACTAACCACCGATGTACAATACATGCTTGGTGACAGTGTTGTTCAAGATCACAGTCAGATAACGTAAGAATCATAATGCATTGGCATGATTCATTAGGGGGACGTTGGACGCCAAGCTTTATATGGCTCAACTTGAAGACACTCAGATCCGAGTCATCTATAGCCATCTTACTCGATGATGGCACATCAACTCACGTCTGCGGGGTCGCAGTGAGCTCTTGGGCAACAGTGCAATGATTAGCGCGCGTGCACGGGCCCAAACCCATCCTGCCCAATTTTGCTCCCTCAGTAGTGATCGGTGAGTCTCTATCAGTATCTTGCATACTAGTCACGTCCCTCATGAAAGTCAATCAGATCTATTGAACAAGGCCGACATCAAAGCTGCCTTTTAACTTACTTTTGGCTTGGGCACGAAGTTATCATTACACCGTTCGTTCGGTTCCCTCGACAATGGGCACGTTAATCCCCGCTATTGCAAAATATGACCCCACCTTCGGTTCATGATCCGGAGGCCATACTCGGATGACAAGGTTCATTTACTACTTGAGCTTCCCTGCACCTGCAGGTAGATACTTCGCGGTTCATCACAATCTCATATTCGGTTTGTTGAACGGCAATATGCACCCCTGTGTGTCAACAGACGTAAAATGTGATCAACGCGGCTTACGGTCCCCCCATACCCCGATGCCGGCCAGGTACATTTTCTCCCTAAATGACAGGCTTCATGGCAGGGAGAACACCTCGTGCTGGTTCTGGTCTCGGATTGAACGACTTATCTAGCAGTTATGAACTTCGTTTCTATCCGGACCATCTGATGAGCCAGGTTCAAGGCAGCCTAACCTCTGATGGATAGTAGCAGGTTATTCGCTCCCGATTATCCACCCATCCCTCATCCAGGTATAAATGGCCTAGGAATTTTCGCTCTCAATCCATTCTCAAGAACTGTAGCACCATGGCAGATGACTCTGTATCCCTACTAGCAAACCACCGCTTCAACGAGTCGGCGACTAGCCATGATGTTCCCGCACAAGACCCCAGCCACGGTGCAGGTCTCAATGATGATATCCCCGAAGAGTATGTCCTCGCACTTTGTATCGGCTCACCGTGCTCACCACACATCTACAGGGACCTTGTCAATCGTCTTATTCGGGACAACCAAGACCTTTGGAACCAGTTGCTTCAGAACGATTTTGTCCAGAACATGCGTATTGCAAGCGCAGACAACCAGCCCGTTCTCGATGGTTTCAAATGGTATATGATCGTACGTTACTTGATACCTGTCGATGCTTCAAGCCGAAGTTCATCACTCTGTACATGCAGCAAGACTTCTTCTACTGCGTGCAACTCATAGCATACAATGCCGATCGCGCAGCAAAAGCCCCCAACCCAACGATATACGGGAAATTGACCAAAACTCTCAACAACACGCTCACGCAGTGGGCTCCTAACGCCCTCCAAACTTGCACCGATGCCGATAAGCTGAACATTCCAGACACAGTCGTCTTCGCTGCCAAGCGTGAAGAGGCGACTGAAAGGTACACAAAGTTCATCTCTGACACTGCAGAGGATGAGAACTGGGTCGTCTCTCTACTCGCTCAAGTCCCTGGCATTCAGGTTCGTAAGGGATATCTTGTATGAGGTCAATTTATACCAGTCGCTGACTCAACCGTTAGTCGTACTATGCGATCGCTCGTGACCTCCAACAGACTGCTCTCTACCAAGGTCAGTAACATCCTCCAGCAGTGCGCAAGCAACTGATCTGACTATGCTTCTAGACACTGCATGGTACAGACTCTGGGTCGTCGACAACGCTAAGCACTACAAGTCCACAACCGAACAAATCAGTGAGGGATCGATGCGCAATGTAACTCTATTCAACCATTAACGTTGTCTCTTTATAGATTTCTTCAAGAATAACTACGAGAGCTGGAGGGATATTCCTTACGAGAAGTTGGCCAGGATCTTCAGGAGGGCGTGTCAAAGCGAGATCGATCTGTGGAATGTAGCGCTGAACCCTGGTCCCGTAGCATAAAGAACAGGGACTCGAAGACGCGGACAAAGTATGTAGTAGTATCAGATCGGAATGTACCAGGCGCGTCAATGTCAAAATATTAGTCTATGTCGGCGCAAGATTCACTTGTGCTTTATAATGACGCGTCTTGATTACACACACGATACATGTGTGATGAGAATGAGCGCATTTCAGTAGACAGGTTCTGACAAATAATTGAGACGGATATAACTTTCAGAACGCATAACTTAGAGGGTTGGATTTACTAGTGGTCGGAAGGTGCTTGAGCACCGTGATATTCCTTTTCTTTGAGAGGTTTGTCCGACGAAGGACCACCGCCAAGTTCATAGAACCGGAAAGCTTAGGCAGTGCATGTTCAACAGTGGTAGTAACACAATCAACTTGCAAAGGTTGGCTTCGCCAGATCAGATGAGATTGTGACTCAAGAGTGGATTAAGAGATTGAGAGTGATGAACAAGAATAACTTACGGCGGATAAACAGCAAACAAGCTTGATGGAATCAACACCTACAGCATATGGATGGTGTTTAAGTTCTCGGCATCGCATTCTTGCTGATTCCTGAATCACCTTCTCGAACGCCCATAAGTTATGGATGATGACCGGATAACTTTCCAAGGAAAAGCTGAAGTCGTCGCAAGGCATAGAAGTGAATTCCGTTTCATGGTCAGACTATCGCATAAAAAAGATATTTTCGCACAATGACTAGTAGGTCTAGTTAAGATGGACCTCCGAGGATGTATGCACTGCAAAAATATCGTCAGCAGGTTTCGAACCAATTCCAAGATAAACAGATTCCGACTCTGTTCTGGTAACCACTTGGCCAAGACCAGTTAGATGGACCTCCGAGGAAACCATCCATGAATCAATATCAAGGTGTGTTCCGATAGAAAAGGACCTGTGATTCAGCAGGTTTCGAACCTGCACAATCGAAGATAAACATCCAACGAAACCATCCATGAGTGAATGTCCAAGTATGTTCCGATAAACCTTGTTGTCGGCAGGTTTGACAGATTTTGATTTCGATCCTGTTGTGGAAACCACCTGGCTTATAAGACCAATTAAGATGGACCTCCAAGGAAACTATCCACGAGTGAATCTCCAAGGCATGTTCCGATAGCAAAAAAAACCTTGTCCATCGGCAAGTTTCGAACTTGCACGGGCACAGTCAGATTTAGATTCTCTCGTGCTAACCACTTTGGCCAGGACCAAGTTGAGATGAGCCTCCGAGGAAATCATCCATGAGTGAATCTTCAAGGGGTGTTCCGATGGAAAGGCATCGGCAAGTTTCGAACCTGCACGGGCACAGTCAGATTTAGATTCTGTTGTGGTAGCCACTTAGTTAAGACTAGTTAGATGAACCCCCGAGGAAACCATCTACAAGTGAATGTCAAGGTGTGTTCCGATGGAAAAAGAACCTGTTCAGGGGCAAGTTTCGAACTTGCGCAGTCCAAGAGACACAGATTTCGATTCTGTTGTGGTAACTACTTAGTTAAGACCAGTTAGATGAACCCCCGACGCAACCATCTATAAGTGAATGTCAAGGTGTGTTCCGATGGAAAAAGAACCTGTTCGTCGGCAAGTTTCGAACATGCACAGCCCAAGAGAAACAGATTTTGATTCTGTTGTGGTAACCACTTAGTTAAGACCGGTCAGATGAACCCCCGACGAAACCATCTACAAGTGAATGTCAAGGTATGTTCCGATGGAAAAACAACCTGGTGATCGGCAAGTTTCGAACTTGCACAGTCCAAAGGAAACAGATTTCGATTCTGTTGTAGCAACCACTTAGTTAAGGCCTGTTAGATGGACATCCGACAAAACTGTCCATGAGTGAATGTCAAGGTGTGTTCCAAGAGCAAGAAAAACCTTGTCGGCAGGTTTCGAACTTGCACAGTCCAGATTTCGATTCTGTTGTGGTAAGCACTTGGGCCAGTACGCTTCAGGGGTTGAGATCGTTTAATAACATAGATAAAAAAGGCTAGACGAGAATGACTCACGTAGTAGAGGCTTGGGAAAGAAAAGCACAAAACGACGCGGATGAATGAAAACCTACTTCAGCGGGATCGTCGTCGCTCGAAGTCCGGTTGTGCTTCTCCACTGTCTTCATCTTGAACGAAGTTAGGCCTTCGACTCCGAGCAGTGCAGCCCAAGTGTCAACGGTCCCTGGACAACCGCTACAGTGACAAAGGCCAGAATCCACCTCTGTACATTGACGCCCCGATCTGGTCCACTCACATCTACTGACACCCGGAATGGTACACTAGATGAGATTTGACTGCAAGCTGGGCATGAGCGTCCACGCAGGTATAGTGAGCGGGAACGGGTTGAAGTCACATAAGATTAGTAGTCATTTGCCAACGCAAAATAAAATAAAAAGACTAGTTTGACACAAGACATGCATTGCCAGGAATAAGCGAGTCGGTGGCTGGCGCAGTGGCCTAGCTATCAATTCTCACGGATCGTACAGCCACAATTATGGGCTGATGTTGACCATGTAGCACTTGTAGTAAGTACAAGGTAATAGTACAAAGTAAATGAATTAGCAAACGATATCAACAATCAAGAAAATATAGGTATGCACAGATGTTCCAGTAGATATGATGCTAAAGATGTACTACAATGCAAAAAAAAATGAAACCCAGGTTGCCCCGACGTGCTACCTACAAATAAATGAGAATCCTGCAGTACAAGTTGATTCAGCTCTGCCTCTTCCCGTTGCTAGTCTGAATCCGGCCGATGAGTTAGGCCCACCCTTCGGGGTACATTGCCCCCTTCCGTTGTTGTAAACCGATTTGGTTGGGGTGACACCGTCCGCCGCGCTTCCCTGTGCCCGCGGTCGCTGTCAATATGTTGTCCCTCCTGCACCGATTTGGGCGCAGGAGAAACCATCCTTGGGCAAGGCGAGGAGCCCCTCGACTGGCTCTCTCCCTCCTGCTCACTCGAATGAAATTCGCTTCCCTCTTTAAATATCTCTTTCGCGATGCTACAGACGGGCGGGAAATAACCTGTATCATCATCTGGTTTACCCTGCGGAGGGAAATAATCGCCCCTAGAGTTCGGGAGATGGCCGTGATTGTGCCACTGCTCGTCTGCGTGCACAGGGGCTCCCGGAGCTGGGTTTATCCACGGTGCCTGCGGCCAAAAAGCACCAGGCGTCATCGTCACGCCGGGCGTCATCGGCACCCCACCAGGCGTCAACGGCACCATCGTCACTGATGGCGGGTGTCCGGTTGATATGGGCACCATGATCCCAGGTGAAAGAATTCCAGGGGAGAACATGTGCGAAGGCAGGTGCGACGAGTACGGGACTTGGGAGTGCGGCGGAAGGTGGTATGGGGATGATGGCGGGGGGGCCTCTGTTCGGCCTTCCGTTGCCTGATCCTGGTAACTCCTATCATTTGAGCTCTGCTGCTCTGTGGCATTAGTGCGCCCGTTTGTTGGCTGCAAGAATGTAAATGGCGGCATGCTTGGAGTGATGGGAGGTAAGCCGTGTGGCGTTATGACACCATAGTGCATATGGTAAGGGGAATGGAGCGGGCTTATTGCGGGGTGATGTATAGGGCTGCGCACACCTGGATGATGCAATGGGCTCATGGGATGAGATGGCGGGTAGCCAGCGTGATACATTGGACTCTGTGGGTGGGGCGGAAGGTATGGGGACAGCATCGGTGGATGCGGGAGTGTAAATGTACATGGAGGAGGGAGCGCAATAGGTCCAGGTTGTCGGCGGGAGGATGTCTGTGATGGCTTCTGCGGCACTGTTTGCTTCTGCGGAGATGGAGATGTAGACTTCGGACTTGCTGAAAATGATTTGTTTTTCTCTGCAGCCTTGGAAGCCAGCACCTTGGACCTTCGCAAACTCAGAGATCCAAGTGCTGTCGCGGTGACGTCGGTGTTTCCTGACCCCTCAAACTTGGCTGGCGTGGATCCTTGGCTTGGTTCGACCTCTGAAACACCCCACATAGATTGAGACTTGTTCGACAAGTCTGAATTGAGGATCGAATGCGCAAGCACAGCAGATTTAGGGGAGGTCTGCCGGGGGCTCGATATACTTGGCCATCCCCCGCTCGCCGGAGGGGACGTTGACGCGGTATCACTGCCTACGTCCGACTTAGGATGAGTCAGTGTCTGCCGTAGGGAAAATGTCGAACTCGAACTCGAGCCCGAGTTCTCCCGCGACGTGCCCATACTGACAGGATGGCCCACAGACCCCTGCCCCTCTTGCTCACCATCAAAGAATGGCTCGTTCAATAGCGAGCTTGCACTGAATGTAGGGCGCCGTGCAGAACCGCCGCTAAAGGACGGGCGCTGAGACGTGGAGCTAAAGGTGGGGCGTTGGGATGTTGAAGAGCTGAACGACGGTCGCTGGGATTGCGAAGCACCAAACGAGAGCCGCTGCGAGAAGTTCGTGCCATCAGTTAATGATGATGCTGTACTAAAGCTTGGTCGTGATGACCCTGATGAAGTCGATGTGGGATAGCTTTGCGCTTGCGAAGAGCCCGCAGAGACACTTGGACGCTGCGAGCTGGAGCTCGATGTCCGTGATTTATTTGATGATAGCAGATGCATATCGCTCCCGAGCTTCATGTCTGTGTTTAGCTTCAAGCTGAGGGAATCAGCAGCACCCGAATGTGGGGGCAACTTGGCGGTAAGCGCGTCGGTACCCAGAGATAGGCTGAGGGGGACGAAGTTTGTCGAGCTATTGTTTGAGAATCCTAGATGAGGTGAACTTGTCAACGAATGCGGATGGGTGGGTGTAGGTGCTAGTGAATGGACTGCTGACGGCGCAAGCGACTGAGTGTGCAGAAGTGCAGGTGAGGGAGAAGTGAGGGAGGTGGAGGTAAGGGGACTTGAACCGAGAGAAGGGTCGGAGGATCGAGAACCTGACTGCGTGACTGAGCGAGTTAACAGGACTTCCAGCTGAGATGATGTTATGGGATCTAGATCAGCACGTCTAAGCGGATCCAACTGTGGGTACATTAAAGAATCCAGTTGCGGGTGTAACAAGCCATCGAGTTTGAGCTGAGATAGATGTTCGTTTTGTTGACGTCCCAACTGATGGGACTCCAGTTGTAGGGATTGTAAGTGAGATGCAAGAGCATACTGTGATAGAGTGGATGGGGCTGGTACTTGTGCGCCAACAAGAGGTACCGGAGCTGCAGACGGCGAGAATTTATCGTAGTGGACCTTCAATGGCCGTCCATTGAATTCATACCTGGAATAGATCATAATCACAAACAATCAGTACATGAGGCAGAATTGATTAACAGAACACGAAAGCATAGAAGGGTTCCTATCGAGTGTAGTGCCACTACACAGCGAAAATATTTTATGGTCAAAATGTGAACAAGAGAGGGATGTGCACATAAACCCGGAAGGCGCATCGTACGTCATGAAGAAGGCAGCAACGCACCCATCAAACATCCTACGCGCGCGCTCGGCACCGTCTTCCGTAAGGAAGCTGACTGTTCCGAACCCGCGAGAGCGCCCATCAGGCCCGACGGTAACATCTGCTCGAGCAACAGCGCCAGCGGCACGAAATAAATCCTTCAAATCTTGCCATTGGATATGGAAGGGAAGCTGAAGTGGAAGAAAGGTGAATAAATAGACACTTGTGGCACCGCAAGCAAAAGATGAGCCAAGAAAGAGATGGTAATGGTAGAAGGTCACTTGTACAAAGTCGAATCTCACATGATGATCGGGGGAAGTATCGATGAAAGAGGAAAAAGTGATGAGGGAAGAAGATTGACAGACTCACGTTACCCACAAAGAGGGATTTCATTCCAGTGCCACCTACAACATCCTGTCCAAACGTGTTTTCATCATATAGTTTGCCTGAAGATGAAAATCCTGAGGGGTGGCCATTTGCGCCTCTGATTGCGAGGCTGGCACCCATTTCATCGACACTTGCGCCAAGCCTGTCGGGGCGCACCTCCAGGACTCTGGTCTGCCAGCAATATCCATTCAACATGTCAATTGCCCTTCCCGCATCCTCCGCAGTAGCTAGAAGGACAGTGCCATAGCCTCGTGAGCGATTATCAGGACCTAGTGATACGTCAGCACGTAAGACAGTGCCTGCGCGACGAAAAAGATCCTTGAGGTCCTGCCAACGGACTCGATACGGGAGCTGGAATATACGGTCAGAGCTGATTAGGATTCAGGAGGGTCTACAGACGTCCATACATTGCCAACGAACAACTGAGCGCGGGTATCTCGTAGGGGTGCTAGCTGGCGGGAATCCTGGGAATTGGTAGATGATGTGGCCATTTGGATGACAGCCTCAATGTCATCATTTGTGGGACCCGGGAACTCAGAGGGATGTGTCAAATGAGGAGGCGAAAAATCCTGTTGGGATAGGTGAAGGGGAGAAAGAGATAAAAAAGGCATTAGGACCTGGAAGAGAAAAAGTAGGTGGATGAACGCACAGAAAGAGGCGGGGCTGAGGCCATCTGGAGCGGAAGGCGCTAGTACGGCTTGAAGGGTATCGTTGGCTTGGGTTTATTTATTTTAGGGTATGGGCTTCGCGATGCGTCGCGGCTTTATCGCCCGCGTAACGCGTCGGTTGCTACAAAATTGATGGTGCTGAAGTGTTTTGCCAGGTTAGTGAGTATACCGGAGGACGTAGAGAACAGCGAGCTCGACCTGCGAGAAGATCTGAAAAGTAGGGTATTGTAAATTAGGAACAAGAACAACCTAAGGTTTCTGACTTGAGCTGTGCGCTTGGATCTGTTTCGTTCATTTTACAGATGCTCCACACGAACAAAAACAGGGTACTCTCAGCGCCACTAGCCCTACGTCATTCTCCTTTTCTGGAAACTGCGTTCTCCTCTCAGCTGCATGTGACAGTTCCTCCTCGTACGTAGGCAGTCGTACAGTGACCGGATACACGCGGAGTCCAATTTCTCACGGGTACCAGGGATGTCATGGGCCCCGGGTCTGTAGTGATGTCATGGAGGGAGCCTAGAAAAACACGCAGTGGTTCGCTCCACTTTATTTATTTTCATTCGCAGGTGCCAACCCATGGCTGAACATCCTCACTGTCCAAAAGCTATGCATGTTTACATTCCGAAAGATTTATTATCGACAGTGACATCTGAGTCGCTGTTGACTGTAGGCTGTTGTCAATTTGTAGGCGATATCAAGGAAGGCGAATTTGCCGAAATTGAAGCAGCGGCTGATCTAATTAGGCTTGTGGAATGTGGAGACCTTTATGTGAGTAAATGGGTCTATAATAATCTATAATAATTGTCCTTAATCTGATTGGGTATCGGATCTACATCTCCCCTGCGGCCTGGCAATGGTATCTGAAGCCTCGAGGAAAGGCTGACGGACCGAGTAATGTGGGGGTTTTGTATTACAATAGTAAATATGTGATTGATTCGAACGATTGTCGTTCGCACCCGGTGGACTCGGACGTCCTAGTTTTATTTGGTGAGCTAGGTGGTCGGCTAATTTTTATATATTTGTCCTCTGGCCCGAGCAGTCCCCATATTTAGGGTATGAATATTATGAAGCTCTTGTAATTAAATATGGTGACTATTGACACCCGAAATTTATGTATATGTTTTCATTAACCGCCCAGTAGCTGTATCTCCCTGGACCCCGATGTTCTCCAGAACACTTTTTGAGATCCGCCCTGGAGTAAGTTTCATTCAATTGGATATTACCTACTCACTTATCTTTTATCATAGCATTGGTTCATGGAGTAGTCTTCCGTTGGTTTCTTCCAGGCTATGGAAGACTGTAGCAAGATTTGTGACGGATCTTCTCAAGCCTGCTACCAGTTCCCCTCACTGGCATTCCAACCTCATCAATGAACGACAACTTGATACGAGATCTAGCAACAAAACACAGTTGCCGCGCATGGCGCGTGGTATACCAAAATGCGCCTAAGAAATGTTTTGTGTTGCACGTAACCTTGTGAGGAGGAAACATTAGTCACTATTTACGGTGAAACGTCACCGAGTACTGGCAGCCCTGACTCGAGAGGAGCTTGCCATGCCACTCTTACCTATAAGATAACTAAACGGAATTCTCCAGGAAGATCGATCAGCTGAATTTGCCAAGTCCATCATATGTCACGGGCTGGCCGTAACTGTTTTCCGATTTTACTCCAACAAACCTGCCAGTGGTTGATCATCGATCTAGGGACCAATAAGAAGCTGTTATTCTAAAACCCCGGTCGCGTCATCGGTGGCGAGGCAAGTGCCACAAGGCAGCCTTCGACTAGGGACACGTCGAAAGCGTGACCACAACTTGTATAAATTTAGTATTGTTGAATTCAAAAGGTGCTCACTGACCCGAAGACCGTCCTGACAATCTATTCACAGAACACCAAGTATTACAGCTTCTTTATGTAAACATTTAAGGGTTCCACATCTTGCCCTTGACAAACTCTAATAAGAGCGTATCATCCATTCTCTTCAGATCCGTCGAGTTGTCCACGCCCTAAAAATGGGTTATAAACTTGACTGCTTTCGAGGATCATACGATAACTAGACATACCGCCTTCTGCGCTGCCCGTATCACCTTGACAGCGATGTGTGCACTGATCTCCCTGATGCGCTCGATACGGGGGTACACGAGCTCTAGTGCCCGTTCATCCCATGAAAGAGAGCCCGCTAATCCGAGCGCAGACGCTTGTACCATACTATCCGTCACGTTCTTGGCGCGGCACAGTATCGCACCCAAACCAAGCCCTGAGATCCAGCAGTCAGCTCAGATACAATTATAAAACGAGAGAGAGAACCTACCGGGAAAGATGTACATATTATTACCCTGGCCAGGTTCCCTCCTGACACCACCAATGACCTCGCTTCCAAATGGTGAGCCACTTGCGAAGATTGCGGTGCCATTGCTATGTGTGAGAGCCTCAGTGAATGTGCATTCTGAGAGATGGACGGGGTTGGAGAGAGGGAAGATGATGGGGCGAGGTGTGTTCTGCGACATCTGACTGATGACTTCCGGGGTAAAAGCACCCTGAAAGAGAGTGAGCGCGACGATGAATACAAATTATGTTTTTGAATCATACCGCGATTGTCGAGAGACCAAGGAGCACAGTTGGCTTCACATACTTAACGATTTCTGTAAGGTCCTTCATTGGAGGACCTGTGTAATGCCTCCTTGCGAAATCTGTGACATAGCTCGTTAGATATGAACCATCCCTTCGAAGAAAAGGGGACATACACATTTTGTATTCAGCAACCCCTTCCCTGCCGACGTAAACGAGTCCCTTCGAGTCCACAAGCCAGATATGACTCCTGGCCGCTTCCTCGCTCATCCCAGCGATTGTAAAAAAGCTCATAAGCTGTTTAGCAACACCTACACTAGCGCTTCCCGCGCCAAATAGCAAGATTCTATGTTCGTGGCGCGGGATGGGAACCAGTCGCGCAGCGGAAAGCAGCCCTGCGAGGACAACAGCACCTGTACCTTGGATATCGTCGTTGAACAGTGGGAGACTATTACGGAAACGCTCGAGGTAGGAAAATGCATGGTCAGTGGAGAAATCCTATCGCCCACGAGAATGTTCATGTCTCTAGAATGGAAAAGTTGAAGAATGTGAACGAACCTCGAATTGCACCAAGAGTTTGGGGTAGACACGTCTCATCTCGGTGATGAACTCATCCATGAAGGCATCATATTCCGTGTCAGAGGGCCTGCGCTGGCGCAGCCCGAGATACAAGGGGTCGGAAAGATTAGAGGAGTTGTTAGTTCCAAGGTCAAGCGTGATGGGGAGAGTGGACGATGGGCGAATACTAAAGTCGATTGGTCGGGCGGTTACAAGAATAAGACTAGGGGTGGACGCACCCAGCACCGGCGACATAAAGAGAGAGTTTGCCAACGGCAATGGGCATCCCATTTACACCAAGGTCACCAAGCCCAAGTATGCGTGAACCTAGTGCATGTTATCAAGCTCTAATCATCTAACCAAATGGTATGACACGAACCATCCGTGACAACGCTGATCCGAGCCTCGTTCGCAAGGGGCCAGTTGCGCAGAATGTTCCCAATTCTGCCTTTGTCCTTGAGAGAGATGAACTGTAGCACCCATTAAGCGAAGGAGACCCATGAGGTATTTGTATTCATTACCAAACCCTCGGGATTTCTGTAAATTTTCGAGTACTGCAGGCATGCATCACCGACAGTTGGTGTGTAGATTATAGGTGTGATCTCCTAAGGATAAACATTTAATTGTGATTTCCAAAGATTCTGACACCACTTGTCTCATACCGGCATGAATTCGAGGCATAGCTTGTAAAAGGCCTCGACATCTGCTTGCTTGACTTGCGCGAGGAAGGTATATTTCTCGATAGGGGATGTCCTGGAGCGTAATTGGAGAAGGGTACGATCCATCTGAGCTTTCATACTGAAAACTGGTGGCATGAGGCCTGGCGCAGCTGGAGCTTTAGCTAAAGGCAATAAAAATTCAGTATGAGGTATGGGTATCAATAGGGTAGACCAAATGCACCCCGTGCTTCCATCTTGAGCTTCTGGATACCCTCATCTGGCGACCAGTAGGGGGTAAGTACAATAGACATTTAATATGGTTTACGGTAGGAAAGATGTGGAAGGATAGTTGTAATTTTGCGAAAGGGAAACAGAACAATCAGAACGAGCAGAAAAATGAGAAGGTCTTGAGGAAGAAAGAATCATCGTATGGTATATATAGATGCAAATCAGTGATGAGAACGGTAGTCACTGAGCGTGTCAATGGACAGTGCACGGTGTGAATGCGAACTTGTTTAATTGTGGCCATGGAAGACGTGCACAGCGTTTGAGTGACGCCGTGATGAGGATCGCTCCGACATACCCATGCAAGAGGCTACACGGCCCCGGTGGTTGCCCATGCTTTTGAGAAACATCCACAGTAGTCAAGTATTCCATCAACTATGAGGAATCACACTTACACGACCCTCCTTGATCATGTAATGAGCTGAAAAGTGAGGGAATGTACTACTTACCTTCGTCAGCCGCTCCTGGGTAGTCATGTCTTCAAAAAGAATCGGGCCGAGGATTCTTACCCTCATAGATTATACATTTATCCTGCATACATTGTCCCATCTTCGTCCATGACAACATCCGGAGGGGGTGTATTATCCAGTTCCTGGCTCTCCTCTCCTCTAGTAACAAACTTATCGAGCATCGTTGGTTCACTCTGGCTCTCCGCATTCTGTAATGCTTTAGGTTTGCGTTTTTGTGGGGGTTCTGTGCGTTGAAAAGCGATGATCTCTGAATGTGAAGCTATGAAAAGAGGAGATAGTCAAGCCCAGGAGGAACGTACCCTCGAGGAACATAAATTCCTCTGCTCGCCGCACTACACTTGCTGTGAGAGAATGAAACTGAGAAATGAAATATCGACATGGCACGCTCCGGACGTACCAACGTCCTTCTGCTGCACAGTTGTTCGCTTCTCGCGCTCCGCGAGCTTCTGGCATGCCTCTGAAAGTCTTTTGATGAACTCCTCGGTGGCAAGTGAGACTAAGAAAGTCGCGTCGCGTGCGACTATTGGAAGTTCCTGGAATGCTGCATGACGCTATACGCCACCTGAGTAGGGTCCATTAACACGTACCTTGTCCGCTTTGATTATCTTCTGCACTCTCGAGAATGGTAAGATTGACTTCCCCAGATCGCGCTGCGGCTCCTTCTCTTTCTGTTTCTTGGTTATCGCATCTGAGTTCGTATGGTCTCTGGGCTCCGAGTCTTCGTCGATAACCTCTACGCTCTGCGTATCTTCCGCCAATTTCAATTCATCCTGCCGTGGTTGCGCTTCAGAGACGGACATTATTGATCAGTACTAGTGGCATTCAGTGGTCCAAGCTGAAGGTCAAACTCAGCCACATACACGCCCGGAAGTAGAAGAGCTAGAGCGGACAAAGGACAAAGGACATATTTGCGTCCACGCACCGCTAATTCAACAAGAGATTCTCCAACTTCTGGTGGGATCAGTTCTTCAGGGAGCTTCGAATATAGGACTAGATCGGCAGGCTCCAGCTACTCCGACTCCAAACTAGCGCGTATCCTCTCGGTTAACCTTTTTCCTCTGTCCTTGATATTCAATGCTCAAAGTCATTCCTTTTATCGCGCTGATGCTAGATTACACCCTTCAGTCGTTGGGGCTCTGTTATCCTTCCTACGGACTCCGCTTCCTTGTTCGAAAGAGGTGCAAATCAACCTAGGACCCATGCCATGATCTTTGATGTTCAAGTCGGGAAGCGATACCACTGTGCATGCCTCTGAATCTGTATTGCACACAACGTTTAGTGGGTGTTATTTTATATGCCATCACCACACTCTAGTAAAAGCTCTAATACGCTCGAATGATAAACTGAGGGTACACGAGGGTACGTCGTTGTCTCGAAGGGTTGGTATAGGTCAGTACATTTAACTGGCAGCACAACATTCCTAGGATCATGGTTCAATTCCCGTCCCCCCAACGGGCTGCCACGATGCCAAAAAAACCACCCTCAGGGTCGCTGGAGTGAGCTCCGCTATTGCGTACGCTGAACTCTACAACCTGAATGCTCTCTGCCTACTGCTACCGAAACCGTTCTCTACCTCGACTAACTCCGCTCTAACCTTGCCGAATCTCTCTGCCAATCGACTTCCTCCCTGGGGGTCCCTCACTCCATCGCTATGACCTTTTTTGTCATTTCATCGCCACGAAAGTCCTGGACATGGATTGCCCCTACTCCTTGTGATGCATGGCCACTGATGGTGCTCCAAGGAGTGTGGTTTATGTTGTGATCCCAACTTGGAGATCCATAACATATACGTACTACGTCGTGTTCGACAGTAGCGCTGTGGAAGGCTGCATACACTCGTTACCCGACACCTTCGATTCGATCCAACGACTCTAATCCTGATTCCTGGTAGTGACATGCTAGCAGATGGTGAAATGGCAATGAAATTCAATACGTCATTGGATACTCGATCTTTAGCTTGTTATGCATGCACAAGCGACATGGAAAGCCATCTGTGCACTGAACGCTGGACGATTATGAATGCACATTCCCGGGCCGATCATGATTTCGAATATTCACTTCTGCCTTTGTAGTAGATTCAATATTGACTGAGTAACTTGCGGCTCGGTTGGTTGTTTGGTATCTCGCATGTGGAGTACACCTAAGTATAATTCATAATGTTGATTTGACCCATCCGTTTCAAAATTCGCAGCCAGTTCGTATGATATGCAAAATTTTGTTATGTTGCGTATAGAAAAACTGAGATCATGACACGGTACACTAGCTAGTGTTTTGTTTCCAAGCTACAGGTTTGAGTGCACGAATTAGTGTGTGACCTACGCGCGTGACGCTTCCTCACGTGCTTTTTGTCACTCAACGTGTAAGTATCGACGTGCACACCTTGAAGCTTGATTTGCTATTCCTTCGTTCAACAATGGCCGACTCCGCAGAGACATCGCCGGAAGTGATGCTCCAGTTCTACCGCATGCTGTACCCTTTCAAATCCATCTTCACATGGCTCAACCAGGAACACACACCAAAGGATTTATTTACAAACCGCGAATTCGCATTTACTCTCCAGGGAGACGTATATCTACGTTATAACTGCTTTTCGAACGCAGAAGAACTCAAAAAGCAGGTGTGCGCACTCAATCCGACACGCTTCGAGATCGGACCCATGTACTCATCTCGGGTGAGTTATCTTTCGATCTCCCTGGCGTTTACGCTGACAATATGCAAGCCAAGCGAGCGGAAATTGGCGCGGTCTGTAAAGTCGGGGAAGCTCTTCACCCCGTTGAAGCGCGAGCTGGTGTTTGATATCGATATGACTGATTATGATGGCGTGCGCACATGCTGCACCTCAGCAGGAATATGCAAGCGCTGCTGGGCGTTCATCGCCAACGCTGTGCGCGTCCTTGACTCGGCCTTGCGCACGCAATTTGGGTATCATCAATTGTTATGGGTGTACTCGGGCCGTCGTGGTATCCATTTGTGGGTCAGCGATGATGAGGCCATGGGGCTTACCGACGAACTACGTAGAGCTGTGGTTGGGGCGCTTACGGTGATAGAAGGAGGTAAGGAGATGGCGAAGAAGGTGAATGTAAGAAGCATTGGAACGAAGAGCCACCCAGGAGATCTCCCACCTTCTCTGTGGCATGCGCGCGATGAAGGGAGTAGGATATGGTATCCATTGTTGGATGACCAAGAATGCTTCCTATCCGAGGACGGCTGGCGAACGCTGCTTAAACTGGTTCCGGACAAGAAAATTGTCGAGACTCTTGAGAAGCGGTGGGAGAAACAGCCTGGTATCGAATCGTCGAAGAAATGGGATGAGCTGAAGGTTGAGGTGAAGGGTACGGGTGTATGTGCTTCACTCACACCATTCATGCCATTCTTGACACCTCACAGGCCCGAAATCTGGCCGCTCTGGAAGACATTATTCTGCAATATACATATCCACGCCTAGATGCCGAAGTATCCAAGCACCGAAACCATCTTCTCAAAGCGCCATTCTGTGTACATCCTAAAACCGGTCGAGTTTGCGTCCCCGTTGACCCGAACCACGTGGAAAATTTCGACCCTGACGCAGTTCCTACAGTTATGCAGCTCCTTCAAGAACTCGATAAGGCAGGCGAGGGTGCAAGTGAGTGCACCACTTGTAACTGTGCCTGTTGTTTTCACCCATTTTAATTCAGACTGGGAACATACAAGTCTCAAGCCATACGTCGACATGCTAGACAGACACGTTGTGGGGATTCTAGATGATGTCCGGAGGAGAGAACGGGCAAGAGCTGTGCTTCAACACGGTGCGTGGGTTTTGGTATATTTTAGGGTCATCCAGGTTTACTGGTATTCTCGCTCCAGATCTCAACTGGTGATGGACACTTGGAAGGCTTCATTTTTATCTTATTTTACAGCATCGTGAAGTTGTAAACAATATTACCCGTTGTATTCTATTACACCTCCTGTTCTTTTCGTCATCTCCTAGTAGTTCAGAACGTTCAAGTCTTGGTGGCAGTCAGTTACGCATCATGTCACGTGGGTCGATCAGTGAGACACAGTTCCCGATTTCTGGGAGGCACTGTCGTGCTCACGCTTAGCATCGTATGCTACATACTTATGGATCCGTTCGCCTTGGGAATGCCCCCACGCCTAGGTGTCGTCGTTGAAGAAAACCATGACTGCGTCGTCAACGAGCCAGTACTCCTCGTTACTTTCATCGACATTGTCATCCGCTCCCACCTCGACGCCGACAAGCAATGGAAACACATTGGATAGCGGTTCTCTACTCTTGGGCTTTCTTATCAGTGTTTTGTCACTCTTCGGCTTATTCATGATTAGTGGACTCGTATGGCATCGTCTGGTCATACGGCGCCGGACGATCGATGAGATGTTGCGGGTTGATATCCCCTCGCAGAAGAGGCATATGCGGAAGCCTCCACTGTGGGATGTATGGGCTTCGCTGAGTCGGGACCATTTGCAATGGAGTGACACCCAGGTAACACCCGTTTCTTGTTGGTGCCTATGTCCTTCTGATCCTCTCTCACCTTCATAGCCGCTGGCAACGGAAAAGTACGACATGCCATTGCCGCCGCCGCTGGACAGCCAAATACCGAGACCTTCTTTCTGGAAACGTCAGGTTATCGGCCGCATACCACCTGAGATAACCTATCTCTTTTCTCCTCCCACCCTAGCTGAAGTGGCTGATCCCCCACTTTTGAATCATTCAAGGGTGGAGCTCCCGGTGGATCAATCTCTCCTCCAGGTTTCGTTCTTGATAGCCATGCCGCGACAACCAGATTCGTTGTCACCTTCGTCGAAAGGTATGGGATTGAAGAAGCACAGACCATTGTATGAGATCGTTATTGGGACATCAAACGTGTACTATCATGACTTGGACTCGCAGTAGCCGTGGTGCTTGTTCTGATCTTTACGACTGCTACGTGTTTCGTGCCATCTTTCTACCTTGACGTACCTTACCAGGGTATATTAATTGTTGCACCATTATAGTCTTGGACTCTTTGCTATTCTGGACTGCTTTTCGCCCACTTTGCAATGCTTGAAACATGAGGCGCAAATGCCAGCCACTCGTTCGTTATTCGCACAGTTACATGGGTCGACGTTGAGCTACCACTATCGAGCGTCTTTCAAGGGTAATCACATGGTCTTTTTTTGGTCTGACAGCCTTAATGCCTTGTGCTTACGTCCTCACCAGCTTGAGCATACAGCAAGTCGGTATCATCCGATAGGTCCTGCTAATAATTATCGTGTATCTAGGGTCGCGTGCACTCTTGCACCTGTCCTTGGAAGGCAACTCTGTCCCGAACTCAACATTCCCTCCTTTCTCCACGGTGATCGCGCCTCCCCCTGTTTGAAAACAGCGCCGCCCGTCCGACAGGCATCCCATTCATAGTACAATTTAATTCAACTTATCTCTCTACAAAGGCCTCATGTTTTCGGAGTCATCGGACCCGCATCCCATTGACTCGATTCCTCTATCCTGCCGTCCTTGTGTGGTTTTGCCCGACATAAACCGACATATCCACGATGTATACGTGCGTCATCCTCGACTGTGTTTGGATTCGATTTATCTTCTTCTGTATCTTAAATGGCTCCACGAGTTTCATGCCAGGCTCTGACATCTGCAAAATCTTGCGTTCCCGGAGAATTTCTGGCCCTGGCTCGGCTCGGCTCATGCCCGACATCGCTTCCTAGAAGGCAGCGGCTTTTCACTGCCTTCTTCGGCCTCATTGTAATACAGCATGTTCATCCCCCTTCTTCCCCGCAATCTGTCATTACCATTTCACACACTTAAGATCACAATGTGCTGTGGCTGATGTGATTACAACAAGAACGCTGTGTGGTCATTAATGACTATTTCTCTTTCTGGTATACGGAGACATCAAACTTGGACAAGGCGCATACGCGTCGCCTATTTCTAGCAAAACGCGCGGCGCGTTCTTCGAAGAGGCAAGTAAGTTGCCTTTTGTTGGTATTGACTGCGGGATCTGAAATGCATTCTGCGGTGGTGCCCTAGTCATATCATTGCCGCGAGGCATCAATACCAGGTATGGAATGTTTCATCATGTATAAAACTCGTCTTCTTACTTCTCTCCTCCCGTAACCCTCCAAACTTCACTCCACATTTCACCCACCATGGCTCCCTCCATAACTCCTACGCACGGTGTCAAGCTCAACCCTCTCTTTACTGGTTCTTCCAGCGGGGAACGCTATCACGCACCAGTTCCCATAGAATGGGATGTGCGCTACCATCCAACACGTTCTGCAGAAATAGCAAACATGCCTCTGTTGTCATCCCACCTGTCACAATTTGCAACTAATCCACCTATTCCAAAGTTGCACCTTGTCTGTGACCTATTGTTCCCTGAATGGGAGATAGTAGCCCGTAACCCAACCGGGGTGACAGTGCAGAACTGTGCTAGAAGCGATTTATGAGACACTCCGCCAACTTGTGCGGGGGCATGAGTGGGAGGGCATGTCGCTCAAGCAGCGCGGCCGGATTGAAGATATACACCGCGCGCGATGCAGGGCGTCTTTGTACCCTGAGCACGCACGTTTAGCGGGTGTCCGCCGAGCGGACTGTCTGCTCTCAACGACCATGTTCGCTGGACTGACCTCGTTGGTCAGGAGGAGAGAGCAGTGGCAAGTGGTCCTCACGCTGTCACGCGATTTCAGACCCCGCGTGCACTATTAGCATGTTCTCCTCCGCAGAGCTGATGAGAACGTGGCGCCTTGATTTATGGAAATTCAATTATGAACTAATTTGCTGATCTGCAGTTTATCTTACTATGCCAGACCCCTCCTCGACTCGTCAGGTGTGTGTTGTTAGTGTCCTAGCATCGTGTATATTTTTTTCTACGTATGCGTTAGCGTTATCGCGCGCAGCGTATCACTTTCGAGCTCTGTACTTATAGCCTCTGCACTTATAGTCTTGTATTGTTACCCGAGTCAACGTTGAACGTTGAAGTAGTACTGTTACTTTAGTTTGTCGACACACTGGTATGGTTGTCGATAGGAACTTGAAATCGGATATGATTTGTTTCTTGACTACCACGATCTTCTATGATTCTGAAGCCAATTCCCTGAAACAACTTGGGGCTGTGCTATTTAGCTTTCACAACTTCACCGACACCTTCAAGACACGAAGACAAGTCGTGTAGAACCCACAGGGTATGTGCAACCTCCAACGGTCGCTATTTCCGCCAAGCAAGTTTTAAGTCCCTCTTACATAAAGTCTGTACTAACGATACAGCATCAATAAGCCCTATAGCTCAGATAGGTAGGCAGGTGTCATACATACATAAATTACAGCATACGATCAGGCATCAAAAAATAAGACCACGCAGTCCTATGACAAGTACTCTGCTTTCCTGTCATCTGTCTTCACTGCACGACGCCTCCACTGACCCAATGCAGTACTCTCCTAGTTCTGTATCATAGAGCAGTTCTGGCGTAGGCGCCCGGCCTGATGCCTCAGAGCTTGCGACAGCGTTGTCGCGCTTCCTATTAGGCGACGGCATAGCAATCGTGAAAGCCATCACGACGGACGGGCCCTTTGCCCGAGTCAACGAGGGAGCCCCTGACCCTGGCCGTTCAGACATGTCATCAAGTTCATGCGCTCGCGACTCTGGCAGGGGCAAAGGTGGAGGATTCATGGGTCGAAAGTGCTGTCTAAAAGCAGACATCCGAGTCATCACAGAAGATGAACGGGGTGGATTTTGATGTTGTGGTTCGACAGCTTTCAGGGCCGGCCGAGGAGGCCCTTCTGTCGGACAGAATAGCGTGGCGCAAAAGGGCTAGCCATCAGTGAGCCAATAGAAAATGAGCACCATGTTTTACACTGACTGCGGAGCTTGACCCACCGTTAGATTTTCCCATTTTGAATCGATCGTCATCTCTTCTCTTCTCGCCCACATATCCCAAAGTGTGGGTTTCTCTCCTAACACGATCGGTTTCCTTCCTGGGCGGACCCGAGTTGGCCTAGCAGGTTGGACCAAGAGTCTCCCTCTACTCATCCTTCTCCACCCAAACAATGCCCCCATGGTCACCATAGCCAGCCCGATCACCAGAAACGCGACTACCAGCGTTGGTGATCCATTTGCGGTGAAAAAATTACTCATAATTTGATTATTGTTGTCAGAATTGCTGGTGCTAGAATGTTGTGGGGACGTGCTCGTTTGACTACTCGTTGAGGCCATGGTGCCGTCTTCGCATGGCGCGAGGCTGTCAGTCAGATAAAGTGGGGTACTGCACGCAGCCTTGAGGCGGGATTAGATATGATATGCTCAAGATATACTATAGGCTCAGTTATATAAGGATCTGCATACCTCCCACCTTGGCCTCCACTGTCTCGGAGACGATGGTCTCACAGGTGGAGGGCGAGAGCAGGGAACGAGGATGATGGGAGGGGATCTGTGATATATCTGGACTCCACTCCGATGTAGCTATCAGGGTAAGGGTGGACCAACAAAACAAAAATAGAATCGGCCCATAAGAGCCCATAACTGAAAGTTTGCTTGGGTGTACCGTGGAAGAAGCCTAATTACAGCTGTAATTGGAGGGTGTTATACAAGGAAACAACAGGACAATGACAAACAAAATGTTGTAGATAAACTCTCGAAAAAGGTAAAGAAAGCGTGAGTACCTTTCCTTTCGTCACTGCCGACGCTTGATTCCCACCCGGCACTCCACAGGCTTTCGCAGAAAACCTTCCCGCGTGTCAAACTAGGTCACGAAGTTAGTTCGTGTGAGAGGGCTGGCATGGAAGGAACGCACCACTTTATCCGGGTCGGCCAGGACGAATTCGTAGCGCCGGAGAACAGAGGAGATGATAATTAATAGCTCCATGGACGCAAGGTTACGTCCCACACATGCTCTGAGGGTTAGATGGTCAACATCAGCAGGTCAGTGATTACGTGGCATTAAACATATGTACCTGGGCCCATAGGAAAACGGATTGAAGGTTTTTTGCAGAGTGGCATGATCACGCTCAAACCACCTCTCTGGACGGAATACATCCGCGTCTTCTCCCCACACTCTGGTGTTCCTATGAATCGTGTAACTTGGGACGCTCAAAACAGCGCCCTGTGGGAAATGAATGCCTTGGATGGTCAAACCTCCTTCGGGAACTACACGAGGAAGACCCAGGGAAGATGTCGAATGAATACGCAAGGCTTCATTGATAACAGCTTCCAGATAAGGTAGATGTTTGACCTGTTCATATGTCGAAACGTATTCATCTTCGCTGCCGAGGGCATCGTCAAGCTCTTTCTGGAGCTTATGTTGTACATGAGATTGGCAGCAAGGTAATATGTGATAGCACATGACGAGCTGAGATGAATGAAGATGATGATCGACCCTGATTAGCTGGAAGACTTACTTAGAAGTAGTGTCGGAACCGGCAATAAGCTGAGTGAGGGCCTCTGCGGTGAGCTCTTCTTTGCCCATGAGATTTCCTTCATCATCGCGTCCCTCTTGCAGCTTACTCAAGAGATCGACGCGGTCCGTTGGAGTGGTGAAACGTTTGGCGACAGCAGCGACTGCGAGACCAGCCAAATTCTTGACAGCTATTCCACCTTTGCGGTACCAGGGAAGCAGAAGAACCCAGCGTCGCCACGCGGGAGGTAGAACGCCCATAGAAGCCGAGAACTCCCCCCGATCGTTAAGAATCTGAACGGCAGGGATATCGACATATGCACACTCATTCTGTGATCCGTAGGAGTTCATTGCATCTTTCTGTGAAATAGCAACAGGTGCAGAGTCCTTAGCGTTCAGGACCATTCCGAACGGCGATCCGAATGCCAAGTCGCCGATGATATCGAACGCCAGATAGTTGTACCCTGACATAACATAAGTCAATGCTATTGGAAATTGAGACGCAGCAGCTACTTACATGGAAGGCAGTCAAGCCACAAACGGCCTCCCTTGCCAAACCAACCACCCTCTCCCTCGGTTCCAGATTGGTTTTTCAGGGCTTCATCGGATAAACGGTCCCACTGGTTCATGAACTGGCCGACATAGAGACGGACAGAAGGCTCGAACTCCAACACATTCTTTTGCGAAAAGACGTGAGCGACAATCTTGCGCTTACGGGAATGGTCAGCGCGGTCCCTAGTGTTGAATAAACCACGGTGAATGGAGACGAAGGCGTCATAAAAGTTGGATTTCAGGCTGCCGCTGCCATGGGCATATACAATTTGCAGTGCGTCCGGGTCGGCAATAGAGATGTGATTTGGTGCAAGACGCACGAAGGTTCCTATAGACAGGAAGATGGGTTAAAACTCATGTGGCTCGAGTGGTCAGATGCACATACCATATTTGTTATGCAACTGATGTACAACGTCTGAGCGATGACCTTGACTCGCTACCCAGCCTAGCCAGATATCTGAAAAGCGGGCAAGGAATGGTCCCGGTATGCTCCGTTGATTGTAAGGATCCCTGAGATAAGGAATTACATAGGCCAACAAGATGGGTACTGGTATCAGCAGGAGAGCCGAAAGGTAGTTGAGGTCTTCCAACTGAAGGGGCACGAGGTATTTGATAGCGTTAAGTAGACTGGACGACATTTCCGACTGTGAACTTAGAACTGAACAAGTGACGGAGCAAAGTTGAGGAGGTTTGGATAAAGGACCCTATATAATATATTTGCACTTGTGAATGAAGTTTGATGAGTCTTATATCATATTCCACGCGCCAGCACAACTGTCATAACACCATATAGAGAGAAAGTTTAAATGGTATACCGTACTCGTCGTTGCCAGATACCTCCTTTAACACATTCGCTACGTAGCGCAAAGTCGTGTCACTAATTATAATGACTATGCAAAACACCATATGTTATGTTCTTACATTGCACTGCAGCTGAATAATCAATATCAGTGAGAGTGAGGGCCGGCCATGGGATCCGATTAAATATAATGACCGTACTTACCGGATCTTAGAAGTTGCGGTAGCGAGAGCCGAGTATGAACTCTAGCAAGGCTCTCCCCCGAGCAGTGCAAACCAACATATTATTGATCCCGATATCATGATGTGACTCTCAGCGAGCAGAATAGATTATGTAAATTTCAGAACATCGGCAATCACTCAAGTACCCAAATACCAATACTTAATCCAATCCAGGATAATCCAAGTAAGCTCTCAGGTGACAGTACTTACTATTATCTCCGAGTCATATATAAACTCGGTGTTGAGAATCCAGTTGCTAGCAACTCTTCGCTATCATTCCTGGCTTTTTGCCACTGTCACCTCCAGCTTGGTTGTATGTACGTCCTCAAGCTTGTGTGAAAACTCAAGTGATAAAATCAAATATCCTAAAGTGGTACTAGATAGTCCCACAAGCCTGTGTATCAAGAGTTCGCGCATTGACCCTAGCACACACAATTCTGCACGGAATCCTTATGTATGTTGCATTTAGGTTCCCCCCAACATAATACACAGTGCCATATTTTTTTGGAAGAAAATAGAAGTAGATATTGCTCCATGGCCAACTTATTGATGCTGGAGACTGTGCCCCTTACTGTCATATCCCATATGCCAGACATAGATCCCATCATATTCCCATGCTTTCTGGACCTGTTTCCAGACCCCATATCCGACTCATTCCTGGATCCCCTATCCTGTCCACCCTACGCACATTCTGTCCAGCAAGACATCTGGACTTTACCTCCTCTCAGATTCTGGACTACATCTACCACCTCACATATCTCAGTCCTGTTTCTGCCATGCCTTCTGGATCCCCAGATCTCAGGACCTATTCCCACCCTCCGTCTGAGATCCTGCACCTATCCCCATTTAGGCATCTCCCCCTTTCCAGTTCTCGGTTATCTCTGTTTCTGTCTTGCTGATTGATCCTTGTACTAGTTTCATCTCTGAGTTCATTTAGTTATGTTCCATCTTACTTACCAATGTGTTTCCACATGCTCGTACATAGCCTTACTCCTTTGCTTACTGATCCTCTCAGATAGCCTCTAGTATATACAGTGGCTCAAAAAACTGTCCGCATGTTTTGACATTTTTCACTATCTATGATATTGTGTGAGAACGAACAAATGCCTCAAGGACATGCTTATAGCACATTGTAGTATGGCTTCAGGGCTTTCATTTGAGCCCTACACCGTGGGAATCTGTGGAGATATGGTGGAGATACAAGGCTCACAAAATGGTGACTCATGCGGACAGTTTTTTGAGCACATATTAAAACTATATAAATCATCATTTATGACACCATAACAATCATGCCACCATTAAATAAATTATAAAGTGGTGTCATTATGTCATTTTAAAACCATATCTAACTATACAAACCAAAAATTTCCATATGTCATGGTTATATTCACCATGAAAGCCACCCCTCCTGCTCAAAGGGATAATATCCTCTCTCTTTCCTATTCTGGCCTCTCTGCTTGTCAAATTTCCTCTAGAACTGGAGTATCCAAGTCCACTGTGGCCAAGTTCATCAAAGAAAGTCACACAGACAAGGAAAACTTCTGTGAAGGGCGTCCATCCAAGCTCACCTCTACTGATAGGAGGGCTATTATTCAACATATCACTACAGGAAAGGCTGATAATGCTGTCCAGGTCACCTATTACATCAATTCCACCATCACATTCCCTGTCTCTTCACACACTGTGAGAAACATTCTCAAGACAGCTCATCTCAGGTCAGTAACAAGGAAGAAAAGGCTTTCCTCTCTATCACACATAAACAGAGATGACTAACCTTTGCCTTAGCCCATCAGAATTGGATTACATGGACTGGAAGCATGTTATATGATCATATAAGACCACAATAAATAGGATTGGGTCAGATGGCAAGGTATATATGTGAAAAAAGAAGGGTGCTAGTCCTCTCTGCATATGTGTAATAGAGAGGAGAGCCTTTTCTTCCTTGTTACTGACCTGAGATGAGCTGTCTTGAGAATGTTTCTCACAGTGTGTGAAGAGACAGGGAATGTGATGGTGGAATTGATGTAATAGGTGACCTGGACAGCATTATCAGCCTTTCCTGTAGTGATATGTTGAATAATAGCCCTCCTATCAGTAGAGGTGAGCTTGGATGGACGCCCTTCACAGAAGTTTTCCTTGTCTGTGTGACTTTCTTTGATGAACTTGGCCACAGTGGACTTGGATACTCCAGTTCTAGAGGAAATTTGACAAGCAGAGAGGCCAGAATAGGAAAGAGAGAGGATATTATCCCTTTGAGCAGGAGGGGTGGCTTTCATGGTGAATATAACCATGACATATGGAAATTTTTGGTTTGTATAGTTAGATATGGTTTTAAAATGACATAATGACACCACTTTATAATTTATTTAATGGTGGCATGATTGTTATGGTGTCATAAATGATGATTTATATAGTTTTAATATGTGCTCAAAAAACTGTCCGCATGAGTCACCATTTTGTGAGCCTTGTATCTCCACCATATCTCCACAGATTCCCACGGTGTAGGGCTCAAATGAAAGCCCTGAAGCCATACTACAATGTGCTATAAGCATGTCCTTGAGGCATTTGTTCGTTCTCACACAATATCATAGATAGTGAAAAATGTCAAAACATGCGGACAGTTTTTTGAGCCACTGTAGGACTTTAGACTTGTAGTGATTATGATTAATCTATGTGATGACTTTGATTCATCTCTCAAAGTGAACGAAGTGTCACTTTGACCAACTTCAGTACAATGAAGTTAACCGAAGTCACACATTTTCAAAGCAAAGCAAAGTTACTTCAAAGTCACTTCACTTCAACAGCAACACTACTAATAAGTAACATTTATGGTGACACACAGGTGGATTGAGCACAAGGAAAGAATGGTGTGAACACTAGGTGGAGTGTGAAAAGGCATTGTGGCAGACGTGTGACAGTGTGACAAAGTGTGTGAACCAAGCTAAGGAAAATGCACTTTTCTGCATGGTAACTGTCTGCCAGACTCAACATGTCAAAGAATTTCAGAAAATCACAGATGTTGGACTTTCAATGTCAGGCTATTGAACTGTCAAAGAATTAAAATTTTATGTTTGTGTGTTGTGGAGTAATAGATGTCACCCCCAAAATGCACACACTCTAGTGGACTAGGGGTTAGCATTGCCAACTTGTGACCATGCAGAGCGATTCACACTTTGTTGTTTCCTGTTGGGCTGTTGCTCCCACAATTGTCTTTTTTTTCATCAGTCTTTGACATGGCACAGAGCAAGGTCAGATTGCACAATATAAATACAGATCATTTGTAAGAACAGTGAAATTTTTATTAAGCTTCAGACAACTTGGATGAACTCACTTCTTCATTATGACATGCTCTTTTTGATACAGGTTGTCCTGATAACTCTGTGTCTCCACCTGGATGCGCGCATTTGTAGTTTGATGGGACATGAATTGGACCAAGTTTGAGTATTGTTACTTTTTCTGCTGCAGCTTGGAAGCTATTGAATTCTTTAATGTACCAGTGTTGGATGTGGAATTGAACTTCAATGATAACTCTGTTCAGAATCTCATTGGCATGTTCAGGTTGTACTAGGTGGTCGTTGTGGTAGAGGGGAAGTGGATGTGCTGCGAACTTGTATTTAATGGCATCGAAATCTTTAGCAAAATTGTCCAAAATTGGCCAGTTTTTAGTTTCTTCATCCATCTCTGGTGCGTTCTCTGCTCTTTGTCCATGGGGAGAGTCAGGAAGCAATTCATCCTGTAGATTACTTTAAACACAAATGTGCGTGGTTAGAGCATGATGGTCGCACCCGAGAGACATCAGATGACTGGGTTCATTGTTTACTCCTTAGCTATCCGTGAGAACGCTATATTCCGGATTTCGTTATGACGTTTGTTTGCTTGGTGTCTCGGGTTTTCCTTCTTGCTATAATAGGTGTTTATTTGTCACTATTTTGAATCCACATATCACGCTACATTGTAGTTGACCGTGCTCCGCACGGTAATATCTAGTACCGCCGGTTACGCGGTCAACCGATAGTACTTATTCGACGTTTTTTAAGCGCATGCAAGTTGTCCACTAATCAGAATGTACATGCATGGTCGAAAACCGGCCGTTTTGGAGGTGTTATTCTAGACAGCTAAGCTCCTTCATTGATTAACGACAATCAGACTACTGCCCATGTCATATGATATGACATCCCAAAATCCAACTCAGATATAGCTGTACTTACATCGGGCCAGCAGGTACAGTGATCATTTCAATTTGAGTTTGAACTTATATGCGTGGGTACTAGAACCTTGATCGAGTCGAACGAGTCGATCCGGGTCCTGTTTTTGACAGTTGAGCGCCTTCAATGATAGTCAGATCTACGCGACCACTGCTCGACAAGTTACAACAACGTCTTTTTTACCTTGTTTATCTAGCCCAGACTAGCCCAGATCACAAGCTGCTCGCCAGACAACGACCAATTCAAGGCCAAGGTCAAAGGTCGCAATGTTCATGATGGCACTTGGTCATGCACTAACGTGCTTGTCACGGTATAGGCGCCAGCCTCACGTCATGTAAACGACACGCCTAAGCGTGGCCCTAGACTTCGAAGACGTCCCTGCCCAGTATAGGTGAGAAGCAAGCGTTTTATGACCGTGCTTGCAGGACAGCCCTCAGTCTAATTTCTCTCTTTCCCTTCTCTCCCTAATATCAACGTTTGTTCGCTAGGAGTGTCGTCCCCCATGTTTCATTCTGTCTCATTCGTGGCACTGTCTTTGGTCCTGTCAGGCTATGCTCAAAGTCCTACGTATTCGGCAACTTATTTGCCTTCAAACGCTCCATATCAGAGCGAGCAAGGGCAGGCAGGCTACAACAACTGCACTACTGGCTACAATCAGGCGTCGGAGTGCCAGAATGCTTATAGTGCGCCACCAATTGCTGATAAGCATCCTTAACCTTTACTTAGCATGTCGCCAGTCAACACTGTTCAGGATTGGTGTGTCTGGGCGCCTCCTCAGCCAGGCCCTGACTCGGTCATCGGGAACACCGAGGTACATACCTTCACTTCTTTGTTCAGTGACCGCGAAGAAACAACGTGTAATCCCCGCAGCAAATCGAAGTAGCATGGTGCATGCAGGTGATTTGCCACTATATTTAGTCTTCCAAACGATCTAGTAATCTTCTCTCAGAGTGGATACGGAACACGACTGATCCCGGACGGCTCCATCACTGGTGCGCACGTCGTGGTCACTCCAGACTACATTCAGGTCACAGGTGGGCACATTTTATAGTACAGGCGAAGCATCCACAACTCCATCGTGAACCTAGGTGTTGGAAATCTCACGAACATCAACATTCCCGCCGGCGACGCTGGCGGCGAGCTTGACCCCCACGGTGCAGATGGCAACGGCAATCCTGTCGGTGGCCTCGTGTTCTCTAGCGCATTCGGCGCGTTGGAGCAAATTCACGAGTGGACGGTAATTTACCGATCGCTCGGACAGACCGCCACAGCGTCCTGATTAAGTTCTTACTTTACGCACCCAGAATTTTGTGGCAGTTGATCAGTTCTGCTTCCGCGCTTGCAAGCCCGCGGTGAATGCGCCGACAATGTGCCAGCATATCTATGACGTCATGGGGTGCGAGTGGAATATGCCTGGTAATTATTCTCCGGGGGTGTTTGAGCAGTGTTTGGGTGACTCGGCTGAGGTTAGTGTCAGCTGCCTCTATGCATATTTCTTTAGTTAATCATTTATGAAGCCTATGGGCGTCTATGGGACGTCCACATTTTACCAAGGGGAGCCTGTCACGCCACCTGCGCATCCAATACCCTCTTCTTCCAGCTGCACCTTCTTTAGCACAATCAGTAACGGTCAGGGTGTTTTGATCGGAGGGATCACATCCACATCCAGCACGCCAACATCAACTGTGGGTATTAATCACACTTCCCACTATCATCACTCGTGCTTCAGGCACAATCATAGTGATTTTTGTACTTCTTCTGCGACGAGTATCGCTTCTTCAAATGTTCTAGCGTCTGTGACGCCCACTTCAATTTCACCGAACTTTTCAAGTTCCATGCTTTTCTCGTCGAGTTCTGCGAGTGCACACTCATCCTCTCTTCCGAACTCCTTGTTCCTTCCAACGACTTCTTCATCCCTTCAAACTTCGCCGTCGTTGTCTATAAATTCTTCATTCCTCTCCTCTCCTCCTCCTCCTGTCCTATCTTTTCTCCTCCTCCCCTTCCTCCCTCTCCGCGCCTACTCTTGCATCTTCCTCCGCGTCGCAATCGTCCTCAATCTTAGGTGGTCAGAATAACTCACAGCAATGTCCTCTTTTTGTACAGGGTGCAGCCAAATCCGGATCAGTCCTTAGCAGGAACGGGCGCGCCAAAATCGACAGGCTCTTCAGCTGCCCTACTGACGGCATCTCCTATAGGCTGTCAACACCTGACTATCATTTTTTCGACAATTATGATAGGGTTCTCGATGGGCGCCATTATGGCTTTTTAGAAAATTTGCTTATTGACACTGCAATCACACTGAACCATTGCGAGCTTTTGGATTGGCTATGTCAGTTGCGCAGCTCACCTTCATCATTCCCTTGTTTTACTTATCGTCTATCACTTCATATGAGCGAGCCAAAATGCGTGGCCATTAGGATACATCACTACTACTCGGTTTTGGGATCCTGTAAGAATACGTAGACTTTTTTGTTGTGTCACAAGGAGTCTTTCTTTAGAACTATCACTGCAATGAAACTTTTACAGAGGCTCGATGTCTGGGACTGGGCCAGCGGCAACTACCCTGGAGGGGTTTACCTGCTATGTGTGAATATGGGTGCGCTAAAGAACCTACAGCACAACGCACCATTGTCTGGGACCAGTAGTAATGCTCTTTGATGTGATCGAACTTGGTGCTCAACCTGAAAGCATCGTTGTTCCAGTACAACTTCCTCATCCAGCTATGGAACATGAGTCTGTCAAGCATCCTACAAAGATGTGTGACACCTCACAGATAGATGTTAGGGTACCCATGACGGATGTCGCGCAAGTTGCATTTGAAGTGGCCAACGTACACGGGGTCAAAGCGGATCTAAAGCAAGATAAGAGGTTTAGAGCAGGATGGGTGCGTTTAAGATCGAACGTACAGTGGTGACGAATAACCTAATGTCCGCTTCGGTGAGGGTGTCGCCCACAAGGTAATCCTTGCCTTTGAGCATCTCCTCGAGTCGGTCGAGGGATTTGAATAGGGGATAAACGGCGTTCTCATACGCGGACTGGGATTGCGCAAACCCAGATTTGTACACGCCATCTGCAGCACACGATGCCGTCAAGACAAGCCTCACCCACAGACTCAGACGTACTGTTCACGGTATCATACACCCACTCGTTGATACTGTCGATCTCTTGACGGTGTGCCTCAGGATAAATATCAATCGCCCCTTTGTCAGCAGGAAGCAAGTGATTAAAGGCGGTATTGAATATGCGAATGATTTCAGAGCTTTCGTTGTTGACAACAGTGTCGAGCTTCTTGTCCCACAGCACCGGGACCGTAAATCTGATCACAATATAGCAAGTAGTACCAGATGAAGGGGAATAGACATGCCTTCCACCATAGTTCGGATCAGCAAGAAGGTAAAGATCTTTGACATGCTGGAAATTTGGGTGTTCTGGGTCGTTATCTGCATCCGCCCAACTCGGATCTGCATTCTTGAACGGCCAGCCTTGCGCACCCATGTGAGGGGACACTGCAGAAAAAGCTGCAAAAAGGTAGCATAAACTCGTGAAATGCACAAAATTGGTGAGGACTGACGGATGAAATCCTCGAGTCCTTTCAGTTTCCGGGCGATAAGGGTTCTCGTAGCCCAAGCTGAGGAATATCCAGTCAAGATGAGACTGCATGATATCATAATACTATCACTGACGGCATGAATAAGATACATAGAGATGGTATCTTCCTGTATGTTGACTGAGCTTGTCAACAAGATGTATATGTTTTCGTCATTTACCTTTCTCCGGCGGGAATTTGCCATCGTTCTTGATGAAGTTCCTGAAGCTTGATGGAGATCTTTTGAAGGACCCGTCTGAATCCGTCTTCAATTTACTGATATCACTCTGGCCCGATACATCTCTTGTAGAGGTCATGGTTCGTATGCGGTAGAGCAATAAATGAGATGATGGTCGTGGGGAAGAACCTCCCACATTCAGGGGTTTGGAGTGGTTTATAAGCTTCAAAAGCCTAGAGCCATACATGGAAAGTCGATTGCGCAAGGAAGTAAGCAACCTGGCTTATATACCAGAGTGCATGACGGGGCCGGTGACCTGTCACCACTCCGAAATTGTTCGGCTCCTACAACAAGGTACTTACTTCAGCGGCTCGTTCACCACTGAGGACCTTACATAATAAATCCATTGGTATTTTCGCTCTTTTTCTTGTAAACGAGGTGCAAAGTATTACAGTTAATATGCACTCCTTCTAATACATTGGTAGCACATAGAGCGGTCCACTATGTTCTATTGGATGTATTCTAGCTATGAATGATATATGCTAGCCCACTGCACGGGGAGGAGCAGGCTTGGGTGTTGATATTGTGTTAGGTAATTACTAATCTCCACTGACTCCGGTGTTACTCACCGATTATCATAGCCGATGAGGTTTCCGAGGTCTTTGTATTACGTTCTTACGTTACACTGTTACACACTCGGTCGGCCATGTAAAAGACGTGATCCCAGCACAAAAAGACGACATGATGATCTGTAATAAGGCTATGCAGCACTGTCGCAGGTTGGTGGCCTTAGGTGGTGCGACTCGGATATGAACATACTTACGCTGAAGCTGCGAGTGAGCTTCTAAAAGGTGATCACTATCATACTGGCAGAAAGTTCACGTCCTACAAGTCCGTGAAATATCGATCTTTGTTGACTTACAAGCACAAACCTATTAGAATAGCAGCTTAATCCGCACTAACCAGAGAAGGTTGTCGAGACGAGTCAGCAGGTCGCGGAAGATTACCTTTTCTGGCAAATTTTTGGTATGTTTCTATCGTCCACAACATTGCGTCGGTCATCGTGAATTTCTGCTGATTGATGGTAAAGCATTCATGGTAAGCCGCTACCGAGGCGAATTATCGAAACAAGTGCGCAATGCGAAAGCCCAACTAACTTTTCAAGATATGCTTATTGCTCTACGTGCCCGCCATCCCGACGACGCCCACATGATCACGGATTTTCGCGATTTCACTGGCTGTCAACCCTCCCTTGCTTGCCCGGAGGAAGTCCTCAAAAGCGATGAGCGCATCACTATCGTTACTAAATTCTGTTCTGATGATAATATATGTTTGAGTACGATCTGTGTATACACAATCATTTGGCTCACCTCAAGAAAGAGTACAGACGATCCCAAAATGGTGGCTCGGAGATAACAGTCTGATAACTTGACCGCGCTGCACGCGATATTGAAGCGGTGGGTATCAGAGATGTATCAAGAGTCAGATCAATGTCGTGAGGTTTGCCCTCCGGCTCGAGAGACACGATTGATGGCGATGGCGACAATACGATGGAGGGCGTGCGTGTATGTCTATGTCCTGTTGCTAGTCTCGGTTGCGGTGTTTGTATTTCGGGAAGATTGGAAGGTTTCATCTTTACTGGTGAAGTGCTGGACGGGAATGGAGATTTAGTAGGATCCCACTCGAACCCGGGTTTAAGCATTAAATTTATAGTGTCTCCTTCTTTAACGCCGTATTCCCTGAGGAGCTTTGCGTCAGCAAGTGCCTTTCCTTTGAGTAAAAGCCGCTGTGCTTCTGCGGGCGGTGCGTTCGGTTGAGAGGCAAGCAAGGCTTTAACTTCGGATACGGTATCTGTTGGCTGCACGGCAAGCGTGAACGACTGCGGAGGCTTTGTTGACTTGAACGTAATGCTGATTGATGCGGCTAGCGTTCTCTGGTTAGATGACCATCAGTGACAACGTGGAGATGACATCTACCTGGCGGTGTAGAAGGCTCTCCTTTACGTTCTGGAACAGGGGGAAGCTCAACCTGAAACAAGTCTCGTGTAAGAACATGCCATGAAACACGATCCTCGAGTCTAACACGCACCGGTAAGATAGGGACTTTCTTTAGTGAATTTTGTGGGGGCTGGTTGTAGTCGTCACTGTACACAATCGGCTGTGCTCCGATGACTTTCACGAAGCTCCTGACAAAGACCAATTCTGCTTGATCAGCCATTGTTCTTATCGTTGTATGGATTGAGACAAAGAGCAGCTGTTTTCAACTTTGGGATGTTATGTGGCGGTGCAATAATGGAGTTTGTGACTGCTGTCTGTCACGTAGTGCTTGTGACCGTGACCCGGAATCCACTCGAGTCACACTCGCTTCTCCTCCACAAGTTCGATGGCGGTATGTGTCTCGTCTGCTGATGACAAGCTTTTTCTCTAACGTTTTATTTGCATACAGTCAGGTTTCAGTTACACTGGAGGTGCGCATGATTCGCAGTCAGTTATGTTGAATGCTGAACAATGTGTTTAGGCCGCTCGCGGTGTTTTGCCTACTGGCAGGAATTCTCGAAAGTAATACCCGAGAGTACCCGTTCTTGAAATTGACTTCTTACAGTTAATATCCACAGTGCTACGCTGAAACCGACGCGCCTAGTCAATGTCGTATGCAGGCGGATGATTACCTAGAGTGCCTCCACCACACGAAAGAGGTGAGTATTCCTGCTGTCTGCCGTATTTTGACTCATGTTCTTTTTATGCAGATTGCGCGTGCAAAGGCTGTGAAGGCCGAATTTATTAAACAAGCAGAACATCATGCCAAAGAAGGTCGTAAAGTGGCTGATGTTCTCGCAGACGGTGTGATTGTCGGAGTGGGGTTGATACAACGAGACCAAGGCGGGGAAGGCAAGCACAAGTAGTGTACTAAAATACCCTTTGTCGCTGGTTCGACTTGCACAGCGCTGTTCCATCCTTCCGCATTTTTAGCTGCCTTGCGGCTGTCTGACGGAGCTCCAAGCCGATCAGTTACTGTAATGCGAATGGAAGTCACGTTTTCGGAGGTCCTGCTTGCGGCTTACTGTAGTGATTATGATATTCCAAACAACGTGTTTCTTGCATGTTACCTGCATTTTGTGCTCGCCGTTGAGCTTGTGCATCCCTCAGTAGCGGACTTTAAACGAACCCATGAGATCGACTTTCAGAACGTTTCTTAGTTCGATACATCTTGGTTCCCGACCACCAAACAATTCATCTACCTTTCAGGCCACCGACTGTGGCATGGTCACTCAAGGTGTCGGTTCTATCAGTTCTCCCATCGTCATCTCAGACGATGAGGACGAAGCTATGATAGACCTTCAGCTGCGAGTTGATTCGGATTCTGTGGACAGTGACCAGAATGATCAACCGCGTACTCCACCAGATGATAATTCAGAGGAGCTTTCCACGGCAAGCAAGGGCTACGCTATGGCCCTGAATATGGGCTATTGCCCAGGCCGCGGTCTAGGACGCGGCCTCGACGGTGAGTGCCGTTGTAGCGTGCGTCCTTCACTCATCCAGATGGTCTTCGCTCTAGGTCGAGTGGAGCCTGTGTGTCTTGAGGTTGGTCAGAAACGCAAACGGGTGGACAGTGGTATTGGATTCCAGCGATCCCAGCTTTACGCGACTGGCTGGCCACCGAGGAAAGGTGATGGTAAGCTAAACAAGAAATGGAGAAAGGAACAGCATACGTTTGGAGCTCCACAGCGAAGTTCTGGGTCCCAGCAGCATTGCACGTTGCAACCCAAATCGCTCGTCATCCCGACTGGCCCTGCGAATATCAGCCAAGGGCCTTGGGTAGCGCTTGCTTCAAGTAGGAAAGGCAAAGAACGGGAACGCCCTACAGCCCCGTTGCCTCCGAAGCCATCACAAAGCCCGGTGCGGCTGCCTGCACTTCCTCAAGGTCCTAGGTCGAACCTTCCGTACAGTCCTCCGTTGCCTGCCGCGTGTCCCCCTAAAGGACCTCGTAGCTGGCTCGCGTCTCAAGCTCAAGCTCGGTCCCCGACCCTGGCTCCTCAAACTCCACCTATCGCACCACGGACACTGCCCACTGCGCCACGGGCCATGCAGCAACAGCAGCAGCAACTTGCGAGCAATGGATATGCCGGGCCTTCCACTATTGCATCTCCTGTACCGCAGCCTGGTCATCCCCAGATACAAACACAGCCAGCTAACAGCTATGCTGACGGGCAGCCTACAGCTCTCCCGCCTACCCCACAATCTGCGTTTCCGCAAATGCAGCAGCAACAGTCGCAGGGCGCCATGTACAATCCCGCATTCGCAGGCGCTCCGGTTCCATATTATACTGGAGCAGAACCGTCCGAGCCGTGGCACACGCAGTATGGGATGATGACTGTTGCACCACCTCTGCCTCTACCCACCTATGTCATAGCGTATCCTGACTATTCGAATCCGGGAGCATATACATACGTACCTGTCCCGACTGCTCCCGCTGGATATGCACCAGCATCAGCACCTGCTCCTGTCGATCCATATGCCGCCGCCGCAGCTGGAGGTGCTACAGTTTTGACATCATCCAGTGGGGTTACTCCTGTGGCTGATGATGTGTCTACAACTGCCGATGCATCTATGGTTGCTGCTGGTGTCAGTCAGTCCAACGGATATCAGGTCATATCAGCCACCGATCCCGACTATGACCACGATCGCTCGGACTCTTCAACGCCTGAGCCACCTTCCCCAAGAAGCTGCTCGCGGAGCGGGTGCGAAAGCCAAAGCTCCTCCACATCGGGCATGCACCGGAGGTGGACCCAAACAGTAAGACGGGGACGTATGCGAAGTGCCTCGCCTCGCAGCCGAACCCCTCATGTACACTTGTGCTAGATAGCATCCCGACACGGTTCCGTAACCCGTCGTGGGTGCACAAGTGGGCGGTGAATGCAGGGGAAGCAGAGCCAGTGTGCATTGATGTGGATACGAAGAACGGGAAGTCGTTGGTGGAATTTGTGGATTCTGCGTCTGCGCGGAGGGCATTTCAGAGTAAGCAACTAAAGGGGAAGGGGAAGCATGCGATTCGGGCGTGGTGGTATAGGGTTACGGGGGTGGGCTCTAACGCTGGCGTTGGCGAGATCGAGGAGGGCGAAGTGGAGGATGGGAGCAGAAAGATAAACGAGCCGATTGCTCAGTTGAGCAAGAAGCAAAAGAAGAAGCTGCAGCGGAAGCAGCTAGTTGAGTCGAATCCTCAGGCAGGTTCGAGTGGCGCACAAGTTGCAGCCAGTGGAAATACCACTGTCGACGAACAAGGACGCGTACCATCTACTGAGCGGGAAGAGGCATCCATCGATGTGCCAGCCCCTCGTGGACGCCGGTTCTCGTTCGATGATTTTTCTGTGCGTTTTGAGGTGTCTAGTGGCTCGCAGGATGATGTTGGGGTCGGTCATTTTATCCAAGAGGACGATGACGAGGATCATTTGTCCATTGCATCTTCGCGGCCACACTCCACTCAGCTCGTCATATCTCACGACGACCGAGGGGAGGATGTGGAAATGTCCTTGCCAGTAGTGGCGAGCGGCATGCCCGGCGGTTTGCTATCAGCAAGTGAAGTGTCTAGAGATAAAAGTGCGACGGTGGACCCTATGGATGTGAACTTGGATTCTGCAGTGGTTTTTGTTTCAACGGACAATGGTCCACTTCCTGCGTTGAATTCAGAGGCCGCACGTTCTCAACAACATGATAAAAAGCCTGCAGAGGTCTCAACGACTGCCTCGTCGATACCTCCCGAGCCGCAACCTGTCTGCTCCGATTCCACTTTACATTCTAACCTATCATCGTCTCTCTTGTCTACAGAAGCGCCTCCCGGCAAATCAGTAGAACATTCACACTCAGCCAAGGTCGTGTCACTCGCACCCCAAAAGGAACTCGAGGAAAATATTGAATTTAGTGCATCTACACAAAATATGGAAATTTTCGACATGGTCAATCCTCTCGCATCTACTTCCACTGATTCCAGTTCCCCCTCACAACTACCAGTACCTTTGCCACGCGAAACATCGGCATACGAACCGTCGGCGGACAAGATTGCACATGAAATGAACTTGCGAAGGCTCGTTCATGAAAGTAAGCAGAACAAGGCGAATGCTCGTGGCGTAACGTCCTCCTCTTCCATGTTCACTGATCCTGCCACACTTCCCCCTACCCCATCTGCTGTCAACGGTGATGTTGCCCTTGCGCAACCCAGTCCCACCGTTTCGTCAGCAACGTTTGTTCTGCCTTTTTTAGAATTTTATTGACACTGATTTTCGACTAGGAGCTTGGAAGAACTTGCTGTCACGTTCATTTCCGAAACAATAGACAGCATCAAACCGACGGTGCTCAAACCCGCGGCACCCTTAAATACACGACAGGAGATGTTTCAGAAGCAGCTGAAGCTTGAACAATACATTGCACGAAGCAAGGAACTTATTGCGGAGCTTAGCCAGGCGCAGAGCAAGGAGGAGAAAGAAAATATCATGTGCGCTGTTCGTGAGTGGAGCAGGTATGTGAAGATCGAACCTTAGGGGCAATGTGGGCAGAGCTAAGCTGCGATGCAGATTGATGGAGATGGATTCGGTGGGTGTGCCGAGTAAGGCGCCGGCTGTAACAACTAGGTTTTGTTGGCCTTCGTGCGAGGAAACGGTGTTAGTCATCAGTGATGATGAAGACGAGGAGTGAGAAGGTTGGCCATCGTTTGACAGGTTTGGTAGGTATGTCAGCTTTTCCATTCGTTCAGCATATGTCGGGTTGAGTGATATCACTGGGGACTTGGATACATTGTATACTTAATGACATGAAGTTTGTTCATCAAGTAATCTTGAAATTATATTTAAAATCTGAACTCCCGCATCGAGGCAAGCAAGCTGTTATCTGGTTAAGCGGTCTCGAACGAGGCGTCAATCAAAGGGCTGAGAGTGGTGAGCACAATTTATAGCCCGTTTTAAATTTACTCGACCAGATTTGCAACTTGAAGCCTGCCTCAGTGGTCCACAAGAGCACTATACATAGCATGCTTAGAAATCGGGAAGCTCAAAAACAAAGCTGCTGGGAAGACATTCTTGGACTTTTAACATAGCGCGTTGCCTGAGGTCAATTATTCTGAAAGCAGCTGGGCTGTAGTAGCTGACCAGTATAGCCTACACGGTAACTACCCATATCGATATTCACATGCTCACTCTAATGTTATAGGCAGCGAAAAATGTCTTTTCGCACTACAGACTGTCCAGTCAAAACCCATGCTCGTTAAGTCGAGTTGACAAGACCGGAATTCAACGGAACTTTGGGCTTTATCCGTTAAATAGACGGTTATCATAAATCTAGAATATGACGAATTCGAAAGATACGCGCTGCTTTTGTCAGCGACCGGACCAAACAGGATACAAACATCATAAATAGCCACGATCTCCTGGTCTTGTTACTTGCCCTTCTACCACCACCGCATCCCCGCTCATTGTCGTACAAACTCATCTGTAAGTCCTCTTCTAGTTTTTAAGGGAAATTTATCTTGCTCACTATCTATGTCTTGTTCATATTCCATTACCTTCGTATCGTATGCAATGATTCTGCGTCTGTGCCCACGACTTAATCATATCGTCTGATTATGTGCGATTCCGGTCGATCTCTCGGCGATTCGTTCTGGCTTGTTAATGCAGTCTCGAATCTTGTATAACAACTCGCTGCCATGGCCTTGAAGCGCATTAACAAGGTCCGTTTGTTGCTACTTGTGTTCCTGTGGCGATGCTCGCGCTCAATTCTGACATGTGGCGCACAGGAATTGATTGATCTCGGACGTGACCCACCCTCATCGTGCAGTGCAGGCCCTGTAGGCGACAACATGTTCTCATGGCAAGCAACGATCATGGGCCCCGTATGTAGTCTTGCTCTTGATTCTGGTTCAATGCTGATCGAGCGCTCCTGGCATTGCGATAGACTGACTCACCGTATTCGGGCGGGGTCTTCTTCCTTACAATTACGTTCCCAACCGATTACCCCTTCAAGCCACCCAAAGTCAGCTTTAGGACGAAGATTTATCACCCTAACATCAATGCCAATGGATCCATCTGTCTGGATATTTTGAGGGATCAGTGGTCACCAGCTTTGACTATATCAAAAGGTGTGCGAGTATGCTAAATTCTTATTCTTGTGGCCTATATCGTGGTTCATGCAGTGTTACTTTCGATTTGTTCGATGCTGACGGATCCCAATCCCGATGATCCTCTGGTACATGATATCGCCCATCTGTATAAGACTGATCGTACTCGCTACGAAGCAACGGCTCGGGAGTGGACAAGGAAGTACGTATCAACAATATTCAGTATCATCTCATCTCATCTATCTATCGCAGGTACGCCACGTAGTACGGTGTCCTTTTACTTCTCTAAGCGGTACACATGAGTTGTATTGGTTGGCTGTATGAAAGTGCATCAACATCCGTTGTACATCATTGCATGTCTATGTTTTTAGTATCCCCCCTTTCGCTTGTTTGTACCAAATGAACGATGAATCGTCCAGGAATCCGTCTCAGTTTGATACTGTTTTGCTTGTCCATGTCAAGTTGCCCTTCCGCCCTCGAGTTTACTGCTGTTTCTTGTATGCGAGTGATTTCACCAGTATCATATGCCCAAGGGCCGTCCTTGTCGTAGGACTCGTGGCGTGGTGCTTGGCCATGTGGCTGCACTGCCAACAATAACTCGAAACGTGGGTGCGCACTTTAAAATTGTTGTCTTGCAACGGCTTGGCACCAATGGTCAGTAAGAAACGGCATTATCAGTGGTGCTTCCTTCAAACGCTGACTCCGAATGGTTTAGGAGAGCGTCACTAGGGGCGGGAGCTCAACGTTCAACTAGCAACTTGAAACGCTTCGGGATGAGACGTGTTTAGGAAATGTTGTGCCTTCCCGACGATAATCCTTCCTGATGATGTACGGGTGCTATTTCTCAAACTTCCAAGTGCATGCAGGTATCTCAAACACTTGCTACAGAGCTGCCGACTACTTGCAAGAATCTCTTGTCCGATTAGCTACGATGGGCGCCTCTCCGAGTCGGCGAGTCGGTGTTACTCAACGTTACGAGTCAACGTTACTACTAATCCAGCACCGGGTATCACATGCAGCCCAAAAATAGCTCCCGAGCACTGACGACAATATGTGCTGCGTATAGCGCCTCGGCCTCAACGCTTGGCACCCCTGCACAAACACATTCTTCGTAGCTATGTCGAATGTAACCGCGTGTCATAACTCGCGCCTGCGGTCCCTAGTGACTGCATCCGGAGCCAGCTTAGCATATCACGGAAGTTTCTCTCCCGGATTTACACATGCTGACCATACGTCCCCCCTTGGCGCGTAGTAATTGCACGCGACACCCTTTCTGCTACTGATTCGCCAGTGCGTTTAGCCTTGTAATGTAAATTGCAGTGAGTTCGAGTGCCCCTCTCGTGCATCGCAATTTGGTCGTTGGATCGTATATCAGGCATGGGGCCGCGTGTCTATTCGATCTGTCAACACACAAATCTTTCATTCACTCAGCTATTTCCCTGTTCACGTCCGCAGCCATGTATGGAAGCAACCCATTCGCAGCGCAAGATGGATGGAACGCAGGAAACGGTCAGTCCACCTGGAATACCAGCGTGCCCCCGCCGTCCATCTTTGGTGCCCTCCCCTATCCCTCTGTACCCTCAATACTTCCGGGCGCGATCACACTCAAGTTCACGTCGTTGAGTCCTACGATTTTGAACTGCAAGGTGATTGGACCGCGCAACGAGACGTATTTCCGTGTCGTAACAGACGGGGGTCACACCGTCCTGAAGGATGCACAAGGCTCGAATATTGCGCTGTTGGAGTGGCGGGACCGCCCCACAGTAGAGGCGCGTAGTCTGGTCGCGAAACAGCCCATGGGCCAGTGGCTTAGGCTCTCAACGGACAGGAGGTGCGTTTAATTGGTTTTTTGGGGGTTCCTCATTCATGTAAAATCCGGTAGCCATCGATTCATGGTCCACAACGGTGTTGGCTACTCCTGGAGACCCCATGACAGATTTCTGCAGGTAGGTTAGATATTTTCTACCACACAACCATAGCTGATTCGGGTGCTGTGCCGCTGACTAGCTATCTATTCCGGGCTCGTATGACGTACTCGCTCGAGTATCGAAGACGTACGATGTTGTGATACTCGAAATGACACCCTATGCGATCCAGCTCGGGCTATTGGAGCTTGGCGTACTAGCTACAATTCTATTACAGTGCGGGAAGAGTATCGACTGAGATGGTGTTTTAGACTGAATGCAGTGGCACATAGATGAGCATAGATGTCGTATAGATGACTAGTACTTAATATTTAGTACTCATAACTTATTTAGAGCACCTGCAAGTTAATATTTATTCCTGTTTAATCGACTCGTTTGTGGCCGACTCCTCCCGGTACTCCAGAAGGAGGTCTAGCGCAGTAACCATTCGGTGCAGCTCTTTCCGGTGCGCGGCGAACCCCTCCGCCATCGCGTTATTGACATGACCCACCAAATCAGTAAGCTGCCCGATTTTGTTTGCCAGCATCTGCAGAGCAGCTGGGACTGGGGCTATCTCATGCACTTCTTCCTCAATCTCTATCGGGCTCGAGCTCAGGCTTTGATGGCGACTCTTCTTTCTGCCCTTGCCTCTATGAGGGGACTCCACCTCGTCCACTGTCCTCTTCTTCTGCTTTGACTTCTCCGCCTCTCCAGGGAATATGCAGGCAATCTTCCGGCGCCTGCAGTTGTCGCATGTAGTGATAGAGCTACTTGCCGCTGAGAATGTACAAGGCATGTCGAACTTGGCCTTGGCGCATCCCGTACATCGGCGCACGCGTTCCGTTCCGGTCTTCTTTTTGTCCACCTCTGCCAACTTCTTCTCCACTGCCCTCCTTTGATTATCTTCCTCGACTTTTGCTTTTGCTCTACTTGCTTTTGCCTCTTCCTCGGCGCGCTGGAGGTCCTCCGCAGCGCGACGGCTCGCCTCCTCTGCCTCTTGTTGCTTCTTCACTGCCAGTGCGGCAGTGGCTCGGAGCTGCTTTAAAACGTTTGTAGTATCGATTGGGGTCGTGAACCCGGTCAGCACAGTCTGCCTAGTGGTGGTGGTAGGAGGAGGAAGAGACATGACGGTAATGAGGGAGAGGGAGAGCGTAGACGAAATACTCAATCATAGATTCATTGTTTGTGCGCACCCTTTGTGCTCAGTTCCGGATTCTATACCTAGGTGTGTCGAAGATTTTTTTTTGGCACGGGAGGAAGGTTCGCAGGCGCATTGCCCAACGCAGACAGACATGTAGCGCGCCAGACTGGCATCACTGCAAACAAACAGTCAGAGTGAATGCTTGTGATATTTAGTCTCCTTGGTTAGTAGCCGTGTCACAAGATCTACGGCGAAGTGCCACTCCCGAGACTTAGTCACTTGAATTGACTGCGACGCCCCATGAGAGACACTAGTACTATCACACCCTTTTAATTTATGTAAGGCTCGTGTGTGTCAGTAGAAGTCGCAGGATTACTAACATCGCTCAGTATGATTACAAAGGCAAAGGGACTGAGGTAGGCACGCACTTGAACGCCCTGTAAGTTTGAACTATCGACTAATTAGACTTGGATGGACAATATTAAACTTGACACCCCATGCGTAGGGCTAACTGTTTAAATTGGCCATCCATGGGTGTATAACGGCATAAACCAGGCTGGTAGTAGGTTAGTTAGGGGTAGAGTGGTCACTGGTGAGTCGTGCAAGTTTTTGGTTGTTCTCGGCTCAGTTGAGTCGCCCGAGCTCGATGGCGCGCATTGATTGAGTTTGAGGCGATACTATTTTCAGGAACATCGTCCACCTAATATTCCAGGAACTTCACCGGCTGCTAACAAGCAGGGCTAAGCAGTCTCTATGGCTAGGAATAGCATTTCATTCCGGCGGAAGAGGTGAAGTCAACCCAAAACAAGTGGACCTGACCTACTAACATATACCAAACCTATGCGGCAAGTACAGCCTTTAAGCGCTCTGTCAGTGAGCGAAATTCAAACAGGTTCTTAGATTTGAACCAGAATCACATCAATATCGTCGAAGAATATCGTGAACGAGCAGTCCCCACTTCAGTCACTGCTTAACTACAATACGGAAAGAAAAGGTATTCACGACAGTTAAATACAACGATAAACGCGAAGAAGTAGTCATCCGACAAAACAGTAAATTCACGAGGTTTGAATTGACCTCATATATCTTTCAAAGAATGTCGTTTGTATGTGGCGTAGCTTGGTAGCCTCGTCAATCGAGGTCAACTTTATTTGTGACTGCGACTGCAACAAGGATCAACGCTCAGCTTCCTAGTCATGCAGAACAAAAGAAGGAACGCACTAGTGCTAAGGGCTTCATTATATCAAGCACGGCTATCAGGCCGGAAATCATCTCAGCTAGTGCGACTTTGTGTCGTGGATCAGATGGACTGGATAACACATCGGGTAAAATGTTGATAAGGCGGGGCACAGTACGGGTGAAGTTGTCCAACTCTTGCTCCTCGACTGCATCTGGCACTGTTGACTCTGTCAGCGAAGCGTGCAGCTCTGGAATGCGCGTCATAGCATGAGCATAGTCCATATAGACCTAGTCGGTGCCAGAAGTTTCAAGTAAATGGGTAGAGTGGAAGGAGAAATGACGTTACCTTGCCCCGAGTATGCCATCCATCGACGGTTTGATTGGCAATTCTTTCAAATAATGATACAAGCAGATCAAGGTCTTGCCGGATGACTGCTTCAGGCGCAAGCTCAACAACAGCAAGGTCGTGAGCCTGTTGATACAATCCTGCATTCAAGTACAATTGGTAGGCTTCGAAAACTTTGCCTTCGTAGATAGCATGCACAGCCTACACAAAAGGGTGAGTGCTTGGGTGAGGAGAAGAATGAAATGCTGACCCTTGCTTCATTCACCCAAGCCATGGGGATCTTGAGGCTTCCAAGAATGCCACTACACATCCACTCATCCAGTTTTTCGGCAGAGCGGTGGAGAAGGTCTTTGATCGCCTTTTTACGACTGCCACCACCGTGAGTAGCCATGACATACAGATTGACAACGTGTCTCACCCAGCAGATCCCTCAATGTGTAAAAGCACAAAAACAGCCTCCTGGAGCATATCAAGCTGCTCCAGTTGATGTGCGTAGCTGCTCGCAAGCAGGTCAGCACTTGGACTATGGCCTTCATGCTGATCATTATCATCATCCATGGCGTCCCTACGCCTTCCTGGGTCTGCACGATCGGCGAAGTCACGGATGCGCATACACCGGGATAGGATAATGTACAAATGCCACGAGAGTGAGTAATTGCCTGGCGAAGGTCCAAATGAGAGTGGGGAGAGGGCCTGTGATAATGAGCATGCAGGGTCTGCATGTAGGCGAATTAAAGAAAATAGAGCGTCAGAAGGCGATGAGGTGGGAACGTTGAATGGCAACGTTTCTGATGAGGGATCGAGGTATGCTGGGAGTGGAGGGGAGACACGAAAAGGCGATTCTTGTCGTGATCGGTTATAGGACTCGAAGACCTGTGATATTGGTGCGTCCATCGGTTCAGAGAACCACAGATGCAAACCGAAGGTGCGCTTCCAGTCCAGACCCTTGATAGGGTCAACGTCTGGACACTGCTCTAGACTACTGGCTTTTGACCCTTCCACAACATCCAGTATTCCAGCGAGTAAGGCGTAAGTTTTGCGCATGCTCTCCTCGATGTGCACGTCTATCCGCTGTTCCCGCCAAAGCTGAATTTGTTCCATCAAGTCCTCCCTGAACTCAAAGTCGCCCGAAGCCTGTGATATCAGGGTTGCGAGTTTGACGTAGCCGTTGTCCATGGCTACTTCGCAGGCTTTTTCTATTTGGTTGCCCGTAAGGAGGGTATAGATGCATGCAGCAGAGTCGCCAGAGGCATTTTTCTTGAGATCAGCATCTACAAGACAGCCCACGGCTTCCTCAAGCCAATCTGACAGTGCAGCCTTCCGGCGCACTGCAGATATCCGATTACGCACGTCAACAGTAATTTCCGGCGCGAGGTGCAAGTCGATGTTGTCAAATAACGCACGACCGAGTCGGAAAAGAGACTGTTCATCGGAGTGGTCGGAGGAAGGATACAGGGAGACGAAAGAGGAAAAATCAAGTTCGGTGGAAGGATCTGCGAAAGGGATTCCGCTTTCATCTTTCACAATTGGTGTTTTGCTCAAGTGGTGTTGCAGCAAACGTGAGAGCCGGATGTTGGCCTCTTTATGAGAACCTGCGAAGAGCGGTACGGTTGTCTTCGTGATCACTGAAGAATTCGCAGAAGTGTCACTGTCATGATACACGTCAACAACTGAATTGCATGAAGATGCATGAAGCTTACATTTGACTTGACGGAGCACAAAGTCGCCCAAGGTGGACTAAAGTGCCACCTGGTCCCCAACCTACGCGGAAGGACCGACCAAACGCCAAACCAGCATCTACTAGACCATCTTCACAGCCGGCCACGGCAGAGGCTGAGATTTCCACTCGAGCATATTTTCTAGACGGTCGGTAAGCTGGTGGTTCAATATCATGTGCAAATGATGCCCTCTGAAGAACATGAAATTAATTTAAAGACTTGTGCTGAGACAAGATACGCGACAGACCTCCTGTGAGTCCATCCGCAGCCCATCTCCAATCGAGTCGCGACTATGTTTTCGCCTGACTGTAAGCGGCAACTTGAATTGAGGTCGTGTTGCACGGTTCATAGCTTTAATTGCCACGGCCTCCTCAGGTATTCGAAATAGCGAAGTCTGCATGACGTGCATCTTCTGCGCATCCACACCGACTTGTCTAGCCCATGGTATCACCGAAACGTCCTCCCGTTGGGCTGACACATCCACATCGGAATCACTGGAAGAAGCAGAACGTGAACTTGTATTTTCCGACCCGTCCTCAGTTTCGTCATCGGAATCCGCTGTCAAAACGTGATTGCGCGTCAGTCTTGAGCGAGTGGGGGCTAGGTCGTCCTCCTGCATGTCTGACGAGCTATCTTCTTCCGAGGTTTCTTCGTCTGATTCTTGGTCAACTCCTATGTCCTCATCTGAACCAACTTCGGCATTGTGGTCTTCCGGTAGCTTAGGTAGCGACCGCACTGGAGACTTCTTGAAGTCCTGAACCATATGTACATCGTGTTCGTCATCGCTACTGTCGCTGACGGCGGCACTGAAACGTGTCATAGTGCTCTCGACTCTAGCGACCCAGGCGTTTGGCAACTCAACAAGAAAATCTGAAATGCAGCAAACAAGAACAAATTGAGAGATGTATGGTTCAACTGAGTTAGACCATGGTAATATTTAGTGGGACGTGGGCGTGGCTGTGGACAACTTCTATCCGATACAAGTACTTTCAACTTCAACACAATGATTTGTAGCTGGTGCAGCATGATGTATTTCAAATTCTGGCCTACTGGTCTTCTAGATTATTCTAACCTAGACCCTCATATGGTAGCATCAAGTGGATGAGTCTTGAACTCGACCCATTCATTGACCCACATATACCTCGAAGACGTCATGTACAAGTAGCGAAACCACATCATCTGCGAGTCATGCGCTAAAATAGCCCTTACAGTTGTGAGGTAGTCCGGGATCCCTGAAATAAAGACGGGAAGTGAATCCACCGTAGGTTCCAAGGCTAAAAAGGCTTGAGAGATGATGCCGAGGCGAGTAAGAATGGCAGACGGCAGCCCGACATATTTTGGAAGGACCGGCACCGTGACTAGACTGAAGAGACGTGGCACAGATATATGTGAAGAAGACGACAGAGATTTGATGAGGTATGATGCACCCAATGGGAGCGAAAAGTGATTGGGATGCAAAGATATCCCCTTGGTGTCAAAGGTCAAGACCTGACGTGAAAGAACGGTTAGTGTGCACAGTACACCCATGCAAGTGGATTTGATTTCTGACAGAAGTGATGTTGTGCCCAATCACGAATGGTCGAAGGACTTCAGCAATAATCTCTGCATCCCACTGCTGCGTTATGTTATCTTGCAACTGTCTGAAAACAACTTGTCAAACTCTTATGAACTCTATGTATTATGATGACGCACGGATGCTCAATAATCCAACGGTTATCCTTCTCAACTCCGAGTATGTCTAAACTGCGCACAAGCTCTCCCTTTCGTCGTTCCCCAAGACCATCAGCATTTCCGCTGGATAAGCATAAGGAGAAGATTTCAGGACTTGAGCTACTTCGCTGAAGGGCCAGAATTGTTGGTGCAAAGAAAAAGCATTCGTCGTCAGGATGAGCAGTTAATAGGAGGACGCGTGAATGCTGCTCTGATAGCGCATCTGTGTTAAATTCAGACGGTTTGTAAAAGACAGAAAGCAGGAGTGATATGGCTGCCAGAATAAAAGGAAAGAACATCATCCGGAGTTGGATCAGTCACGGCGAGCCCCGAGAAGCTTTGTACTAAGTAGTGTACTTAATATTATGCATACACCAACCTTCAGATCGCTGGGCAAGCTCTACGGGCCGGGATTTCCAGGTCACGTGACTGCTGGCAGCTTGAGCACGGCGCGCCAGCCCCCGCTTATTCTCGGCATGTTTTGTGACCATTAATAAAACGCAAACTAGTCTTTTTATTTCAATTTTTTGACTGTTGATCTTATGCGATTCTACTGTCGACACAGATGAAGTTCAAGTCGCGAACATCCATCTTGACCAAGCGGTAAGCGTCAGACAGGACAGAATCTGTTGCGGGTTCGAAACCTACTCAAGAATCTTTTTCCTTCTACCACGCTTTGAACATTCAAATATTCACTCATGGATGGACCCTTCAAGGTCTATCTTAGGTAGTCCCAACCAACTGGCACCAGAAATCTGCTCTGCACCACTCAAGAGTGGTCATGGTGCGGATTCGAAACCTGCCGATAAATGATTTTCTCTCTTACCACACTTCAACATTCACTCATGGACAGTGGATCACCTCAACTTGCACTTGTGAAACATCCTAGCCAAAGTAGTCACCACAACAGAATCAAAATCTGTTTCTCTTGGATCTGGCCCACCACGCAGGTTCGAAACCTGCCGCCAACAAGGGTTTTTGTCTATTACACCTTGCTCATGGATGGTTTCGTTGGAGATTTATCTTAGCCAAGTACTTGCTACAACAGAATCTAAATCTGTTTCTCTTGGACTGCACAGGTCCGAAAGTTGCTGAGAATAGGGTTTTTTAAAATCAAAACGCACCTTGAAGATTCGCTCATGGATGGTTTCCTCTGATGCTCATCTCAATCTTGTCTTGGCCAAAGTGGTTACTACGACAGAATATAAATCTGCCTCTTGGGCTGTGCCAGTGCAGGTTCAAAACCTGCTGACAACCAAGTTTTTTTCTATCGAAACATACCTTGAAGATTCACTCATATATACGCTGACGATCCATGTCGTTTTTATTTCTTAGGACGCCCACACGCTCGTTCGTTCGATCCCCTCTCGTTGCCCGCACTTGTTCTCAGATGTCTGCGCTTATCCATGCATGTTCCCGCTGGTGTACACTCGGCACTGTTTCATTTAGACTTCTATGTACCTAGCGCAGGTATGTATTTTTTTTTGCTTTTTCATTTTCAATTCTAACCACTCATTTGCATTTGCATAATGTATCATTGTACATCAAGCCTAGGCCGGGGCCAGTCCTGGGCCGTCAAGGAGGGCCCGACCTGCGATCTGGGTGAGCTCCATCAAGCCGAGCCGGGCCTTACACACCACTGTCAATGTGACGTACCCCAGGCTAGCCTGCAGATTGTCACTGTACGGCGAGAGCATGTACTAGGAGGCCATGGTTGGACGGGAGGTCCAGAAGACAGTGAGTACTAAGTGTAAACTGAATTCATCCATGCCCTTCCCTTCATTCGTAATTTTTCAAGGCCGGTTGAACCGCCAAAGCTGGATTTAACAACAAAGAAAGATTGATTAAGTGCTCCCAACGTTATTCGAAGAAACTATGGTAAACTAAGTCTAAGTATAATGCTTTATCAATGCGATGTGACATGGGTGACATGGAAAAGATCTCTCAAGGACGTGATACAAGCATCCCATATATTTCAAATAAATCCCATGTAGCCCACTCCCACCTCTGATACTGGGGTACGGGTCGTGCCATTTACTTCCCCTGATTCAGGCCTCTGGGTCACGGTGATCTTAGGCGGAGCTTGCCGGCTTACTGTCGCGCGCCTAAACGAGATGAGCGGTACAGATGTCCGAGTCACCTCTCGGGTATGAGGTGGTGGTCCGCTGCGAACCGAGACCACTGAAACTCGTTTCTTCGTGGTAGCAAACCAGCCGCGCAAATGAGAAGCCAGAGTATAACGCTTATTATCCGAGCGCTTCTTGGTCTCTACGCTCGTCACTTTGCTGACCACTTCCGGCTGGTCTGACTCCCACCACCACGGCGCACGCTTATCGGATGCCGCAGATATACACCAGACGACGAGCCCGCAGACAGTAAGTAGTACGGCGCCGACGATAGATCTAGAGACTGCATCTCCAGGTTTACACCATTCATAGGAGAATGCCACGATGAAGAAGAGCATGCTGGGTTTAAGCTCAGCTGGTGATCGTCTAGAAGGGATAAATAACTCACCTCCACATGAGCAATGCGTAAGGGAGACTGTAGATGATTGCCAACTTTTCCAGACCGTGTTTTCCGTCATTCATCCGTTGCAAAAACCTTGACTGGTGATGTACAAAGCCCAATGAATGGATTCATAAAGCACGCAAATGACAGTTACTTACAGCCTCAGAACCACGATCCCTGCCAGTGAGATCCAGAGTAATGAACGTCAGACCCAGAGCAATAGAGCCGAAACTAAGAACCAGCGACATGTAACTAGCTATCTGCGTCGGAGAACGCCCGGCGCCAGAGTCAACTGATTGGATTGCCAGAAAACCAACATTGGCACCAAGGAGCACGGTACCCTAGAGAAATCCTCTTCAGAATGATACTATGAGAGCGAAGTTTGACTCACGAGAAGGTTAAGGTTCTGGAGTTGCCCATTCAGTCTCGTGATGAATATCTTCCACTCTGAGGTACTTGCGAGATCGTCTACAAAGCTGGTATGCAGGGATCTCACGTGAGCAACGGGGGCCATGCATAGGAGTGGAGCAAATATAGTCATGTAAATCGATGGCTTATAGCTCCAGCCGCGCACTGTCTGGTCGACACTTAACCGAGCACATGGTTGACCATGGAAGTTCAGGTACTGATTGCGACCTGAGGAAAATATTGAGAGACCTGTGATAATAGCTTGGTTGAGAAGCTCACAAAAGGTGTGCATAAGTCGCCCTGTTCGTCTGATCAGAGGCATTATCTGAGATGGGTGTATCACTCTCACCTATGATGACCACTGCATGCGCTCTATCAACGTTTGAATTCACTGGGGATCCAAATTACCACAACGAAGAGGCAACATAGGCGTGGCATTACCTCGTATCCACTTCACAATTTCAAAGTACTGCTTGAGTTCATCGGCGCTCAACGCCGCTGCAGACCGTGTGGTTGTGAGGTGATCTGAGGATATGTTCAGATGATGAGGTGTGTCTGCAGCCAAATACTAACCGCAAGTGGCATGGAGCATAAGTTCCTTAAGCTCATCCAATGTATCGTGCGCAACCGGGCAAAGGTTAGGAAACATTTCCCAGTGCTTCCTGTGGAATGGTGTTCGTTAAGTTTTGGGAATCTAGACTAACGAACGCCGTCAGTGAGAATTGTAAAACAACGCATCTGAGACGTACTTTGGCAGTGATACACACCAGTATTGAGCTTGAACTGCCAGTCCTGCAAAATTCCATGCCATAAGACCAAAATATTCGCCCACAAAATGCACTTACGTTTGTGAGATAAAGCGGTAACCCCCCGACACTCCCCCAACATATCCTCTGCATCATATTCATCTAGCCAGAAAAGACATCTCCCTGCGGGGTTGACGAAGTAGTAGCAGCATATGATATCCGCACACATCGCTTTCTTCGGCTCAAGCACTAGTTCCACATCATCGTAGTCAATGTCAATCTTCTTAGTGTCAATGGCGAGGCGGAGTTCTCCGTGAAGATAATTCGAGAAGTAGACGATATCGTTCAATATATCCGGTGAACAGACATCTGACTCCGTGTATGTTCTCTGGAGGTCGAGTCGTAATGATAACACACGGGAAAAAATCGTCACTCACTGTCTGTGCATGCAGGAAGTAGCGGGCACCTTCCGGGTGTACATGCGCCGACCAGCCTACAGGGAGGTTTCCGCTGAAGCCGAGAATGTTAGTAGCCGTAATCGGCGGTACAAATTTGTGAACTTTACTCATGACTGGGGTATTGGACTTGGTAGGCTTTGATCTTGTAATCAGATATTGAAGGATCGCTAACGCAATTTCAGTATCCATGTGCGATATTTGTAATAATGCGTACATCATGGCAAATTCCCTGGAATGTCGATCAAAACGCTTGACTCCATTCGCTGACATCGGAGCGAAACGAGGTCCAGCACTCTCCCTCGAATACGCATGGCCCGAAGATGAAGCGCGTGGAGCAAAGGGAGCCTGTGAGCCATCCACATCCGACGCCATAGCTGGGGCGAGGGTAGCGGAAGATATGGCACACATATTCGATGAGCTTTCGTAAAGACTCGGAGCAGGGGAGCGAGGGCGTGGAGCTTGTCCATCATGTTTTCGATACGAATTTCGACCAAGAGATACAATTGACTGGGCGCTGCCCGGTCGGCTTATGGGTTCACGGTCTGGGGAGTTTGGCACTGCCAATGTATGCCGACGGGGGTTCAAAAAAGACCGTGTGGCGGATAATGGCTCATCCGAGCAACCATTGAATGTAGCTGCACGAGCAAGTGTAGGTCGTGGACCGAACTCATCTGGTGACACAGGCGTCCGCTGGCTCGGTGAAATTTGAGAGAGTTCCGGGTAGCCAATCAAAAAACCCTTGTTAAACCTGGTGTTCACAGAAATGGGAGGACGAGTCGCAACTGTAGGAGAAGTGGGAGTAGGTGGTGTGCGGTCGGTGGAGGGCTCCCTCATTTCTGGCGGACTCGGCACTGTCAAACGTTCAGGACTGGACATGACTTCATAAGATGTCTGTTGCCTGGTTGGGCGTGGACGGGGTATTACAATGCGCGTAGGTGTGTCATAGGGAGCATCTGATGGGGAACATGGTTCACTGGGTCTGTTATCAGGACTCGAGCTCGGCGGCAATTGACTAGCGCAAATGTATTCGCCGATTGGCTGTAGAGTGTGAACTTCAAACGTCGTTTCCGATGCCTTTTCTTCATCATCTTGAACGTTCTGAACCCGTGATGAGTGACGAAAGCGTCGAGTAAGGTTAACGAGGAGCTCGATTGCACGGCTCAGAAATTGGTGAACGTGTGTAATGGATGAATATTGTTGGAAGTAGCGTTGTATACGCATAATGACAAGAGAAAGTATGGAGTGCAGCTCAGCACGTAGCATCTGTTAGTAGATAGAGGAAAGAAAAAGTCCAGTGCGTACATGAGGAAAACCAGGGATACATAGGCGATGCTACGGACTCCGCGCTGTATCATTTTAGAAAGACGCATGTTTTCCACGAGGTGATTCAACAAGCGGATGTTAGCCAACAATCACGACCGCAGCTGTAGAAAAAAAAGGGGGGGTACTCTGTGACAGCGAAGTGAGTGTGAGCGCGGAAATTGATCTGATACCGTCATGGGAAGTCGGGTTCAGAATACTATCACTCTGTTCCGACCCAAGAGGTAATGGTGGGGTTATCTACCGTATCCTGAAAGTTGAATGTCAGGAATGGGAGGCTAAAATCGCAACCTGTCTTCACGTATCCATCGTCGAGCGGGGCCTGTGATAGGGTTCTCGAGACAGTTTATGTGGGCACACGTGCAAACAGTGCACAAGACTTCGACTTCCTCGAAGCGTCGGAAAAGGCATGGATCGATGGCTCGCAGCACTTATCGAAAGTCAAGTACTGCCATCGCCTCAATGGAATTGCCTAATGCAATCCGATCACTGACGCATGTAGTCGACAAGGATCTATAGTCAATTGTTTGCGCCTTGATAATGGTGCCCGATCAACCACGACCAAGGCTAAGAAACCACACCATTGGCTGTCAGTCGCTACGCAGTGTCTCCATGAGACGATCCAACATCACCTTCGGAGCAGGAAAGTATTACCCCAAGAAAGTACATATTATGATGCTGTATACCTGAAAGTTTACACTGGTATGGATGGAAATTTGAGTGTGAGTTTGATGCCAATATCATTGGTCCTTCGAGATCGGAAAATGCCGCATTCGCTTAAAGCAGTTTGTTCCTCCGCTCCTGAAGTCTATAGAGGCTCAAGTCTGCAACCTGCCATGACCAACAGGGATTTCAGACATCCGTCATCCGCCGACTCGCATGACTATGTGTATGATTTTTCAGACCACATTCGCGCTAAACATGGCGAACTAAACGAGGGTCTTGAAACTGCCCATCGGATACGTCTTCCCATACCAGATATCCGGTTCGAACAGACATACCTTAGCCGCGTGCAGACGTGCCTTCATGTGGAAGAAATAGCGGGAAAAGGAGGCGGTGTCGACTCTCCATTATCCACTGACGACTCACTCACCGCTGCTACGCACGTTTCACCAATCATCACTTCATCACAACAAATTACACGCATCGACTGGGGAAAACTAGCTTGGGTCACGGTTCGTGATCAAGTAATTATGCCGTTGTTGCAGGGGATGCTTTGGTGTGTTATATTTACTGTAATCAACCGGGATCTGATGGTTTCTGTTGCAGGGGTGTCGTTGGAACATACTACCACCCTTTTGTTGACATTATGAAGAGCAGTCTTCGTGGTAAACCCGCTCCACCCCTTCCAGTGGAAGGCGAAGGCGTGGGATTGTTAAGGAGCTGGGCAAAGAAATTGGGTCTCGGCCAGCTTACAATTGGACCTGCTGGCACAACATCCAGGTTGTAGTTTCCGTGCATTTGGCGAATCATGACATTTCATTAATCATCAATGTTTGCATACTGTACGTGTCCGAATCATATAATATGCCAGCGCACCACACCACCTACATACGAAGGAAAGGTGCATATGTCGATGTATGTCCAACATAGGGTCACTGACTTCAAAGGACTCAATCTGATGCCAGACAAATGCTTGCACGCTGACAGGACACTGCCTTTACGGAATCACTCCAGATTTACTGGCCCCTCGGCGTCCAGCACTTTGAGTACCTGTCTTATACTTGGGGTGGTGTTAGAGCGATAATGACCTCGTTCATGGGGTCTCGTCACATATCAATGTCCGATCACCTTCCTAGGGAACAACGAACCATGTCCGCGGGCAGGTTTCCAATCCCAAATTGATATCAAAGTTTTTGGTGGGAACGTCCTGGAGTATACGACGCCAACTTCACGGTACCGCACAATTTGAGTACCAGCGAGGCCCGACGAGTAGAACATGGTTCGTTCATTCCAACAATTAAGGTGACAATTTCGGCTCACAACTACATACCACGAACATAATACGTCTGTTCCTTCCACACCGGATCCAATCCAGCTCTTCGCTCATAAACCTCTGAGCGACAATTCGGCAAACTATTATTTTCGTGAATTCCCTTTCTAGTCGTCTCTTTCATTCTAAGAAGAGGGCTGGTGCAGGACTCGGCAGAATCCCTGAGACCAGGATTGACATCGATCAACCATCAACGGATCATTGCGAATCACAGAAGTCAAGCGTGATATAACTGAGTCTATCTGCGACGAGTGCGCATCGTAATCAGCCTCAAATGACCGCAAAGGCTCTATAGCACCATTGCGAATTCGATGTCTGTGCTGGATGTTACACTTTTCACTAAACACGATATTCGCGGGCTTCCTGCTGCGCCATATATTCATTCCAGGCAAAAACTTTTAACCCTGATTGATGTTGTGCTCATTCGTGGCCTGTTCGTGGCACCCTTACTGTGTCAAGAAGGTTGTAATGCCATGCGTCCTTGACGCGTAGTGAGCATGGCGCCGTACGAGTGTTACGAATGACGTAAAAATTGAGCCAAGATGAGATGCACGATTGTGAGTTGCCCTCGGCGATCGCCTGACACGAACTGGGAGGATTGTTGGACGGCATCACTGGAAACGGAAGTAATTTGGAAGCAAGCAAAGAACCGACAGAGTCAACCAAGTGAAAGGTTTACATAAACAGGAGACCGAGGTTCTCGAACGAGGCAGCATTTTCGGGGGGTTTCACCACGAGATATATCATCGCATCCGCCAAAAACCCGATTGGACCATCTACCTCCGTTTACCTTGCTTGTGGTTTGATTTTGAAGGCTTTTTGAGACGACAAAAGAGTATGTTATATAAAATGGAAATAGACGGCAGTACGAGCGGGGTTCTATCGACGTAGGATAGATAGTCCAAGGTTACGTTCTAAAATGTTTTCATTAGAAGAACCCTAAAATCTTGTCAGTTATCGTTGATGACTACAGTTTCTCGGGAAATACTCACAATATTGAGCAGTGTATTTGACAGTAATGTTCGAGTCTCCTGCCACACACCGTGTGGGCGGCTGACCTCCGTTGGTCTCCACCCTGAAAACCTCGCTAGCTAATTCTCCCTCAACAGCTTTGACCATCAAGTTATCAATGTTACTCGAGTTCGAGCTAGGTAGGTCGCCAATTTTAGCACCAGTGACGTAGGCATTCGGATTTCCAGCTGTCACCCCAGATGATGTGAAGTCCCATTTTGGAGACAAGCCGGACCCCACAGGGTTTGGAACATAATAGTGTTGTCCAAGCACGGCGGGATCGTGGGTGAGCCCCAGGATGGTGATGACCTCCCGAATTTTTATACCAGTAGTGGCAGACCACACATCATAAACCCTGGTTGGAGCGCTCTCGAAAGCAGGGGTACCGTATAAACATGAGCTATCGAAAATTTCTGCGAGAGCCCCGACAAGTCTGTATGGCATTAGCAGTTGTGCTGGAGGAACAAGGCTTGAACTCACGCGTATGTGGATTCGGTGGCATTACAAGTGTAGTTTTGAGTACCAACACCAATACCAATGAAGCTCGGTGCGTATGTGGGCGCAATGAGCTGCGTCTGATTAGCAGGCACTTGGAGTCTTGCACAGGACAGGTCACAACTTGTGCTAAGATGCCTTTTAGAGGGTGATGCATCAGCATATCCTAGGACTACAAGGACGAGGACGCTGAATGTCAGCATTTCTGAAAATTGTGGGATGAATCAGGGTAATCGTTGAATGAATGTGTGTTTGTCTCTTGGTTGCCCGAAAGCTCGAGGCCTGGAGGAAATTTAAAGGGAGGACTGGTAGGGTCCAAGCCTGGTTGCGCACAATCTGAGATGCTTTGACATCAACGATCCGTCGGCAGGCTGCGGTCGGTCCAAGTTAACAATACGGTTCGGCCTGAGAATATTACATGCCAGCCTTGCTGGCAGTGGCAGACTCGCAAGTCGATACTGAACTCAGACTCAGAGAAGCGCCGCGTGTCACGTGTGGTCGCAACAGTTTGACTCGCGGTGCATGTAGGCAGCACAACCCAAAACTTCACGCCCGCCCTACAAGTATAATATGTACAACATGTAAACAAGTTGAACACTGAATCCATTTTTCATTTAATAATAAGTTGCTCAGTTCTCGACAGTCTGATGGTAGTGTACGAAAGCGGGTGGTTATTATTATCTGGGTAGGAACACCAATCATACAATACGTGTTACCAATCATAGCAAGCCAATGCCGTAGGGAATGCAAATACAACATAAGTACAACTCGGGTTGAATAAATTGTCAATGCAGGTCAATCAAACTATACAGAAGTAAATCAATTACAGAATAAATCAAGAAATCATAAATTCTCAGAAGATAGTGTCGACAGTCTGATTCATGTCCTGCACACCGGGGGTTAGTTAATTGATGCGAAGCGAAACTTTTTAGGAAAGACCAACTAATGGGTAATGGCTAGCGTACTGTCGTCGGGCTAGTCAGATATGAGAACAAAAAAAGGAACAGAAAACCTACCCCTGGGTTCTGCCAATCGGCTCTCGCTTTTGATGTGCAGCGAGCTTTCTGACAATTCATGTACTCATCCAAGTCATGGATGACTACCTCCGTATTGCGTCGGTTGATTGGCCTTGTCTTCTCTCGAGTCATCCTATTATCGACATCGGTGGCGCAACGCTTGGCAATCCTGAGCTCCAGCTGCCGTTTCTCGTTTAATTGATCCACACGACCCCTTGGGTATTTGTCAGGAAGAATCACGTAAAAGATAGAACCCGAACTTGATGTGTGTGAGCAAGGCGAACAGCGATGTCTTAGGATCTTGTGCTGTGTTCCAATGTATGCGATCATGTCTAAATTGAATGTTTCGTAGCACACTTACATACGCATTCAATGAAAAACTGCAAGTAGCATGTTAGGCAAACCAACCAAAATAATGTGGAACTCGCACCTTAGTCACTGTGCCATGAGTCTCATTATCATCATACGCATATTCATTATCACGACACGCCGACAATGAAACCTAGTGACGTTGCCGGTAAGTAAATCAACCAGGTCCAAATCATACGCACTACATGCGCTGCTTCGTGCTCTTCTTGTTTCATCTTCCGACAGTCACCCGTACACGTGAACCAAGAGACAGGGGACAAAACTCGATGGAGAGCAGAAGGTGAGCTGTCAATAAACATGCGCGGAAGCCAGCTGCTGGGAGATTGAGGTCGCATAAGAATGCTGTTTAACGTCAGCGAAGGATTCCCCGCACGGCCACGCGGTGGAGGTTGTTGGTTGACTGCTGTTTGATGATCATACAGAAACGAGTCAGACATTTCAAAGGAAGAAAAGGCAGAGGGCTCACGGAGAGTCCTTGGCCTCGACATAAAATCTCGACCTTATATCAACATACGAGAGTATTACACAAAGCAACTCAACATACCTGGCAAGAAGCGCCCCGTGATTGACCTTCGTCGAGTCCTCACAATATCTCCAGACAATAACTTATTGCACTTGTAGTGGTCCAGGTCTTTTGGATTCTGATCAGATCGGATATTAGCTAGGTAGCAGGGCCACTAGCACTGACCCAAAATTGTCTCAGAGTGGCATGAGTCCCACAGTGCCTGTCTCCCAAAAATACAATGAGCTCGCGTTGCACGATGCCTGGAACATTCACTTACGAAAAGTTTACTGCCTCGAGGTAAAGGCTCCACCAGTGCCTTTCTTAGTTTCTGAGAATGCATGACCAGTCCAAAATCGAGAAACAACATATAAGGGAATCGTACGTTATCAATAATATAGCGGCCAGTGTACGCGTATATGACTAGTAAATGTGATCAGTTGTGAAGAGCGAACGTGCTATAAAATATACCTTCGTCCTTTCCATCTGTTTCCGTATGGTGCTGGCAAGTTACTTGGCTTCCGTGACCGGAATCTTGTCCATTCCGTTCTCATTCCTTGCGAACTGACGAGACACTTCTCACTTACAATAAAAGAAAAATCGGTCATTTGCGGATGCATTTGCAACCATCTTAGTGATTTGCTCGAGCTGCCAAACAGTAATTCAGTCACTTTGGCAAGCTTTGGTCATCGAGTGCCTTACTATGTTGTCTCGTGTGGGCCAGAGATGTTTTGGGAGCTTCACATCATCCTTCATCAATACAACATTCGCTTCAGGGTAATTGAAGTTATCTGTGAACATCGTAATGAAGATTCAGATTCAGAAGAATAATCCAGGCCCAAGAGACGGTACGACTCACCGATAAGGAGGCGTTTGAGCGATTCAGCGTCCTCATGGGCATGCCACAATGGAAGAAAGCCTTTTTTATCCACAGAGCGGACTGCGATGAGCAAGGCCTTCTTGTTTCCAACATTGGTAGAGTTTGCCATAAATACAGGGTGAACGTTTCCAAAAGGAAAGTGATATGTTTAAGTGATCGACTGGGATCGACCGCAACAAGATAGATGATCAACAATTGTGATCAATATCTTAATCGACTGTTAAGTGTTCCGACTAAGTTATCAATACCAATGAAGTTTGCTTGACTCCGAACGTTGAAGCGAGGTGACGGGGCGATTGAGTCAACAAGTGATAAGGGGTCCGAGAAGAATGAGAACTCTGTGACATAACATTTAAATGCGAGTCAGAGTCGGAGTCAAGCGGTGTTCATAGAAAAGTCAGATTTACACAGGCTTACACGATACGGCATTGACTCATCGGGAGCCAGTGCTAGGCAGTACTTGCTGTTCGTAGAATCGTAGAAAAGATCTAGGTTCACACCGTGACAGGTTTTCTTGTCATGGGGTACAGGGAGGATGACTAAGTGCATCTCACGGCGGCTGTGCGGCGACCCCGGATAGCGCGCGCTCGCTGTGTGTGTTGACGAGCGGAGGCTGCCGCTGATGCACGGGGAGGAACCGACGGGAAAGGAGTTGAGGGCGGGGGTGCCTAGAATAGAAAGGGGGGCAATATATTTTGGCGTTCCGAACTCGGCAAACGCGTGCCATTCATCGTGAAAACATCCAAAAACGATACTTACCGTATACCCCATGACTCCAAGGTGTGATTCTTCACTGGTGGGCAAAACCGGGCTCCTGCCAAAATAGCATGCTCCATGAGCTGCCAAATTTCTTCTGGACTCTCGTGGGGCACAAGGGGCCATGCCGTAAGTACTCACCCGAAATGCAGGAACGAGTTTTTTCGCGGTCAAGAAGCGCGTTTGGTGTCGGCATTGACGTGAATGCGCACGGAGATTCATCAGGCTTTTTTTGTGATAAAAATCATACCGAGGTGCGAGATACGAACTCCGCATGGCTGACTACAATTTTCTTTGCATCGAAACCAATCGAAAATGACGCGGAAACAAGTGTTTTCCTCCTCCTGAACCAGGTTATCATGTAATGTGGTTTTGGGCGTCACAACCACAATTTCCTTTTATAGTTTTGCTATGCCCCCGGTCCCTAGTATTCAACCCCAAGCAAGACCCCGAGCCCATCTTTGTTGAGTTTTAACAGTTATTCTTTCGCTGACACCATGTCTCTTGCCTCCCAACAAGTACTGCACCCGCTAGTCAAGCGCTCACTTCTCAACAAAACTCTTCCCTTCGTATAGTCTGAATTTTAACTCATCCAAGTGCCCACTGATCACAACCGCTCAAATCACAAACACGCCCTCGGTCCGTCGCCATCGCGCACTGGCCTCCATTCATTCACCCCTTCGACATCAACCATGCGAACGCATCGACGCCGCCGCCTATGAAGGACCGGCGACCTTTATCAACACACTTATATTATCATATTGCACATGTAATTTGGAAATAAAAATTGCCCTGCTTGGCGCCGGGCAATGTATCATTCATGACAAGGTACCGAAAGTAGGCACTCAGTTGGTCTCGAGTGGGAGACACGTGCTAAACAGTGCATATTTCACGACAGCGGATCTCACGGACATCTTATCACGCTTCATTTTTTACTTCTGTCTGCAAGGAAATTCTAACACTCGGTACATATTTTTTCCCAGTTATCAGCACCGATGGCCTGTTTTCAGTCGCATACCCCCAAACCGATATGACCCTGATCTTAAAATGCTTTTCGCTGCCTTCAATCCAACCCGCTTGACATTGTACCTTCAACGGCTACTTTGAGTCCCACGTCTCGGGCTGGCCTGATTGTTGGAAATTCTGTGGTTTGGTCGGTACTACCCCAACAAGCTCGCGACCGTTTATTTGACTTGTCGATCAGCGTTGCACTTGTGAATCGAAGCTCAATATTGCAATACAGATACAATTCAACGCATAACTAATTATCACGAAGTATCTGCTCAAGGCACCGCTGCTAGTTCAAGGATCAGCAAGTCATCGTGTCCACCCGTCTTCCCCTCGGACAAGTATAGGAGGGTGTGGTCGTGATGAACAGACACTCGGCATATGAAACAGGTCTCCTGGCTGACCTCTTCGGTGAGACTGGTGCGGGTATCGGGGATTGGCACGGGCTTATCAAAATATGTGACCAATATGGAAGGTATTGTGTGGCGAGGGTGAATCTAAACTCCCTCGACTTGGACGATGCGGCTTTCGTCTTACCCACTCTTACACTTGATGCCGCCTGTAGGAGTAGCGGGGCCTCGACCACATACCTTTTATCCTCATGCTCATGAACTCCTTCCACTTGCTGCTCGCCATTCCCCTTCACTCTTTTGCTACCCATGTTTACATCCAAGTCACATTGATGCACTTCATGTTTTTCCAGAGGCGATTGATTACTCAATGTGACGGCTGGCGGGTTCGTCAGGCCGCCTGACAAGTAAGAGCTATGGCAATGGCAGTTATTACGAATAAGAATATGTAAGCTGTTAAGCAGAATACAAAAGGACCGACAGTTCGAAGGAGAACTGGTGTGTATGAAAACTAATGTACTGTGACATAATATTGTCCTGGATATGATGAACTGTAAATAGTAGTATTTGCTCGAAGCCAGGGTATGAAAGAAAAGGCTTCTGAAGGTCCTCCCAAGCAAATTAATAATTGATCAATAAGGTAAATAACGATAAACGTCGACAACCGTGACCAGCGTACTAGCTGTGCCAGGTACTACATATAATTCGTCCTGTGCTTCAGAATTCAACGATCTGCGACATATCCTGAATCACACGAACATGAACATGACACTCAATACGCAAGCCACGTTATTAAACTCACCATGCGGTAGTGGCTCGAGTACTACACGAAAAACAGGGTAAGTATGGCAAACATGATAAAGCAACGGCGAACGCACCGAAGGCTGCTGAGAGCTCAAAGTGGAAGTGTCATTTCCGTCATCGCAGTGACTATAATGATCGCATTTGGGCCAACCCTCGATTTCAACCTCATTTTCCGACAGTCTCTGTAGACGATGCGGGTAGTGAGCTGTCTTGCTGGCCGGTTTAATCGGCGCCTGTATGCGTCTGCGAGTAATATCGTTGACCTTTCCCCTGTTAATGGTCATTAGTGCGCTGCAGGAGACAGGAAAGTGCCACCCACCGTATGTAGCAGAGTAGCTCGGAATAAGAAGGTCTAGGATTTTGCTCTAAAGAGGATGAGTCCTATGATTCTCTTTCTTTGAAAATGTCTCTCACCAAGGTACTCGATGAAGAACTAAGCGACTATCAGTCAGACTGGAAATGCTTAAAAGACTGAATCCTACCTTCGTCACAGTTTCACCAGTAGCGTTGTCGTCATATGCCAACTCATTGTCCTTGCACGCAGACAAGGAAACCTTGGGGGCATCGAGTTCAGAATATATCAGAATATATCAGTAGGAGAAACACGCACGACGTAGGCCTTGACTTGGTTCTCGGGGAGCGTCATAGGACAGTTAAATGAACATGGTGGCAAGTACGAGTCAGGAGAAGACACTTTGCAGAGATCCACGCCGTCAGTTGCAAATGATACATTTCTTGATTGAGAGTCATCCTTTGATGAGAAACGACCATCGCAGCTATCCTTCAAGATGCTGGAGCTGAGCCTTTTGCCTGTGTGGCGAATATTGAGATGATGGCGAACAGAGCAACAAAATACCAACCGAGGCTCTTGGTTTTCCTTGCCAGATCTGAAATCATCAGTATTGACTTGGAGACACAACTAAAATATGGCTCTCACCCGACAGGACTTTGAAGGGCGTCCGCCATAATCCGTTGCAGTTGGAATGTTCCAAATCTTTGATGCTCGCGTTAGTGCGAAAACGAACACGAACTTGAGACCTACGCACCCAACACTGTGTGAGAGTGGCAACAATCCCACAGCGCCTGTTTACCAGATGACATCGTTAGTAGGGCTTAAAGATCAAATCGGAATACGCACGAAAAGCTTGGCTCCGTGAGGCAATGGATCAACGAGGCGTTCTTTTAATATCTTGGGATCGTTCAGTATCATGAACCAGACGATGATCATGACATAGAGCTTACATTATCAATGATACGCTTTCCCGTGTATGTGAGGATAGCTGCATTGAAGATTTTAACACAGCTTAAAGGACTCAACGAGACTTGAACACTACCTTCATCCATGTTGTCGGCTTCAGTATGGTGTTTACAAGTCACCTGATCGCCATGACCAGTGTCTGATGGATCATCAATCATAAGCGGTCGACAATATAGAACCTTGCGTTGCAAGAGCTTACTTACAGTAGAAAAAAATCCGGTCGTGTTGGGATGTGTGTTTAACTATAAGGTCAATCTCGCGCAGCTGTGCTCTGCGATTAGATAGGCTATGGAAAATACGTAAATTAGAATGCTCACTATGTTTGCTTTACTGGGATATAACCTTGGTGAAACACTGTTATGATGCATCATAATGACGATGTTTTCCGGGTGGTAGCCACGAACTACAGCAATAAATTAATCCGACGATATTTTCCGTATAAAACATATATACATACAGTTCATAAGGAAGTCTCTCATTTTCGCCACATCTCTGTGCGCCTGAGGGAGGTTTGGGAAACCGGTCGCTTTTTCCACAGCAATAAGGAGTGCCCTTTGGATTCCTTCGGGCTCGGGAAGAATATCGTCCGACATTTATAGACTGATCACTAACACTAATGAACGAGGCCGAAGATTGATATACCAGATAGTATACGCAATAATTTAAGGGCCCGATTTCCTAGTGATTCGATGACCTGGGCAACTTGGACAAGTCAGAGATTAGACGGGGATGAAGATTCAATTTGGACATGGCGAGGAGTTTATTTATTTTGTATAGGAGACACAGCAACGCACAGCTCAAGAGCTGTAGAACAGACACACCATGAGACTTCCAGTATATACAGGATGGCGGTTGAATGGTGGAGCGGTGTATGCGCGACTGTGTGCCTACATGTCACGAGCAAGGCAAGTAGTGAACTCAAAGCACTGCACTACCACAATTGAGCCCTGAGTGACTGACCATACAGGGTGCTCCGCCCCTCGCCTAGGGCCCAGGGTCCCCAGGCAGACGCACTAACATAAATTACGTAAATATCGGTGCACAATTTTGACCTGCGATCCGAAGTGAAATGATGGAAATATCGATTGAACGATCCTGAGATGTTAACGTTTTAACAGTGAGTTCAGAGTGTAAAAGTCAAATCATCCACGAGTCCGAACCAGCGCGATCAAAGTCCTGTGTCTCGCGTAGCAAATTCAGGTTCCCAAACGTCGCATCCAACACGCGTCAACCATACATCTCGCCTCTCTCTCACCCAGCGGTGTAAAGTTCGGCAATTTTTACGCTCCCCCTCAAGACATGCACACTCCCACCATGCTGGAGGCCTCCACGAGCCTTCGTGCAGTACTTTGGCGGTGGTATCAGCCTGTCGACTAAGACTCGTTCGCATGGACGCCGGGAGATGTGCCGTATTCGCTGGTTCAAGACGAGGTTCATGTAGTTGTGGAAGCGTGCGCAAATCTGCGGCAAATGCAACGACGCGGATTCGCTGCCGGTGGGATAAATCCGGTGCTAGTAAGGCGATGATTTCCTGCTGTATTTCCTCAGGCAGTTGGAAGAACATCGAGGGCGTGGAAATGATATTTGACTTGACATTTACGGAGAGTCGATTGAGAGCGGAAATAGAAACAAAGTCAGGAGCACCGCCATGTAGATCCCGCATGCTCGACCGAAGGAACAATGCACGGCTGTACAGCAGTAGTGCGACAGCTTGCTTTTTCACCCAGATTTTTTTCGTTAGGTTCCTCTGGGCTATATCGTTTAAAATCCGCCAACCCTCTTGCCACGCAAGAGTGCGCTCCTCGCCGTCGCCATCATACTCATCAATATGGAGGTCATCAAGATTAACCTTGAAAAGGCTGTAGTTCTCGCGCTCGATAGCGCTGATGATTTCGCGCGCACCGGGCAGTGTCAGGCTGTTCGCATTGCATTGCAATCGATCCAGTCTGCAACGCGATGACGTAACATATTCAATAATGGTAGGGACCACAACACGGGTAATATTGGTGGCAGAAAGGCCGAGTTGACGCAGATACCGTGCGTTGAGGGTGGGAAGGAATGCACGAATGAAGGTGTCAGAGAGAGTGCCGTTATGGATCAGCTGGAGCGTGCATAGTCTCGAGCTGTTCAGTGCAGTTGCGAACTGTGCAATGACATCCGCATTAGTCGATAGTGGGTTCTGCGTAATCATGAGGAAATTGTCAATCCGAGGGACTTTAACAGGAGAACACCGGAGGTTTCTGTACTCACACCGGACAGACACAATTCCCTGAGTATATCATTGCCCTTGATGAACTTTGATACAGCAAGTAGACCCTTTGCACCTATACCGTTCCTTGTGAGGTACAGCTCGGTGAGGCTGTTTTTGCACCTTCGACCAGCAGGAGAATCTAGAAAGTTGAAAAGCTGTACGCAACCCTCATCGCCCATTGAACTGTTCCCGATATCCAATCTATGGACAATCTCACGGCGCTGTATAGCACTGATGATATTCCTTGCAGCTTCCAGAACGTCAGTGGCTATTCGGACCATGAAGCAATGAACACAAGGCGCTCAGTGCTCACCAATGGTTGATGCAAGCCTAGCGCTGACGCTCTTCAAGCGCTGATGATTGACAGAACGAACAGTAGCTGGATCGTCATCATAATGGTGTCGAATTTTCTGGGAAGATAGCCTGAAGTGCATGATGCTACTAAGTAGTAACTGGTTGAAGGTAACAAGATCGCATTTTCGATTGAGGTCACGCTGTCTGGCCCTTACATACTTTTGAGAGCGGGCGCCGGAGATGGTAACCCGGGTGAGAGTTGATCTATTGAAAGCGCTGTCTCATTGTACAATTTGTACTTACCGGGCTTGCAGTTAGCCGTCAGAGTTTGTATTCCATCGGAATAGACCAGAGAAACCAATTCATCGCATCGTGGAGCTTGAAACCATTCAGGTTGAGCACGTACAGCTTTGTTGTCGTGGGGCGCGGGGGGTACTGCCATGGCTTGACAGCTGGTTTTCGTTCATGTTTTTTTTTGGCCTCCGCTTTGAATTTGAAATTTGAATCTCCGTCTTCCCCCAATTGCTTACATTCGAACGGAATATTCAATCACCAGAGACTTTGGACCGTCATCTTTTACTTTGTCTCTCTGGTACGATATCGAGGGCATTGCCAGATGCATATGGCACCATTCTGGAGCTGGTGTGCTGGTCTGACGGCTATGTGGACAGAGTCACGAATTGGGTACACATGCGGCATGCCTCGCCTCTTCCAAGCTGTGTAATCACACGTTCACACAACTTGGGTTGTGACATGTGTGTGCTCATGCACAGCTGCTCCTGCGCTGTATTCTGTTCTCGCAAATGACACGTTCAACTCAGTTGCTCTTGCGCATCTTTCTGACAGTGACGCGCGTCGCAAAAAACTGCACATTTAATAATTTCGTAACCCTTCCTTGTACCACCATTATGACCAACAGTCATCCCAGCAATATCCCGCTCTTTCCACTACACCGGTACCACAGTCGCTGATCTCCTTGGCAAATGCAGACTTTCTTCGTCGAACGATGCGAGTTTATTGCCTTGTGTTGTACTCCGCAAAGATGAATAATTCGAAACAGGGCGTATAAAATCACTTACACAACTCAACCCTCCAGCAACAGGATCAAAATGAACAGCTACAATAATGGTCACGACTATGTCTCGTACCACACTAGTGCATTTGTTTTCGGTGCTGCCACTCTGAGTGTGATTGTACACTGATCTGTTGTCGGCCTAGGTTTTAGATGACGCTTCTCCGCTAATGACCTTTGTGACATCCTCCTTGGTATGGTTCGGGCACTAATGAATACCACGAACGTCAAGAGGTTCCGACTGACTCTTACCGACTCCGGAGTCCTACCCAAAACGGCTGGTGAGTGTAATGCCCTGTTTTGTTTTCCGACAACTCAAATATTTTCCTTCAGGAACTCTGCGGTCATCGCTAGTTGAACTGGCTGATGCCAAATGGCTCCTTGTCGCTCGAGAAGAGGCTCCTTTTATTCTCTTGTTCTGGTCTTATTGTACTAACACTTACTACAGCAGAACTACAGCATCGAGGCCTAGTAAGTACTGTGGCTATTACTATCCCTATTTTGCACTTATTTGTGTGTTATGTCCAAGTTGCCGATTGTGTGCACCGCAAACATGGTCGAAACTCTTGCGAAGTTCTCCGATGGCCCGCTACATTAGCCAGGCACTGGGTACCATCAGCAGGCGGCTTGGAGAGAGGAGCTAGTAACACGGACAGGCGTGCATACGGGTCGCCCATTTTTACAGCTATTCTGTTGCTTTGCGATCCTCGAAATGCACAGTTTTTCGTTGATTTGCACCGATATGTTATGAGAGCCGCTGGATTCAAATCTACGGAGATCTACGGAAATCTAACTCTTCAATTCTTAGACTGGTGTCAATCGGCGTCGCTACCAGTTGTTTGAGACGGAATGCGCCATTTGTTGACACGACGCTCATCGTGACTACGGACACCGAACTTTTTAGGTTCTACTGATTTCTGTCAATCTCGTGCAAGGGCATCCTTCCGATTTCACTGGGGCATGACCATGAGTGGCTAGCATTTCATACTCGCCTGAGCATTTATCGTACATTCAAAATTCACACTGTGTACGCTTTATAACGAAGACTTCGTCAACAACCGAGCAGAGAGTTGCACAGCCACCAACCTCCTGCCAATTTTGTGGACAATGTTAATATTAGTCTAGTCTCACTGTGACCTAGTCTTAGCCAGACCTACAGACAATCGCTTCAGAATACTAGGTCAATCTCAAAAAAGGGAGCACAAGGCCATGAAGGTTGGATCTCGACAGTCGTAGTAACTATCCACTGACATTCTGATAGATTGCAGTGGAGGGATGCAGCCATGGCGCGCTGGACGCGATCTACCAGTACCTACGTGATCTAGAGGCCAGGCACAACTATATTGTAGATTTACTTCTTATGTGCGGGGACTTTCAAGCTATTCGCAATCACAGAGACATGCAATGCATGGCTGTACCGCAGAAGTATAGGCAGTTAGGTGATTTCCACAAGTATGTGCCAATACCCAGTTAGTACAAACATGCGTTGATCCACTTCTCTCTAGGTACTATACAGGAGAAAGGACCGCTCCGGTGCTTACCATCGTGATAGGCGGGAATCACGAGGCGTCAAATTACATGTCAGAACTGTACGCACCCGCTCCGCGCGCTGTCTGTATCCTTATTTCCTCTCACAGGTATCATGGCGGGTGGCTTGCACCAAACATATACTTCCTTGGGCATGCCGGATGCGTTCAAGTGAACGGTATCCGTATCGCTGGCGCGTCTGGAATCTTCAAAAGTAATGATTTCAGTCTAGGTGATTCGCCAATCACGTTCTCCGATACTCCAGCATTAAACACGCGCAGGTCTTTACGAAAGGCTGCCTTACGATCATGGCTCCATGCGAAGTATATACCACATCAGGGAATTCAACGTTCGCCGTCTGTCTTTGGTCCGTGAATTCTAGTCTTTGCGAGTTCTTGATCTCACACCGGATGCATCACAGCTGTCTTCCCCCGGATATCTTCCTTTCTCATGATTGGCCCCAATTCATCGAGCGACATGGGGACACTCAGGGTCTCCTTCGCCGCAAACCATTTTTCAGACAGGACGTACAGACCGGCAACCTGGGTTCCCCTCCTTTAATGGGGCTCCTGCGGACACTGAAACCAAAATGGTGGTTCTCAGCTCATTTGCATGTTCGCTTTGAGGCTACCGTGCAGCATGAACAATCCGACACAGGATCGAATTCTCCGTCCACTACTTCGCCGCCACAAAACCCAGATGAAATAGCAATTGCAGATGATGATTTCGATGCAGCTGAGCCCCAGAGTTCTCCAATTGAAGTCCCTCGTCCGAAAACGGCTTCCCACAACCCTGATGAAATAACCCTAGAAGAGGAAGAGGAAGAAGTTATACAATCGCCTCCTGTTGCTTATCGGCCACGGTCGTCTGTGACGAATTTCCTCGCATTGGATAAATGCCTTCCAAAACGAGAATTTATGGAGGTATGTAGCTCTGTGTTGATGGGACATGGGCCCGTTAATTTCTAATGTAGGTCATCGACATGCCTACCACATCGGATGAATTCGCCATGCCTGGACAACGCTGCATGCCAAAACTCACCTTCGATCCGGAATGGCTGGCAATATCACGCGCTTTCCACCCATTCTTCTCCACGAGGCGGCGTCAAGCAGATTATCCTGACGAAGCAACAGCTCGCGCGAAGGTTGCCGAAGAGATGGAGTGGGTCAAGTCGAATGTGCACAACAACGAAACAAACTCTTCTGATGCACCTCTACCTGGCATCCGATCCATTTTGGATTGCCAGACATTCGTGCAGAGCGCCCCTGGTCCTGGAAGTGAAGGAGCTCAAAAGAATCAACAACGTGAGTGCACTAATTTCTCGAAATATGTTCACTGACATTGGTTGTGCAGCACCTTGGTACACTAATCCTCAGACTGCCGCTTTTTGTGATATGCTTGACATTCAAAACATGATTGATTTCTCTTCTGACAACCGGGCCTAAGCAGCCTCTTGATAGCATTCCACAGAAATATGTGAGCGCTGACCAGGGTTTGTGATATCTAAGTTAGTATTATCCTCCCACGCCATGATTACTAATTACTTATATGAATGTTATTCCTTCGTCACCTCAGTCACATTGCATAGTTCCTCCCAGTCACGGTACTCTCACTGCCATGCTGAAGTTGCGTTTCGGATGGACCATTCTGATTCACATGTTCATGAGATAAATTTCACTTCTTTCTCGAAACTCCAGTACAGCAAGTGCGTAATATAGGTGCCTTGCGGCTGTGGCGTTGGATAAATGTGGCATGATAGCCTTTTCTTTTTCTTCCTTCCCCCGCCTGCTACTGTACCACTGTACAATAACTCGTCATGATCACAGGCCATTTCGCCCACATTCTCAATATATTGAAGAAATGGCTTTCACGACTTGCACGTCGCTCTGCGAGTTTATTCTTCGTTGTCTTGTCTTCACTGCATCGCTTTGTAGCAGGTCATTTAAAGTTCGGTGATCGGAGATTGATCACTCGTTTTCCCAGCGGGGTGCTCCCGCGATCTCAAGAGGATATCAGAGGAGAGGGTTCACCCATTTGCCCGAGCCTTCTGCCGCCTGGTCAAATGGGGCGGGAAGCTACGGAGGAGCCTCCATCGCCTTCAGACGATCCTTACACAGGATCCGATTCACGACATCCACGACCTTTACGAAGGGGTACAGCAATCCCTCCGTTGGACGCTCATACAACACCGATAGGATGCACCAGTGCCACTCAAACAGATGGGCTCCATCAAGGTTCTGTGTCAAGCTTACATCTGTCTCCGCATATGGAAGAGAGTTCCTTGAAAAGCAAGTCGTTCCCAAAGGACGGGGCATTGCAGGAGTTCAGCAGTTCAGGTCCTTCACGCCTTTCTGACTTCCATGAAATCTCCACAACACATTCACGACCACGAGGATACATGGACGATACTCACTCTATTAATACAACGCACACGCGATCCATGAGGCACTTGGCGCCTGGTATGCCTTATTCCCAATACGCGTCAGATAGTCGTGTTTCGGTGGGCACGGGTCACTCCTTCACACGATCGATTGCTGGTTCGGAAGTCCGACAAGCTGCGTATCGAACACACACGGGACCTGTCTATTCTCGCCCGATTAGCGTCTCTAGTGTCGTAGATATACACCACGGATCCCCGAATACGGTTTCTATTCCATTGAATTCGTCTGCCCAGGCTGTGCCATTATCAGATCATGGGTTCGGTCATCATGTGCATTATACCGCTCCCCCCGGCAGCAATGAGTTACCGGGCCAAGAGGTCGTCATGGTCTATGACGGCCCAAAGACATGCCCTATGGTTGCAGATAATGTCAGGAGGTATGAGAGGTGCCATTTCCGGTGAACATCAGTCTACTTTCCTACATTTGCTCAGGAGCTGATCTTTCCAAAGGAACCCCGACGTCACCGATGTTACTGTCCGTGCTATGACAATGGGTGCGCATGAGTAAGTCATTTTATGACTTTTAGTTGCCGCACCTGAGCTCTTTCAAGAATGAATGTGCCCCAGGGATGGACCGCGTTCGTGCACCCGGAAGGTGCCCGCTATTTTGTGAACCAAGAAACAGTGCGTCAAACCCATGAATCATTATGACCGATAGGCTGAGTTAGAGCTATAATACGTAGAGAACATTTACAGAAATGAATGTTTGTGAACCAGACATATGCGATGATATCGAATACTTCATGCAAATTTTGCTGGGTGACCTCGAGCGGACTATCGAGGGAGGGGACCTCTCACTGATGAAGGAGGTGGACCTTGTGGTTGAGCCCAAGAGCTTTGATGGCGAGTCTGTTGTCTGTTGCTATTATTTCGCCAATCACCGCGACCGATGTCTCTTTTGGTTGGATGACTTCAATCCCGAACGTATTATCTCAGAATGTAAAGGCATCCGAAGCCCCTCGCATTTATGTGGGTAGCTAATAGTTCTAAGACGATCTGGATCTGATGGCTTGTCCTTGTTTTCATTTCCAGGGTTTGCCATTGAAGCACAATACTGGTGTGTTCCAGTAAAGGTTCGCACAGCATCTTCACCTCACTGTCCCATTCACAATGAAATTCTAGATCGTATGCAAGTAAATTAACATTTAATGTAGGAGACATTGGGATTACTTTCCTAGCCTGTGCCCGGTTACAGAAAGCATTGTCGATGAGCTCAAGGATATGTTGATACATGCGACATGTGGTCAGTACTCTCCCAAATCTAATAATTTGATTTGATGCATACGGTCGCAATGAGCAGACCACTTAACATCGCTGGGTTCTTCTGCGGCATTTGATGCCATTGAAATCAAGGATCATCTTTCTGTTGTTGACAAAATCAAGGGTATGCTACTTTGATACCTCCTCACAGACGCCATGCGCTAATCCCATTTTTTCAAAGTCCGTCCCACTCCCCCTACCCCCCCTACGCACCAGAGTATGCGACGAGGTCACGCTGCTATCGTCATTGGTGAGGCTTGAGCCTGAGTTCGATCTATTGTATTCCTGATGTTGATCATCATTTAAGGCCGCATCATGTATACACTCAGTCAGTGCTCTCTCATTTATACATCTAGCTGTAATTCACGTTCATTTGAAGCTCATAATCACTTCGTGAATTACCACGGTGAAGACTGCGTGAGGCTGATGTTTGAACAATCGGTCCACGGTTGGACATATAAACCATCACCGTTAATGGTTATTCTCGCACCCCTTCTGTTCTTTGACCCCGTGGCTCAAGTCCGGGAACTGCACAAGATTTTTGTCGACGAGGTTGCTCACACGGCACGGTGGAATGCATTCTGTTCAAACTTCAAAGGGCAGCTTCAGGACTCCAACCTCTTGGTAAGCCCACCTCTTCATTGTTATCAACTTTCATGGGATCAATGTTGAGCCAGGCCACTGTCTTGCTCAATGCCAACGTCGGGTTTCTTGCCATCAACACTGTTGATAAGGGCGGTAGAGATGCTATTCAGCTGGCAAGCTACATGTCCTTGGTGACGAGCTTGGGGAGCATAGTCCTCGGCCTGTTCTTTGTTTCACATAATCGAACTTCTGGACAAAATACAGCCCTGGATGCAGTCAGTATATTCCACCGTATTACTAGAACATTCCTTATGGTAGTTGGTTCAGGCAGTATTTCTGGGAAAACTTCACAATGGAACACACGGAATGGAAAAGCTGGCCATAATTTATAGCCTCCCCAAGGCATTGCTGATGTGGGGGTGAGTCTGCACTCTAATGTAATAGGCCGAGATCCTGATATCAATATATTAGTATGGCCTTCTTCTTTGCGGCGTTCTCGATCGATTGGTGGACTTCTGGAGATATGACTTCCAAGACCATTGTTGGTACTGTGACGCTGGTCGTATTGGTGATGCTTTCAAACAGCATCATTCTCACCAGGGAAGGAGCAAAGTGGTCGTGGCGGCCAACCTGGCGGCTGTGTGGAGACATCGTCCAGGGACTGTCGTCTCGTCTGGCTGATGCTTGGAAGCAAGTCGTGGTGTTCGGCCAAATAGATCCTCGAACCCATTCTGACGCGATTGACCTTGTTACTTCCGTTGGCCTCTCTGCTGAGGCGGATGCTCAAATGCGCAGCACCTCTTATATTACAACATTTCCTAGTTCAGAAATACCGGGCCCGGACAAGTATGAAAATCGCCCCGACTCCCCTATCCCCCCGGTTCGGCCAGGCCACCCCACCGCTTCCGTAGATACACCTCAGCAACCACATACTGGCAACTTCGTACTGCCATCATCGGGTTCACGCACTAGCACAGGTGTTCTGTCACGCGCAGGCTCTTTGCAACAGATTCGAGAAAATACCCAAACGGTCTTCCAGGACCATTCTACCACGGAGACTCGCTGCGGGTCTGGTAGTGCCCCCTTGTGCGTGCACGTTAACACATTGCCAAGCTCTGCATCAGAAGGGATGGTTGGGACACTGGCCAATGCATTACGGCATTCTGATGCTCTCCCAGCCACGGCCACCATCATGTCCAAGCATGGATTACAGAGTGCAGCGGAAGACATCAACACGGGCGCACCCATATCTCCTGATTCATTTGGTACAGAAGAAAGGGAAGGTGTAACATACACCAAGAACGTGGTCGAAGAGCCTAGGGAACTCGAACATCCTCAACCTTCGTCGAGCACAACGCCACCTCCAAAAATCTATGCTAGAAGCGCCACTGGTGACCATTTCCATCATGCGCCAGGGGCTCCGCAGGCGACGCTGCTTGAAGCTGGCCATGACATAGTAGAGGAGTGCCACGAGTAGGAATACATACTTGCTCTGGCCTGCAGGGTCGCCATGGCAGATCGTGAAGGACATGAGGGCTGTCGAGCTCGTGGCCGTTGTTCAAGCTTCAAGGACCGTGGAAAGTCCATATACATACACCAAAATTGCATCAGATTTCATATACCAAAGATTGTGATCACACGCATATAACATGTTGCTGAGATGAAGAAAGATCAACTGGCTGTTGAAAACTTGCGGTCAAGCCAAGTTCAAGTTGGTATCCTGGGCGCCCACCCGTTACCATTGTCATCGCTTAATGTTCGGCAGGCACCCGGCACCCGTCAACACCCACAAATAACGCGCACTCTGTTCGTCGATCATCGAAAGTCAAGTGTACAGGCTCTCCTTGCTGTAAGTGTAAGTCGCTCGTGATGATCAGACTAATTTACACCATATACTAGCTTGCGCATTCGCAGCCGTCCGACTCGCCAACTCCAAGTAGTACACCCAACACCTCTCATAAAACTACGCTACACACCGAAAATAGAAATTTCACATCTCGTCCGGACTTTGCAAGCAGCATGAAAAGAAGTCTTTGCACCGAGGAACCTAATTGTATGGCCCTCGTGAACTATCACTGCAAGGGATCGATATTCGAGAGCTGCCAAGAGCAGTGCATCAGATAATCATCATCGAGGTCATCATTCAGCACAGCCGCGAGCCCACGAGCAGTTGAGCTTGCCCTGTGAGATGTGCAGCCTGTGTTGATTGCACATACTTGAATTCACACATCGCGGGTCGTGGCAGCGTCGGCATACTCTCGGCAGTGTTGCGGACTTTCTAAGCCTGAAGTCGGACCATGTGCAAAACAAATCTTTGTATCTCATGCATTGCCCGAAACAGTGGAATCTTATCCATAATGAAGTGCCTGTCGTGACATGGACTCATGCAGCGAGGATGAAACCACCTTATAGTACGTCGCAAACTCCTGTGCGGTCTCTATTAACTATAATGGTGGTCTGACTCCACTGCATCAGTCTCGCGTCAAGTTCAATCATGCCGCGTCAATGATTTCAGCATCCTGATCGTTTGATTTGCCTTGCATTTGGCTGAGTTGTTATTCTAATGCATGTCATGTATCAAAAAACTTATTGCAATACACTAACTTTTCACCGTCCAGTCTGAATCTGTTCTGGTTGTGTGCATTTGTTCGACTTGTTTGTTGTACAACGTGCACTATCTCACCTATAAATCTATGTCTATCGAAATCTATCAGTCGGGCTCGACTGCCCAGTAGAAGTGCTTGGGCCCGGTTGTTGTACGAGATGTCACAATATGCAATCGAATCATATAAAGGTGATACTATGGGTCCAGACGTCCATGAATCGACGTAGAGCTCACATATTTGAAGCATATAAAACGTATTGCATTGACGCTGAGGGAGTAATATACTAGGAAGAGTTGGGACTGTGCAATGACACGTTAAACCAATTTTAGGGCGCGTCACAGCCGCGTCATGACCGCGGCAGGCGCGGCAGGTTGCGGCAGGACTAGGTTAAAATAGTTACGCTCATTAATGAAGTTTGAAGTGGGCAACCGAGCCCAAGCTAATTGAGCAGCCCTAATAATCGAGTTGACAATCAAGTTGATTGTTTCTCACCTGCTGCGGCCGCCACCATCAATTTTTAGACCCATACGAGTACTAAATACTAAGTGCCCTGCCTGCCGTTAGCCTGATGGCAATTCCAATCTCCAGTCGCTCCATCATAGTATCTAAAGAGATTCTTGAAGGCATTCAAGGTCCGTGAGTCCTGCGGGGTTCTGCGAGACGGAACAAAAATTTAGATGTTTAGAACAGGCGCGCACACTATCATTTCTCAGCTGAACTCCTCCCGGTCAATCACCAAACTCAAGTTAAACAACAGCCGACTAGGGGATGACGGTGTCTCTGCACTCTTTACATTCCTCAGATCTCCGGCAGCCTCACGGCACCGCAGGTCGATATCGGAGATCCATCTCAACGATAATGATATAGGCTGCCGAGGTTTGCGCGACATAGCGGACTATGTGAATGGAAATGAAGTAGTACTGAAGACATTGTGGCTCGCAAACGTGAGTAATCATCTATCTTTCGGTTTCGCAAGGTGGATGAACACCGTCGATAGAACACGATAGGACCTGATACTGATGTTCTGGCCTGGTTTGCCACCACAGTAAATCACTCTCGCCTAGAGTTCCTTTCGCTCACGGGAAACTATAAGCTTGGCGATGCTGTCGTCGAGACCTTCTTTCGCCATCTAAGGGCACCCTACCTTCGGGAGTTGCATATTAATGCCATGGGACTAACTGCACGTTGTGCACCTGGACTCGCGGAGTGGATTTCATCGGGGCACACTGGTGGAGCGCGTTCCCTGCACACTCTCAAATGTAGTGGCAATAACCTAGGGATCAAAGGCGTATGGGAAGTTATTCACGCCATCGAAAAGGGTAACTGGTCGCTCATGAACGTGGAAGTGTATGCGAACCAACTAGCAGGCACGGAGATCCCGAATGACAACTCTCCCATTCAACAATCAGGGCATTTGTCATCCTCTGAAACGGAGGTGTCGTGGAAGGATGCAGAACGTGCTCTTCACCGCGTGCTTCACCGGCGAAACGCTTATTGGAAAAGACAAGTAGAGATGGAGGCATTGAATCTTCTCAAGTACTCCCGGACAGTCTTTCTTCGGTCCAAGGCTTCTTTTTCATTCGCGGATCAACACTCTATGAATAATTTGGCCAGCGAATCGTTTCCATTTCACAATCTTCCTATGGAGCTGCGCCTCCACATCCTTGCGGTCCTCGCTCCTTCATTATCTTGTGCACAACGTACCCGCATCTACGATTATGCTGCCGACCCTTCAACTCTTCCCCCGCTTCTACCGCGTCTACAACGAGATATTGGCCATGGATGTATCGCAGATCCCTCACGAGCCCTTGGAGCAAGTGTAGGATTTACATTGCACAGCTCAGGCGGTTGTGCTGAAGGGAAGTGTATGGGCACTGGTAACAGTCTTGTATGCCGTCGGGACGCAGAGCGCACCAGGTTTCTGGAAGCTGTTGGATGTTGTGCATATGAGCCTGAATGCGTCACCTGAATGCGGTAGGATCACTTCAGAGGATAATTGTTGATGCCATTCCGATGACATTTTATTTATGCAGTGTACATACCATGACTTGTGTAAGTTGCTGTACCAGTAACTCGTGACTCTACTGTATATTGTACAGGGCATATGTAGGTAATAGTATATCAATTCAACACATGTTCGAATGAACAAATTACAGCTATATTCATATCGGGTGATTTAAAGCCATAGGATTTAGAAACGTCTTCAGATCCAAACATATTTCCAAACCTTGTACCGAAAACCGACATGTGACATTATACACAATCGAACGATGACTTCCGCCTGTTAAGAATAACTCATTCCAAGCTCTTGTCTGAACGAGGGGTGCTACCCCCTCTTCTACTAGCTTCAAAATGACCTTCAAAGTTCAAACGTAGGTTTCGCAGTCCACGAGATCCTTTGACATGGCCCGGCGGTCCGGAGACACGTCACCTCGAGGAATAGGGTTTGTGCACCACTGTCACGGTGTTGCAAACCCAGCCTCAAGAATTTTCCATGTCGAAGTTCATCGTGACTGTCATTTCATGCATACCAGTGTCTGCCATGGAGTAGCAATTGGTCATAGTAGCAGGTCACTTCGCACAACTCCGAGATATGTGCGATGGGGACGGTTCGGTGTCGCTCCAACAAATAAAAGCGGTCAAGTGTATTTTTCAAATTCTGGTCTAGCCATTGATATGAAGATAGCTGCAAACATATATAGAACGAATTTCAACAAGAGGGGAGTCGCCAATGTTTGGGTATCATTCGCGCAAGTATTTGAGTCCTGAAAACAACTTTGATCCGGAATGACGACAGACATCCCTGATATCGACATACAGCTTATGCAGTGCGAGAATAGCGGGCTATTCATATCCGACCGCAAGGCTGAGGAATAAGCAGGCCGCTGCATGGAGAAATATTATGGTTGCAGGACATATATCTGGCAGATGCACGGAACCCCGAGGTGTACTGTGGGATCCGGAACTAATAAACTGCTTTTGATCAACCCGACGTTGGGCGTTGAGTTCCTGACTGGATGTCAAGTCGGCTACGATGGTGCCCTGTGCCGTATCTCCACATACACTGACCGCATCATGTTCATCTGGGCGTTCGTTCGACTATTCGGGTGTAAGGAAACTTGTGTGCATAATCAATTAGTGCAAAAGCTACATGCAAAGACGTTGCATCGATGAAGCAGCTGCTAAACATCTTTGTTCATAATGAGATTTAAACAAATCTGCCTTTGATTTCCTGCGAAAATTCCTCCATGGTATGGAACTTCACCCCTAAATTGATTAATCGTGGATCAGGGATAGTGGTATGCGGGTATAGTCCAAACTCGGACTGAAAAGCATACTGAGAAAATATTATCAGCATCAAGCTTACATTACCACTCAAGTTAATACTCGCCATCTCGTCCATTTCCTGTAAGACGTTTGAGAACATGGACTGCATCAGAGAGAAAGTATATACGAACCTGCATTCCAGTGGTCGGGGAGGACACAAATGATACTGGCTTCCCTAATGCTGATGGAAGCAAGAAGATTAGATCAAAAAATTCCTGCATTTTAACCACATACCCTGCTGGAGGATTGATGCAAATTGAATGTAGTTCAACTTTGCACTGACAGCATAAAACGTGCATGAGAGAATTTCTGATTCAGGATCTTTGTAGTGCTTGAGGAGCGCTAATGCGCACTGGCCAAGGTCCCGCTCAACCCAAGTGATATACTGAGGAGATTGAGAGTCATATCTGGGCACGTTTAGCTCTAGGCAATCGGAGTCCGGCACAAAGACGAGATTATTGTAACTGTCATGAAGTTTGCGTCAGTCATGCAGATGCCTTTATCTATGTAAAAACATCTCACTTCCAGAGATTCTCCGAAAACCAGCCTTTAATCGTCGGTGTCAACTGATCGAAAAGGTTCAAAAGACATTGATAAAACCACTTACCGGTGTGTAGAATGGAATGGGGCACACCGGAGTCTCGTAGATAGTCATCTATGTCAGCTTTGTCTAATATGCATGTAATTAGTTCATGTCGCATGCTAGACAAAGAAAGACCTACTGTCGAACTGGTAAACATTTGCATACTTCCCGTTGGACACCCTTGTACAATGCGGAAGAGAACTGCGGAAGGTACGCACTAAGGCCGAAGTCACAAGAGAAAACAACCAAATTCACCTCCAAATGAAGTACTTAACGTCCATTGATTTGGCAGCGTCAACGAGATTCTTCCCGAGTAGCATTTCGCTGTTGTGACCTTGAGTGACGTTTTTGGGATCATAATAGTCAGTGATCTGTTAAAACAGGTGGTGGTAAGCTAAGCCTTCGGAGGGCAATAGAACAAACGTGTCATACCCCATAAACGGCTTCAACACCGGACAGGGCTTGCTTTAACGAGTCAATGTCCCCTAAATCAGCTTGTGCAACCTCGGCCCCAAGAGTCTTCAGCTTCAACGCTTTCTCCGAACTGCAGTTTCGGGTGATTGCACGCGGCACGAATGTACCATCTGCTAGTAGAGCTTGCATGACAGATGAGCCTGATGGTTCTGATTAGCCAGTAACTTGAGCATGGATGTCATCAGCATGCCTTGAGTTCCAGTGGCTCCAAACACAGCAACTATGCGAGGTGACATTGACATTGCTCAGATATGAGTGAGCGAAGTAGAGAATGGGAGATGCTTTATTCTATTCCGTACCTTGACACCTTTAGTAGTCATTCTCAAATTGTTTATGTCCTGTTGTGACACTCCGTCAGGCGAAGTATCTATTCACTTCTTGTGCGGTGTTCGGGGTGGAAACAAGGTCCCCGAGCTGTAATGCATCCAATGACGAGTATGTTGATGCAAGGTATAGGCGGCGACCGGTGGCACTGCGAATGGGATCACCCTGAAGCGGGCAGACTTGTTCACGTGGATCCGAGAGAAAAGGGCATTAGAATCTACAGAATTATCCGGATTTTGCAACCTAACCAACTCAGTATATATGATCCGTTGGGGCAAGGATAATTCGATCTCCCCGCACCAGTGACATCTGTCGCGGCGAACTTCAGAGATCAGATCCACCTGTGATGTCAAAACACAAATAGCTAGTCATTTGCCACAGTGCACGCCGGAAACGTTCAAATTTTGTCCATACCAAATCCATATCAAAGATCGCTCCACCACGCCCAATTTCATGTGGGTCCTCTGGTTAGTACCCCAAATTGACTGCTTACGTCAACAGGGTTACTCTGTCGGTAAAGGCTCGATGGCAGCTACTTCTGGTTTGCACGTATAATAGCAAATAATAATCATCCTTTGAACGGGAAAGGCTTGTGAAGCGTTTCGCATGCATGGGCAACAAGGTCGTTTGCCAGTCGCGTTGAGTCGGCAGCATGCACGACCGTATCAAAGGTGGTGTCATTCGCGGTGGCATGGATGACATATCAGAGTCCAGACATATGAGTAGAGTTGTGAGAATTTATGAAGCGCACAGTACTGATATCGCAAACGGTGTCCACGTCAGAGTTCAAGATGAGAGCAGTAATACAGGTATCGCCTAGCCTATAATTTACGTTCGGGCTTGACGTGGCACTGCAGACATGATTAAGTTTAGTCAAGTTTTAAGGACGTAGTGAGGCACGTAACGAAGAACCGAACCATCTTTCCTGTCTGCAACCACTGCTCACTACAGTACAACTTGGGCGGTGGGCAGTGGGCACAAGCCTGAATACGAGCTTTGTACAAATCTGCGAGATCAGACCAAAAAGGAAAGTGCCAGGGTCACCTACATACCACCAGCATAATCTTCGGCCTTTGACCTCTTTTCACTTACTCTATCATAAGCTAAAGCATATGCCATGGTTAAGCGAAGAATCAGTGAAGGTACTTGCACCATTGTCATTAATTTGACGCACAGCTGTACTGCGGAATGTGCGCGGTGATTTCATCATGATAGAGACTCCATCTTCAAATATAGCTCCAGTCTGTGACTTCGCGACTCCTGGATGAAGAGAATGTTTCCTGATGTTTCCTGAACACGTCCATCCAAAGCTTCACAGGTGGCCGGCATTCATTTATCTCTCAGGTCGCTTGAAGTCTCTGCGCTGCGGCCAGGCTGCTTGAGATGATGTGACCTCGGGATTTCTTTCTTATCATCTGGTATTCTGTTCACTTCTGCTTGGTTTGGCTTACATTTTTCTTACTTTTGGACCCAATGCTACTCCCAGTGACGCCCCTTTCCAAAAGTATCTTTAATATTCATACTACTTCGGCATCGTGGACTTATAAATTGAATTGTAGTTCTTGTTAGCACACGCGATGCCCTTTCTTTTCAATCGACAACTGAAGACGGCGTGTATGGGGACGCGATCGCACGCCGCTTGAGCCGTTCTGCTGCGCATCGGCGTACAGCTGGCAGTTACAGCTGAAACGGGACGCAATTGGTGATAGAATTGGGGAGGGTCCTTCCGGTTATACCCCGAAAAGATCGATGTCGTCATTTTGCACTTATCGAACAAGGCCTGGCCACACGATGAGCGCAATTGCACAATCTTGTCCGACGCATCATGCGGAGAAAAAGTTGTAATGAACTCCAGGGCCGAGCGGTACAAGCTTGGTCCAACTCTCTCCTAATGAACAACACATCAGGCTAAACTATGTACACAACGATCATAATTCAAACTACCTGTTGCAGGCAACAGCGACAAAGCCGGCGCTTTTCCGACGAGTCAGTAGAATCTCCCCGAGGGCTCACTCTGGAATTTGTCAAGTGATGTTCTAGAAGTGGTGCATCTGTCAGCAAATCAAATGTATCGGCCGCATCGAGCTGCCGGTGGGCATGGGTTTCGTGCTGTTCAAGTGCGGCACCAGTTGAGGAGCGAACGTCGTGTAACTTCAGAAGAATAATCTTGATGTTCTGCCTATTCTCAAGCATTGCGTTGTTCTTCATAGTGAGACAATGACTGGACATGTTTTTGACTGGAGCTTACTCTTCAGCTTTATGACTACCTCGGTAGGCATTCTGATTGGTGGAAACCTAGCTGGGCTGCACCTTGGAGAAGGCAAAATGGCTCTGATGACACGCTTGTGGGTGCGATGGGCAATGGTAGACATGTGATTTACTATCTATCATTACTAAATGTGCGGGCACTACTTACGTTGAGAAATGCATGCATTGAAGAAGGGATGTGGTAGCGAGAGGGGATCTGACAATATGTCGCGGATTCATTTGCACACGAACAGACGGCTTCGATGTAATTGGAGTGGTTAACGGCGGCTCGTTGCATGTGGTGGATTGATAATTTATCCTGTGGTCATATCATCAGCCAGCTTCGTCCACATCACCGCCAATGACCCAATTGCACTAGAACGTGGACATGTGTCAGTGTGTCGAATTTCTATCAAGACGGTGGCCACTGGTGACAATATTAGTCCACACTGATACTAGTAGTAGTAATAGTAGCTGTTGTCAGATGAGTCCACAACTCGCCCATACGCTTATTAAGCAGTTGTTTCAGCCTTCTTCTCCTCGCTCGTGGTTGCAGACTCAAACAACACTATGGCGACCAAAGAAGACCAAGAGGCGCTGCGTCTTCTTGTCCAACATGTCTCCCGAGGATTCTACGAATCAAAGTTCACTATTATCATGGACCAGCTAGCCCGTCATCCGGTGTAAGTATCTAGAATGTGGATGAAACAGAGCCCGTTAACCTTTCAACTACGATGTGTACCCATGACCACTAATTTGGCACCAGTCTCAAGGACGACGACCTGGCCGGGCGGATGGGCCTTCAGGCGAAGGAATTGAATAAACTTATGGCCGTTTTAGGGAACGACCGTCTGGTGCAAGTGTAGGTGTAGTCACCTGTATTTATCTGTAATCATATCTGATTTTACCCCGAGATACCGCCAAAACGAGCTCAAGGAGGGGGCCCAGAGGTCTGTTGGAAGACAGTACTATTACATCGACTACAAGCTCTTTTGCGATGTCGTTAAATGGCGCATCGCAGAAATGCGGAGAATTATAGATTCCGGTCTCCGTAATGTCAGTCTAGACTCATTTTTTCCTGTGACGCACTGAAACAAATGTATCTGTTTAAAGGAACTCGACAACAAAGGCTACATCTGTCCGCAGTGCAGCAAATCGTACGCACCATTAGAAGTCGACAAGCTGATAGATTTTTCGAGAGGAATACTTGTGTGCGAGGACTGCCATGCAGAAGTTGTGGAGAATGAGAACGCGGAGAACGTCAGGGGAAGTCAGGACCGGATGCAGAGGTTCAATCACCAGATGCGGTTTGTTGTCGAAGGTTTGAGAAAAACAGAATCTATGGTTCTTCCAGCGTGCGTATCTCAATACATCAACCACATATCCTTCCTGACGCAGTATGTTGCAGGCTTGATGTTCCCACTTGGGTCAAAAATAATGTTGGTGATGCTGAAAAGCAAAAGACTGGCCAAGTGTCAGGTTTGAAAATAGCAGGGTCTGGACCTGGCGGGAGACAAGAAGATGGTGTTGGCATAGTCATGTCAATGGACAAGGACGAAGCAACGAGACGGCAGGAACGAGATGCTGAGGCAGCGGCAAAGCGACAGCAAAACGCCCTGCCAGCATGGCACTTGAAGAGTACTATCACCGGTGATCTGACGGCTCTTGGCATGCAGGAGAGTGCGCGTGCCGTGGGGAGAGAAGGCGAAGGCCTGCCAGTATCCAGCGACGACTCTCTCAAAGGGCTTGGAACTATCGGCACTCTGCCACGTCCACTTCACCTGACAGCGGTGACGGAAGATGTGAAACCAGAAATCAACCAAGAGATGGATTGTACGTCGTTGCGATGTGAATTCTGTATCGTTATGGTGATCTAACGGTATACAGATTACGACCAGTACTATGCGTCGTTGGCGGCCTCTAACGCAGTTTCCTCTCAGAACACGCCCAGATCTGGCCTCGGAAGTGAAGAGTTTGAAGAGGAGGAACAAAAGCCCTCTGTGCAGTACCTAGATTCCCTCAATGATTACAGGAAGCGGTCCCGATCACAAGAGGACGAAGGTGCTGCAGCAACGAAGTTGCCTAAGATCGATGTTCCAGAACCAGAACCAAACATCACTGATTCTGTGATAGAGGCAAATGGGGCGGATGATACCCCTGTATTAGGTGGGTTTTCGTTCTCCACATCAAAATCTTAGTATCCTCACCCTTGTGCCGCTTTCGCAGTCAACGGCGTCTTGAAACCATTTTCGGAGGTTACTGATGAAGATACCGAACTTATGACGCCAGACGAATATACCGCGTACTACGAAGTTTTGCAGTCGCGGTCGTAGACCTAATTTATTTAAGCTACCCTGGGTCTAAAGTAGTCGATAAAGGGAAACACATTATAATTGTTGTACTAATTCAAGATAATAAATGCATTCTTGTGTATGATGTACTGTCGGCTTCGGTGGTCCTTCGCATCTCAGATCGTGTAAAGAAGACTGTTTCAATTACATGTCTAGGCGGCCTACTTCATCACGTGATTCGGTTCTTCTGAGCTTACATGAGCGGAAATGGCCAAATAAAATATTCATGTTCTCGACTTGAAAGCATTCCCCAAAACGTTTACAGCAAGCCGCAACCTCTTCGTGATACCCCCGAGGGAGGCGCCCTTAGATACCACAGGCACGTCGGTAGCTCAGGAGTTCGATAGCGAGTCAACCATGGACTATACCATTTTCAATCCAATCGATTTACCTTGCGGTCGTACTATTGAGAACAGGCTAGTGAAGGTAGTGTTTCCGTCTACATAATCCGATGAGAGTTGTTTAAAACAGAGTCGTTGTCATAGGCAGCTATGTACGAGCACATGGCAAATTTCCCTGGTGGTCCACCAAACGAATTACACTATGGGTTGTACTCTGAATGGGCAAAGCATGGATGGGGAATGATTATCACTGGGAACGTCCAGCTCTCACCTCAGCATCTGACCTTGGGCCGTGACATCGTTGTGCCACCCACACTCAATGCAGAGGATCTCAAACCCTTCGAGAGGTTGGCAGAAGTCATCCACGGAGCTGATGATGGCACGCGCCCCCTGGCTATTATGCAGCTATCGCACGCAGGACGCCAATCAGCGAATTTTATTGGTGGTCGACCACCTTTTGTTCCACCACTGGCCCCTAGTTCTGTTCGTGTTGGGGCAGGTCATACTGAAAATCGTGGAAGGGGCGCAATCTCTGACTTGATGTTTTATGCGTTGTTCCAAGTTCCTACGGAGATGACCACACTGGACATTCTCTATGTCCAATCCAGTTTCGTGCGAGGCGCTCTCTTGGCGTACAAATCAGGCTTTGATGGAGTCCAACTTCATGCTGCCCATGGATGTGAGTCCATATAATATTTGCGTTCATGTATCTGGGTTGAATTTGAATTATTTGCAGACTTACTGGCACAGTTCATGAGCCCTAAGGTGTGGTCGCTGTGTACTTCAAAAAAACTAACTACAATTACGTGTCAGAGTAATATCCGGAACGACGAATACTCAGTGGCACCGGAAAATGTTACCCGCATGCTTTCTGAAATAGTTGAAGCTATCCGCAAGGTGGTGCCAACCACTTTCATAATTGGAATCAAAATCAACTCGGCTGATTACGTCACTTCTGGAAGCGCCGAAGAAGTAGCTCGGGAAGGCGAACGGCGTGTCCTAGATCACATTCGCACCATTGCAAGTTGGGGTACCATCGACTTCATCGAGATTAGTGGAGGAGATTACGAAAAGCCTGGTAAGGGGGCGTAAAGCGAGAATGTTCCTCACGGTCTAACCCGATCTCTTGCTCAGACTTTATGGCATGTAGTGGATCTCAAAAACTAAACCGCCAGGCCTTCTTTGCGCAGTTTTCACGGACAGTCATGAAGGACCTTCACCAATCGCCTGTCCCTTTCTCTTCCATCCCACTCATTCTACTGACTGGTGGCTTCCGTTCCCATTCTTATCTACAAGCTGCCTTGATGTCGAAGCACGCCGACTTGCTAGGCATCGGGAGAGGGGCTGTCCTCTGTCCCGACCTGCCCAAGATTCTTCTATTACAGCTACAAGATAGCAAGTCTTCTAGCACTTGGGCTGACAAACCCTTTGCACACGAACCAGAGGCAGTGTTCAGAGCTTCTAAATGGGTACCAAGTGTGAAGCTCATTGGCGCTGGCGTCGGGACTGCATGGTATACCATCAGAATGAGGGATATTGCTACCTCCCAGATCAAGAACCCTAGGGCAGAACCACCACCTGCAGATTACAACAGAGGAGGATTAATCGCTGTGTTTAAGATGTGGGTTTGGTTCGACTCTAGAATAGCTCCGATTTGGGTCCTAGGAATATTCATGGTGCTTATTGTCACGACCGAGGTTGTCTATCACTAAAGGTGGCGTCATCGGTACGCCAGGCTGATCGGGACGTTCATGCCGGTGCGGCCTCCGAGCAGGGCAGGACGGCCGAAGGCACCTTGGCACTCCACGTGGCCCATTGTCACCGATTGTCGCACCCCAACTAGGAGATGCTGGAGGAATTCGTACGTTTCATAGGACGGAATACTCGTCACTATACAATGTGTTTGACTTGTGTGGTTCATTTTTCGATCCAGGACTCTGACTAGCTGATCAGGTTGATCTGAAAAGCGACTTACAATAACCTCCTCATTCTTCTCATTCTCATTCTTCCGGTATATCTCCGCGCGCGACGTCAGTGAATGAGTTGTGCTGATTCAACCATTCCCATTTCTGACATTGCCTTTTAATATTTGTGCCGAAATCAGTCACGGACGATCGTATTATTGGAAGCCTCGCTATCTTGCTACGACTTACTCTTTGATACAAGCAATATAATCGTTGCCCTTAGGGAGGATATTGTTGCTGCTTCCGAGATCGACGGGATCTATCAGTTCGGCAGCCCCAACTAAGCAAAACAAATCTAGGGAAGACAGTCAACACTCCTGGGGATGCTACCTCGTACTGTCTAGCTGGAGTTTTCTCGGTTTCCCCGGCTGCAAGTAGAACCGTAAGGTGATAAGCCTCTTGGATGAACCCATCGCATTCGTATTATTATTCGCAAAGGCATGCGCTTTTCGGCACATATGGTCCGTAGATGGCATAATGTGGAGGTCGTGACTCTCGCGATTGTCACTGCTCGGTAAATATAGTTCTGAAGAGGGCTATAAATCTAGGGCGTGCGAGGCCACCAGTCTGTCAATTGATTCTTGTATAGTGATATCAGCATGCCTGCGACGACATCGGTCACACTCAACACTGGAGCAGTCATGCCCACGGTCGGTCTTGGTAAGCACAGCCGAAAGGGGGACCATCTCATGTACTGAACGTTGAACGTTTGTGAATGTAGGCACATGGAAGTCCAAGCCCGGTCAAGTCGAATATGCTGTTGAATTCGCCTTGAAGAACGGATACACGCATATTGACACTGCCGCTGGATATCAGAATGAAACAGAAGTCGGACAGGGCATCAAGGCATCTGGTCTGCCAAGGGAGCAGATCTTCCTGACCACGAAGCTTGATAACCCCGATCAGAGGCATCCGGAAAAGGCCCTTGAGGCATCGCTGAAGAAACTTGACACTCCTTATCTGGACCTCTGTAAGTGGCAACCTGTTCAATGATCTTGACGAGTGGACTCATTTCTTGAGCAGGGCTCATGCACTGGCCAGCTCCCATGACAAGGGATGGCAAGCCAGACATGGGACACGACTGGTTGGACACCTGGAAAACTATGGAAGACTTACACCTTGCTCACCCAGAGAAGCTGAAGGCCATTGGTCAGTAGCCCAATCTCACGTGCCATACCTGTACTAAAAATGCATCAGGTGTTTCTAATTTCTCCGTGGAGTACTTCGAACGCTTATTGAAAGTTGCCCGCGTGGTACCGGCCGTGAACCAGATCGAGCTCCACCCGTAAGTCACTACATTTGTTTGTTGAGCAGCTTGATTGTGAATCATTATCCGTAGTTCGTGTCCTCAAGATGACGTCGTCGAGTACTGCCAGAACAAGGGAATCGTGTTGACAGCTTATTCGCCATTGGGATCCGACAATTCCCCCTTGTTGAAAAACGAGACTGTAACAAAAATTGCAGCGAAGTACCGTGTGCAACCCGCCAATGTGTTGATATCCCTTCATGCAAACAAGCCCATGCACACTGGTGTGTAGTCTTCGTGAACATTCTTACTGGAGAGCTTAGTTCTCAATGGTATAACAGTGCTTCCCAAGTCCGTGACCAACGAGCGTATCTTGAGTGAGGCGTTGTTCCATCATTAATTTTGACTGTCATTCATTATTTTCCTCAGACAATGCGAAGATCATAGATTTGACCCCTGAAGAAATCGGCGAGCTTCATGACATTGATAAAACGCACCATTTCCGTGCTTGTCACCCTTCTTGGACAGGTTTCGGTGGTCTCGGATTCCCTGATTGCAAGTAGATTTATGGGTAGTCAAAGTGTAGGCGTAGAGGTGGTTCAACGTGTGTCTGCAAGACCCTGACGAGGAATTGGAATCCATTGATCCTAGTCGGGTTACTAAGTAAATGAAGGTATCATGAGCTGAGAGCTCTGACATTTGCCAGCTAAGTCGCTACATTATGGTTGAGTATCCCATCTGCGATATTGGTGCCGATGAAATCTCTGCTATTGGTTTGGTGCCATGGGACTCTCATCATTTAACGGTCTAACTGAACTGTATCATCAAGGTGAATTTCATGTTGGAGCACTCCAGAATACTTTATGCTGCCTATAGCTAACTATCCCTTATAGGCGTTGGATAAAGCATATAAGTGTGGTTGTATTTTCTGGGACATTGCAAATGGCTATGGGGACAACGAACTCATTGGCAAATGGTACGCCTTATCGTCCTGTAAGGCAAGGGTGGCCCAGGTTCGAGCGGAACCCTGAAAAGTGGAGCAAAATCTATAACTCTTACCACAGAATTCGGTCTTTTAAGTCTGGTCAAGGGTTTGACGGTCCCCAAAAATTGTCCACAGGTCATTTTGTAGGATCGAAGAAGTTGCTTGGCGTTGATAAGGTTGAGCTTCCTTCGAGTATCTAACAAATTATAGTTTTCGTGAGCCCTTACCCGCCAATCCTTAGGTTCGAAATCATTTTCATGTCGTGAGCCTTCAAATGGTTTCCACCAGTCTGCGGTACTTACATTGTGACTGTCGTGATCAGACCGCGCCCAAGAGGTGAATAGGCGATGATCTTAATTCCAAGCAAGTTACGGGCCGTATTTAGGATATTGAGCCGTAGACCCTCGACATCAAATGTGGAAGGCGAGTACTCCAGTTGGACAGCAGGGATAGGGTGCATGTTCTGAGCCCGATGGGGCGTGTCCACACTGCATTCCGACAATCCGAGATACCCCGCCTTTCCCAGGATAAACTAGAATCAAGACTCAAGGAGCCGTTTGCTTACTTTACGAGCTCTGCCATGGCGCAGACAGTTTCCTGACCGGCTTTAGAAATCTACAGAAACTCGACCGACAGACACGTACTTCAAGTGGTGTTGGGGATCGGGTCTGTGAGGATGATATGGAGGTCCAAGCCCAATCATCCTGATATGCTGTGCACACTTGTGTAAGTAGTATGCGCGCTCAGTTATCTCCATTTCTGGTACAAAGAAGATTAAGGTTAGTGGTAGCATCACTGCGTAGTGGCCGCCGCCCTACAACCTCGGCCGGGTATCCATCGCTTTGACATTGACAGTACCTCGAGGAGAATCTCGATGCTATCAAGATGTCGTTGAGTCCTGCAAGCAGTCAGACCAGGAAATGTGTATGATTGCAGAGAAGGCAGGTTGGATGATTGGGGATCGCTACTAGTACCCTCCAGTATCTATGAAGACGCTGTATGTAGAGACTCCACTTCCAAAGAGCAACTGGACTCCGCCATAGACTCGATAGTCATACCTGTACATGACAATAATGCCTGAGCGCTTGAGCCCTGATATGATGAAGCTGTCAAACAATTCACACGAAGCTAATCGTTAGAACACAGAATCGGGCAAGCCTGCGACGCGCTTCGACGGGACAATAGTTTCCTTATTCTCCGTTAACGTCACTTACAATTGTCTACTCTTATACGATATGTTTCACTTATTGTACCTACTGTTTGCCATGGCCCGGCTAACGCCGATTTTCTTTTGTTGTCCTTCTGGACCTTGGTAAACTAGGACAATGAAACCTACCTTACTTATAGCCATAAATTATCAGCCTGCATACCTTAGACATCTGCGTTCCACGCGCTCGACTAAGGTAAGATGTCTTATATTGACTCGTCCTTATCATTACTCATGCTACGCGGAGAATCTGCTTGCTACAGATCCGTGTGGACTTTATATAGATCCTTGACATACCTGTGCATACACTGATATTGGGCTTACAATGCCGAGCAGTAAAATGTCCCAGTCGATGCACGCGAAGAACGCATGCATCGATTGGAATACTTTCCTTCCCGGAGTTTCCCAAGGGATCTGTCGAGCGCTTCGAGGGAAACAATTGGTCACCATGCGCAATAACTTGCGAACAACCTCAGGGTGCCTCTCCTTGCCCAACTTATTCAAAGCATATTCGAGGGCCTTTTCGGGTGAGGCCGTCACAGATATAAAAGGAGTTCGACGTCGATTTCTCCAATCATGCAATTCTAATTGACGTCGGGCATTCCGATGGTCGCGGTAGTAGACAGCATTCCGTATGCTGGCCAGAAAGCCCGAGGTATGACTGAACTGGGAATAAGTCTCCTCATCAAACACTCGGTAGAGATCGTGGGAGTGTTGTCAGAAATTCCTAATCTAGCTTTCAATGCATTACAAAGCATTGAAAATTTTAAATACAAACTGCTGCTTGAAATAGATTTTAATAATAGAGTGCGCCTTGTAATGGGCATTGCAACCGTCATTGCAATGCCAATTGTAATGGGCATTGCAACTGTCATTGCAATGCCAATTATAATGGTAATTGAAATAGGTTTAAATCAATATTAATCATTGTAATGGACTGTTTGTACAGCAATTGGTTGTAATGATGCCCCCGTGTCACCACTTCTTGGAATACTGGACCTTATCTTACAAGCCCCTTTTTCTATTTGCTACGTTGCCATCTTATCTTTTGGTTTCTATTGCCCTATGCTTATTAGTTAGTTATATTGTATTGTGTTTGTATTGCTTACTGTTATCACCTTTGCTACGTTGCTATCTTATCTTTTAGCTTATGCTTATTAGGTCCTGTTATGTTATGTTAGTTAGTTTACTATCTTATCTGGTTTGTGTTAATGCTTACCTTGTCTATTATATAGTCTGTACTTGGTAGGTTTCGAATGCTCGACTGTGTAGTAGTTATTAGCTTAAGCTTAAGGTCACGTGATACTTAGGACTTACCGCGACAAAACTGTTAGGCTAAAGGGTCTTTTTATATAGGGTAACTTGATTGTATTTGAACCATTGTTTTTGGCTACCTATAAGGCAATAGCAAGTAGCATAGACTAATAAGATTTGGTGTGCACGAAAGGCGAATCAAAGATGTAACATTACATATGAAATGAAAAAAAGACTAGTATATCTACTAATAGTATCCTAAGTAGCACAAGTACTGTGTCGAACACCTGTAGCTGCAGGCTTCTTTGCCCTAGCTCTTCCTCTCCCTCTCCCTCAAGCTGGTGGCTGTTCCACATCTGCATCCTGTACTACAGCTGTATTAGTAGCTGCTGAAACTGCTGCATCACCCTGAACAGTAGCTCGGAAAGTAGCACTGAGAGTAGAAGTAGTACTGAGTGATGAAACAGTGCTGAGAGCAGCAGGAGGCTGTGCCACCTCAACAGTGTTGGAATGAAAGGCAGTGATACTCTGGACTGTGGAAGATGTTGGAGTAGGTTCAGAGATGTCTGACTCGTTGTCGCTATCAATATTGAGTGTGTTCATTGCGTGAATGACTTCACTGGAGTGATCTTTTTGAGTGGCTGCAGAAGCAGATGATTTTGCAGTGCCGAAAACTTCTCAGTCGATGTTTTGCACAATGGTCTGGATGCAGCAGCTGTCCCACTTGGTGAGCAAGAGTTTCTTGTAGTGAAAGAAAAGGTCCTTGTAGTTGATGCCAGAGGACTTTCCTGTGCCTGACTTCTGAAATTCGGTATCGGGCAATAGCAAAAAGATTGCCTGCAATAGTATCAACTGAGTGAGAACATTCGACATAGTGTAGATAAAAACTTACAATGATGGCAGCCCATGCAATAGACCCTGGCGTAACGTGCTTGAGGTTCCACTTCTGGGCGTTGGTCTTTGGTCCACCAGTGGTCTCTTGGTGAAGCAAAGTAACACTGTGAAGTGCGGCCTTCAGAATCTATTCAGAGATATATCAATGTCACTATGACACACTCATTGACTGAAAGAAACACATACCTTAGCCAAAAGTTCCCAGTTTCCAAACACAGTCTTCAAGGTAGGGTCCTCTTGTATTCCAAGGAACAGGACCAGCGGAAATGTCTTGTACTTCAGATTTGCTGCTGACACTCCAAGCATTTTCTGTATTTCAGCGACATCGGCTCTGCGGTACTGGGTATTGCTGAAGTATACTCCTGGAAGGTTGAATATATTGCCTGCAATGCTACGCAGTTTGTTGATTTCCGATGAGCAAGCCTCAGAAATGGACCTCATTACCTGGAGGATGATTGTTAGTTTAACAAATAGTATTGAAACATGTAATACATATGAGATCACTGAAGTATGAACTTTCCATAACACCATGTAAATGATCAGGAAAGTGCTGAAATAGTTCGTCTAAAAATGCTGATTCCTGGGTCATTGCTGTCAAATACCGGTCTTGGCTGTTGAATGGAGTTGGATTCTTGGGACATTGTTTGCTGAAAAGGTCAGTGTTAGGGAACATTTCAATAGTCATGCTGTATTTATGGGCATAAAGTGTGATGGTTTGCTTGTGGGCCAGGAGTTCATCGGGAGCCCCTGCGTGATGTTTGCATTTAGGCTTCTCAGCAATGAGAACCTTGTTCTCCTTGCAAAGAGTGCGATTTTCCTCAGCGAGCTTCTAAACCTGGATTTGCAGCGCCTTGAGTGCCTAGAGTAAGAGTAGAGTTAGATAGGTAAATTGATCTTAACATCTAAAACTTATGTCCATGAAGTCTCCCTTTGAGGCATTTGGCCCTGGAATTGCAACAGATTCAACAATAGGCTCTGCATCCCATTCATTATCTGAGTCAGATGTGTTTTGAGAGAAATGAGACATGGTCCAAGGTGCTAAAAAGATACAAGGAGATGAGAAATGGTCAGCATGACAGCGCTGTATATAAGGTAAATTGTCCTGCCTCATGCTTGATGCAACTGAAGTTGCAGCAATGTATCAGCAGCGCCAAGAAAAACATGCCTATGCTCTGACTATTGGTTATGAAGGAAGGTGTGATAGCCTGGAGGTGACCTTTGATAATTTAATACAACAAATGAAATCAACACTGCAAAGTAATAATCAGCATGTAATGTCTAAATCATGGGCTGGAATATTATGTTTTGAGCTCCTAGATGACGGGATATCATCAGGGTCTAGTACAAGAGCAGGATAGCCTGCCATGAGTAACTTTGGCCCAACCACTGCTGATAGACATTCTGCCGCACGTAAGAGGTGCACTCAATGTTAGGAAATGTACGAAATCAATCTCATGAAGCCACAAGCATGCATTATGTTCCAGATGCAAGTATAGCAGCAAGATCTTTCTTGCCAGCTGCTGCAAGTTGGTGTGAATGGGCTTTCAAATGGACTGCATAAAAATGAGCTGTTGTGGGTGACATCAAAAAGTTAAGGACTTACAGAGATGATCTAGAGGCAGTAACACCACCTTGATGGCATTGGCATCATCTTGCACAGGTGGCATATTCTTTAATAGTGCAGAGCAGTCCACCCCATACTCATCTTGCCAGATCATGGCTTTGAGAATCAAATCATCCATGCAGCAATCCCATGAGTCTTCATTGATGAGATCAACCTGTTCAGTTCATACACTCAGTGACATCTGGGTGTGAGCAGATGTGCGAGGTTATGTAGGCAATGGCCTCTTGAGCAGCTTCACCAAGCTGAGATGGATTCAAGGATAGGCTGTCAAGCTCCATGATAACCGGAACTGGTAGGATGATGGTCCATCAGAGACTTTCGATGATGGATGTGATGGCTGATAAGGAAGATAAAATGATGTTGGTGTCCAGCACAAGAATAGTATAACCTGCCACAATGTTCAAAGATGGCATTGACACAATTTTCCAGGAACGGGCTGGATGAGACCACTGTTTGGGCATGTGAGCAGGTGCGTGCTGACCTGAAACAAGAAGTGATCGCAAGTACCTCTGGCGTGCCTGTTCATGTCATCAAATACCATCCAAAATTCACCAACGAGGCAACTCACCTTGAGATCCTTGACTTCCTCATGATCATTTTCGTCCTCTTCACCCTGTTCTGATGTTTCCTTAGACTCAGCATCTTCATCATCGACATCGATGTCCACAGAGTCGTCATGATCAACATCCTGTCACAGCTGATGAACAATCAACCAAAGAAGTATAGTCAGAAGGAAGAGACTCACAAACATGCTCATAAGGAGCTTCAGTGTCCAAATCAAATGCTACACTACCACCATCAGCTCTTATCCAAACTCAAAAAGTCAAGCAAAAAATTCACGAGTCCAGTCCCCATTGATCAATGCTCTCTCTAATCACCAACAATCCCAAACAGATTACAATCAGCAAAAACCCTCATGTCACTCTGAAAAGATGCACCAAGCTCGACAGCAGTGATCGCACCCGATCGGTCTGTATCAACAGCAGTGAACCACAACCAGAGCCTTTTATATCACATGTGCATCAGTTGAGAAGGTACATTTCTTGATAAGTTCTGTGTGTGCTTCAAAGATTTTGTTGGTGGCTGGTAAAAAAGCAGTTTGGTGTAGTGGTTGATAAGAAGCATTTAGTTCGTGGAGAACAAGCAATGTTTACTGATTGATGAAGTCCTTATGAAAGGAGCTGCACATGTGGCGGTGTAGCATATAACCGAGACAAGGTCTTGTGTCACATGCCCATAGTATAGCAATGAAACGAGAAAAGCAAACAGATAGCTCTACAAGAAGCATTGAATTGGATGCTAGTGAAAAAAAGTGAGTGAGATCATGTCATTCACGAAGATCAAGGTGACTTACAAGATGAGACATGACAAAAGAGTGAGTGCACAGATATGAAAAGATGAAAAATGAAGTAGAACTTGAGTGAGAAATCGACATACGAACAAAGGACATATAGATGTGAATGTGAGCTTGGCATGTGCACTGAGCATGCAAAGTAGATTGGCTGGGTGCATATATGCACTGAGCAAGCCATGTAGACGTGTTGATTTGGGTTGTTGAAGTAGTTGGTTTGGTGTGGTTTGGTTTGGGTGAGTGAGTGAGTGAGTGATATAGTAATGTGGTGGGTATGGTTGGTGGTCATATGCCATGATGTGGTGCAATGTTAGCTTGTGGATATAGTGTATAGATGAGAGCGTGACATCAGGAGTGCAGCAATCATGACAGATGCCCTGAGCAGCGTCTACACCAAACGCAGTGTGCAATGTTCACCGAGTTCCCTGGATGTGATGCATGATCTGGGAATCTGCCATGCATATTTCAGGATCCCCTAATAACCTCGAGCAGTGAGATCACCTGATAAGCCTCCCATAATCCAACCTTGTCTCCTGTTTCTCTCCACCCTCTTTCTTCAGAAACGCATTCCAGAACCTAAGCATCTCATCTCCAGCACCTGTTACAATGGTCTCACCTAGGAACATACATCAGCGTCTAATTCTAGCACCATTGAACTTGACAACACCAGCACCCAAGCAATTTATCACCAGCCAAATAACACCAAAGAAAGGCCTACTCACTGCTGCTGTGTGTTGGTGGAATTTCCAGAGTGGCACGTCTCCACTTCTGCTCCCTCCTGTGCCCTCCACACTCCCTGATCCTGATGTTGAACTTCAGTAACAGAGGCACATTTCGAACCTCGTAGATCCCATATACACACTTTGTTGTTGTTCCCCCCACTTGCCAATGGCCCGCCATCTCTTGCCCATTTCAACCCACATACTTCCTGTCTGTGACAGCACACAAGATGGTTCCATCTCTTGCTTGTCTCCCCACGCAAGTTCTCCCCATTGACATGGGAGTGGCCATCCTCTTTATCATCTTCATCATCTTCATCTTTGATAATCCCATTGGTGAGTTGACCGCCTTCTTCCACATCCAGGATCTCCACCTCCATTGACATCTGTCTCTCCTCTCCACTCTTCCAGTATCCATGCTCAAAGACTTTTCGACCGATCCACTCCATCCCACTAAGGCACCAGTCTTCGGAGAGAGGTGGGGCACAATCACTCGTCAGCATTGACCACCGCTCACGGCCAGCAGTTGGGATGACCAATCCCTGTGCAGTAAAGATATCGCAGGGGGGGGAGGGTTGGCAAAAAACTGCGCAAGATCATGCCAAGGTATTGAACGTTCCATTACAGAAAGTGTCTCTGCATGTTTTGTGATGGTAGCCAAGAAGGTGAGCATGACCAAGATATAAGGATTGAGAGTAGAACAAGCAAAAGGTGAGGCCTTCTGCATTGGATTGCAGAGAACGAATGAGAGCATCGAAAATGCAAGTTCCAATGCCAGTTTGAATGATACCAGAAACTCTGCAGGCATGTTTGCGTCCAATAGAGCTGGAGATGCTTGTGAGGCGCCTTCGTCATCCATGTCCATCCATTTCTCTTCGCTGTCTTCATCGCGGAATGTGGGCGCAACTTGACACTTCTTGGCAACTTTTACAGCTGGACTGCCTGTGCCTGCCATCATAATCCACTTGTGTTCCTCGGCTCCCTCAATTTCAATGTGCTTGATGAAGCAAGCGAGGGTTGGCGAAAAGTTGTCAAGTTGGATGTTAGTGAATAGCATGCTGTGTAGAAGGACAAATAGTTCAGGTGCGCAGTTGATGACCAGATGGGGAGAGTTGACTCACAAGAGGTTGAGGAGTTTGCAGAATGCATGTGTCCAAAGACGAATGATGATATTGTACTTGGTTGGGATTACCTGGAGGGAAGCTGGAATGCTCAGTGCAAGAGAGATCTCCATCAGCTTATTATGTATTATATCAGTGAGTCTGCACACATTAAGTCAATGATATCATGATGAAAACTGGAGAGCAACTTGCCATTAATGGTCTGAGATCAGCTTCATCCATTTCACACAAGATTGCCATGAGCCTTGAGCCAGCCTGATCAGAACAAATGCAAAGACGGCTCCTCTAGAAGGCAGGTGTAGAAGGTGTAGGCATAATATATAAAGTCTTGGAGGTGTTCAAGAGTGAGGGCAAGAAAAATGAGGCTCACCTAAGGCCTCCAGGAGTTTGTGGAATGTGTGGGTCCAGATATGAATGATGATATTGTACTTGGTTGGGATTATTCAGAGGGAAGCTGGAACGCTCAGTGCGAGGGAGATCTCCATCAGATTATGCATTATCTCAGCAAGTCTGTAATACCCATTCAATCAATGATATGATGAAAACCAGAGAATGACTTGCTGTTCATGGTCTGAGATCAGCTTTGTCCGTTTTTGCTGCTGGAGGTCTTCGTCGCTAACTTCGTGTCCTCGTCTGAATCCTTGGAGAATGGTGCACTCTTCATCTATGAGATCATTGGGGTCCTCATTTAATATCTTTTTTTCTAGGGTGGATATGCTGTGGTACAGCCTTTTAAGCTGAACCCAATCGTGGAGGCTGGTTTGTGCAGGGTGCCATAGTAATCGAGGCAGGGGTCCAGGGAGCTGCACTACTAGTATAATCAGTGTTCTGTGACATATGAATGAAAGTCAATAGCACATACCTTACAATCTGGTAATGAAATATCTAGTAGGAGTGAAAGGATTAGTTAGATTAAGTTAAAGTCAGGAACTAAAGGTGTCCATGATGGTGGCCAATGAAGCAAAAAGGTTCTCATTAAGACAAATAATCAAATGCACACAATGTGCCCTGCCTCCAGATGCATCATCTTTATGCAAAGAAACATGTCAGTATCTGCAGTATCAACTATGAGATCATCAGAAGGTCCATCTGCTATCAGAAGGGCCCTGCATATGAATGATCTAACAGGAAAAAACTGTGCCTGTGCTTGTGGTCTTGCATGAACTCTGTAAAGGTTGAGATCCTTGTCCTTCCGAGTGCGCAAACCAGTAGGAACATCAAAAGGGTGAACAAGGGCCAGGGGAAATGTGTTATTCCCAACCAGACATTCAAAACAGAAGACCAGCTGGCCAAAAATGACTTTATTCTCAGTCAACCGAATGAAGATGCAGTCAAAGTGTGGTGAACCAAAGAAATGAGGGTTGGAATGAAGATAGTCTGTATTTTGATGCCAATTGACCATCAATTCATAGTTGATGCGAATAAAGCGGTGCTCTGTAATCTGTGTGTAGTATGTCAGCACAGCAAAAAATGAACTGAGGCAAACATACCTCATCAGTTCCTCAGAGATGAATATGTTTGCCTTCAGGCAATGGAATGCTCAATGAGGGTAAAAGAACATTGAGAAAATCATTGAGCTTGACACAGAAATTAATGAAGGCTTGGTCTGCTTGATGAGCCATCTGAATCACATCAAAGGTCAGTGGAGGTTGCTTCAATCCGAGTTTCATGTGAAAGGAGTTACTCATCAAGACAGGGTGCTCAACAACAGTGGCAAGGAAGTCTTCTTCCTCCAGTAAGTCTTCTTCATCAAATTGGCGTTGATGATCATCGAATTTGAATAAGCAGTGGCATATATGATCTGCAGCCACCTGCCACGTATGTATTGATACGGAGGATCTGTCAAAGTTGAATCAAGTTGCAGTATTATAATAGACCATTTTTTTTAAATTGAAACACACCTGTTCTGCTATGTCATGAAAGTTCATGTGCAGCAAATACAAGTCCTTTAATGAGCCATGCATCTTCTCGTTCAGCTTGGTATTGTAGTTGCGTGTTGCTCCTTTTGCCTCAACATCATCAAAAATGTGTGAGCCCATGTGCAACTTCGGGAAATTCCAGTTCTTGTCACTCTTGACTGTTTTGTTAATGTATTGCTAATAGGAATTAGTTACCTATTGGAAGCAGTAAATAGTATATGAAACATACCCACAAAAGAGCCGCAAATGCAAGGTGTGTGTGTCGGCCACTGCTAATGGTCTCCGTCATGTGAACTTCGAGCAAGGCATACATATCAAGTTCGAGGTAAAGTTGGACACAACAAAGGAGCAGGTAACTGAGAGGACAGTATGCCTCTGTCAATATATTGTGGGTCGCATATACTATCATCTGGTAGTGATATTTTAGTAGATGCGAGGTAGAGTGAAAGAAATTAAGAACCTTCAAAATGTCTTCATGCATGGAGTTGTCGGTAAACAAGATATTCATGACCTGGTTTGGATGTTTTTGGTCTTGCCAGTGGGGAAATGCTTGATAACTGTGTAAATTCATGTCAATTCGAGTCAAAATGAATTATAAATGACTTACCTCTTGTCTACTTGAGACATTTTCTCTCATCCGAGACTATTTATATACTTCTGAAGCTCAACCCATAAATGATCAGACCATAGACCACCAGAGTGAAAGTGCAATTTGTCTCAAGACAATGCATGATGTACATCTGTAGTGGACACTGTTGAAAATGAATTCTAAGACAACATTAAAACAATGTAGCACAAGAGTAAAGATAAACTCACAACAACATCATGAAGTCCATAGTCTTTCAATACCTCCTCCCTCTCTTCTGCAGTCTCCCTTTCTCGTGTGGTTGCTAGAATAGCCTCCGAGTCACGAGATGTGTGCCATGGATAGCAGTGCAACATATCGGAAAGTTTATCATGGGGAACAAGACAGACTGGGCATGGCCATAAGGCCCTAACACCGCAAGTAAGCACCATTGTTGACCTTAAAACATGGTAAGTTAGCAAAACATCAGTCCAAAAGTTTGAAGCTCACTGTTCCTCAAAATTGGAAGATAAAATGAGTATTAGCAGGAAAAACCAGTGCTGAACAATATCTAGACACTCCAACCATTGACCAGTTTTTGATTTTGCAGTGAGTGAAGACAGTATCCTTTCAAAGGATTTATGCCATACTGTGGCCTTGAAGTTAGCCCATGCCAGCAAGCCAGCATGGGCTTTATCTTCCTTCACCTATGAATAGAACTAGTACAAAGTGATGCACATGACATTGTACATATTGTAATACCACAGGAAGCCACCCAACAATGTAACCACCACCCATTCCTTGACTGTTGCAAATGTGGGTGGGTAAGTTCACTAATCAAGCAACAATGGGATAGCCTTTTGCAGTTCCAAAACTAGATAGTTTTGTTTTGTCAGTGTACAATATGAAGGCAAGGGGCTTAATGCTATGCAGCAGCTGCAACTACGAATTACATTGAGATTCCATCAAGATTACCGTACAACATATATGAATGGTACATACTTGAGCATCCCAAAAGTCTTGAGCAGTAAAAGGCTTGTCTACAAATCGTTCAAAAGACTGGCTGTTGAACTTCGCCAAGCACTGGGCATCAAAATGAAAATAAGGAAACAGATGAGGATCACAGAGGAGGTCAGTAGCCCACTCCCAAAGATCACGATAGTAGATGTCAAAGTCCCATGTTTTATCTGTGAAGGGTATCGAAATCACATCCTTTGTAAACTAAGCTCAAACATTAGTCCAATGAGAATCATACAACAATGGGCAAAACAACCCATGTAAGGCGCTGAGAAACTGCATCCCACTTGGCACAAATGTCCTTGTGGTTCTTGAACATGAATTTCTCTGACTGCACTGCGCAGCAACAGCATATATCAATGAGACAGTCTGTTTGCTCATTATTGAGTGCCACTTTGAGGGCAATTTCAGCAATATTGAACTCCAAATGAGACCTGAAAGGACACCAAGGCTTTGCATTAGGTTCTGGAGCAGACCATGAGGAATGATGTGCAGGGTGATGCATGAAATCACTGAAAGCAAAGATTTTGGTTGGGATCCCACTCTTGGGATGGTGCTCAACCTTGATGTCATCAAGCTGATATTCACAATACTGAAGGTCCCTGTCATCATCAGGGATAGCCAGTTGCTCATCTGAAATCCATATTAATGATATACAACAAAACACCCAAAGAAATAATCAAACTCACCAAAATAAGGGCCCGGATTATCGACATCATGGAAACTTGATGCTGAAGGGTCTCGCTGGACTATTGATGAACAAATAAGTAAAATTAATAACACAATGCATTGAAAGAATAATAAACAGTAAAACTTACCCTGTGTCTTGAGCTGCGGATTGAGACTGTGACCCACCACCACATTGACAGCAGTACCATTGGAACCAGGACCAAGAAGACCTGCTGCATTTAGTCAGGATATGAAACTAAATTGGAGTATTCAAACAATACACCTTTTCGCTGCCTAATTGAGTCTGCAATGTGCTGATCCTGGGCTCGTTTCTGGGAGTTCTTCTCGCAGGCTTTCTGGTGAGTGACCCAGCCGCATGGTTTAATGCTCTGTTCACACAGATCGCAGAATTTGGCCCTGTCGGAGCCCATGATGTCGAAAGATATATACAAGGTATCTACAGAATTGATGTGAGCAAAGAAATGGAGGAATACAGATGATGAGAGCACAAACAGAGGTAAGGACGCATTGCAAGCGCTTCGCAATCACGTTGCGATACATTGAAACTCAGCAATCAATCTTACATGATCATGACAATACGAATTTCAACGCCATCTCAACAACATCTCAACAACGAAGCATTGGAATAGATTTCGCAAATTTCCGACAGTCCCGTCTTGAGACATCGAAAATCTAGCTTATTATTAGATGAGAACGCACGTACGACAAAGATACACGGCACCTCAATTGTAAATATGGGATGAAATCGTAGTACGATGTGTTCAATGTTCGTTGCGAATGTGCCAGCTGAGGTCAGAGATTGAACTTATCCAAATTCCGACCAGAACAAATATAAGTTCATGCTTCGGTTCTTGGCGTTTAGCCACATACACAAAACCATCGAGGATTATATGTAGAGCGCCTTTGCATCCCCAAATTTACATGTAGCACCTTTCATGTAGTTCCAATTTACCTGTATTAGTGACTAGTCAAACCCTAACAGAATGAAGACAGTTGTCACTCCCTAGACCGTCACTATTTTAACGTGCGGCTAAAAATGTCGCGCGTCAAGACTCCCAAATTCATAGTCTTTGCCATTATAAACTACCGTGACAAGCGCTAGCTCACATCAATCCCAATTCCGTCTTCCTCCGCTGCCCTTATTGGACTGTACAATCGTTCTCCCCTTATCCGTTACGACAGATCATGGCGACACTACCTCGAGCCATCGAACCAACCTCAGGCTCGTCTATAATTTCGGGCAACGATGCATGTCCACGTTCTGACGCTCCCTTCGACGCTGGAATAAACTCTTCCGGTGCATGGACAGAGCATCTAGAGTGTTGCTCATTATCAGACGACGAGCTCGAGCCGACAGACGGACATCATGAACTGCAGCCCATTGAAGAGATCGTCAAACCAGCTCGTGCGCTCTACGACTTTGAAGGAAAGGCTGAATTCAAGGAACTCACTGTCGAGGCTGGAGATGAATTGAACATTTTGAAAGAAGAAGTCGGAGACGGCTGGAGCTTGGTGAGAGCGAGCTCTGGTGAAATAGGGCTGCTACCTCAGACATATTACACGGTGAGTACTGATCATACTATCACTCGACATCCGTACGCTTTATATGACTCATTCTGTTCGTGAAGTGCACGACTAGTTTTCTTTCTGTACCATTAGCCGTTCATGGGAGAAAGCAGCCGTCTACCAGCACGATCACCCCCCAAGCATGTCCCCAGGAACAGTCGAAGTCGCTTTCTATCGTACCTCAGGATACTGGTGAATGGACGAACCCTCTCCCAAGTTTTAGGCAAAGCCTTCTTAGAGGCAAGAGTTTGAATCGGTTCTCCGGGTTTGTGACAAGTGGTGCAGAAGAGTGGGTTCTTGAGGGCCACGTCGATCCAGTCGCTTCAAGTTCATCCATTTCACACCAGCGGATCTCTACGGAAGACTCTATCAACGATGATAATAGGCTCAGCAGACTTGGGCTGGGAGAAGCAGACAGGCACTATATTGACGCTGGCCCTACATGGCAACCTAAAGTTCCGAAGTTTCGAGTCTTGGTTCACTCACCTTCAAAGCGCACGTCGGGCCTCTCAGGAGCATATACCGTGTATAGTGTCACTTCACTGTTTTCTTCGACTACGGATGAATCATATGACTCATGCATCCCACCGATCCCTCCTACCCGTATAACAGTCCAACGACGGTTTTCTCACTTCATCGTGTTACATACTTCGCTGACTAGACGTCTTCCCGGAATTGCACTCCCGCCACTTCCTGAGAAACAGTATGCTGGGCGGTTCAGTGCTGATTTTGTCGAGGCCCGTAGAGGCGAACTTGAGAGATATATCGGGTGTATTGTGAAGCACCCTGTTGCACGATACGCTGAAGTCGTCACATCTTTTCTTGGTTGTGAAAGTGATGTGGTGAGCGTAAATGATGGGTTTACTTCTGTTTTCTAACCCATGTCCAAGGAATGGAAACGGCTTATGCCCCAATTTCTTTCAATGCCTGCTGCTGGGCCTTCATTCTTCGCACACGTTTTTCATCCCGCATTCAACGTAGATGTGGACGATGCCACAGAAGCAATAGTTCGCTTCAGCCGTCACACCCTTGTAGTGGGCAAGGGCACGCAGAGTTTGAGAAACATCTTTGGTCGCATTCGTGAAGTGAGACTAGGTGAGTATGGGTATGTCAGTTGTGCCAAATTATCACCATGGCATGCTTTCCAGAGATGTCGAAAGCCGAACGATTGTTGTCGTATTCATTATTGTCCTTGATTACGTCGACACCTTTGTCTTCTGCTCCCCTGACCGGGATTAACAAGGATGCGGAGGACACGCCTCCACAGAGAAACGGCCTCTTGAACGAAGAAGGAGCTTGGTGTTGGCGTGAAAGCTGTCAAGGTGCTCACGCGAATTTCTGGAGTTCATGATTAACTGAGACATGACTCGAAGATTGTCTAAGGCTCACAAAAGCGATGCAGAAAACATCCGATAGTCTTCAGATTGTTGCAGACCTGTATGAGGATCATGTTTGTGTCTTGTTCCTTGTACAAAACTCGTACTGACCACAGATGAAGGCCCGGCGCACCCAGCTTGCAACTCACGAAGCCCTCAAGAACGTTGCTCATCCATACCAATTGTATGAGGTATTTTGAATTGTTTGATCATCAGCTTCGCCCTGAGTGTAATTATTTCAGGGGATCATTGAAACCCACCAATCTACTGTTTCGCGATATAAAGATACCCTCAAATCGGGGAAGGTCAGAACGCTCGCAACCTTCGTGGAAGACGATGACTTGATGATATGTCCAGTCGAACGATGAGATGACCGCACGCTGCGAAACCGTCTTGAATACTACTATGGCTGAGATGGACACATACCACGACCAGAAAGTGGAAAACTTCAGCACAATAATGAAGGAGCATCTTGATGGTGAAATAAACTTCTACGAGCAGGTCCTGCACAAGTTGAAGGCAGCCCGGCGCACCTTCGACGCTCCACGTTTTGACGAGCTGAGCAGGTCACCTCGTCAACCTTCAAGATACGAACGGGATTTAGAAGCCCCGAAGCTAAATCCTCCACCATTGCCACAGCCTTGTCCTCATGTCTATGACTCAGCGCCTATGAGACCAGTGAATACGGTAATACACGAGGGGATCGGAGCACTAATGGGAAAGTCCCAACCTGGTAGGAAAGGGAGTCTTTTGAGAAGAATGTGGGCTGAATAAAGTACCTGGTGCGGTATCGGGGCTGTTACGGTCATTTTGGGGCGTTGCGTGGCTGACTTTGTTGTATCTGATATGTTCTGGTAGGATAGCCTGAGTATTTGATGCGGTATTGAAATATGTGCTAAGATCATGAATACCGCTTTCCTATGTCATATATTACTACTAAGTAGAAGGCATTTTCGACATGAAGATTCGGATGGACAATATTGATTTAGCCTTTAAGTGTATTGCCATCCGACTTTTCAACTTGATTCTAGTTAAGATCTGAATGCTGCACTCGGATCAGCGTTAAATGACCGGTTGCAGAGTACTGCCATTGCAATCGGTATGTAAGCACACATCGCGCGTCTATCCGACGTCCATCATACGTTGATGTTCGCATAATAAACTGACAGATATTAGATCCATACTCATCGCGGCTAGGTCCAAAAAATGCCGACTGTTGTACCACTCCCAACATATCCTCCTGCAAGCGCCAGAAAGTCGTTATCAGCCTCGCAGCTGGCAACTTTCCATAGCAACTTATCAAACGCCCTCGCTGAAATCCTTGCGCTACCTCCCGCGAGACGAGACAACCCTGCCACCCGTAGTTTTCTATCCAGCTACGTCAATGAAATAGCCCATCAAACCCTGCAATCTCTGATCTGGGATGCTCCACCGTATACAGACAACCATGTACACGCACGCGTCCTATTCCTTGCGGAGAAGCTAGCTACAGTACCGTCTTGCTTCGACGTGAAGACACTCCTGGACGTCGCCATCGCATACTTTCCTTACCCAACCCGTGTCCGTGCCCTTTTCATCGCAGCTCTCGCTAGCACGCCAAGCCTTGCTACTGTATTCACCTCAGATATGGTTCCTGTGCTGACTACCCTTCTCGAGCCATCCCGCTGTGCGGGTTTATACGGCCTCCGCAAAAACGCACGCTGCTTTGTCAGTCTACTCTCTGGTTGTCCCCCCGAGCTCGTGCGTCCATTCGCGAGTGACCAGGATTTCATGACGGGACTGGCACAAGCGTATGAAGAAGGACTTGCTGCACTAGCACGTTCGTACGGTGGAATACGCACGGACATCGGTACGCGGGAGCTGGATGACTGGGAGCGTATCTGGCTCGAAACCAAGGTCGACCTCATAGACAGCTTCCACATCGTTATTACCGTCATGATCCAAGACCTCTCAGCCGCATCCGGTGCAGCGTTGGCAGCAGAGTCAGAACGAACGTTCAACATTGTATTTGCATTATTGAACCTCCCGCCCCCGCCAGCAGTACAAGCGGGCAGTACTCCTAGTACTGCTGCTCCTTTCCTCAACCGATCGCTGATAGCCGACTATCAACACTCGTATAATTTGTCTAGCACTCTTGCTTCTGCTCTACGTCGCGCTGCACGTGAAGACGCCCGAGTTGACCACCTCGAATCCACCCTTCGTTCCTTCGATATTGAATCTTCCGCTGCTGGGACCAAAGATCCTGGAGCGCTCAAGCTGATCATCAAGTCATCTGGCATCCCACCCGGTGCCTCTGCTTCTGGGAAGAGCAAAGCGGCGCAGTCTTCAAGTAAGGGCAAAGCCAAAGTAGTGCGCCCTGAACCTGAGCCGCATGATCTCGACGTGGAGATCTTGCAGGTCATGGACATCTTCCCGAACCAGTCGCCCGAGTATATCCGGGAGCTCCTCAAGCAGTCTGTGTTCAAGAATGCAGAGAAGGTCATTGAAGCACTATTGGAGGGCACTGCACCCGGAGAGTCTTCTGTTGCGGAGGACGTCAAAAGCGCCCATACCATGCCCAGTGAGCCCATTGAGAGAAAGAACGTGTTTGATGACGAGATATTGGATGTTAGCAAGATACGTTCGGGGAAGAAAAAGTACGGAGCTGTATTCCTTTGTTTGTCCTGTTACTCACTGTTCTACTCTAGCCAAGACGAGGCATCAATACTTAGGGACAGAGTAGCTGTCGAGCAGATGAAAGCCGACATTCTGCGACGTGCAGAGGCCATGGCTGACGCGGAGGAAGATGAAGACGGCGGCAAGGCAGCTGAAGTCGATCATGATATCGACTTTGGAGACGAAGTGAAGGTTATCGGTGATGGAGAGGCTAGCAGCGAGGGCGAAAACGATAGCGATGAGGATGGGGTACCGCCGTCGAAAGTCACTCCGGAGACTGTTCTTGAGCTTGCGTATATCCGTGATCCGGAGCTGTTTGCCAGAGATGCTAGTACGCGGAGGTCGAAAGCACGTAGTGAGCTCAAAGCACAGACCGGCAAGTCCTTTGTTGTCTTACTAGTCGCGTTGCTAAGTTAACATATAGGCTGGTCGGATGAGCAAATTGAGGGATGGAGGATTATGCTGGAACGAAATGTATGCTATCATTGTCTTCATAACTGGTCGGTACTGATACTCCCATCACCCCGCGTCCAGCCAAACAAGGACAAGATCCTGCAGAAACACGAGTTTTCTGGGAATAGACTGGTGGATTTGTCAATGACTGGAAATGCAAGTGGTTCTGGGTCATCGTCCCGCGGTGGAGATCATGGAAGAGGCAGGGGTGGGCGCGGGGCAGGGAGAGGAAGAGGGCGCGGCAGAGGGTCTGGAGATGGTGGTGATACGAGAGAGCGAGCATTGAAAGATAAGAACAAAGCTAGCAGAGGGAACCACAATCGGAAAAGGGGACATGACAAGAAGATGGCCAAAGCCGGTCCGTCTTAATGCATAGGGGCGATGGATGCAGATGCTTTTCTCAATTTATGTGATGCGAGGTGTGCTAAAATACAACAGGAAGTTTGTATATGCTGGTAGATAATCAATGTGTAGGCATGCTAGTTTCTGTTTCTTTGTACCGAGGGAAGAGCTTATCGAACCTCGATTCAAATGTGAGCTCAATCACGTCGTTGACCAGTTGCATATCTATATTACTGGAATGAGAACGAGCAAGGACAAACAATGTATTGAAAACCATACCTAGCTCGCCTTCTGAATCCAACGGAAGTGTCGCCATGGCTTTTATTGTGGACGCATCTACCACACTTCCAATAACCTCGACATAGGTAGCAGTCACATCCACATTCTACTCAACAATGAGAGTTGTGAAAAGTCAGAAGTGCAACGAGCTCTGACCTTCCTTTGTATCTCTACCTGGCCACCATCACTCGCTTCGACGATGGCGATGTCATCTGAAAGCTGGATCAAGGTAAGTCAGACGCGTACAAGACAGATGTGAATGAAAATTAGCTGACTCGGAGTACTTTGCAGGGTAGACGGACTGTTCTGCCCTTTATTCCGGAAAGACGGGCGGAGTTGACGCGCATCGATATGTGTTCGTTCATGGCGAGCTCGAGATTGGAATTTGGTGTAGTGCTGCTTGAAAGCGACGCGTCTGTGGCTGTGTAGTAGATATATATTGGTAGTAAATACAGGTAAACATACACTTTTGATTAATGGTTAATTACTAATTATTATTAATATAGATTCATCAGAATGAGTTCATGGAAACCTGTCAGCCGGACCTTTCCCCGGTTATTTCGAACGACTTCAAACCTGAGCGAAAAAAGTCTGTGGCACACCCTCACATCACTCACAATGAAGAGACCCCAGACTCTGGTCAACATCTCTGCTTCAGCCTACCATCACCGAGCAGTATATAGCGGTCTCAATATATCTTCGCTGCCCCGTATATTTCCCTTCCCTTAACTTTAGCTTTGTCAGTTCAATCTTCTGGTCATGTCTTCGACATGTTAGCTTTCCGTATTTTCAGTGTGCCAGTTCTCCTTTATTAACACTTTGTAACAAATGCAGACTTGATAATATATACACAAGATTCAACTCTCCGATTAGCGGACGCGCTCACTGCAAACATCCGTTGACAGCTTTCACTGCAGTTCTGCATGACTCCGGCAACCCAATACTATCATATTGGATGATACCAAACCAATAAACCCGCGCTGCTGGCCTATACCGTCCTACAAGCATTATACCCGAAGATATATGGCTTGCATATCTAACCACCACGAATGGCAATGAGCAGCCTCACCGCGATGTCAACCGTGATGGCGTGAATTTGATACTTCTAGATGGCATCATGAGAGGATGAACTTTTGATGACCGAGCGGTGCAGAGCATTGATATTAACGCGTCACTGGGTGTTAGCACTCACGATCGTGATTCCACTCCTACCTACCTCGCATCGAGAAGTATCACTAATCAGGGTACACATTTTTACTCATGTCATTCAATCCCTACAGCGATTTTAACCCTATTGCAGTGCCGCCATGTCACTCAAAATTCAGTTGTACAACTTGCAGGCAATGGACACCAGCACTGCGATCTCCAACATTACGCCACGCATTGTGATGCACTGCAGCAACCAGCGCCCCAAACAACCATACCATTCACACCAGTGCCATCCTGCACACTTGTTAATGCCCTCGATAGGATACTAGATTGGAACGAAGATGTTGAGCAGAGTCTGGGGTCTTTTCATTGTGAATAACGTGAGGGTGTCCGGACTTTTTTCATTCAGGTCGTTCGAGAAAGGTCTGAATGATCACAAGTTACCAGACACCGTACCGGTCCTAAGGCCTAAGGAACCATAAATATAATCAACGCAATATTAATGATGTCCACATTGTTTCCCTTCTTTTCCCCTGAACCCGCGGCACCTTCAAGATGCCCTCGCTATGATGACAGCGCGATTCCTTGTCCACATTCTCAACACACTAAAGAAGTGGCTTTCGCAGCTTGCACGTCGCTTTGCGGGTCCATTATCACTTTTTTTGTCTTTACTCCGCCAATTTGCTTCCGGTCATTTAAAGCTCGGTGCATGCGGTCGGAGGTTGTTTGTTGGGACTCGTTTTTCCGGCGAGGCTCTACCGCGATCCCAAGGGAATATCGCAAGAGAGGATGCACCCATTTGCTCGAGTTCTGTGCCTCCTTCGGATGACCCTTATTCAATCTATCCACAAAACTCACAACATCTGCAAAAAGTTACAGTGACACCTTTGTCGCAGACTAATACAACAATACGGAATGGGAGCACTGCAGAGATAGATGGGGGCTCTATATCAGGTTTGCACCAGTCCTCGCAGACGAGAGAGAACTCGGGGAGTCGGACGTCCCATGGCAATCCATTAGAGGGGTCCAGCAGTCCAGGCCCATCAAGCCTCCATGGATTGCCGGGGTCACATCCACGATCACAGATATGCACGAATGATGCTCGTTTTCCGGTTGCTGCGCCCACGTCCTCTACGACGCTTAGAACGATTCATCCCAACCATAGTTTTAGCTCGCAGGGCAGCAGACAATCAATTACTGGGTTACGACCCCACGGACTTGAACATGTTTATCATATCGCGAATGACATCCATAATTCCATCGCGCCACAAAGTGAATTGCCGTATCCTGGCACTGGTCATCGTGTTCGTTGGACTGCTCCGCCCGGTAGTGACGACTCGAAGCCGGGCTCAAAGATTGTTGAGGACCATGAGGATAAACCTGACGTATTTCCTATGGTTGCGGCAGGAGTCATGAGGTATCAAAGGTGCATTCCCCGGTGAAGATGAGCCTTTTCTTCTACTTGTACTCTAGAGCTGACGTTTTAGAAGGGTCGCCGACAGTATCCAAACTACTGTCCCCGCTATGACAATCACATTTCCTACGTATGATTCAATGTAAGTCCTACTTGAAGTATCTTCTTTCATACATCAACTCTTTCAAGGGTGGATGTGTCCCCATGGACCACGCACGTTCATCCAGAAGGTTCTCGCTACTTTTTAAATAAAGACCAAGTGCGTAAAGTTCATCGATAGTTGAAGACTGGCATTACTAGGATGGCTACTATATGCAGAGAACATTCACGGAAGTCAATATCTTTGACCTAGAAATACGCAAGCTCATCGAAGACCACATGCGGTATTTGTGGCTTGGGCTCAAGTCCGTCGTTGAACAAAAGAAGCCCAACCTCACCATAACGCAGGTGGACCTTGTACTCGAGCTAAAGAACAGTGACACGTCTGCTAGCTCTGCCACCGTTTGTTGGTACTATTTTGTCCACCACAAGAGCAGGTGCCTCTTTTGGTTACACGATTCTGATGTTGGACATGTGCTCTCCGATTGTAAAGGTGTCAAGAGTCTTTCACACATTCGTGGGTGGATCGTAGTTGTTAATGAATTTGGATCTAACGACTTGTCCTGGTTCTCATTGCCAGGGCTTGCCATCCAGGCACAATACTGGTGTGTTCTAGGAAAGGTCTGCACGACATTGCTTACAACACCATCCTGTTCCTAATACAATCATAGGTTCACATACAAGTATACTAACGGACAGCGTAGGCTACATTGGGAATACTTCCCTGACCTGTGCTTAGTTTCACAAGACCATGTCGATGAGGTTAAGGATATGCTAATACATGCGACATGTGGTTAGTACTTTTTAGGCCTTCTATCTTGACCTCATATGTTTGGTCACAACCATCAGATCACATAACATCCAAGCGGTCTTCTGCGCTAGGCGATGTCACTGAACTCAAGGACTATATTTCGGTGGTAGACAGAATTAAGGGTACGTACGCTACGTCAATACTTCCTCGGGGATTTCCGTGCTGATGCGGCTTCTTAAAGTTGGTTCCAGTAAGAGATATCACGCTGCCATTGTCATTGGTGAGGCTTGAATTTGAAATACAACTCCTCCTAATATCGATTATCATTTAAGGCCGCATCATGAAGTTATTCAGTCAGTGCTCTCTCATTTGTCTATCTAGCTGTGATTCATGATGACTTTCCAGGTGAAAATCAGTTTATCAACTTTCACGGGGAGGATTGCGTGAGACTTATCTCTGACAAGACAGTCCATGGTTGGGAATACGCACCATCACTGTTGATGGTAATGGTCGCACCCCTCCTTTTCTTGGACCCTGTGACACAAGTCCAAGAACTACACAGGGTTTTTGTAGATGAAATTGCTTCCACGGCACGGTGGAATGCACTCAGTTTAAAATTGAAAGGGCGACTTCAGGATTCCAATCTCTTGGTAAATCTACCCTTTATTGTTTTGTTGGGTAAAATTAATGTCGGTCCATTTGTAGGCCACTGTCCTGCTCAACGTCAATGTTGGGTTTCTCACTCTCGACACTGTTGATAAGGGCAGTAAATCTGCCATTCAGATGGCTTGCTACATGTCCTTGGTGACGAGCTTGGGAAGTATAATTCTCGGCATCTTCTTGGTATGGCATGAACAAACCTCTGGAGACAATACAGCTTTGGAAGCAGTGCGTAATTCATGCTGTATAACTGGAATGTTTCTTACGGTAGCTGTTTCAGGCATCATTCGCATTAAAACTTCACGACAAAAAGCACGGACTTGAAAAGCTGGCCATAATTTACAGCGTTCCAAAGGCGTTACTCATGTGGGGGTGAGTCCGTACCATAACGTCATAGGTGGACGCCCTGACTTCAAGTTAGGATGGTCTTCTTCTTTGCGGCATTCTCCATCAATTGGTGCAGTGCCGGAGGTACAACTTCCTGGGCCGTAGTTGGTGCTGTGATCCTGATCGTATTCGTGATGATATCATACGGCATCATCCGCATCAGGGAAGGAGAACGCTGGTGGTGGCGTGCAATTGGCCAGCAACTATCATCCCTTCTGGCTCACGCTTGGAAACGAGTCATGGAGTTCGTGGGGATGAAAAGAGGTCAAAGATGCGAGCCCCAGCCCGATCCTGAAGAACCCAGTCTTCACACATTGACAGGCCTCTCGCTAGTAAACTTAAACGTCGAGGCGAATGTTTCAACTTCACATAACTTCCAATCAGAAATGGACGGTCACGAAAATCACTCTCACTCCTCTATCCCTCGAACTCAGTCATACCACTCTGATGCCTCTAGGGCGTCCGAGAATGAAGGACAAACAACAGCAGTAGCGAACGACACGGGCACTGCAATATTGTCTAGTTCATATCATACAGAGCACAAGGAGAATGCGAGATACACAGACAACGTCGTCGGAGAGCCCGAAGAGGTCGATGATCGTCAGCCTTCGCCGAACACAACTCCAATTCCAAAGTTCGTCGCTAGAAGCGCCACTAATGAACCTTTCCGTTATGCGACGGGACAAGATGATCAAGACATAGAAGAGCACAAAGATTAGGAGCTGATTTTGGTGGCCATGACAAATCATGAGAGTACCAACACCCTAGCTAGGTAGCTATCGCCAGTCAGAACTACATCTACTGGTAACTGTAAAACATATATTAGATAACTAGCTTATAGGCCAGCTGCGAGGTGGACTAACCTCGTGGGGCGTCTCATCACTGACGGCGGTATGATATATCAATGGTCTGAGCGCACGGAGATAAGTATTATGAGACTGGAGCTTGGTGTCATGCTGCTTGAAAGCGACACGTCTGTGGCTGTGTAGTGATAGCGGTGATAAACACAGGTAAACACACCGGCGTTCCATTACGAAAAGGTAATTACTGGCAATGTGGCATACAGTTCAGAACGTATATTGTTCAATTGATTAAAAGTACCCTAGGCGTTGCTTCAAGTCCCTTACATACGCAGACAATTTTATTGCAGCAGTAGCCGACAGCACTGTCAAACTCGGCGCCAGCATCACCGTTGTGATGACTGCGGCGGCAACGGCGGTCCCGACCATCAAAATTGGCACTGGAACATCTGGCCGGGTCAAGTGCTGCCAGTGCACGGATGGAGAGGGAGGCACAATGCAAGGAGGTGTAGAATCCTTGGGCGCTGAACTACTGGGGAAGCTTGCTTTGGTCTCTGGCACTCCAGCGTCAGATCCTATTCGTTCGTAGTCCTTATCCATTGCCTGAGTTCGTTTTCGCGGCTTCGTCACTTCTTCGGGTGTTTGGTTCTTCTTCCTATTCATATCTTGTTTCTGACACACTTGTTCTGCTAGCTTTGAGCTTTGCTCTGCCGGCGGAGGAACTAGCTTCCGTTGTTCCTCTTCCTCACACTGCTCGGCTAACCTTTGTTGCTCTATAATACGCGACTGGGTGTTTTCTTCGACTTTCTTGGCAGCTGCAGCATCCTCTTGCTTTCGTGTCTCAATCTGCACTGTGGCTACATCGCCCTGAAGGCCCTCCAGCGCCTGGAGTTGCTTCTGGTGCTCATCGTCCATCTGCGCGATTCGAGCCTCGAGGCGTGCGAGTTCAGCAGCGAACTCAGCTGCCATGCGTCGAGAATTTTGCTCGAGGCGCTCACATTCCTGCTGCTTTTTCTCGATAGTTCTCTGAAGCTCCCCCCTCCTCTCTTCATGCTTGGCCCGCATAGCGGCTTCCATCTCTGCTCTGAGATTACGGATCTCCTCTTTGTTGCGATCAGCTTGCTCGTTGAGGGCGCGCCTGAGCTCAGAACCTGCGGCGGTTGTCTCGATGGGCTTCTGCTCATCAACAATTTCCTGCTGAATGGCGAGTGGCACTGAGCGGCTATTGAGGAGATGACGGAGAGTGGTATGTGCAGATTCGAGGGTACCGTAGTAACGGAGCATGCGAGCTCCCTTCTCGATAATAGGTTTGAAGAATTCGTCCCTGCTCGCGAGCTCGGACTCTCTAGCCTCGCCAATTTTGGGGTTCACCTCGGACCACATGCTGGTCACAATAATAACGTTTTTGAGCGAGCTCTCTCCACAGAGCTCGCGGAACGTCTTGAAGTTGCGCTTGGACGTGCCGCCCATCTTGAAGTCGGAAATGCGGTGCATATAGATAACACCTGCGAGCCTGGCGCCATGCTCATAACTGAAGGATTACTTAACCTGAGGAAATATATTGCAATTGAACCACGTACGTCCTGGAGAGATATGCAGCGATCATGGCCAAAATGTCTGTATCACTGCGGGTCGTATCATCGAACCCCGGCGTATCGATCAGGGTGATGGCACGTCCACTGACGACGAACGGTCGTGAAGTTTGCACCCCGCTGGTGCAACTCTCGAGGGCGTGACTAACCGGAAGGTTCGATTCGCTAGCTTTATTGATAAACTGTTTCCGGCGATAACGATCAACACACGGTTCAGAGCAAAGGGACCATACACACCGTGGACTTGCCACTGCCGGTTGCACCCATGACGCTAAAAGGAGCGTCAATACGTCAATCTGAAAGTATGGAAAGTACATGCGCAATTCTGATTTCTTTGTCTGGATTCGCCATAGTAACTCGCCAATTAACAGCTGTTAGTCGGTGGAAGAGGAGGTTCAGTTGAAATCCAAGACAGCCAATCCGTTGTGGTGACACTGGCTGATGCGAGGAAGACAGGATTTAAATACACCTGCGGGCGCACCCACTTCCTGCAACCGCACGGTCTTCACTCTCGACGTCCAGCCCCTAATGTGCCTAGAGAATGTTGAGTCCTACCTCATTGCTTGGAGCTCTACCTGTATAGATGCGATCAGCGCTGAATGAATTCTCAGGGTGTGTGACTGTTTCAAGCAGCCTTGCTTCATCCTCGTTGAGCGCAATGACGGTTCATTCTCAAAGCTTGAGCTGATCCTCTGTGATGTATCAACGATGGGTGACGATTGCTGCCAATTATTTGAAAAATACAACGAATCTGATGCCGAGCCTCTGCTTTCATCAGTCACAAACCAGTGGACACATAGCCAAGCGATTTAAGGCGGCCTGGAACTGTGACTGGACATCTGCTGAGCCAGTTCGCTTATGAGCTATGTTGAAAACAAGGTATTTAACTAATACGAGGACTCCCCTTCGGTCGGTATTGTGTTTACAGTAACAACTCAGGAAATACAATATTGGCACAATCTTGTCCTTCGTTCGTCCCTGCAAATACATTGCGTCTCTTCGCGCTCTCACCCTTGATAACACTCTGTACAATTGACGGTAGCGATCCGTTGGAAGGTCGAGCACGGTTCGTGCTAGCATCAAACCTTGACAGCCATTAAATGTAGTTGCATACGCAGATCGCAGGGGAAACTGTCTTCGATTCACTGTCCACGATGAACGGTTTGGATGGAATGCCAAGTTGATGCGGGGGATGCAGTGGCTTTTGAATGTAGTTTCCAACAGACTTCGACAAACCGACGATGCAGCGCGAGCACGCGTTTCTGACTAATCCCTTTTCTACCGAGAAATCGAAGACCGATAGTCGTCTGCGCATCCAAAGGAGTGTTGGCATCGAATGTGAACATATCTACACGAATATGTCCGATTTCTGGTGCAGCGATGAATCCATCGTATTGCCAAAAATTCATTCTGTCAATCTGATATCTAATTCAATTTCGATGATCGTGAAATGAAGCAGAAGTCGCCATGATAGTGACTCGGAGAGACCAGAGCAACACGGCCCAAGTGATGGACACAATAGCACCCGATGCCGGCGGTTATTGGTCAGTCACTCCGAGTCAGCACGCGCTTTCCAGGAGTTGCTCCTCTACTCTTCGGGGTTCTGTGTGATATTCGGTTGCTAAGATCATAGTCGGTTTGCGCCGTGCAACGGTCGAGGCATTCTATAAGGATTATGTGGGAGTGGCGAGGTGGACTCACAAAAATCTGACTGCGCGCTGCCAGTGCATAGGGGCGTTCTTGAGAAAATCTGACGGCTTTTTGTGTAGTATACTATCTAGCCATCGATATCGATATGTGAGGCCTGCTATTGCCACGAAATATTTCAGACTTTGGGACTGCATATTAATCCCCGAAATTCACACAGACTTATGACCGTCAGGTTTTCAGGTTCGTCTTAGATCAGCCTCGCATCATGTTCGTTCCAGTCATACATCAACTGATTGACAAAAAACTGTACAAAAGTAACAAAATGAACTCTGAGAACGCAACACTATGTAAGATTACAGACTTGGGGGAGAGGAACGATGACATCTGACGAGAAAATGAACAAAACCAGCAAACAAAAGGTGACGCTAATGCAAGCCTTGTGTAGGGGACGCCTAAGGACTAGCTGGATGGAAAAAATTACAAATCTGATTGACAATCGAACGGTAGTACCTGGCTTTTTAGCACCCCGACTGCAGACGCTCCAACACAAATCCTCTGACATCACTCAAAAGGTCTGCCTCGTCAATTGCCTTTGAAGAGCGGATCTTGTTCACGGTTGCAAACATGGCGTCCATGCAAATGACGTAGACCTTCTTAGGAAGGAGCTTCTCTCTCTCAAGGTGCATTTGCACATTCTGGGATGTTTCGTCGATGAACCTTTGCCGTTCTTCTAATTTCTTTAGCAGGAAAAGAGAACGCGTTTCGGCGTTCATGTCTGGATCATAAGGGTCGAAACCTTGCGGCATCTTCTCGCACACCATGTTGTTGATGTGCTGGTCTGACTTGGAGCGAACAATGAACGCCTCGATGTTCCTGAACTGCTTACAGGCGCGGAGGATGGCGAGGTCGGAATCCAAGACACGATTGTCTGTGAGCACGATGATGCAGTCGAAGATGTAGAGGCCCATGTCATTGAAGTATTGCCAGTCAGACACCTTTGGAGTGCCTGATCCGGGAACGTCGTACCAAACCATCCGAGAATCTTGACGCGGATCAGCATATCTCGTGACAGTGTCAGTGGTTTCAACGATTCCCGTAGAGCGGCCGCCGGGTCATTTCTGGACAAGCCACGGACGGCATTAATGAAGGACGACTTGCCAGCTCCAGCAGAGCCAACAACTGCGATGTGAATGAATCCTGGACTGTAATGATACTGGGCCTTCATCTGAATGATATCTTTGTCCGAAGGACGACACTCGGGGCGAACGCCTTCGAACCATTTACGCTCAACAGCGAGCCTCGCCTCCTCTGCTCTGCGACTAGCTTCTGCAGACAGCCGTTGCAGTTCTTCCAGACAATTTCGCGCCGTTTTAGCACTGTCTTCGGCCTCGTTCGCCTTGGACAAGGCTACGAGGGTCGCCATCTGCACCAAGGTTTCCATCTTCCTCGCTGCCTCTTCTGCTTCCAGTTGCTTGGCTCTTGCAGAATGAGCTGGCCAGCTGGCCACGACCGCGACTGCCGCAGACACTGCAGACACTACAGCTGGGACCACGAGTGGGGCGATGAAGAAAGCCATGCAGTGTAGAGAAATCTAGCGGATGGGGCTGCTGAGAAGGGTGTCGTGGCAACGTGTTTTCCGTGTGCGTCCGATGCAACCTAGAATAAGATTGGGCAATTGTGAGCTGCAGAACTTCAAACTTCGCTCACCTATGTATCAATTGCAATAATATGAATGCGACGTGCAGCTGATGATGTCTCTAGAGGGAAGACAACAGAAAACGATTTGACAAGGGGGCAGGCAGAGCGGGGTGCAGGTCTTATACTTGTCCAGACAAACGCGAGGCCAGTACAAATAGGGTGGCATAACTTCGGCAGCTTCTACATTGTTGGAAGCTATTCACGTAGCTTCTGATGTGCTACGCCGAGGGTAGAATATAACGTGCATCCGTCGACAAGAAGTTGTAGATCAGATCTCTATGTGAAGTTCTGCGAGTCGATTCAGTTACGTAGAGATATCACACATATGCAAGCAATCGAACCCTTAAATTGAAATTGTGCAATGAGCAAGCTACGCCCGCGACTGCCCCAGTTAATTTATATGCAGGCAAGCTGTCGATAGGCAAACTGAACCCAGTCTCACCAGTCCGCTTCCAATTACTCACTCAAAACTACGTCATTTGTTGTTTGTATGTATGAAGGCAGATGTTGAACGTGAGCGCAGCATTGCGGATAGTTGTCGTGTTTTGAAATTGCAAATATCGATGTACCCCATCCCCGTTTATTGTGATATGCGTTCTATGACCTTGGCATTGCTCGGAAATATGAGAAATCCTTGATTGTCCTCGATACTGACGAGTTTTTCAGAGGGTCAGAGGGTCCTGAAATATGTGGCCAGGTGGAGCATTATTGAGATCCGTGATTGACGCTGGTGATTCGAAGTAGTTGGGTCTAGGGGCTAGGAGTCACTAGGGGATGCTACTCCGTGGACGACATATTGTTGTGGTAGGGTGCAAGTCATTTAAGGAAACGAGTGTGATCATCCTCCTGTTATGGTCTGAAAGTAGGTATGTCTAGAAAGTGCGGGAAATATTGGCCGGTCTACGCAGACTGGATGTAGAATCTGTAACAAAATCTGGGGGACAGGTCTGCGCAAAGTTTGTTAGTGGGTTGCTCGGAAAGTGCCGACTCGGAGTCTGTCAAGCCTACTGCATGATGTTACTACCGCCCATCGATCCCGCCTACTTACCTATCATCAGGATCTCCATCTCTCCCAATCCCCGCGACCGCTTTGCTATCTGTACATAGCTGCTTTCTCCATGTTTGCTACCCGCCCGCCAACGCCATCATAAATCACAGCGAATAATGATATGAAAGTTTAAACTACGACAGATTTGAGGTTGAAGAATGGTATGTCGCATCCAACGAGAAATGCATAAACAAAAACTATCGAACAAATCATGTGGCACTAATGCAAACCTTGCGCAGGGGACAGGCATATCTATAGGGTAGGAACTGCACTAAACGAACCGATCGACAATCGAGCAAAATTACTTTTAACATCCCGACTGCAGACGCTTCCACACAAATTCTTCAACATCATTCAGAAGGTCTGCCTCGTCAATTGCCTTCGGAGAGCGAGAGTTGCTCACCGCCGCAAGAATGGCGTCCACGCAAACGATGTAGGCCTTCTTCCGAGGGAGGTTGGCCCTCTCAAGGTGCGTTCGCACATTCTTGCGTGTTTCGTTAATGAACCTCTCCCGTTCTTCGGATTTCGTTCGCAATAAAAGAGAACGTGTTTTGGCATCCATGTCGGGGCCACGAAGGTCGAAACCTTGCGGCATCTTCTCGCACACCATGTTGTTGATGTACTGGTCTGACTTGGAGCGAACAATGAACGCCTCGATATTCCTGAACCGCTCGCAGGCGCGGAGGATAGCGAGGTCAGATTCCAAGATACGATTGTCTGTGAGCACGATAATGCAGTCGAAGATGTAGAGGCCCATATCATTGAAGTACTGCCAGTCAGACACCTTTGGAGTGCCTGATCCGGGAACGTCGTACCAAACCATCCGGGAGTTCGGATCAGGGTATCTCGTAACAGTGTCAGTGGTTTCGATGATTCCCGTAGGAGCGGCCGCCAGGTCATTTCTGGACAAGCCACGGACGGCATTAATGAAGGACGATTTGCCAGCTCCAGCAGAGCCAACAACTGCGATATGAATGAATTCCTGGCTGTAACGATACTGGACCTTCATCCGACTGATATCTTGCTCTGAAGGGTGACACTCGGGGCGAACGCCTTCGAACCATTTACGCTCGATAGCGAGCCTTTCCTCCTCTGCTTTGCGACCGTCTTCTGCAGCCACCCATTCCTGTTCTTTCAAGAGCTCCTGCGCATGTTCTGCTGCTTCCTCCGCGGTACGCCAGGCTTCTTCGGCTCTCTCCTGTAAGGATAGTAGTCTGGCCTTTCTAACACGGTCTGTCGCCTCGCTCTCCCCATCTCCCTGCGGGAAATATTCCGACAAGACGGTTACAGCTATAACAGCCACGAATGGGATTAAGATCGATATACCCATGCAGTGCATAGAAACTTGGGGGAGACGATTTGACGCTACTGAGAGGGCGGTGTGGCAATGTATTTTCCGTGTGCGTCCGACGTGACCTAGAACAAGTAACTAATTGTGGATTGCGCAACTTCAAGCTTCAAGCTTCGCTCACCTCTGTATGAATTACAATAACCTGACTGTGGCGTTCAGATGACGACAACTCTGCAGGGAAGAGAAAAGAGAATGATTCGATAAGGGGCAAGCAGGGTGGGTGTACGGGTCTTATACTTGTCCAGACAGACGCCAGGCAAACACGAGGCCAGTACGAATAAGGCGTAACAACGGTAGCTTCTGTGTTACGCCGAAGGTAAAATAGAACGTGCATCCGCGGACGGGAAGTCATAGATCAGAGATCTACGTAAAGTTCCGCCAGTCGATTACATGCAATTGAGCAATGTACAGCTCAGCGCATGTAGGTGACAGCTGGCAGATATTGTTTTTGCTTGTGCTTAGGGGTCAGTCTGTTAGTCCACTTGGCTGCCCATACTAAAAGACAGATACGAACATTGTCTGCAGAAAAGCTGCAATCACCTTTAGCACGTCAGTGTATTGATGAGAATGACACGATTTCCGTGTAACAGGAATGGTTGCGAGGTCCGTATTTCGTTGGTACAGCTCTCAAGCTCAAGCCCCATGCGTAACTCTCAATTCCGAACCTGATGTAGCACTGATGAGCTATTCAAATTTGTATTAGCGAGCTAGACCATAGAGAGATGACAGACCGATGCCTCGCCACTGCCCGTGGCACCCACTACGCTGTAGGGCGGGTTAATCAAGGTTGATCACTGCTTGACATCTCGATAATGGGGGCAAACACCATGTAAATAGTCTTGGGATCTGGTTCTGGCTGTGACTCCGGCTCTGGAGCGGCTCAGCATCAACCTGGCCCAACTGGGGATTCCGGGGCCGTGCCATTTCAGACTTATCGAACCGTAACCTATTGTCCACCATACAGCTGCCTTGAGTCACCCGTAGCCAAACTTTGAAAGAAGTCATTCGAACTAAACATGACATTGACAGGAAAGTGTTAAAACAAGACGACTATTGATATCATCGCAAGAATACCAAGGTAATGGCTTGATCTTGGCTGCAAGAACTTGAAGTAAACAGTAAAATGGTTCAGGATATAATAACAAACAGATCCGCTGTCAACAAAAGCAATATGGCGTGAAACCACACCAATATGAATGACAACAATTCTCTGCTCGAGCGACACCTTCTTCACGGCGTACGTAGCATTGTTGATCGGAGTGCCCAGGCCGCTGACACGCTCCTCCAAATCATTGAACATGTTATTGCAGAAAGCTTCGGCATTGATGATTGAACGTGTTTTGCGACAGCGTCATCGACCATCCAGAGTACCAGTGACGCTCTTGAACCCGCATCGCATATTCGTTGGATGATAGCACTCCAATACCTGATTTACAGAGTCTCCTCGAGTCGACATTGATGAACACGTAAATACCTGCAGGTCTGCGCAAAGAAGGGACTTCAAGATTTTTTTCGCCGATGACTGTAGATAGAGCGTGAGGATCACGAAATGAATATCTAGGTGATATAGACTGACATTATAAGCTTCGGGACATGATATTGTGATGAAGGAAATGGCAAGAAAGATGGAGAGGCGGAGTGGTAGGCGGATTGAGTGATAGGAGAAGACAGGGGTAGGGGGGTGGGGAAGTTCAGGTAAGATGGAGAGGAGAAGTGGGCAATGTAATGGTCAATGATCAGTCAAAGTGGTATATATAAGTTGGAGGAGACGTACGAGGCTCAGAGTATCGTGTGATGCTGACCCAGCCTTGCTATTCTCGTTGTAGGTTGTTCTTGACTATTTATCATCCCCGACTTGTATCTCATTTTGCACACTATAAGACAAGGTGTTGAATCCAGTATATTTCATAGTGCAAATAACCACTGCCATGGGAAAGTATGATTGAGAGCGTCGTGGAAACAAAGGCGACAGTTTGTAGGGGTTGAAACGTTGAAGTATGTCGAGTCGGGTGCAAGATGAGATAACCAAATGCAGTGGACGATAGAACGAGTGACGAGTGACGAAGACGCGTAGCTGTAACTTGGGACAAGGGTCGGAAGACAAAAATTATGATCATTGAGTTTCCAAGAGACACTCGGCGGCATGTCCGAGTCTGCCAGCGGGGCCTTTACCACAGGTCGACCCTGAGTACTGAGTGCTGTTGCCTGTGTCATTTTCTGATTTGTCCACTCGGCCACGGACGCGTAGAGCCAAGTACCCGCATTGATTAGTTGGTTGACGTGGCTTCCTAGACTTTGTAGTAGTTCAATATCAATGCTGGTTGTGCAAATGAGGCTTTCTACTTTTAGTAAGCACGTATTTACCCACCTACCCTCAGGCTGGGCTAGGCCCCACCGCTTCCATACCATGGGCAAGAAACAGTCAGGTTCAGCTGAGAAAAAGCCTACGGAAAAGAAAGGTGGAAACACCAAGAATGCCGACAAAGGTGATCAATCTGAGGGCAAAGTAAGCTACAATAGTTGCTTCTGATGAAAACCGCACCTCGAGTCATGTACAGGGAAAGGGTGGTCTGAAGGCCGCAACTGCTGTCAACGTCCGCCATATTCTGTGCGAGAAACACTCTAAGGCAACTGAGGCATTGCAGAAGATTCAGGTTGTAACACATGCCATTATATGGAGGTGCACTAGTTCTGATAGCTGGTTTGCAGGAGGGGCAGCGCTTCGACAAGGTAGCGCAGGAATACTCAGAGGACAAAGCTAAAGGTGAGTTTTCTCACTAGGTATAATGGTGGGATGTCACATTCTCGGATCCCAGCTGGTGGCAGTCTTGGCTGGATGGTGCGGGGGTCTATGGTTGTAAGTGGTTTCACTTATCGACTGGCTCGGATAAGGGAAATTTATTTCTGTCATCAAGGGTGCATTCCAAGATGCTGCATTCGCCCTTACCCCGTCGACCGTCGACAAACCCATTTTGTCGCCTTTAGTCAAGACGAATTTCGGATACCACGTCATCATGGTAGAGGGTCGTCGATGAATCGACGACCTGTATACTTCCGTTCGTTGACTCGAGTATACAATTAGTGAACTACAACTACTATATGTGGGTGAGATACAAGCTACGGATATACGGATCAGAAATAACACCTGAAAGTTGCCTGAGAGGACTGCAGTATAACTACTGAATCAGACAGTTAAAGCGTCGAATCCCCAGTAGAAACAGATGCCAATTCATCCATGTGACTCCCATAATATTAACTGCTGACTCGTACTGCATTCTATACAGTCAAGCTAAGCGGCGCCACAGCCTGCTACCAGATCACCACGGTCCTTGTGAGGCATAGAGGCAGCGACGCAGTGCACATTATCACCATGTTGAGATAGAAGCTCAATGAACAAACCTGGACTGAGATCAGCAAGCCGATTTCAGAGGCTGTGCAGGAGAGGTCTGACTTTTGTCCTCTTTGGACCATGACATTGGTATCGACGACGACTTGCAATAATCCAGAAGTTCTGGAACGGGGGTGGCTCCCTCTGATGGGGTGGGAACTGCGCGTGCTCTTGGCTTCCGGGGTCTTCTGGTTTGCTTTGGAGGTGGAGCCTCGGCATCTGGTTCCTGAACGTGGCATGAAAGCATATATATCAACAAAAACGCCAGTAGTCAGTGGCATGACCCGGACGTACAGTGGGTTCAACTTCTTCTTGAGCAAGACCCGACGAACGCGCGACTGCAGTGGAGCGCCGCCTGCGCTTCTGCTCATCCGCTTCGGGATCTGGCGTTGTCCCAGAAGAAGTGGGGGTCTGGTCGGGCTGGACGGTACTTCTGCGGGACTGATTTCTCCTGGGTTCAACATTGGATCGCAGCATAGCAGCCCTCCTGCGCTTGCTGGGTACAGCCGAAGAGGTGGGGTGAGCAGCCAATACCTCATCATCATGGCGGCGAATATCTGCAAGCAGTGCGTTGCCTTTCTGCTTGTTAGCCCCCCTGCCGTTCCTCCGGCGTCGACCTGCACCATACTGTGCAATGGCCTTGCGGAAGTCGACGTGCGGCTTGTGCAGGTAGTAGTACGTGACACACTGGGCGGCAGTCTTATTGGGCAGATGTTGAGCAATAAGCCCGAATTGCTTCGGATGGGCAGCGTATCTCTCCTTGAAGACAATGCGCTCCTCTTCCGTCCAGAGGTCAAGAGCCGAGGACGAGCTATAGAACTCCGCAGGGTCGTCCAAGAGATTGTTCGTATCGTCGTAAGAGTACGGTCCACGGCCATCAACGACAGAGACCATATCCGGTATCTTTGCGACGTTCTTGATCGCCAAGTAGCTTGGATCCGTCAGCTCCTCCATCCCAAGATTCGCGATGATCTGCTCCATCTCAAGATCAGAGCGAACAGCATCACCTAAAACGGCAGCTGATCGTCTGGTGGACCTGCCGCCTGCAGAAGCTGGCATAGATTCCTCAGGTAGACCGCCTTTTGACACATTATCGAGCCTGGGCACATTGCGCTATCCATTGCTGATGTAGCTCAAGATATTGTTCTCTCAGCTTTTGTTGCTTTTCCCGAAGGGCTGTTTCTCGCTCCAGGAAGTGTCCTGATAAGGATGATCTAATAGACTGAGAATGTAAAGCCATTCTTTCCTGACAAGGCTGATCAGCTGCAAATTCCTGAAACAGCTTGTCTTGCGCGTCAATTGGTGAAGGCAGAGAAGGCTCGCGAATCGCCCGATTGGCCCTAAGAACCGGAACAACACGCTCATCGCGCGTCTGACGATCACATTGAAGCCTCGTTAGGACTACAAAACGGAGGGCTTTTGCAGTCGAGTCTGCCAAAGGCGGACGACCATAAAACCACGTTGCGGGCTGTTCTACGTCAAGTGCAGGAGTCAAAAGCTGTTCTTCTGCCTCGACACGAGATGGACTGCCGACCGATTCAGCGGCAATGACTGGTGGGACAGACTGTAGCAACGGAGTATCTCCTGTTAATGTTCGCAGGGAGCCAACATCAATATCTTTCTCCGGTGTTCTTGATTCTGGTGAAGGAGCCGCAGGTCGCGGACGCGAACGCCAGTGAGTCATCGACGACCGCCCCCACAGATTTCAAAGCAGGACTGGGCGTAGCCGGACTAATGGACTGGGTATGAACTTCATCAAAAATAGGAGAGGTTTTGTTGGTTTGCATTTCAGTCCCTTTACCAGCTGAATCCCCCAAGAAGGCGAATTCCACGTCACCAGGGAGAGTATGAGAAGATATAAGCCCAGGAGGAGACATCTCGATATCTAAAATTGGTATATGTCTTCAGGGTTATCGACAAGCAAAAAGGATGGTCGTACCTTCTCCTGACGATAAACTTGGTGGAGAACGCGGGAAGTTCGATGCCAAAGGCGGACCATTAAGCTCACCATTCATCACAGGATGGACCGGTTTGGCACCCACGTGCGGCAACTCGTGGGGTAGAGGCTCAGGGTGCGCAGAACCCTTTCCAGCAAGGGTGCTCGATGTAGAACCAAGTCGATTAGGATCTCGCGACAACACATGCATGGGTGCTTGTTGAGTTGTGCTCTCTCGATTTGGTTTCGATGACACGGTATCCTTAAGACCATTATGCGCGGAGATAGTAGATTTATCAGGTCGAGAAGAAGCAGATGATCGGGATGAAGATCTCGACTTCAATCTTTTAAGTGGGGGCTCAGAAGATTTCGAGGATGCTCTAGATCGTGCTACGGAGTGGGCGGGTGACGCACGTCTGCAAGATGGTGAATGCCTACGAACGTCACGATCAATGATATATGGGTCTGGGGGAGGAGAGCTAGCGGCATGGCGAGGCGGTGTGCTAGCAATGGAGGTCGAAGATCGTGTATCATCGTGATCATAATGACTAGATGGTCGACCGGGATAGCAAGCATCTGTGTTCGATTTATCAACTGAGCGCGGTGACCGCCGAGAACTATCATCATATTGTGGCCGGTATGAATCTGACCGAACAAATACGTGTGGTTCTCGGTGGATTTGACCACTAGAATAAGGACGATAAGTATCACCATGAATAGGAGGGTACACTGGTGACTTCTGGGGAGAGTAATCCCGTGCAGGACGAGCACGATAATCTGGAAACCTTGGACTTGGGGGTTCCAACCTACATACGATGATGAGAAAAAATACTAAGTGATACGCAAATGGACAAACGCTTCGTATCGGCCGGAACGATCGACGTGTGTTTGCTTCCAGGAGTCTGATGGCTCGAACATTCGCTCTGCCATGATATCTCTGCGAAGTTTTTCCCGTAGAGGTGGTGGACTCGGAGAGGATCTTCGATCTTGCCAAGAGGACTGCCAGCGGGAACCGGGATCCCAGAAGCGCGGTTCCATAGAACGAGACCGGTCGTAACGATCTGGGGATGGACTGCGGCTGTTGTAGCGTTCTTGTCTCCATGCATTTGGTCTGTAAATGTTCGGATGATCATCACTACGATAGCTAGGTCCCCCACGGGGGATATAACTATCATACTGGGGCGTATCTCCTCGAAGATGGACCAGGAGATGGAGATCTTCGACGTGCAGTAGAATAGGGCGACTAAGAAAGAGGGCATTTGAACGACCCAAGAAAGTACGACTCTCACGAGAACTTACGTCGTATGCAGATGAGAAACTGCCACCTAGAGAGCGCCGTATGTCATATACGGACGAAGGGTTAGCAAAAGTAGAAGTTTCGTAGCTTGCAGATGTCATGCTTGAGAGGATTGGGACCTCCAAGATGCTGCAACGCTTGTCACAGGTAGGAATGGAAGAGAGGTCGAGTTGAAAATTAGCCTAGCGCGTCGTGGTGATGCAAATATTTGTAGAACTATTTGAAAGCAAGTGAAGGTCAGTTATTGAACATGAATGTTGAAACTTCGATGCAACTAAAAGCGAAGACGCTCAGTCGAAGCAAACGCTTGAGGTAGATGAGTGATCTCTAGCAAGAAGGGATTGAAACTCCGACCCCCCATCTGCGGGTCGTCGATGTTGTTGGTATTATTATTATTACTGGGCGACTGCTCGACTCTACTAGGATGGACTCTGTTGCTTTCGCAAACACTGGCTCTGGCTTCAAGGATCCTCGAAATCTTAGCTTCGAAAGAGACTGGATCCGTAGAGCTGTCCTGGCCTCGTATTGGATCGTTATTATTCTGGCTTTACCATTCTGGTGGCATTTGACGAGTATCGAGAGACTCGCACTTCCAACCAGTCAAGTACGATCACAAGTTCAGAGCAACATCGTCTTTCCTATCGCTGTTCAATTTGATGCGTCTATTAGCCAACAAAATCCTAGCCTAAACTCTCAGGTCCAAACATTACTTCGTGATTCTATGATAAATGAACCTGGAAGGTGGAGGGGCATTGACCTACGCCTACAAGACAGAAATGATGAAGGTGTGTGCGCTCACGAAAATCGTATTAGTTGACAGGGCAATTTGACGTGTCACTGTAGTAGCATCCAGCCTATATACAGTTGCCCTTGGTGAACAGACCTCAATTACCCATTCAAGACATTTGTGGGTGAGCAAGACCGATGCGCAGTCAGGTGAGCCAATAAGAGTGCGGTATTTTGAAATGCATTCGACTGCTCTCACATTAGCAACGAGATTAAGCTATATATTGTCCGACCTCATAGCTCCCCCAGAGTCGAGCACTTCACATTCGCAGCGTGTTGTTCAATACTCAGACCACTATCGTCTCGCTTTTACGCTGCTAAACGAAGACGCAACCCCCAATCGATTTGTTGAGACATGGGATGTGCAAACTGCGCTCGCGGGTAATCCATATGACCCCTGTATTTCGAGACCAACTCTAAAGGCGCTTTATCAGAATTCATATTTCCGCTGACCTCTCGACTCTCTATTTTGCACAACTTTACAGTCGAAAGTCAAGTCCAGTATCATGCTCCATTAGCATTTGAGCCGAAACGCCTGACCCTTGGTGACACTGAAGCATCAGGGCTTACTCAGGAAGACTTGACGGTGTTTATCAACTCTGCCGAATGGACACTTGGTCAGTACTGCATTGTGATCGACAGTGTCAACACCTGACCAGTTATTGTAGCATCCAGCGTCTCGAATGATCCTGTTCTCCATTTCGTTCTATTCGCTCCCTCTGAGACCCACTCACCCATGAACATTGTTGACAGTGAAGGCAAATGTCGTGCACACTCACTTCTGGTCATTTCTGACTTATCGATAGGTCGTCCAACAAATCAGAGCTCCTTCCTTTTGCCCCAATGGGGCAGCATTTTCATCCTCAACAACGAACTCAACTCCTCGTCGTTGCATCTTTCATATAACGATCTAAAACCAGTTTTCCGCAACTTTGCCGCCCAGCTAGCTGCCCTTTTAGGCGTGCCACCCGTTCCCCTCGGCCTGAGCATGGAAGGAAGCTTTCTATCTGACTGGCAGTTAGATGCTCTACTCCGGCGTCGTGCATTGCAGAACGTGCAAGGCAGCCAGGACACATTGCATAGCATTGTGAAGCTCGTGGATCAGATCAATAACATGCCTGTTGGGCAAGTGGTACGAGATGATGTCCTAGATGCCCTTGCATCGCTCCACGAGGTGCGTTCTGCATTTAATGTCATATTAATGAAGACTGTGCTCAAACAATGCAGGCCTATCGCACCGCCGTGGCCTCGCCGGCGCTTGCTCTTCGATGGTCCAGTAAGGCATTATCTATGGCATCACGCGCTTTCTTTAATCCTGGGATGCTGGCATTGCTGTACTTTCCTGCCGAGCACAAGTATGCAGTGTATACGCCACTATTCGCATCTATATCTGTCCCTCTTGTGGTGGCCTTAATTCGGGATTTCATAGCATGGAGACGGGGGTCACAGGATGACAGAAGGCGGTGAGATAAACTGATGATTACGCCTTTTGTTTGATAGCTTGTTTGTCGTCCGCCAGGCTATTGTGTATGGTTGAAAATACATGCAGGATAATCCTATAGTAGTGTATTGTAGCTGTCCGAGGTATAGCACATGCATGTCACAGGTATGGGAAGTATTAAGCCCAGCTAAAGGCAATAAGATAAAGGGGGTGGTCTTGATGGCGGTGATTGACGCGACATGTGCAAGGGGAATTTCCCGCCAAATTTTTGAGCATGGGGTAGTGCGGAAATGTGTGTATGACATGTATTTCCCATAGCAGAAGCCTCAGTAGCATCCCCATGGTCCCCCTCTCTTAATGCGAATGTAGGATTGCTATTTTGCGGCGACTCCACACAGATCCTAGGGGCTCACGTATACAATTGGGTAATAAATGTTGGGTCTCTGCCGTGTCTCCGTGTGCTGCTGCTCTCTTAGTACGTCTGCCACAAGTTCGCCAGATGCTTTGCCCGTCGCAGCTGTGCCCAGGACATTGTCTTGCAGTGAAAGCCCCGGTTGCTTTGATGAAGTTTGATCACCGCCGAATTGTCCAGAGCCAATTTATGACTAGCCGCCCTTCCCCCTCAAAGTAGTTCACCGCCAGATACACGAATCAGCTTCCCCCTGACAACACGGTATGATCCCTCAGTACCGTAGCGGTATAATTACTAACCTTTATATTACTTACTTACTAGTAAACCCACTGAGCCTTTCAAGTCACGTGAGGGTAATAACACTCGATTGCAAGTACTGCGATCACTTAATATTTAATCCCGATTCCTTACCAACGCCAACCTCGATAGCTAGGCTTTCAACACAGGTTTTTATACTATTGATATGAGCTCAACAAAGCTCAATTACGAGGGGGTGTTGCTATTTGAGCAGCCGTTTGCACGGGTGCGCAGTTACGCCTGCTAATTCTCAATGACCTCACTACAATCACACACCGCCAGGTCCCTTATGAAAACTATCGGAAAGTCTTCCGTGCTACACAACGGAATATAGAGCGCGAGCTCGGAAATGTCCAGACTGTCTCAAATGACCTACTACAACGATCCAAGAGCCGCGAGGTCAACCTCGAGGACGCCGCCAAGAGCGTAGATGGGATGATAGGTCGGGTTGAGAACCTCAAGCGCAAGGTACGTGGAGTTGTTTGCTAATTCGGATCTCATTTTACATCGGTGGGCATTACACACAGCTTTCCGAACTGCAGGATACCGCTGGAAAGCCCACCCTTGATGTCACTCGGGAGAGGTTACAGCATCTCATGGCGGTTGAGACCCTGCAAACCACCGGTAGCCTCGATTTTTCGCGGTGGGCGGACACGCGGCTTGACAGATGGCTTGTTGACTGGGCCCTCCGGACTGGACGGGAAAACACAGCACGAACACTGGCACAGGATAGGAACATAGAGGTTTGTAGTTCCGCAAATTGTTCATAGCAACTCATGGCGCCTGCCGCTTTCACTAGACCCTTGTGGACATCGATCTGTTTACAGACATCCGAAGAATTGAATTGGCACTTTCCAAGCACAGCTGCACTGAAGCACTGGCATGGTGTAGCGAGAACAAGACGGCGTTGCGGAAAATTAAGGTGAGACTGAATGCTGCGATAATGTGATCTCTATGGAAGTATATTGATTCTTCCGTAGACCACGCTCGAATTTGAACTTCGCTTACAAGAGTACATCGAGTTGGCGCGTGATCAGAAGAAGCAGGAGGCCATGGCTTACTCGAAAAAGCATCTCGTGTCATGGCAAGAAACACATCTCCCACAGATTATGCAGGCTGCCACTCTACTTGCAATAAAACCTTCTACGACGTGTGGCCCGTACCGCGTAAGATAACGTTGCGCCACCTGCATTTGTATCTCATTGTACCTCACAGAGACTGTATGATGATTCCCGCTGGCTTGATCTTATTCAAGCCTTTCGGCTTGCCATCTACAATCTGAACTCTTTACCCACTGAACCCCTTCTCAATCTTGCTCTCTATTCTGGCCTAGCTTCACTGAAGCTGCCTTCCTGCAACGACAGGTCATCCCACAATATCGACTGCCCGGTGTGCGACCCTAGCATAAACACTCTGGCTCGAGAAGTTCCATTCAGTCACCACGCCAACTCCACTATTGTTTGTCGAATTAGCGGCAAGATCATGGACGAGGACAATATGCCCATGGTGTTTCAAAATGGTCAAGTTTACTCGAGAGAGGTATGTCTTTCACTTTTGAAAACGAACCTATCACCGACTTCTTCATGTGACCAACTGATACTCATGTTCTACTGTCAGGCACTGGAAGATATGGCAGCGAAGCACAATGGCATGGTCACTTGCCAAGTGACTGGCCAAACGTGCGAGTTCAGTGCACTCAAGAAAGTATTCATCTCTTAGCTGTTTACTGCGTGAAATACCAGACTCGTCGTCTCGGTTGTTTACATCAATTCTCACCGCGTGTTGGACCTATATTCATTTTTTATCGTGTAATAACATTAGCAACTGTAGTATATTCAGACTCAACAAAGGAGAAGGCTTCGTCGAGAACATTTTGCTGACCTAGTCGGAATTCAACTGCATTCGTGAGCAAGCGCGTTTTGGTAAGTGGCGATTGAGTGGTCAATCCACTTTCGCTGGTCGACGTATTCCGTTTGTGGCTGCGCGCAGCTGAACGACCCTTCGATGACACGTGTCTGCGACTGAGAGCTTTCGTGATCGAACATGATATGTGTCAGAGAATAACGAAAAACAAGAACTGACAGTAACAAAGTTTCTGCGAAGTACGGGGTGCTGAGGGTGCCGGTCACAGACTCAGTGGCCAGGGCAACATGACCTGACCAAGAAGGACTTGCGTGATATCATGCACTGGCACGATAAATTCATCTCGTTCAAATGGGTGTGGAAACTTCTTGCCGTATATGGTGACTCTGGTATGCTACAAACCCTAACCATATCTAACGCCCCTCCTGAGGCCGTGAGCTGATGAAGTGGTTCCTAGGACTCGGAAGGTTCAACTTAGCCTAACAGATTCCAGAAGTTGAAGCGGCCATCGTATCGAGTCTTCGAAGAAAAAATGCCCCATAGCGATGGAAGTAGCGACGATATTCACTGAGATATAATGACTGAGGAAGAGTACTGAAGTACTGACGATCGCCAGGTCATTTCAGTGATTGAAGTTCAACAATGAGCGCTACAGCTTGTCGATTGGCGCTCATTGAGATTGAAACTGTACCCACATCGATGACAACCTTGGGTTCTATGCATTAATATCAGTTTACAGGCACATTCTCCAGACTTGCGAGGCGGTACCTTGCGCGTCATGTGGGATGAGTGTGCTGTTCTTTGTCCTTCACGTGCATCTAATTGTGACTGGGGAGTGTATGGTAAATTGGAGTCATGCCGTGCCTGTCACGCAGGCTTGACTTGAAACTTCATGCGCATGAAGTGCTGAATCTGAGCCAAACTATTTGTGTCTTGCAACTTCTATATATACCAACGGAAAGCCTACACCTATTGTTCTCTCAATCTCGATACCTGGAGGTGTTTTTTTTACCGTATGTCGGAGCTCAAGGCACGCAAACGCAACCTCAGCAATCAGAATGGACCTAGACACCACGTTTTGCAAACTGGTCCTAACAAGCAACGGATGACGCTTTCTTGGCACGAAATACCAGAATGGCAGAGGGATAACGAGTACATTTTAACGGGCTACAGACGGTAAGACTGCGTATCGAGGGGTGCAAGTCTCCGACTTGCCACAGCGCAGATGGTTGATTGACTGCTGTACTACTAGAGTGCAGAACTGCTGGTCAGGTTGCATTGCATCTATCTACAGTTGTGAGGAAATTCGAGTTGCCCAACATTTATATGTCATTGATTAATTTTGTCCTGGGTAGATCCTCATAACGAAACTGGTAAGTTTCTTATTCTCAAAAGTAGATATGATCCATTGCGTTTTCCAGTGAACATCCTCAGCCATCTAGCTGGCGCTGTGGTTTTCCTCTGGATCCTGATGACATTCCGCGGGCAATATATCTTGGCGTATAGCACTACCACCTGGCTGGATACTTCCGTCTTTGCTATATTTCTACTCTCTGCAGTGTTCTGCCTTACTGCGAGTGCCATGTTCCACTACTGCCACTTGCCATTCGGCACAGGTCAGCCTTCTCAAAGTTGCGACTGCACGATCTGACTCGTGATTCAAAATTGATCACAGGTGTCGACGCAGTGCCATGCATTGGATTATTCGGGAATCGTCAGTAAGTAAAGGTATCGCCACCTCTATCTCATTTCGATGAATCCTTCCGTAGTCCTCACCGTCGGATCTTTTGTACCATGCCTTTATTACGGATTCTATTGTGAACCGGCCTTACAAGCCTGTTATCTATGTTCCATCGCACTAGTTGGCGCAGGTCGGTGTTGTCCATTGATATCAGTCCATTAGCAAGTCATTTACCAATACACGTTTTAAGGAGCGGCATATATCGTTCTCAACCCTGAATATGCAAAACCAACACACCGAGGTGCACGTACCTGTGTTTTCATTGGTCTCGGATTGTCCGCAATGGTCCCAGTAGCTCACTTATTGGTATCGCATGGAACATTCAAGCTATTTTCCGAGATGGGTTTTGGTTGGCTGCTCGCATCAGGCGGTCTATACATCACGGGCGCGTTGATTTAGTGCGTGGACCCTCATTTCCCGCCCTCCACACAAATGCCTGATGTTACAATTCATCCCCGCGCAGCGCTAATCGCATACCGGAACGTCTGGCTCCAGGGAAATTCGACTTACTCTTCGCATCACATCAGATATTTCACTTCTGTGTGGTCCTGGCCGCTTTGGCTCACTGGATGTGTGTATTGACTGCCTTCGATCATTGGCATTCTGGCTTGGATGGATGGAAATTGTGACATGCTGGTGTTGCGTCGCTGCGTCGTGGGTATTACGCAGTGGTAGGACAGCCTGGGAAAATATCTGAAACATGCCCTAACGGCTGTCTTCGCCTATACACCAGGCTCACCGTTCCGGCGGAGTCATTGCGCGGAGACAAAATCCACGTTGCAGGGTGTATCCGTAAGCCTAATGGAAGTTTGGTCATCCTTATTTTAATTGACGATTTGAATGGGCTTGATTGTATACCTTCGGTGACCGCACGCTGCATACGGGAGTCCTCGGGATGTGTATTTACGAAGGTGACGTTTGCGTTAGACGATAGACGGATTTCGTTGTGAATGGGGATCGAGGCTCTGGTCCATCGGCGTCCGGCAGATGATGACGAGTATATGCAAAGATGCCTTGCCACACCAAGACCTCGAGGTAGCCGAGTTTTATTTTTTAGGTATTGGAGAGTGCTGCGATGCAGGGCCGGATGCGGAATCTCTGGCGGCCAATGAAAGTTAAGGAAATGGACAGGACGTACAACACAAAGTACGTTAGGCTACCTACAGAGCGTCGTCATCGTCTCCGACGGAGCGCAAACGTACATACACAGGGCTAGGCCACGAGACGATTACGTATTTACCGCGCACCTAGGATTGCGGAACCGAAGCCAATAATTCTCACCAAGATTCGAGTTCTTGTCGATCAGATCACCGAAAGGCACTCATGTACATACATGGCGAGGCAGCATGTTGGCCCGTCTCGCATGTGGATGGGTTATATGAACTTGAGGTGCCATATAAAGTCGCGCCATCACACAAGTTTTCGTTGCCGTCCTCAAATATTATCTTTCGCGTCCGACAGCTTGTATCATGTACACGGTCGGCCTACAATCCGCTGCCGACGCATTTCTTCTTTCCAGCCTGAAGGCCCAAGTGGCTCTCGCTTTACTTGTTCTCTTTATTCTTCTCTTTTTCGGGTTTGGTTCTCAAAAAGATGGTGCTGTTGACGGCGCCCCAGTATTTCTCCCCGGTTCTCATCTCCTCGCCATTACCCCATTCTTCCGCCGACGCTTCGAGTTTCTGAACGATGGTTTCCGTAAAACTGGCCAGTCCCTCTTTCAGTTCAACATGCTCCGAGTAAGCGTTATAGTAGCAAGTCTTCTCCAGCGACCACTCACTACTTGAATGACTACAGGAGACGGTCATTGTTGTTTCCGGAGAGTCGGCCCGCAAATCGTTCTTCGCCAACAAACACTTCGACCTCACTGAAGGCTTTAAAATGCTTTCTGGAGCTGTCAGTATCTCCCTCTATGATCGACAATATGTGCGCCAATCCTGACACTATTTAGATCCCTGTCGTCAAAGGCGTGACTTCCAACCTTCAGACTAAGCGCGTCGCGCAAATTCATAAGCGTCTCTCCTCCGTTCAGCGAAATGAACACCTTAGTGGCCGTACGTCGTATCTATCTATTCATTTATTCATTCTCATCATTTTATCATCACACCTAGTCATTGCTCCTATCTTGGAGGATTGCCGAAGAGTAATGGAAACGTGGGGACCTTCAGGAACATTTGACCCATTTGAAAAAATTTATGAAGTTGGTTTCTGGATTTGTTAGGCTCGCCAAAATCCTGACCATGTACACTACAGCTTTTATTCCAAATTACTGTACGATCGCTCTCCTGCGAGGAGTTAGCAGACGATCCTGTTCAAGTTGCGCATCTCAAAGAACTATACGACACCTTGGACAGTGGAACAACGCCCGCGACTGTCTTACTTCCATGGCTACCTGGGCCTAGCATGCTCAAGAAGCTGTGGGCAACCAAAAAAATCTACGACATTATCGTCCGGGCCATTGATGAGCGGGAGCGTAGTGGAATATCTAAACCTGATACTCTGCAGATGCTCCTTGACGAAAAAGACGATAGGCTTGTTATTGTCGGCGTAAGCTTTTCTCTTGAGCGTGAACATTCCGAGTCATCTGACGTTTCAACAGTTCATTTTGGGCCTGCTAGTCGCTGGTGCGCGAGCGACCGGAACAACAGCTTCGTGGCTCATCACCTATCTTGGTGATCATGAGTCCAAGGACGAAGTAATCGCCGAAGTGGAGCAACTCCTAGCAAATTATGTCCCCCCTAACGTCTCCCACTCTTTGTCGCAACAACTTTCGTTCATTCCACTGGAGGCTTGGGAATCAGAGACACCCGTTCTTGATTCTCTCATTCGCGAGACTCTCAGGATCGCGCAGCCTCATACTGCCATGCGCCGAAACCTTGGACCTGACGTGACGATTGACGGAAAGACTATCCCATCAGGGGCATATGTAGTATATCCTTTCTCGGACGTTCATCTCAATCCAGACCTCTACCCTGATCCGTGGAGGTTCGATCCTAACCGCAAGGAAGCGACGGTTCCGTTCGGTTACGTTGGTTGGGGAGGAGGTAAGCCACGTTGTCGATTGCGCGCTTGTTAGCAAACCTAATTTCCCGGTAACAAGGTAAGACGCATTGCCTTGGCCAGCGTTTGGCCCGACTTGAGCTCAAGCTTGTCACCTCCATGATGCTACTCGGCTTCCGGTACTCCCTTGTCGACAAGAGAGGGCAACTCAGCACTCCCCCTCAACCTAACTGGAACGATATTCTACTGTGCCGACCGGAACAGGGCTCGTCTTATGTTAAACACGAGAAATCCGTGCTTTCACTATAACGCAAGCTGGCCTTGACTTATTGGACAATCTTTCTCACCCTGTCAACAAACTAGGATCGTGTTGAGCCTTTTTATAACATCACTACATTACCCACATGGTCCTAGTCACAGACCCATTGGACACGTTGTTTATTTACCTTATACTTCATTTCAAACACTGTACCGGCTCCGATACTATGCCCATAACGTAGTTTGTTACCCGTCATCACTCCCTCCCCCAACCTCTCGTTTGCTAGATATCTAGACGTATGTGACTTAATAATCTAGGTTAGATGAATGTAATATGCATGTATGACAATTCCCATGTAGCGCTACAATGCTCCATTTACTTGTAAAAGCTTTTACACGTCGGACATGTTGCATGGTCCTCTGATCGATGAGATAAGCGTGCAGGCGGCGTGCACATATTGAGCAATGCCAATCCGTCGATCCCAGTAATTTTGTTAGCCAAAGTATAACCTATCCTTCGAATTAATCCCTTTTGGCCGCTCATCTCTTCGATTGGGCCTCTCTGGCATCGCAGCCTCAGAAATCAGCTCCATGTTCTGCTTCTTCTCTTCAAGCCTACTCTGCATCTTTCGTTCCTCCCTCGACCGTCGCTCCCGTTCTGCAAATCTCACTCGTTGCTCTCTCGATGGCTCCCACTTGCTTCGCAAGATGCGGCGAACAGCCTCCGGGCTAATCTTGAACTTCTCAGCAAGCACCGGCGTCGAAAACGTATGCTTATCATAGGTATGCATGGCACGCAAACCGTCCATGGCTTCGCGAGATAATTTACGTGGAGGGGACCACCCCTGAGGAAAAGCCTCCTTGATGGCGAGACGGTGGCGTTTCCATTCCTCTGGTGTGTCTTCCACCGGCGCGCGCTTCCGTCGCCTCGGGGGTGGTTCATCTTCGCTCAAATCGAGAGTTTCTCCCTCTGCATCTTCCGCTAAAGACAGAGGCGCAGGGTGTCCGGCCAGTCTCCAGTCCCTTTTCTTTGGTTCATTGGTAGTGGAATAGTATCTATAGAGCGAGCTTTTGTGAAACAAAGACTGTGCGTGGTGTGAAGGTGTACGAAGTAGCGACGTCAACCTATAATAGTTGAACCTCGTTGTAAACTGGACGCCCTGCATGATTACTCGGTTGATGGAAATGTAACAAAGACTTCAAACTTAGTGGGTAAAATTAGTGGGTGGGTTGTCACGGTATTTGCCGAGTGGTTTCGTGAGTGCTTCGACTTTCAAACCATCTCCTAGGAAGGAAGCCACCATCTCTGCCATCAGTTCCCAGCTTATCATATCGACCTGTTCTCTTCCCCTCCTTCCTTCTGCAAAATTTTGTATTCGATTTATCGCGCCTGATTATACCCGATGGCCGACCTATCTGATCCCAAAATCGACGAAGGTTAGTCTGCGAAGTTACAGCGCATCGCTTAGTGAATTTGGGTTAACCAGCAGTGTGGTGCTGATCCTTACAGCTTACCAGGATGTTCGTTCCGACAAATCCGAGACTAACTGGCTTTTGCTCGACTATGAGGTCAGAATTTATGTTTCCTAACGGTCCGATTACCTTGATGCGTTTAGGTCCTCCCTACAATGATCACACGCTTAGTCTGACCGCTCGGACAAGCTAACAGTCACACAGACGGGAACGGGTGGTCTCGCCGAGTTACGCGATGCACTTAGCGATTCCAAAGCGTCTTACGCATACGTTCGCGTTACCTTCTCCAATGACAAGGAATCTCAACGGGAGAAATTCATTCTAGTAGTGTGGATCGGTCCTGGGTGCAAAGTGATGCGAAAGGCCAAGGTCAGTCCTTAGTCTGTTTCTTTACGTGTGCTGCGGCGTGTATGGATATCTTTATTTTTCCCAACTTTAAAAACACACGCGGTGGCGGCGGCCTGGCTGCACTGCCTTTCAGCGGTGAATCAATGACAATGATGATGTAGTTACATAGTCTGACATCCCTCTTTGCTGTATTATCTCGCAGATCTCCGTCCACGCAGCCGATGTCAAACAGGTGTTGCGTGTCTACTCCATTGAAGTTCCCGCTCGGGAAAAGGACGATTTAAAGGAGGATCCGATTGTAGTAAAGCTGCGGAAGGTGAGTGGTCTAATAAAATCTGGAGCGGGAGTCATCCATCGGTCTCACTCATTAATCTTGTCAGGCAGGTGGGGCTAGTTACGACGGGGTGTAGCTTACATCACACAAAGTCGTGCTCTCAATTTCCTGGCCCTGCATTCATGCGCCTTGTGTGCCGTCGGATTTATATGAGTCATTTACCACTTGTATTGCGCGTCAACTGTGCCCGAGGTCGGACAGTCTTTTGGTCCGCTCGTGCGTCATACAAAGGCACCCTGACATCGCATTGCGCAATGGTACCTATGCTATTGCTTGGCGAGGATATAGAGGACCCTGTATTAATGACTTCAGGCCGCGTGGACGACAAGCTTCTGCAGATTCTCGATTCCTTGTTCCTCCAGCCGCATACCCATCCATTCTTCCATTGCTTTAGCCTCCAATTTCTTTTCATAAAATGCGATCGATGGAGTGTTCCACTGAATGAAAGAATGATACGAAGGTACCAAAAGAATTAAGCTGCAGGAACACTGGTGATACGATCAGCCAATTGTGACTTGCCTTGAGTACCGACCAATCAAGGCGTGCGCAGTCCTTGTTGCCGGAGGTTGCATAAGCAAGGTCCTCGGAAAAAAGCGTGTGATATTACCTTCTCCTGAGCTATCTTGCCCAGCTCCGCGAAAAGGGCTTTGCCAATGCCCTTATTTCTTGCATGCGGGGATACATACAAGTCCTCAAGCTGTATATGAAGTATTAATAGAGAAGCAGCGTCGCGGTGCGGCACAGGCGGATCAGAATTTGGACGCACAAAGAGGCCAGGCTTGCCTGTCCATGTTGAGAAATTGAAGAAATACAGGGCCATGCCCAATGCTATTCCGGGTGCCTCAGGCGTTCCATCAAACGCGAGGAGGGTATGCGCATATTTCTTTTCGAATATATTCTCTCGAAACTTTGACGGCATATGAGTACGATTGCGTAACCTTTCAACGAACGACCCACCAGAGCAGGGGTAGCCCTTGCAGACTCGGGTTCTTTTTCATACATCGCCTAGATAAAAGTGGGAAGTTGCAGTACATGAAGATCCTTGAGGCGAGGCGATTACCTACAAGATCTCGAACCAACTTGAGCATGGCGTCCTGAGTCATTGATCTTATCAACGCTGATAACAGCGCTCATCAACAATGCGTTAGGTGCTCACCACGTCGTTTACGTTAGCCGGACGAATATGAAATGTAAGAGTCATCTCTGGGTATCCGATTCTTCCAAAAGCTTTCTGACGGACTTGATGTTAATTACAAGGATAAGTCATGGTCAAGCACCTGGGGAATCCCCCTCCAAACGCGTGTCAAAGTGATTGTGGTGCCCAAATACGTACAGGTTTGTGGTACAAATTCAGGACCGCGGTACTAGCGTTTGTGTACACATATTTGTGCCTAAACCTTAGTCTGCAACTTTTCACCGTCGCATCACCAAGGGCATCGTGAACCCTCGCCGCAAAAGCATCATGGATCCCACAAAATTAGCCAAACTTCAGGCGCAGTCTGCAGCCAACAGGATCGGTATGTGTTTTCTATCAAACCGCCAAATTTGTAGCTTCCATTCCATCTTCCTTTTTGGCATGTATATACTCAAGGCTAACATGATGACGCGTTGCAGGTGGTAAAGGGACCATGCGTCGGAAAATTGTTCGGAAGACCAAGCCCTCTGCCGCACAGGATGACAAAAAACTCCAAGGCGCTCTCAAGAAATTGAATGTGCAACCTATTCCTGGTGTAGAGGAGGTTAATATGTTCAGGGAAGATGGAAACGTGCTGCATTTCACTGCCCCAAAAGGTGTGTACCAATTTCTACGTCGCTTCCGAGTAGATAAGCTCGTGTTGGGCGTCCCCTCTGATAAGATTCGTGTTAATTTGAGTTTTTCTCCTTGTCTGTAGTACATGCCGCGGTCTCCGCCAACACGTTTGCGATCTATGGAACTGGTCACGTCAAGGAGTTGACTGAGCTCGTCCCTGGCATCTTGAACCAACTTGGCCCTGATTCGCTGGCATCGCTGCGTAAACTTGCGGAATCATACCAGGCCATCCAGCAAGGGCAACAGAGGCCACCTACCGGAGCTGCTGAGGATGATGATGATGACGTGCCCGATCTCGTCGAGAACTTTGATGTTGAGGGCGAACAGGCCGCAGCTGAAGAGAAGAAAGACACCCTTGAGGATGTGAACTGAGTGCGCAGGCTGCTTGGTGCACGCGGTTTGGAGGGGAGTATTTGTCATATCGGTGCTGAGAGTTAATTTGATGGGTGGTGGGGAGAGTTGGAATAAAATGACGGACAAGTATCCGGGTAATAGCCAGCTCCTTTGCCTTACCATCAGTTTCCATTCATGCACTGTGTCAACAAAAACCTTCATCGATCTTACCCCGATACGTCGCTCTTTTCATGTCTTTATCTCATGTTTGTGCTCTGTAGTTCCTATCCTCCCATGCGATCGCACATTACTGCATGCTGGCATTGTTAACTGGTACGGTTCCGTGACAGACATGTTCGCAAAGAGGTTGCGTGTACAAGTTTCTTTGACGTATCGACAGCAAGTCGATCTCGAGTTCATCTCTCGGGCCGTCGCACTCACACGTACTTGCAGCTCAGACCAAGATACTCTGCTTAGATGCAAAAATCTTCAAAGCACGCACTCGTTCCAAATGCGGCGCCTTTGAGGTGGTGACAGCGGTTGTGCGGATAATAATTGTAGTCGAAGGCTACTGACACGCCTGGGAGGTCAATAAATCCAATTCCGTGAAAGTAGCAAGCGTTGATTTTCCTCGCCATATGATTGGAAATGACAAACGCCAAACCTCTGATGAAAAGAAATCGATAGATAGAACACTTGATGGGTTAAACCTCACCAGCTTCAAATGGAAGCCTTCGCACGCGTAGACTTTAGACCAGTCGTCCTCCTTCTGTATGTCTGCCTAGGGCCGACTAGAGTAAAAGTAGGGCTAGTCTGGAGATAATTGGGCAGAACAACATACCCAGCTGATAAGAGACTCCAGTTAACTGCAGAAGTGGATGCAGTCTAAGGTCCCTGAGGTCGGTTAATTACCCGGTTAACTAAGTCAGGTATGCAGTGCTTGTCTACTATAGCCACTATAAGGCGGCCAGGCCTTGAAAATAAGATAAAGCGAGACTTAGCGAGTGAGGACTCGGGACATATGTTTTTAAGAGTTTCATGCGGACCGGCGGGCCGGGTGCCGCAGGCAAGTTCGGAAAATTAGAAATGACCGACCGTCCCGTCTGTCCCGTTCATTCTGTCCGTACCATCCGACCCTAATTTGGTTATCCGGAACGCCTCGACATTCCTCCAAGATCCCGGAATTTATCTTTCAGGATTTGGGCGTTACCGGGCAGCACAACCTCGCGAATGATATGTCCTTGAGCCAATTTCCAACGAGGCAAACGTGGAAGCATTAGATTAGGAACACCCGCGAGACAATCAGCAGCACGATCGTGGCGATGGGGACAGGAGAACGGACGGGACAGAGCGGACGGGACGTACAGAACGGACGGACTCCGGGACGGAAAGGCCGGACAGAACTTTCGAACATCCCCGTATATTCATTGCCAGCAGTCTATCCAGTCGCCACACCTACTTATTGACCAAGTTTATTGTTTGCTGTCTTGTGATATTTCCTTGCATGTGTATATGCGTCACCTGGTCATCCAGGGTCAGCATTCGCACCGGTGGAACCTCTCAGCGTCATCCTCAAGACACCATAAATACAGGTAGAGTGAGAGTACGGTGGCACATCTTCCGCTGTTGTTTCTCTCGCTCAAACCATTGAACATCGGCAACGTTAAACACTCTTACAATGACGACCAGGATCACGCATTTCGAAACACATGGTGAGTTTTGTTTGCTTTCCCCTATGCGTGTGCGCTGATCATCTTCTTTGCCGTCAATGATAGATATTCGATTTCCCACATCTTTGACGGGTGATGGCACTGATGCGATGTGAGCTGATGCCTATGTCGTGATTTCTGATGTTCTTCTACATCACACGTGCCTCAGGAATACGGATTGCGATTATAGTTCGGCATATGTTACTATATACACTGACAGTGGGCTTATCGGTCATGGAATGACATTTACCATTGGTCGTGGTACTGACATTGTGAGTGAACAGAACTTGGTGCTTTTAGTACATACTTCTTCGTCACAAGTTCTGGTAGATGTTCCATTTATCGTTGCATTACTTCTCTCGCCCTGTTGGAAATATGTTACTGATTATTGCCTACCTCGCGCCATAGGTGTGCCATGCGATCCGGCAACTTGCTGGACGCTTGGTTGGACATGACCCTGAGAGCTTTTTTGAGAATATGGGAAAAGCTTGGGACTGGATGTGCTCCGACTCGCAGCTGCGATGGTGAGTACTTGAACGTTCTGCTGAATCGACGTCAGAGCCGTCATGTATGGCTCGATAGTTGTTTCTGCCGAATTGTTTTGATTTGCCTTGGTATCTGTGATCTGATTGTGAATTTGTTTTCAAGGATTGGTCCAGAGAAGGGCGTGATCCACCTTGCAACGGCTGCAGTGAACAACGCCTTGTGGGACATGTTTGCTCGTGCCAGAGGCAAACCCCTGTGGAAATTGATTGTTGATATGACTCCAGTTCGTGACATTGTTTTACGATTGTCCCGTTCAAATTCACTATGAACATATGCACAGGAAGAGCTAGTAAACGCGACTGCGTTTCGTTATATCACAGACGTGCTAACACGTGAAGAGGCGCTTGCGATGCTTAAGGCGAAAGAGGCTGGAAAGCGTGAAAGAGAAGCCCTTGTTACCGAAGTTGGGTAAGGGTTTATCGATGTACGTCTCAGTTACCTACATCTTACCAACAAGCGCAGGTATCCAGCATATATCACATCAGCGGGCTGGCTTGGTAAGGAGAAGCCTATTGATCCTGCTGACTTTGCTGAGTAGTCCTGCAGGATATTCGGATGAGAAAGTGTTTCGTCTCACGAAGGAGGCCCTTGCAAGTGGGTTCAACCACTTCAAGATGAAAGTAGGCGCCGACTTCAAGGATGACTTGCGCAGAGGCAAGATGATCCGCTCTATCATCGACGACCCCGCAAATTACCCGTCTGGATTCAAGGATCCTTTGAGTCCAGAGCTGGCTGGGAAGAACGCAGGTCCGACTGGCGCTGTATTGATGATCGATGCGAATCAGGTTTGGGATGTCCCGCAAGCAATAGACTATGTGACCGGATTAGCGGAAATCAAACCTTGGTCTGTACTGTTTGTTTCCATTCCAGTTATGAGAACTGACCCTTGATACTGTCAGGTTTATCGAAGAGCCTACAGCGCCTGACGATGCTCTGGGCCACGCTGCGATCAGGCGGGCACTCAAGCCGTACGGGATCGGAGTTGCGACTGGGGAACATGCTCATAACCGTATGGTGTTCAAGCAGTTGTTCCAGGCGGAAGCGATCGATGTTTGTCAGATCGACTCCTGTAGACTCGCAGGTGTCAGTGAGGTGCTGAGCGTGTTGTTGATGGCTGCAAAGTGAGCACGAGGAGACTTTCACTTTTTCATTCGTATGACATGCTGAATGGCCATGTTCGAAGGTTCGGCGTTCCTGTTTGTCCACATGCTGGTGGCGTTGGGTTATGTGAATATGTTATTCATCTCAGGTTGGTGTCAATCCTTTCGTCGAAAGTAGTGTCCCTGACCTAGGTTAAGCGTGATTGACTACGTTGCAATTTCCGGGACGATGGAACGAAATGTATTGGAATTCGCGGACCACTTGCATGAGCACTTTCCTTACAGGTGTACCATGAACAAAAGAGGGAGGTACAATGTTCCGAGTAATCCAAAGGAAGGTTATAGTATTGAGATGTACAAGGAGAGCATTGCCGAGTTTGAATGGCCGAATGGATCTTACTGGGTCGGTGCGAGGGGTGGTAAAGTCTTGAGCACTTGATGGTAAATATAGGATAGTCATATGTCGAGATGCCGAGTTTATTTTGGTGTATTTGTGCATGTAATGGTTAAATGATGTACTATGGACAGCCTCTTAGTGGGACACGCGGTAGGGTGTACATTGAACACCTTGAGTGGTTGGAGGATGGCATACACAGCGGCACCACGGGATCCACCACCACAATCTCAGGGTTTCAGATCCATATCACCCAGACCAGCATATCCGATCCAACACCCAACGCAGATCCAGATACCAGCCCAGTTAAGATACCAGCACCCCCACCAGCAACACCGGCCACCACCGACATCTTTCCAGAACCCTACCCCAACCCGACGCCCCCTTCCGACCCCAAAGCCACGTCCGGAATCCCTCCCGCCGCCCGCACGTGCTGCTCAGACCCCGGCCCCGTCACGTCCGGCACCTATCCCTGCCCCGGCCCCTTCACGTCCTGCCATCCTTACTCATGCTGCATCCTTAGAGAGCACCCACATTAATAATCATACGAGACGTCCCCTCCCTAATCCAGGTGCTAGATCAACTAAACATGCAAGCTTGGATCTTCGTGCTCAGTTGGAAAATAATATTCCAACAGAACCAGATCTAAACAGTGCTGTAAGCTCCCAAACCAGCTCATCCAGTTTCTCCCCCTTTTCTGCTGCAAGTGGTGCTTCAAGCTTTTCTAGTATTCCAGCCCATTCATCTAGCGCGGCTACTTTCCCAAATCAACCCCCATCATCAGCTTACTCGAATTCACCTACTTCTACAAACTTTCACGATACGCCACCACATGGTTTCAGCGGCCCGATCCCAGCATCTAGCTACTCCCATGTCGGTCCACATATAGATGTGCAGGGTATGCATGGTTTCTTTTCTTACTTGACCTCATTTTTTACATACTTTCAGCTTTTCCACCCTCTTCTGCACCAGCCAAATTCACCCCTCACTGGAAACGTGACCTTCCCGGGCCCGGGCCATCACAACAGCCCAATGAGTCGTCCTCACGTGTGGGTCCAATCATGGAGCGCAGGAGCACAGTGTCCGGCTCGGCTGCTCCACTAAATCTTGCTAACAAGGGGTTTCCCCCTCCTGCGACATCAAACAGCTATTCCTCTACCCTTCCAGTAAGCCCGGGGCGTGATCCAACAAGTGTCATAGATCGTGCCCAGACAGTCATTCATCGCGCCCAAACACAAACATCGTCCGGCCGTCGTCCTTTGCCGTCTATTGGCAATAGGTCCCCACCGGTACCCCCACTTCCAGGTTCGTCTTCTAATTATTAAAAATATCACAGTTGGAGTCACGGGATATGTTATTCATAGGCATTTCACGCCCGCCCCCTGTTCCAGGTAATAGTAGTTATAATTAGTGCGGTATTCAACTTTAAATAATATTTTCAGGAAGCTCGCGTTCCCCTCCAGCCATCCCAAGTTCCTCGCAGGGCCAGCCAGTTCCAGGAAGTTCGCGATGGCCTCCAGAACCAGGTATTTATTTGTCGCTCTAGTGCTCTGATCGTTCATCAATTTCACATCTGAAAGGGAGTTCACGTGGTCCGCCTATGCCAGATACGTTTCGCTCTCCAACAGTTATGTCATCTCGTTCTCCGCCTATCTCTGGTAATCCAGGATCACCACCAGTGCCAGGTACTGATGACTCATGTTGACTGCCGTATGTACCTGACTGTTCTGGTTGTTTCAGCGAGCTCTGTCTCACAGAGGGCACGTACGACAAGCAGCGCACCCTCTGCGTCGTCCACGCTCACAGATTCCTCCCATCCATCGTCTTCGACGATGCGTTCGATGCACACACGGATGCCTGCGACCACTGATGATGAGTCAAATACAAGCGACGTGGGTGACGAGCATGATAGAAAAATCGATAAACGCCAAGAAGGAAGAGGATATGGTGACACGAGGAAAGACTATGATCGCCAGCACGGTAGGTATAACGAACAGAATGAGACTCGCAACATAGGTAGTGTGGGAGAACCAGGCAATGTATCCCCGCAATACGGCATCCGCGACCTCCCTCAGCGCGCTCATCCTTCTCAACCACCCCAACCCCAAGGTACATATTCAGGAAAGGCAATGGACTCGGACGCGCCCGATTCGCTCGTCGACTCTCCCAACTCCCCCATCTCAGTCACCCAACGATATCCAGGATAATGAACCACAATCGCTCACATTGCGCATGGCCGCACTCGGACTATCCACTTCCCCTCACTCACCCTCACACATGCAAAGCGATCTAAGCAGACATCCCTCGATGCAGGGTTCGATGCAAAGTTCGCGCTCATCTTCGCCGAGCTTTGACCTCGGGAGTCACCCGCTTCTGCAGCGTGTGCCATCTGCAAAGGAAGAAGAACTTGAAAACCTGTCCAAACGCCCATCTTTACAGCGTGGTAAATCTGTGATTGAGGGACTCCAAAGGCATCCTTTTGCGTCCGCCCCGATGGAGAGACGGGTATCAGGCAGGAGTCGAAGCTTGGTACGTGAGCAGGAACGCCGCAGCATGTCGCCTGCACCCGAACAATCCCCCATACGTGAACCTTTACCTACGCGCAGTCAGTGGCCACAGAACATTCCGCCGCTTCCCCGCGCACCGCTATCGCCTGCTGGAACCCGACCCTTTTCACCTGGTTTAAATGCCTCTGCGTTTGATAATAACATAAACGGCTCGCCTGCGCGATCCGCTTTCGCGCGTCCTGCATCTCCACTCAAGAGTTCTGTGCCTCCGTCTGAATTTTCACGCCCTACATCTCCATCCAAATCACCCCTACCGACACCCCTCACTCGCGCCGAGCCAGGAAACACATCCGTGTTTCCTTCCCCGCGAAAAGCGAGTGGCGGAAAGGGCCCGTTTGGCCCACAGAATCAAGATTCGCGTTCCAATTCACCACAAAAATCATCCAATGCCTACGCATCGCCAACGTTACCTTCTTCGTCCTCCCCGCCGAAACTAGCCTACCTTAGCAATACGAACGCACGAAATGCGTTCCCACCCACCGCGTTCCCATCTTCGTTTCCCACAAGTTCATCTCATTCGACCACATCAAATTCACACATCATGGAACGTCAGCGGCAAAAGCAGCGTGCGTACGCGTCTACATACGACCTCGACGATGAGCCACCTGTTTCGCCGCTCCGTGAGCGTGTGGGTCTGCCTTCGCCTAGCGTGTCCCGCTCGCCTTCCCCTTCAGAGCCTGGGGCACGCGTGGGGGGACGTTTTGTCTCCAGAGGCCCCGCAAATAAGGATAAGGACTATGGTTATTGCAATGAGGATGACGAGGATGAGCGTTCACCCTCGCCCATCCGTTTCGCGAAGCGCTCCTCTAATCAGTTCTCCGTATTGGAGATGGATTTTGTAGGTGAGCAGGTTACGCCGAAGTGGCATCGCACGCCGGCATCCAGAGGTGCGGCAGAGCGCGGGGATGATGAGGGCAGACGCACGGATGTGGGCGTGCCAGTTATCTCTCTCCCTGGCGGGCATGTTGATTTTGATCAGGATTGTGATAATGGTGGTGGTGGCACGGTACCATCGAGCAAGACGCAGGAGTCGCCGCCAAGGATTGCTCTTTCGAGCGCTACGCCGCCAAGAGTGGCAGGTTCACGTGCTACGCCGCCGAGGGTGGCTGTTACTAGTTCAACGCCACCGCGTGTAGCTGTTAACGCATCGACGCCACCGCGTATTGCAGTGTCAGGCTCGTCTCCACCTCGTATAACAGTGTCGGGATCATCACCTTCTTCTCCACAAATTTCTGCATGCTCACCGTCCTTGCGACAAACATCTATATCGTCACCCTCTACACCCCAGATATCTGTATCCATTCCGAGTTCCTCTTCAAGGCATCCCAACTCGTGGCACACGTCAACGCCATCCCATGAGCGAAAACGTCTCCCGCCACCTCCAGGCGAAAATGGACTAAAAGATGCAGGGGGACAGAACAATGTGTTCGATGTGCAGAATGGAGGCAAATTATCGAGAGTGCTAAAAGGGATGCGTGGGAACGGGCTATCATGCGCAGGATGTGGTGGTCCAATTATTGGACGTATCGTCAGTGCGATGGGACAGCGCTGGCACCCAGGGTGTTTCCGTTGCTCCGCGTGCAATGAGCTCCTTGAGCATGTCTCGAGCTTCGAACACGAGGGAAAACCGTATTGTCATCTTGATTACCACGAGGTTCGTTCTCCCGACACCCCTTTGTTATATAACAATTTTAATTCCAATGTTACGCAGAACTTTGCACCTCGTTGCTATCATTGCAAAACGGCGATTATTGATGAGCGATTCATCACGCTTGACGACGAGGCACTGGGAAAGCGGACTTATCACGAGCAGCACTTTTTTTGTGCAGAATGTGGCGACCCGTTCCTCCCGCCGTCTTCTGGGAGTGGCGGGTTGACGGTCACGGGTGATGGCGAGTTCGATCTTGACGATGATGTTGGCTTCACGGTGTACAAGGGTCACCCATACTGCGAGGCGTGTCATGTTCGTCTGCGAATGCCCAAATGCAAGCATTGTAAGAAGTCAATTAGGGACGGAATGCGCGCTGTCGAGGCTTTGGGAGGCAAATGGTGTTGGGAGTGTTTTGTGTGCGAGGTATGTGATTTCCCTTCTCGTGAACGCTGGCCTCATACCAGGGTTACGCTTTCAGGGCTGCAAACAACCGTTTGACGATCCGGCGTTCTTTTTGCGCGATAATAAGCCGTTTTGCGAGCCGTGCTTTAGTTTGATATTACGAAATGAGGTGTGAGGTGTGGTTCGAATAATTTATTTCATGCTGTCGTTTTCGGTTTCTTGTGCATAGGTACTTGGATGTGCTAGCTGCTTTACAACTTTGATCTGTCTACATATATTCTGCTTCAAATGATCAGCGACCGTGATACGAGTTTCGTAATATGATACATAAATTGCTCTTCGACATCTTTTATAGTGTGGGTTACTTGTCACCTGGCTATAGACGTTTAGACGTTTAGGGTGTACCATCCGACAGGGAACCCGCAGGAGAAACCACCTATGAGAAGCGTAAGCGTGACTCGTGCCAGAAGTACAGCCTTGCGAATATATACCATCGAAAGATTCATGAAAAAGAAGATTGATATTGAATTCAAACTGCCGAAGTTTCAGCGGCTTCCGCGGAACCACTTTGGAATGTTTGCCAATGGCTGCGCAGCATGGTGGCCATGGGATCGGAGTGACCATCCTCCAAAGATGTGAAATGGAAGATGCCATAACCCATTAGCGCTAGGAAGGCAGCTCCACATGACGCCCACAAGACGCCAACCACGCGGGAGGCCCAAAATATGAATTGAGCGACCATAAGTCCTATGCTCCATAAGTACATCGCTTTTGGCATGCTGTATATAACAGATAAGGGCAGGAAGCCCCAATCAGATGATTTTGCTGCACGGAGGAAGGTCGCCTGGAAAGAGGGTGAGTCAAGTTATATGGATCGAAGGTAGAGGAAAGTACGAACAGCAAACGAGGCGGTTGCATCTTCGAAACCATGGTGTCTCAAGAGTAGGATTGATCCAGACAGGATACTTGAGGATGCTGCAAGAATTGGTGCTATAGCAGATGACATCGAAGCACGGGGTAGCATCGAAATGAGAACTGCTGGCACTGTGAGATGATCATTAAAATAAAAATCAATCAAACTCCGAGATTAGACTGACATCAGGACCGAAAATGCCTGAACACCAGCTCAGCTATCGAAACTAATATATTACATGAGACGAACGACGTACCCACACAATCAACCCTCTCCATTCTGAGAGACATGCAGTTATGAAATCCTGCCAGTGATCAACATACACCTGGTCGTGAACGAACAGGTCATGAAGCTTGGAGTGGTGGTGGTTAGGGATCCCCCACAACATCATGTTTGCCAGTGCACGCATCCCGGGGTGATCAACTATGTCTTCTGGCATGGGTGGATGTAATCTGTCCAGTTGGGCATTTTCTTGACCATAGTACGTCATGAATCGTTGATTATCTTTTAACTATTCAGTACTATAAAGAAATCGCAATACTTTTATAACTGACTGATTGCACCCCAAAGACGAGCTTAGGGCGTGTCAGTTTAGGATAACATGTGTAAATCATGATTCTTACCAACAAAACATAGTGTATAACCATCCAATGGTTCGCCTTGCATATTAGTGGTGAGTCATGAAGTCTTTTTGCAACAATTGTCTCTATACCTCGTCGCAAGGATAACGCTCGCAGAAGTTGATCGCATTTTTCTTCCGTATATGGGAATGTGGAAGTGCGCGACGTCATACGATCTAAAGACGTGTCACGTCATAGGCGTAAAAAAGAGTATGACATACCTGTCATGCCGTGACAGATGACACTGATCAAGTTGTCCAAGATGAGTGGCGTCATCTGTGCACAGACGTGCATCGGGAAAAACTCGACATGCACCCAGTACAGTCTTTCCAGTGCAGTATCTGTTGAAACTTAACCAACCATTATTATAGAGAAAACTGAACACGCACCCAAGTGTGAGTCAGACACCAACATGCCCATGTCAAGCAGTTCCGACGACGTGGGCTCGAGCCAGAAGAGGCAGCGGCTATGATGATCCACGAAATAATATGCACATGTAGTCGTTTGCGGTGGTTCGTCAAACCGAAGCTCGATGAAGAGCTCGCATGTCTGTGGCAATATGATGCCGCACTCGACGATCCTTTTTTCGATTACTGCCAGATAGCTGGACACTAGATTGTCCGTTTCAATATTCAATACGTTCTCCTCTGTAACAACCGACAAATGGCCACATTTCATGTGAAAATACAGTTGGCCTTCTGGGTGGATACAAGAGAGCCACTTGGACTGAGTGCTGAGAAGTTGGTCAAGGTTAGTTCAAGTCCACAGGCCAGTCGCTGGTAAGTGAGTTCACCTGGTACGAAGTCGCAACCCAGGTGCAGTTGTAGTGTGATATGCATCCACCCTTGGTGGAAAATGAATGAATGAACACCACGCAGGTTGGTTTGCAAGAACCTACCAGAGCAACTTTCCATACCGTCTGGTGGTTGTCGAAGTTACAGGCCTGAGTTCCTTGACTAGGTTAGGTGAAGATGCCATATCGTTTTGGTATGCTGATGCTTAAAGTGGTGCCAATTTAATGCTACTGGCCAGATTCCAGAATAACTTAATGACAAGTGGAAAGAAGACGAAGTTCTTGAAGTGGCGGACTGTGTGCTATTAGTATGTGGATAGGTTAACAATCAATGCACAGCAATCGAGCCACCGGTTGGCCAAGTAGGGTTATATACATGCTGTAGCCTCAGTGGACCACAGTTGGAAGAAAAAGATTATTATGTGATGTGTGCCAGATCGTCTTGATTAATAATATAGTCTTCGAGTCGTCAGTCGTCGGCCTCTGGATCGTAGTTTTAAAGTTTCGGTGTGGTAGGCTTACACCACGACGGTTTGAACTGTCGGTTTCTGTGTGTTAACTGTCCCGAGTCAGGGTGCTGCATAGGCAAGGTGGCAGGGCCTGCCAGCAACAATAGGGTCCATTAATGTGAGTCACACACCTGGGCCATGTGGCTCAAAACCATCTTCAGAATGGACTCGGATGATTGTCCTCCTTCTAGTAGTAGGACATGGCTGATGCAGTGTGGCATTGGCCATACAAGCGCTGCCAGGCTTCCAGCAGGAAAAAATCGGATCTCCAGCGCTGTAATGCTTCATAGCACCATCATGCCAGCAATATCTTCCAGACAGAGTCAACTATCAGGCTGTGATAATTCATGCGGGATAGCCACTACTATGACTTCGTCAGTACGTCTTCATTGACTCAAAATTTAGACATGCCTGTTGCGTTTCTTCCGCAGACTTCGGAGACCCATCCACCATCACAGAAGCTCATTGAACGCGCCTGCTGGCATGCAAGGCTGTTATTAGCGTGCCATGCATATGCAGCCTGCCAGAGGCAAAAACGTGAAGGCAATAGTCAGTGTCCTAATTTCAATGGCAAGTGAGTTGTCCCCTCACCTGTCCAAATTCTAAGTCATTTCCTGTCACCAGAGCTAATGTGCACTATCATGCAAGCAAGGCCATAGATAGACTTAGACTAGTGGCCAGTTGGCCCTGTCTGTTCGGCATTCGACTTCCAAATGACGCCTGTATGATCCACGAGTCAACCACTCCTAGCGCCTAGATAAATGATACTCCATCGTGACTCGGTGTCCACCTTTGAACAGGCCAAACGATCAACGTAATAGTCAATACAGTTGGCACTCACTGTCCAATTGCGTCCATCAAACTCGATTAAATAGCGTGCTATGGGAAACGGCGCTTGCGTTATCAGGATCTAGCGCTTAATACCCTCGTGGCCAGACGGTTACTTATGTACTGACACAAATTTAGCCGTTCCAGCCGCATATACACGTTCCTCTGATTGCTCACGCTTCCCTGTCTACCGCCCAGCTTTCGATTTGATTCACCTCGCATAATCGCTCGCTCTGCTGCACGACGACATAACTATACGTTAAGATGACCAAACACGTAGAAGACGCTCCTAATGGAACACCATATACCCATCCCCAGCAAGTGCACTCATACTGAACATGATAGATGTGCAAGATCTCATAACGATACAGGAAACACGATGAGAACGTTCCGGAACTTCATGATGAATCGGTTGAGGAAGACTCAGATGAGGAAGAATTTCCTCCAAAAGATGTTCAATACGACCCCTCTCAGGAATCCAGGTATTTAATTTTAACTCTGGTGCATTGTACGATAAGGTGACACATTGCCCAGGTTCAGTTCCAGAGGCCCTGCTGATGCGAGGGCTGTATCTCTCAGTACCGCTCGCAAAATCCAAGCGGCCAAGGACCAGGCAAAGAACAATCAGAGCCAGTCCAATAACCAATCCATCACTCAGAAGTACGTAGTTTTTGTTATATCAGAGCTGCTGTCTGACGGGGTCAACATATTAGGCCATCACCTGTTCCTCCTCGTCAGGTCGATCCCAAACGATACGGGAAGTAGATCATTAACAATGTCTGCAGAGAACGCGCAAAGAGAGATAACCAATGCGATTTCAAAGTTACTCTCTAGTATGATATGATCATGAATCCTAAGAAGTTGTATACTACATAAACCACGAAATATGGAACAGACGAAATCTTGCTCAGAGTCCAGCTCGTTTGAATTCAAACCTGTTCAGTGCTGCAGGATGGCAGCAGAGCCTCTATCACTAGCGCCTAAAGTCCTTGTTGGAATGAAACGACTACAGCTGCTATCTGTAACTTACTAAATCCATATGTCCGGGGGAACCTTGGACCTTCTTGAAGTGGCTTGCCACCTGAGCTTGCTCCTGTATACTGCAGTTGTGAATGCGATCTAGGGCTGCTCAATACGCGCGCGCCTGCCGGCGGACTTGAGCTTGAAAAATTGCTGTATTGCACAAGCGCCTCCAATCACCTTCGCGTGTACGGCTGTAACGTGTATCCGAGCTTAGCGGGAGCTTATACAATTACGTATATAGTCAAGTGCATGTTTATCGCCAGGCAGACTCGAATAATTAATATGCGAGGATCACAGGAGTATCTGACTGGTCTGAAACATATAACTACATGCCGGCTCGGAGCCAATCTGTGTCCACCCCCTTGATCATGCTGTATTGCGCAGCTCTCTCATCAAACTATATCAATATATAGAAACTACACAATGCAGAATCGTTCCTCGGCATCATCACAAGTGATGACATTTGTCACGATGGAAGAAATGTGCGGAGGAATGAGATTCGAACTTGACGGAAAGACAGCAGAACCTTGGCAGGGCGGGCACTGAGCGATCGCTAGTGTCGCCCTGCAGGAACGCACGTATTGGCGAGGACGGTCTGGCTGAGATCGCTTGGCAGTCACCGCAGTGTTGCCAGGAGTACACAGATTGGCGAGGGTCACCCTGAGGACGGTACGACAAGCTAGATATCTGAGGGGTTCAGGGATATTTCGCTTGCGACAAGCGCTCAAATTGGCAGTGGCGAACAGGGGGTGAGGCATGTTTTCGTACATTTGACTTGTGCGGTTACATTGAGTGACATAATCTGATGGTGTATCAGGCACGTACTTGACCCACCACTGAAAGATAGTCTCGAATTAGAACGGCCTGGAGCTTGCACAATAAACGTCCTACACTGTGGACCAACGAGGCCGAAAAGTCCCCCAGATAAAAGCAGTCAGTACCGATACAAGAGCCGATATCGAGAAAAGTCCGTGGTGAACAAATACTGTAGTAAGCAGCGTCAAATAGGCAACCACGGGGAGAAGTTCATTCACATGCATATTCAAACATCGAATGACCCTTCACAGGTGGACGAGAGGTGGCGCGGGGTAGTTGGGAGGGACATTACAGTTCGATGACCAATGAACATCGCCTTCTTCGTACATGGTATATACCGTATTGGGTCCCATGAGGCCACTGGGGCTGGCCCAGGTGCGAACATCGTGCTGAGGGGCTGCAGGTGGATAGCGACGTAAGTGAGAGATGGTGCATGAGACGGAGCATGATGTGTAGGGTAGCTTTCTCCCAAAACATCGTCAAAGGGGCAAAAAAGGGATGGATCCATAGTGGAATGCGAGTCCCGCGCAGGTGGCGAGATTGACATGGTACGCTTGTAGTGATTACGGTACAAAGGATGACACCAGATGGTCCTGCGACCATGGAGGTAGTGTACAAAGTCACGGCCGTTGTGGGGGCCTACCGGACGGTCGTTCATCTATATTTTGTCGGAAAGTCCGACACTGACCGTGGACAGTATAGTTTGTGAGACCAATAGATATAGATAGGATAAAAGGGCTGGAGCTGGTGAGGGTACTTGGAAACGTGGCCGACGAAGACATGGGACTTGTAACCGGGGTTGCAGAAGCCGTAGATTGCTGGGCGGGCGTAGGGGCAGTGGAGGTGGAGTAGTCATTGTCGCAAGAGCCGAAATAGGCTGGATGCTGGATATCGTATGCCATGCTATTCATTCAACTATCGTATATGTCAACGTCAATCGTCGTAAGGTTGAACGTGAATGACAAGAGCGGTCCAATCATGCAATGATCTAAAAAGACTTGAGACAAACGTTGGATAAAACCATGAGGTGCGCGAGTGGAGGGCATCAACTACTTTGCCCTGGGATTGTCAGCAAAATAATTACCCTCCAACGCAGTACTGTAATTCCGCTGATCAGGCAGCACCCTCTGTAATCCATACTTTTGTACAATGGCTGCAACCTTCGCGTGGTTTACATTGTGCTGCTTCAGGGTTTCAGGGTCTGGAATAGGGGGCAGTGTTGCGAATGCAAGCCGAGCGATGCCTACTTGTTCTAAGTACAACTGTTTGGAGAGCCGCGGCGGGTACTTGTGTTCTTGTGTGATTACACGCTCGATGCTCCCATGTTCGCGGATGAACTTGAGTGCGCGCTGAGGACCAACGTTCTTGATCCGTTGCGAGAAGTCCGTGCCGAGGAGCAAGAGGAAGTCGATATATGCGGATTTGGAGAGTTGGAGAGCAGTACGAACGTGGGACCCATGAACAAGGATTAGTGGATCATTTCTATTGGCGATATTTCGAATGAGGGGAGCCTCGTAGACGAGGACATCCTAGGTGAAGAATGAATGAAGGTTCACACGTAGCATTCTAAAAAGAACGTACCGTATCTTCGCTTGCAACATAATCAGCTATGCCATGGATAACAAGTGAGGATGCGAGAGCCTCTGCTTCAAAGGGTCCCTCTGATTCGATGCACGGCACACCCATGGCGCGCAGTATCTCCTTGCTCTCCTCGTAAGTCTGGGTGGTGGGAGGACTCGCTCGGCGAGCGTAAGACTCGGAAAGAGCACCACTCTTTTCAGCCAGCGTTGCAAGGGTAGTTTCAGGAGCGTCTGCAAGTGTATCCCATATCTGACCCTCCTCTATTGACATTTGAAGTTGGGACCTGGACATGATGTACTCGGTGCGGGTTTCGTCTGGCGACTCTGGAACTTCCACAGTAGAGGGTAATGAGGTAATCTGTGCGACGCAGTCGTGATATTCTTGATATAGGGAGGAGAGCGCAGAAATCACATCCTCTGCTGGAGGTACGGAATCCACGACAGTGGCGAAAACCACGTCCTGAGAGGTTTGAAAATCAGCTTCTCGAAGTTCACCTTGCATGATGCATGGGCCAGGAAGGAGGTCTTGCACTCGAAGGTTGGATACGCCTTCAACAAGGGAAGCACCCGGATCCAACGTCGAATTATTTATATAGTCTGGCCATGACTTGGGATCACCAGATGGGATGACGGCAACTGATTGACCTGTACGAGCGAGAAGAATCTCTTTCATGTCTGCATCCGACATGTTAACAAGATCGTACATTGCCAAAAGGGTATCTGCCTCCGATTGGGATGGTTGAACATTGCAGACTTGCTCAAATTCAGAAGCACCAAGTAGACGAGTCTGAGAGCAAGTTGTAACTGAGTTCACATCATTCTGAAGGATATCCGATGATGACAGAGAAGGCTGGAGGTATGTAGGGATGGTCTTTGGAGCCACTACTACGTGTTGTAACGCGTTGGTGACGCGCCGACGGTCTGGTGGTTCCATGGAATGATATTGCGGTAGCAATCGCATCAATTTACGAAGTCTGCTCAGTCTCTCCACCTCAATGGATGAACGAGCTGCATCCAGTCTCCGTATTTCCCTGCGTCGTTCTACCTGGGAAAGATGTTCACTTAAAGTATCTCCGGCTATTGCGGCGACTCACCTCTCGAGCTTTGGCAATGTTGCGGTCCCTACCATCAAATACGCAAATTGCATGCACATTACACTCTTTAAGTTCCGTGATTATGCGATGCCACCCGAGGACGTGTCTATGCGGATGAGGCATCGGTGCGAAGTGAAGACGCTGGGTTATAAGGGTGCCATCACTGATTTGATCGAAGATGAGTTGGGGGAATTAGTCAGACAAAGAGCTTACATGACAATGGTCTTACCGCAGAGAGATCTGAGGCGGTCTGGAAGTTTTCTGATAACTTCCGGGCTGATGCAGGTAAAATCAGATGTGAGTAGAGAAAGTTGAATTGGAGCTCACCAGGTTTTCTGCAAAAATGGGGTAAGACCCAGGACTCCCATCCGCACTACAAATTTTGCAGTTCAACGATGAAAACTCAGTATATTAGCAGAGGGCAATCTCCTGTCCCATTGGAAATTTGAGACGGTTCCTGACAAGTTCCTATGTATTACTTAAAGACCATACCACCAATTTCCTTTTTTAGCTTTTTATAAACTCCGCCACCGCGATGTCGTGGCTTACAGCGCTTGCATGCAAGCTGCAAGATCAACGACGACGGCCTTCCCTTGTGAATAACCCGGGCTCCTTGACCTACCGATATAATCATCTACAGCCTAGTTATTAGACAGGAAAAAGTACTTGGTATTTACGCGACTGAAAGGAGTTCACGCTCAAGATGTCGGTGATGCTCACAAAGTTCGAGTCCAAGAGCAATCGCGTTAAAGGTATGTTCGTTTCTAAGCTTGTCATGAGTTCGTGATTCAGTTGCGTGTCATAGGGCTTGCTTTTCATCCGACTCAACCACTGCTTGCTGCCGCACTTCACAACGGAAGTGTTCAGCTCTGGAATTACCGAATGGGCGTATTAGTGGACCGATTCGAAGAACACGAAGGTAAAGTTCATTCGAATCGCAATGACCGTAATATTCATCTCATTTGATTGACTATTAGGACCTGTACGGGGTGTCGCAATCCATCCGAGTCGAGCACTACTAGTTACTGGAGGCGACGACTACAAGATCAAAGTGTGGGGTGAGTGCGGTTTCTATTTCCTAAACGTCACGCTCACGAGCATGGTAAGACCTGAAACCTCAGAGCAGAAGGTGTTTATTTACTTTGCACGGTCACCTCGACTACGTCCGAACCGTTCAGTTCCACCACGAAATGCCATGGATCGTAAGTCATGTTTTGCTTTCCATTAGATAGTTTGCTGAAAGTTGTCTGAATATGCAGTTGTCGGCGTCCGATGACCAGACTATTCGGATATGGAACAGCACCTCGCGGCACTGTGTCGCAATTTTGACAGGGCACTCTCATTATGTTATGTCCGCACAATTCCACCCAAAAGATGATCTCATCGTCTCAACGTCGATGGACCAAACCGTACGAGTTTGGGACATCTCCGGCCTGCGCAAGAATACACCAAACAATGGCCCCAACAACTTTGAGACGTTTGACACGTTCTCCACGGTCAAGTACGTGCTGGAAGGCCACGATCGTGGTGTAAACTGGGCTTCATTCCACCCCACGCTACCGTTGATCGTGTCTGCAGCCGATGATCGGACGATCAAGATTTGGCGAATGAGTGAGACCAGGGCGTGGGAGGTTGACTCATGCCGAGGCCACTTCAACAGCGTGTCAAGTGCGATATTCCACCCAAAGCACGAGTTGATCGTGTCTTGCGCAGAGGACAAGACTGTCCGAGTTTGGGATCTGGCCAAGCGGACAGCAATCCAGACGTTCAGGCGGGAGAACGACAGGTTCTGGATATTGGCTGCACACCCAAACCTCAACTTGTTTGCAGCAGGACATGACGGTGGTCTGATTGTGTTCAAGCTCGAGCGCGAACGACCCGCGTTTACCGTGCACGGGGATATGCTTTACTACATCCGTGACAAGTATGTGCGCACTTACGACTTCAACTCGGGTTCGGACATCGGCTTGCTGAGCGTAAGGAAGTTTGGAAGCCCTTATGTCCCTCCGCGTACCGTGAGCTATAACCCTGCCGAACGCGCTGTTGTGGTCACCATCTCCTCGGATAACGGGTTGTTTGAGCTCTCTTCACTGCCGACGCAGTCCAATGGCGAGGTTAAAGACTCGTCTGCAGATGGAAAGCGCGGCTCGGCTCATAGCGCAATCTTTGTTGCAAGAAATCGGTTTGCAGTGCTCAACAAAACCTCCCAGGTAGTCGGTCCAATCTTTCGGTCAAAGAATACTATTCTAATAATCTTCGCAGCTCATTGAAGTCCGCGACTTGTCGAATTCAGTCGTGAAAACCATCAAACCCCCAGCCCAGACCAATGAAATTTTCTACGGTGGTACAGCCTGCCTAATTCTCAGTTCAACAACTACTGTTGTGCTGTATGATATCCAACAGCAGAAAACGATCGCAGAGTTGAACAGCCCACCTGTTAAATATGTCGTTTGGAACGCAGACGGGTCACTGGTCGCGCTGATGAGCAAACACAGTGAGTCCATACTATACAGTTCTTCGGACTGAGTTCAAAGCCGTGGACAGCAATTACTAGTCGCCAACAAAAATTTCTCACAAAACAGCCTTATCCATGAGACGATACGAATCAAGTCCGGGGCTTGGGATGATACAGGCGTTTTTATCTACTCCACACTTAACCATATCAAGTATTGCTTGCCTCAAGGGTACTGAGCTTCCCTCCGCTAGCTTACATGCAGCTGATGTATCTGCTTTCTCAGCGACCATGGCGTCATCTGCACACTCGATAATCCCGTCTACCTTACCCGTGTCAAGGGTAAAACTGCTCATTGCCTGGACCGATCTGCACGCCCACGCACTATCACGTTCGACCCGACCGAGTACCGCTTCAAACTCGCGCTCCTGCGCAATAACTACGATGAGATGCTCCATATCATCCGCACGTCGACATTGCTTGGGCAGAGCATCATTGCGTATCTTCAACAAAAGGGCTTCCCGGAGGTTTGTTTTCAAGTGCAGATCTTTGAAATACGGAAGGTTCATGCAAAGTACAGATTGCACTGCATTTTGTGCAAGACAAGAACACCAGATTTGATCTTGCAATCGAATGTGGAAACTTGGATGTCGCACTTGAGACTGCAAGAGCGATCGACCGGCCTGAGTGTTGGGACCGTCTAGCGCAACAAGCCTTGAAGCAGGGTAACCACAAGGTTTGCTTCTTTCCTTGCGTGTTTCAACAGTCAATTTACTGCGTCTCAGATCGTCGAAAAGGCCTATCAGCAAACTAAAAACTTCGACCGCCTGTCATTTTTGTATCTCGCCACAGGCAGTACAGAAAAGCTTTCCAAAATGCAGAAAATTGCAGACGCACGAGGCAACCCCATGTCGCGTTTCCACAATGCGCTTTATGCTGGCGATGTCCTTGGACGTATTACTGTTTTGCGCGACGTCGGGCTTCGTAAGTACGTTCCTTTAGCTCGGGTTTACAGACTTTATATTTTGTCCCAGACCCCCTAGCATATCTTACAGCAAAAACGAATGGTTTGGAGGAAGAAGCAGCTGAAATCCTTGAGGCGGCTGGCCTCACTGAGGCCGACGTGGACGACGTCCCTGCATTTGATAAGTGTACCCTCCAAACCCCTCCTGTTGTCACCCCTACATCCAACCTTAATTGGCCATCTATTTCCATGGGAGAATCCTTCTTTGACCGTGCGCTCGCCAACGGCCATCTTGACGGGGACGGTGATATACCTCACATCAATGGCAATGGCTTGGACTCAGGTGCAGGCGCCTCTACCGCTTTGGATGAGTGGGCGAAGGATGAGGAACCAGATGTAGAGGAAGACGGATGGGAGCTTGACGCAGAGGCGGAAGATGATGAGGAGAAAGATGTAGATGAAGAGTTTGAAGATGCCCTCGAAGAGGAGGACCTTGGCGCCGGCGCCGCACCTGGTGTGAGCGAGAACGAGCTTTGGGTTCGGAACTCACCGTTCGCAGCCGAACATGTCGCAGCAGGATCATTCGACACCGCCATGCAGGTGAGCTACATGTTACTCCCCCATTTCAAATAGACACTCAATTACTCTATAACTAGCTTCTCAACCGACAGCTGGGCGTTGTGAACTTTACACTCTTGAAGCCATCGTTCTTGTCCATCTACCGTTCATCACACGTCTACGTATCCCCAATCGCTTCGTTGCCAGCCATTGCAATTGCACATTCGGAGGAACCCCGAGGAGACCTTACCTGGACGGGTGTTGCCTGTTGCTGCTCGTACACTTTCTTCGATCCGCACAGAGCTGTCAGAGGGATACCGCTTCGTTTCCGGAAACAAGTTGTCAGAGGCTCAGGCAACATTCCGGTCGGTGCTGCTAGCATTGCTACTTATGGTTGTCTCATCAGATAAAGAGGCCAAAGAAGTAAGCTTTATCAGTCCATTGGATAACAATGCCAACTGATTACACCACTAGTGGCGAGACACTGTGACAGCTGCCCGAGAGTATCTCCTCGGTGTTTCCATCGAGCTTGAGCGGCGACGTATCGCACAGGCTGAACCTGACAACTGTTCGCCGGAGCCTTGAACTCGCCGCATATTTCACGCACTGTCAGTTACAGCCACAGCACATGCAGATCGCACTACGGAGCGCTATTGGTGTGTTTGCCAAAGCCAACAATCACGCAACCGCTGCCAAACTGGCACGTCGCCTTCTTGATCTCAACCCCGATCCCAAAATTGTTGCACAGGTATGCTTCCGATTCTTGTAGCTCGTTCATTGCCCCGAGCTAACTCATATGTGAAGGCTCGTCAACGCATCGCAGCAGGGGACCGCAATCCCCGGAACACAGTTGAGGTCTCGTACGATGAGTTCACAGAGTTTGAGATCTGTGCAGCCACATACACCCCCATCTACAAAGGCTCGCCATCTGTGCGCTGTCCGTATACCGATGCGGCGTTCCTGCCCGAGTTTAAAGGCAAGTTGGACCCGTTAATAGAGCTGACTGAGATTGGGGCAACTGCGAGTGGACTGCCTGCACCACGGTAGAATTTTATTAGATGTGGATGGACAATATTGCCAATTAGGAATAATCGAATCTTTGCATGCTTTTTATTTCATTCTGACAGTTATTCCGACATATCAGCTAAATACTGGGGTGCAAAAATTTATGCCGCGGCCCGTAGGGCAAGCACGGAAAAGGCCGGTTGTGCAATGTGCTGATTCCAGATTATGTAGAGTCTAAACAGCATTATAATAAATGTTGCTTTGGCCCACTGGCGATGCATCATACTCTCCATCGTATTCATCTACAACTAGTCGCCAATGGCGACATTTCGGAGTGACACCTTGGACGTGTACACGTGCAACACTTTATTGTCCAAGTACTACCAATATCCATGGAGGCCGGAACTTTATCATCTCCAACTAGCCGCTTACCCTTTCATTGTCTCTGCCTTTGAACTCGTCCCAATAAAACGTCTTGTCCTGCTCCTAGAGACATCATCAATGTGCTTGACGTTCCGAAGGAAGTTGCGGATCGACTGAGCCTGTTGGACACGATGCATTCTGTTCGTTGAATGGGATCGGGTACATGGGACAAGACGAGTGAGTTAATCTTAAACCTTGTGATTGTGGCTTCGTTTATATGTACGTTCCTGTGCAGGCTCAGCATTCGACTAGCTTGGGCGTTACATGCGCCCCTGAATCGTGTAAGTAATTCAATACTGGCGAACCATACCCCAATCACAGCTCACTGCCTCATGACGAGCCATTGTAACGAGGTTTGATACTCTACTGGAACTTCCATTGCAATTTGTAAAGAGATGAAACATCTTTCCTCATCTCCGTTCGCCAGAAATGGTTTCGGTATGGCAGCATGTGAAGAATTTGCATTGATTTTTGGGCAGCGACCACCACGCCTCGGCAGGCTGGCACATCCATGTTCGGTCGACGGCGTCACCAAGATTTTTCTCCAATCAATGGTGGCCAGCACATTTTACATTGGTCACCTCCAGATACACCCGAGATAGGCTCATTCGTGCTGGCGCGCCATGTCACACGGGCCGCCGGCCCCTCATCCTACTGGTAAAACGTATTCAGTGGATACCGTATATAAAGGTGTAGCAATACGGCCTTTCATACAACCCCTTCGTAGAAATGGCTATTCAAACACTCGTAAGTGATTGATATTGATTCTTTCGCTACGAAGGCTGAAATACTTGTTGTCGGCGGCGGACCCGCCGGAAATTACGCTGCTGCTGCTGCTGCTTTGGCTCGAGAAGGTTTTGAAATCACTCTTCTCGAAGCTGCGAACTTCCCTTGGTCAGTGCATATGCCATCTGTATACGCAATCACTAATTGTGCTAGATATCATATTGGCGAGAGCTTGCTCCCGTCGGTCCGCCCCTTCTTGACATTTATTGGTGCGGAGAAATCTATCATGAACCACGGGTTTACAGTTAAGGTGTGGATAGTCTTCAATACGCCGGAGTATACGACAGTCGCCTTATTATAGCCTGGTGCTGCCGTCAAGTTGAACCAGTTCAAGCGAGAACGATATGAGCCTCAGTCATCGTCGTTCACCCTCATACTAAAGTCTAATATTGATTTTTCCAGATACAGATTTCATTATGTTGAACCCAAACAATGGGTCTTGAAACGTGGTTTGTGATATATCGGAGACATGCTCCCTGTCTCACCGTTTTGTAGATTCGATCAGAATTTGACAATCTGCTATTTCGTCATGCTTCGAAGTGTGGCGCAACTGTGTTCAACAACACAAGAGTCACTGAAAATCAGCTCGAGGGCGAAAGGCCTGTTTCAGCTGACTGGAGGAATACTAGCACCGGGACACAGGGCCGCATCTCTTGCAGCTACCTGGTCGATGCGTCAGGAAGGAACGGGATCATGTCCACAAAGTATCTCAAGAACAAACGCTATAATCGGGCCCTCAACAACGTCGCATGCTGGGGTTACTGAGACGGAACCGGGTCTTACATGCCGGGTACCACTCGCCAGAACACTATCTGGGTCGAAGCATTTGAGGGTACAAAAGCAACTCGAAATCACCACGCTGAGCCTGATGTCTGCAGACGAGTCTGGATGGGCTTGGTTCATTCCTCTCCATGATGGGTCCATATCTGTATGAATTGTGATGGATCAACATTCAAGCAATCGCAAGAAGGTTTCCTGTACAACCTCAGGAACATCCAGCTTCCCATGTGTATGCATTGTGGTCATCACAGCCGATGGTTAGTGGGTTTTCATCTGCCAAAAAGAACACCCAACTCGACATTCGAGGGGCGAACTGATGGGCTGGTTGTTTTCAGTGCATGGGTCATTAAAGCATTGTATGAATGGGAAGCAGGCGCTGTCTCGTGGTGTAAGTGCCATCGGGGGACAAGATCTCGTCCTCCGACGGTACTTACACCAGTGCGAGGATACGGTCGCATTCAGAAGTGTGCCCATCGGGCACCGCGACTTGCTCCAGCCAGCCTGTAGTTGAAATTCCATGTCCTAATCGAGTGATCGGATCTTTTAGATAGTGACCTCATTGTAGCGTTCCTCTCTTGGAAAAAATTGCGCCAGTGCACACAAAGCAAAGTCGTCTATAGATTGTGGTCGTGGGTAGGACAAGGTAGTTTGACACTCCAATAAACTATCATAGTAGAAATTTAGCTTCGGGGGAATGTGTGGAAATCTATGGAAATTATGAAACTTAACCAAATTTCACCTTAGCAGTAATGCGTGGTTTTACGCTGTTCCGAGCTCGCTCACAAAAGGGAGATTCTGTCCCCGAGGTAGGACTTTGCAAAGGTTGAGAACAACTTTCTGACTTGTTGAATGCAGAAGGCACTCAAGGTCCTCAAAGGAGGCCGGAATGATATGATCTTTGCTCCTGTAATCAAACAAAACCGAAGTTCCGGACTGCATCAATGAGCTAGGCCCTGACACCATCGTCGAAGGACATTTTGCAACATTCAAATTCCCAAGATTACGTGTTTTCCTGCAAGGGGAAGTTTTACGTTTGCAACTGCATTAGTGATGCATTATTTTTGGTGCTTGAGCCGAAGGAAAAGGTGACACTTTGGAAACAGAGACTGAAAATATGTTAAAGGTGCACCTAAAGGAGCTGCTATTTTCTGACATAGATTCCGACAGTGAATGTGTCAGTGGTAATGTCGTCTGCCAAACCCATATATCTGACTCATCACTCTCAGCATGGTACTAGGTGAGGGGGATAACATACATACATCGCAATCTCTTCAGTTGGCGTAAGTGAATAAACCCAAGTTCCTCATCCCTTCAGTCAGTTAAGAATGCGACAAGACTGCCAACAGCAGCATAACATGCCGCCAACTCCTAGTTTACAGAGAGAAACCAAGAACAAAAAAACACGCCGCAACATAACATGAGGTGGTGGGCGCAATAGTCATCTAGCCGTCAGTTATGCGTGTTCCAATAGACCTGGTACGATTCAGAAGGTGAGCGTTCACCAAAGGTATGGTCATAATAATGTCTGAGGAGCGATTTGATACACACATGTTACATAGTATTGTCTCATTTGCCTCTGTTCCTTCTACGTGTACGTTACTCTGCAAATGCATGCAAAGACCTACATGAAGTCCTTTCTCGCAGACAGTCTGTTCGGAGTCCGCACATGATGTATTCTAGAGGTTAGTAGGACAAGACGAGAATGAGTTGGACGTCGAACCTGTGATTGTGGCAAGGCTTATGTGTAAGTCCCTCAGGCTGCGCAAGCTCAGCATTCTATGATCCCGAGTACCACACGCGCCCCTGAATTGTATAAGTGTCTCAAACTAACCAGTCATACCCCAATCGCAACCCAGCACCCCTTGATAAGCTATTGTGACGAGATCTGACACACCACCAGAGCTTTCATTGCAGTTTGGAAAGGACTTGGCATCATTCCTCGTTTTCGCTCGCCAGGAATGTCCGTCGATGTGGCGGTACGAGAGGACTATTGATTTCTCGGCAGCATCGGGCTACCACGCCCAGGTGTTTCGATGTTCGCTTTGCCAGGAAGGCGTGGCGGTACAAGGACTGATCTAAAATCTGATCAGGCAATCGCACAAAGGGAGTTACAAACTATTTCTCGATTTCGCTTGCGAGAACAATGGCACACATCAAATCATCACTTGTGCCCCTGAATTGTGTCAGTAATTCAATGGTGGAGGTTGAACTATAACTTCAATTGCAACTTACTGCCCTGTGATATGAGCCATTGTGACGAGATTTGATACGCCACCCCGGAGCTTCCAATAGTGCAAATATTTTTATCGATTAGCGCACTAGGTAAATTATTTTTCTATTGATTTTTTGGCGGTAACTATCACGCCCCTGGCAGATCTCTGTTCAGTTGGCAGGTCTAAATGTTCTTCAACGGCGGTGCGAGAATTTTTCTAGAACCAGAGCGGTCAATTTATCAGCCAAGCTGCGAGGAACCTCTGCCGATATACTTGTATTTTGCGGCAAACCATACGGCACCCTGTGCAGGAAGTTCAACCGAGGATTGCGCTGCCATAGTTGCAAAGTTAGCAACCTCGCCTGATTGGGCAGTGACAGTGTGAACAAGCTAGCATCCAGCATCGTCGGGTGCCTGTCATATGTCAGAGTGCCGTGGGTCAGACTCGGTTTTAAACTTTCGCGGAGGAGTGTGATTTCGGTGACTTGGTACTAGCAGAGGACGAGTAAGTAGTTTAAGCTATACTTGCGCTGAGAATGTTGAACTGTTACATACCAAGTAGTCACTATATCATATCAGTACTAGTGTCAGCTCAAGTCTTTTTTTGCCTGTTCGAACGTTCAAGTGTCGTGCGGTCCTAATTCTGACTAGACTCGGAGGGAGACTAGTAAACAATGGTGATCGGCATTTCATTATCACGTGATGGTTATAGAGGTTACTTTGGAAGTCTTCTCTGCCTTTACCAACTTGAAGGCAGTCATAAACGGCGGTTTGGGAGCCGCTCCTGGCTCTGTCCATCGCATATTATGTTGATTACTGCGAGGTAATCTTGATCACTTGCGCATGGCTAATAAGCATGACCTGACCGGCATGACTACTGGATTGTCACAATTCAACTCGGGGGTGATAATTGTTGACTGGATAACGGGAAAAGGCAAATTACTAGATGCTGTGATGTGATATCGCTACACTTTACAACAACAATTTCATCACGCTTTCGTGGAATACCTTGGTGCAGATCAGTGCGTCATCCATAGTTTTTAGCTTGACTGGACCAGGCAACCTGCCGTGACGGTGGCCAACTTGAAGACAGTACGGTTTCCTGACTTTCTCTTAGCGGATATGATGACCTAGCTTTCTCTTCGGACGCGAGGAGCTTGTCACGTTGCGCCAAAGTTGATTCATACAAGGTTTTCAACGGACATACCATATATAAAAGTATACCGATATGTCCCTTTCATACATTCCCCTTCCTAAAAATGGCCATTAAAACACTCGTAAGTGACTGCTATTGATTCTGCTGCTATGAAGGCTGAAATACTGGCTAGCCAATCTCAACTGAAATACTTGTTGTTGGCGGCGGACCCGCCGGAAGTTACGCTGCTGCTGCTTTGGCTCGAGAAGGTTTTGAAGTCACTCTTCTCGAAGCTGCGAACTTCCCTCGGTCAGAACTTCTGATATATGACATCCGCATATACAGTCACTCATACACAACTGTGCTAGATATCATATTGGCGAGAGTTTGCTTCCATCGGTCCGCCCATTCTTGGCATTCGTTGACGCAGAGGAATCTGTCATGAACTACGGGTTCACAATTAAGGTGCGTGTGGTCTTCAATGCACCATAATACGTTAGATTGTCTCCCTCTTATAGCCTGGTGCTGCCGTCAAGTTGAACCAGTTCAAGCGAGAAGGATGTGAGCCCAAGTCATCGTCGTCCACCGTCGTAATAAAGTCTAATATTGATTCTTCGCTCCAGATACAGATTTTATTACGCTGAACCCAAACAATGGGTCGTGGAACGTGGTCTGTGATATAGTATATCGGAGACATGCTCCCTGTCTCACTGTTTTGCAGATTCGATCAGAATTTGATGATTTGCTATTTCGTCATGCTTCAAAGTGTGGCGCAGCCGTGTTCGACAACACAAGAGTCGCCGAAATTCAGTTCGATGGCGGAAGGCCTGTTTCAGCCGACTGGAGGAATGCCAGCACCGGGACACGAGGTCGTATCTCTTTCAGTTACCTAGTCGATGCGTCAGGAAGGAACGGGATCATGTCCACAAAGTATCTCAAGAACAGACGCTATAATCAAGCCCTCAACAACATCGCATGCTGGGGATACTGGGAGGGGACCGGGTCTTACATGCCGGGTACCACTCGCCAGAATGCTATTTGGGTCGAAGCACTCGAAGGTATGAAATCTGCCTGAAGTCGTCATACTGAGCTGAATGTGTGCAGACGAGTCTGGATGGGCTTGGTTCATTCCTCTTCACGACGGATCCACATCTGTGGGAATTGTGATGGATCAAGAATCAAGCAACCGTAAGAAGGCTTCCCGTGCGGCCTCAGGAGGTTCCGGCCCCAATCTTCTGGCTCATTATAAGGAAGAATTAAGCAGAGCTCCTGGAGTGCTTAGATTGATTGGAAATGGCACTCTTCAAAACGACGGTACGCCAGAAGCTGTGAAATCTGCAAGTGATTTTAGTTACTCAGCTCCCTCTTATGCCGGGGATCATTTCCGCCTGGCGGGGGACTCTGGAGGTATTCTTCCTGATGTCGTGTGGGACTTGCAATTGACGATTATCAAGCGTTCATCGACCCATTCTTCTCCTCTGGCGTGCATCTGGCCTTCACAGGAGGACTTTCAGCTGCCCTCACGATAGCTGCGTCCATTCGAGGGCTTTGCAGCGAAGACGATGCTCAACGCTGGCACACATCAAAGGTTGCCACCTCCTACACGAGGTATGCGAACTTGTTCGCTGGGGCGACAGCAACTGACGCGACGCATGATTTAGGTTTCTTCTTGTCGTCCTTGGGACCTACAAACAGATCCGCAATCAGTATATGCCAGTGATGAGCGATGTGGACGAGGACAATTTTGACAGAGCATTTGATCTGATCAGGCCGGGTGAGAATCGATGTTTCCTACTGTCACTGCACATCCTGAGCTCCAAGTGCAGTGATACAAGGAACAGCAGATGTTGGTAAGGCGTTAACAGAAGACGAACTCCAGGTATGTATGTTCTGCGGTCATCCTCCACGAATTTTCAATCCGATTGACAGAAAACTATGGACTTCTGTCGTCATCTATTTGCACCCACTGATCCCGAGATGCATTCTGCAGTCAAAGCTAGGCAAGGGGGGTTTCTCGCATGTTCAATTGGATTATCTGATACTGAACTCAATAGGTTGGATCCTAGTCTAACATCCCCAGATGGGCCTGTCATGACAGAATGCGAAGTCGATCGCTTGCTCAGAGACGCTGATGAGGAAGCCAAGATTGTTTTGAAGGAGATCAATGCGCGAAAGCCCATCCATACGATGTACAACCCAACGGAGAATTTCGGTGTAGAGGAACACTTTGGTTTCAAGGCTGTCTTGGAACGAGGGAAATTGGGTTTGGTGACTGCGTAGCTCAGACGACGTTACTGATAATGCAGAGTTATGTTGGATGTTTCATGATTCGGTTATTCGTATGCAGTCGACGACAGCAGTCCATTTTGATCAACTATATTGCAAGGTAGTAGAACTTGTACATAGTTTTGCAGAGCTTAAGTCATTTTTCCACTTCACGTCACAATCCCAATTCGAACTCCTCGTGTTTTATTCGCTCTGCCGCCCCCGGTAAATATTCGCTTTGCAAATTGCCGCCACTCCAGGTCTGATTTAAGTACTTCCGCCCGAAGTTCCAAAATTAAATCCCTGAAATAATTTAGTGTTATCTATAATATTAAAACTTTCCCGCGCCATAGGGACGATGCAAAGGCGCTTTCCAGAACTTCTACTATGGATGCCTCGTACGACTCGTCGCCAGTCCAAGTCATTGACAACATGTCGACCGGCGCTGAAGATACGTCTGTTGAACGTCCTCGGACACCTGAACCCGTCCAGCGCTCACTACCACAGTTAAGTAATGACCGGAACCAGCAGCCTTCGCTACAAGAAATCCTTCAAATGACGTCTACCACAGTCAGCTTCATATCAACCATTACAACACTCTTCCACGAGAAAGGGGAGCAGAACTCCTGCTTCCGAGAAGGTAAAACTCGATGTTCAGAGTGCATATAGTCACATAGACGCGATCTCCTCACAAAAAACAGAGCTCAGAAGGAAAATCCTCTTCACCGCGATGAATGCACACGCCTGGGCGAGCGCGAGGGTTGTACACGAACACACAATCGCACGAGACACACTGGAAGCCGGGATTAATAAACTTTTAGAAGACGAAAAGGATCAAGGCAGGTCATCTCACCCCGTTTTCAGGTCGACGTTTGGTATGCACGCCATCTGTATCACCCCGCTCTAGGTTGTACCGTTTGCTGGTTACGATTGCTAATTATTGTTGTTTTTCCCTCAAGATCGCATGCGCGCGCATTTGTCGGAGATGTTTGAAGCCATCAACAACACTGTTGCCAGCTTGACGGGCCTCGGTTGAGATCAGGTGTCATTGTTACTGTCTGATATGGTGTACTGCCTGTGTCCGTCCCGTTAGGTACCCTGTCAACAGCTCTGCCCAATTTGAACGGATCTTGTTGTAACGTTCTTGAAGGTGCCACTTGACGGACTGATACATTGATCTGATGATATCCATGCAGTTTACCTGCAGTGCTAGCACAGGTGCCATAGCTCAGCTAATCCAAAACCGCTCTATTTGATATCACTCAATGGCGAATTTCTGGTAGCACTGCCCATCATTTACTCATGCATCCAAAACTTCTTTGCTTCCTACTACCACCGCATCACGCAAAACACACAAATCATGTGATATCTCGATGACTTCTCCTTCACCAGCGTGAAGTTCAAGAAGAAATGCCACATCATATTCGTATTCTTCGTCGCGACCTTAACCTTGAATCTCCAATATGCAGGTTTCCTTCTATCATGCCAGTTTGGATGAGAGTCATAACTAATATCATGTTATCGAAATATCGAGTACCTTCTGAACATTGCCACACATGTATCACGTTCTAAAAAGGCAAATTTTACGCGATATTTCGTACTTCTTCGCCCGACCAAGATACTTACCCAGTCAATCACCAGCTTTGCCGGCGACAGCAATCAGACATGGCCGGCAAAGGCCCACATTGTTCATTCGTTCTTCTCGCCGAGTTTGACATTGATAGTGGTGCCCAGCTCACATACCAGTTCCCTCAGCCGCTGGGAACAGACGAGGGGTGAATTTTGACTTGACCTGACCCGAAAGATGTATTGGTTAACTATCCCGTGCCAGTTTGCTTGCAAATCTTATGCTTCCAGATGGGGCGGAGAGGCACCTCGAAGATTGGACCATCTTCTTCCTCAACCAAACGCCGTTCAACACCATTGCACCAGTTCTTGCTTTGGAGACGGAAACGAGCGACAATCAGTCAAACGGAGAGGACGGAAGCCCGGAACTTCTATATGTCCTCAACCTGGTGCGGACGAAGCATGACAAGTCAGTTCGGAGGTGCGTTGGTAGTTTTGACTTACTCCACTCCATCTACATGCGTTGCATTGCAGAGGTGCCGTAGTGAAAGCGATGGCTATTTGCACACGACATCCATTTATCCAAATCTTTAAGGTATATCTGAATACATGCTACTTGACTGATTGCTCACCAAGCGCCAGCCCGTTCTCCTCCTCGCACTTGACGACTATTTCGCAAACCCATCCCAAGAATGTCTTGCGCGTCTATTCGATGCGATTAACTCGATGAACATCAGTGCTGCGCCTACACTTACACGATGTGAAAAACTAATCATGCGCGCCTCAGAGCGCAAAGACATCTTTGCGGAGAAGTTCTCCACTCATATACCACCGCTTCCTCTCAAAGCTGCACACAAGACGACAGGCTCAAATGGCTCACATTCATCTGAAGACGGGGTTCTCATCAGTGCTCGCGCGCGCTCTACAACAGCTGCCTCTGATCCTAACCCCACCAATCCATCCTCTCCATCGGACAGCTCGTTCAGCCTTGGTGGGAGTGCAGTATGGGTGAATGATGACAGCGTCATAATTGATGGTCAAGTGGGTGTTGCAATAGGTGCAGGCCCAGGAAGCGTCGGTGGCGCTTCAGTGAGCGGTAGCAGTGTTCTTACTAGCCGCGGGCGGCGTAGCACTGATACAAGCTCGAACTCGAGCCACGCTTATAGTGGTGGCGCAATACCCACATCATCCGACCCACATTTGCGGTCGGGAATATCCAAAGATACCCATTTCTTTCAGACAAGCATTGCATACAAAGGACATACCCTGCCAATCAAATTGCCTCTGGCCACCTTTCCTGAGGAAGTCGGAGAGGTGCGTCTCTCGATGACAATGCACTTGATATATAGTTCTGAATACGTGTTTTTTCAAGTATTCCCTAATACAACTAATACAAACGTTTTCTGCGCCTCTCATCACAATCTCCGGACCACTACACCCACATCTACACACGAACGGAATTCTCACGCACCCAATAATAATTCTTTTTAACGCGCTCGTTACTGGCAAACGCATCCTCTTCCTTGGACATAACATTCCTGCTGGACAAGTTGCTAATTACGTCCTATCTGCTTGCGCCCTGGGTTCTGGATGTGGTGCGGTACTACGAGGATTCATTGAGCGGTCATTTCCTTACGCAGGACTCGCGGGCGGCGAGGACTGGTTTTCAATGTATGTATTTCCCCACTTTTTTCTCGTGGAAGAACTTCATCAATGATATTTGTTTCACAGGCCGGCATACATAGCAGGCGTAACTAATCCTATCTTCGAAACCAGTGGATCCTGGGATCTTTTGATGGACATCGGTACAGGTCGTGTTGTCGTGCACAAGGACATACATATATCTTTCCCAACTACGATGGCACCGCCTGCACTTGTCAACCCAATGATTCCACGTCCAATAAAGGCAGAAAATTCGACCGGGAGCGAGGATGACATCCAGCGTATCGCCACTCGAGACGGGAAGGATGGGAACCAGAAGAGCGAGTTCGCGGCGAAGCAAGACAGCTTGGATAACATGTTCATTGAGGATGTAGGTCTTAGTAAAATTGTCGCATGGCCTTGACCACGTCGGCGACTAACATCGCTCGATGTTTTAGCTGATTTCGGCAATCACCTCGCATTTCGGGGAGACGCTGGTACGGATGCGATTCACGGAGTACGTCGCGCGCTTCGTTCGGCTGGCGTCGCGGTACGAGGAGCTCGCTGTGGGATCGACAAAGCTTGGATATGGTAGCGCACCATTTTCAGACGGGTCCCTAGGTAGCGGCATCGTGTTTCCGGATGAGGGAGCTGCATTTAAGGAGCTTACTGCGAACGCAAGTCGGATTGAGGGTTGGCGAAGGAGCAAGTCCTATCAATACTGCGTCCAGGTGTGTAGTTCCTCCTCTAAAGGTTGCGGGCCTAAAGGATTTTTTGATATATTCTCCGTACTGTGTAGGATTTCAAAAAATATAGAGCAACCGCTGCTATCCAGGGATTCGACTTATCGCATCAACTTTTAAGATTGCGGCTGGTGAAAAACTTACCGGACTGCGGAAGTTGAGCTCATCGTGCGTTCAATAGCAGACAACTTACGGACATACGAACAAATAGTTGAGGTGAGCATTCTCACATTCTGGACTGTTGGGTGATCCATAATTTCTGGTACAGCTTCCTCACTTTTATGCCACCACATTCCGGAGGGTTACAGCCTCTGAGTTTTTGCCTATTCCACCATCAAGAATCTATTCGGGAAGCCACCGTTGATATTTTCAATGAGCTGCGTCAGAATCCCGTACGCTGTTTGCTTATTTTTTCATGGTCGTTTTAAATCACTTACTGCTTTTGTTTCGTAGGCTGGGGTGATCTTTCTGCAAGCTCTGAATCACTTCCAGAGGTATGCCTATGTTCGGCAAGCACACGCTCGTGAATCACGCATGAAGGATGTGACCCATGGTCTGGCCCCGCCACCTCACTTGGTATCACGGACGCCGTCCAACCGCAGTGAAGTCAGTCTAGGGGGGATGTGAGCACGAAGAAATGTCACCAGTGTGCAAGTTCTCGTCTATCTGGACTTACAAAAACAGTTCTTATATTGGAGCGCATCACATGTACATCATATAACATACAAGTACTTGTGTTGGCGCGATCATGGCACCTCTCGAGACCCATCCTAATGGTAGAGGACCGGGACAGGTGCCACCGTCATACGGGTAGACCTGCCCCTTCAATGTCTCCTTGAAGTGAATGCCAGCGACACAGAATTTTGCTAAGTATAGAACTCTGGTCGTACTCATCTGGAGATGTAACATGCAGGGCAGCCCAAACAAGTAGTATCAAAAAACATGCGCCTCCAAACATTGCGAGTCTGCCGACCACGTGGGACGCCAGTAAGAGAAAGTGAGCGACCATAAAGACGATGCTCCATAGATAGAGGCCTTTTGGCAGACCGAAGGCAATGGCAGAGGGGAGCATCCCAACTGAGCGTGATTTTGCGGCCCTCAGGTAGCGTGCCTGGATAAAATGGACATGATCAGCTGAGTTATAAGGCGCAAGAAAGAAGATGCGAACGGCAAATGATGCAGTGGCGTCCTCTAGGCCGTGGTGTTTAAGGAGTAGAATTGATCCCGTGGCGAGGCTCCCAGACGCTGAGACAATCGATGGCAAGGCAGATGACAAAGAAGCACGAGATAAAAGACAAGAGAGGAGGTTAGCACTACAAAAGAATGGTCATGACGGCGTCCTTAGTGTCCGACAATCAAGGCCTCTCACATGATCACTGGGAATGTCTGGAGAATCATGAATCAAAATTTATAACAGTTATCGGAAATGTGCGCACCCAAACAACTACTGTATGCCACTCCGAAATACATGCGGTCATGAAAATTTGCCATTGATCGACGAATACCTGTTCGTTTGCAAACAAATCACGGAGTTCGAAGAAATATCGATCGGGGATTCCCCACAAAGCCAAGTTTGCAGTGGTTTTCACCCATTGATGATCCATATCTTCCTCAGGAGCCATAATTTGTAGTCTGTCTAACTGGGCGTGTTCTTGCCCATAATAAGTCATAAACCGCTGATTTTCTACCATGTTCCTCAGTATATTTGACGAGACGATTTTAGCATCCAACGAACCTATTGCGCCCCATAGACGAGCTAAAATATTCGTGAGCTCAATTCAGGAGAAACAATGGGGTTTCCCACCCACCAACAAAGCATAATGTGTGTCCATCAAGGGGTCGACCTTTGCGGAAAGTTTCGGTCAGAAGATTGGATACACTCAAGTCTTGGCCGTACCTCGTTGCAAAGACAGCAGCTGCAGCAGTTGACTACATTTTTCCGCAGTGTACGGAAACGTGGACGATCGGGATGTCAAACGGTCTTCACTCACAGCTCAGAATATGAAAATCATGGATAAGGAAATAAATACCTGCTGCACCATGAGACATGACGCCGATTAGATCGTCTACCACCTGGGGTGACACCTGTGCATACATGTGCATTGGGAAGAATTCCACGTGCACCCAATATAGTCTTTCTAAGGCGGTGTCTGCTAGCATGTGAGTATAAATGACGGAGGAATAATTCAGATACACACCAAGATGAGAGTCGGAGACTATGGTCCCCATATCAAGGAGTTCCGTGGAAGTCTGCTCAAGCCAGAAGATACGGCGGGCATCATGATTTACGAAGTAGTAGGCACAGGAAAATGGTGATTCGTCAAGCTCTATGAATAGCTCCGACGAAGGCGGCACTATGATTTGCTGCTGGAAGATTGTGTCATCGATAAACTTGAGGCAGCCGGCTACCCGGTTCTCGGTCTCTTGCCTATGAATATTGGCTTCTGTCACAACGTCGTAGTTGGAAAGTCTTCTGTGGAAATACAGCTGGCCTTCAGGGTGCGGATAAGAGTTCCACTTCGTTTGGATATCGAGAGAACTTTACAAGGACATTCATTTTAGTGCAAATGGATGCTGAGCGACAACAATCAACTAACCTGGGAGCGCTAACGGATCGCACTGGTGGTATGATGGTGTGATAAGAATAGATGCTAATAAATCAATGTCAGTGCATATAAGAGGTTTGACCAGCTGCGCAAACTCACCTGGACGACTTGCCATATCGTGCAGTACCCACTGACGTGATGGGTCTCAGCACTTCTGCTGGTGCGGAGTGGTTGGACAATTGCATTGCCCAACACATGTTGTCATACAAGGATGTTGAGTACTGGACATAGAGAGAAGGCTGTTGTATTGAAAGCCCGTCCGTCTGGAGTGTCTTATAGTAGCAGTAAGTAACACAGGTTTTGTTTTTGAGTCAAGCAGTGTTTTCATATACCCGGATCTGACAAATTGTGCGCCACGACTACCGTGACATGTGGTTCCAATGCTGTATAATCTAGATCTGGTTCAGTGCTCTGGTGGACCGGTTCGCTACACAAATGAACCAGCTTGAGACTGTTGCCACTACGTTCGCACATCATGCCATTATGTATGTGGCTCAGCGCTCAGCACAGGAACTTTAGGCTCTTCCGGATACTTAAACAGGTCTTTGAGCTCCGTTGGATATCGTGTATACTGCCAGACCGTTCGCACGCCCAGCGAGACCGTAGAGGCAATAGGGCTATGACAGTCCACCAAATAGCTAGGTATGTTCAAGTCTTGCCAGTCACTCTCGTGAATAATGATACTCTGAGTGGGACTGGCTGCTGAGACTGGGCGTCCAGATTCCAGATTCAAAAATACGGTCAAGTGAGGCATGAGCTGAAAATGAAAATATCATAGGGCTAAGCTGGCGCCTCTTATAGACACTACTCGGATGGATCTGGTTGGGCGCTGGCTAGTCGATCACTTGATTGACTTATCAGACGCTGATGAAGGGCCAAGAGGCTTCTTAGATCATATATGGACTTGTTGGCAAGCAAAGGTTGTCAAAGAGTTAGCCGTTATCGCAGGCCTCTACCGCCCTAGCCTCATAAAAGCTGTACTTGTTTGATCTCAACGTTGGTGCTCTCCTTGTTATCCAAGTCCTGTCGCCTAGGGATCCCATTGATCTATTGCTACATATGTCGAATCCTAACTCAAATGATCGCAAGCACAGTGACCCAAATTACCTCAGGAAATCCGACGAAGCTATCCCGAGGGTGCGCAGATCTAAGGACGCAGCACATGCAGCCGAGCAGGATTCTGAAGAGGAATTTGAACCCAAGGAACATGTAGACAGCCCCCCAAGGTACAAATTTCTCCATGGCCTGTAATAAAGAGACTGATCGCTGATCAGGTTCACAAGTCGTGGACGGCAGGACGAGCATTTGAGACGAATGTCGCAGCCACAGAGCAGGCCAAATCCTCCTACTCAACATCAAGGCCCCAGGTACGTTTGCTTCAGGCCAGTCATACAATACCGCGCGTTGAAAGGGTGTGTAGTAGACAGCCACCTCGTCAAGAAAATCCTGCGCAACATGCTCCCGCATACCTTCCCCCTGCTCAGCATGCTCCTGCGCAACAACATACTCCCGCACAGTACGCTCATGCGCAACGTCCCCCCGCACAGCACGTTTCTCCGCAACATGCTCCCGCGCAACAACATACTCCCGCACAGTACGCTCATGCGCAACGTCCCCCCGCACAGCACGTTTCTCCGCAACATGCTCCTGCGCAACAACATACTCCCGCGCAGCGTACTCCCGTACAGTACGCTCCTGCGCACCATGCTCCCGCGCAACATGCTCCCGCACAGTACGCTCCTGCGCACCATGCTCCCGCGCACCATGCTCCTGCGCAACAACATACTCCCGCGCAGCGTACTCCCGTACAGTACGCTCCTGCGCAACATACTCCCGCGCACCATGCTCCTGCGCAACAACATACTCCCGCGCAGTACACTCCTGCGCAACATCCTCCCGCGCAACGCACCCACGCACAATACGCTCCTGCGCAACATCCTCCCGCGCAACATCCTCCCGCGCACCGCCCCCCCGCACAGTATGCTTCTGCGCAGCAACATGTTCCCGCGCACCGTCCCCCCGCACAGTATACTCCTGCGCAACAGCATGTTCCCGCGCACCGTCCTCCTGCACAGTACTCACCTGCACAGTACCCACCACAGTACCCACCCGCACAGTTCCCACCCGCACATCACCCACCAGGCCAACCAGGGCGAAGGTGAGGGATGGTTTGGTTCGTCATTCGTGGTGTGACTGCTATGACTCCTGTACATCAGATGTAACATAAGTGCATGTATTTTGGTTATCTCGAATGTGTACAAAAATAAACGTGACACGTTGATCGGTACTGGTATTCAAAACTTCATGTGTTCCTCAAGAAAATTCATTTCACAACTACTTAACACTATAGCACTATGCAGTGTTCGTCTTCCAGAGTTCATAGCCGATATAGTGGAGTGCAACAGCACAAAATTGCCTTCACGAATCACCAAACATATACTCGCACAGCATTACCAGACATCCTAACTTCTAAGAACACCCTAGTAGAAGTTGATACCCGTCGAAGCTCGAGATTGTTCGAATGCCGGTGCTTACACCGGGTTATTATGTATAGAGCGAGTTACAGGGCGGGCGTTCGAAACTCACAGGACCCTGGCTGGAAAGCACTGTTCACTGCCTTTACCGGAACTTTCACATCCAAATGCAGTCAAGGTATCACATCACATTGCCTAATTTGGATACAAAGTAAACGAAGCCGAAGTTTTCAAAAACTCTTTCAAATGCAACATGTCACTGTAATCAAGCCTGTGGTACCAAGTTCGCACACATACCACATCTCACTGTCTGGTATTTATTCACCTTTGCGAAAACATCAATGATCTGACTACTGCACACTGCACAATTCGTGAGATCATCCCAGTACGAACTTCTAGACTCAGGCTGCTATGATTAAATCACTGGCGGATTGCCACTTCCGTTAAAGCGGTGATTTTGTCGTACTCAAGGGACGTAACCTTAAGATACTTACACAGTACATAGTCGAGCTTTCTGTCATGTCAAGGCACTTACCCCAGACTATCAGTTATCCCCCACAGCATGTACGGCAGTGAGCCAGTTGATAACACAGGACTTGATAACAGAATGAACATTCACGCTGTGGTAGACAAAGAGCGTCTTCTACGCTCACTGCGGTGCAAATACCAGTGCTATTGCATGAGGTCGCCCTTCCTGTGTCAGATACATCTTCTGCTATATAAGAAGCTTTGGATCGAACTCGATCATCAATAATGCAAATGACTTCCTACCAAATCACAGAAGATCTTCTCGTTCAAGATCAAGGGTAAGATAATTCACCTCTATGGTGCATTAGTATTCCTATCATTCATTTCCTCTAGGTTTGGAACCGCCGTGGATGTCGACTCGGATGACCCCGATCTTTCATCAGAGGAAGATCATGATCCAGAGCCAGACGAATTAATCCAGGGTCCTTCAACTGGGTTCGTTCATTTTAATACACATCTTCACAAGTGGTGCCCAAGATCTCACACCTGATGGACAGTTTTACCAAGCGTGGACAACAGAAACCCGATAGTGCTGGCCCATCTGCAGCAAAGACAGACAAGAACAATACCCCTCTTCAGCAGATCAAGGAGTACGTTCAAATATTACAAGCAATTCAGTCTCATAATAACAGATTGTTTCCAAAGGCCTCGTAAGACCACCGTACCACCTCCGAAAAATGAGTCCAACCCAGCCAATTACTCTCGCGTTAGCAAGTGATACATCGTAGCTTGTCTTCCACAGTACTAATTGTGTACCATTTCCATTATTCTAACTTGTTGTAATTTTGGTCTGTAGAAGACCGGGTTCTGTTATCGTCAATTCTTATGTAGATATGCAATGTTCCGAGTTCATGCCATATGTCAAACCTATGCTGTCATAAAGACAACCCTTTCACTCGTAGCCATGATACATATGTCAGCTGTAATATCGATATAGTATGCAGTGCCGACACTTGTTCTGTATATGGAGTTTCCTCTCGATGAGCCTTGAAAATCGAGGACTGTGGAGCAGGCCTGCACAATGTGGCGTTCTACCAGTGTACCTGTCACTAAGCAGAAGGGCGTGGGTTCTTTAGCACAATCAACCATTTGTAGAGGCTCACGGTAAGTAGAAGGCCCCTCTTCAGACTCACAGAAGATTGACTTTGCAGCATGTTCCCGTCCTTTCGTTTGACTAATCAGGGGTTCAAACTATATATGGCTAAGCTTCTCACTCAAATTCTAGTATGAAAGGAGTCCATACCTATTCCCCTTATCTCGTACGCCATTCCCCAGGACAGCTCGCAGAGCACCGCGTCTTGACAGTTTCCGTTGATTGCTGCAGTATATAAATATATAAATTCTTTCTCTGGTATGAAAGGAAAGCCCAGACTGGAAACCTACTACTGATATCTCGTGGAAGAGGGATAAAAAAGAAAAGCGACTTGACCATTTAAGAATGGGCGACGAGCCCGCCAATATTTGATTGACCGATGGCGGGGCGCTCTGGCAGGACAGATAAGGTCGGGAGTACTAGGGTCCTGGCTCGCAGTCGGTAGTCCTGCGGCGTGTCGTAGATAGATAGAGCCGCAGCCTCCCGCCATAGAGGTTTGGCCTTGGGTTCCCTTGCAGTTTGTGCCCGTTCTACTAAGTCCTCTGACGCAGAGACATTAGGCGAATTGGAAAGAGTCCTTATGTCACCTGCGCCGGACAACACCCAAAGCTCCACAATGTTGTCATAAATATGGGCCGACGTCATCACAGACCTGCAAGACCCATTCGAGAGCAGAAAGCGCACACGCCAAAATATGTATTTCCTCCGCCTAAAAGACTGGACCACATGTGGATTTTTCGACTCTGAACTTCCGTTGTGCTTTTGATGGTAGAATCATGCATGTAGGTAGAAAGGTCCAGGTGAACCCCACAGCAGGAACGTGCTTCTCCCTGTGATATGACATACTTGAACTTTGCGTACAACAGCCTCTGAGAAACGCGTGATATAAAGAGGTCCTGGTTCGACCGCTAGAAAATAAAACGAGAACGAGGCAGAGCAGGTAACACGAATCTGGTTCGGTTGAGATTAATATCTGGAAACGAGGCAGTTAGCTCGTTGGCAAGACTCCTGCCACTATGTCTCAAACCTTAGAAATGAAACCTTGAACCATACCATATACCGAAAATAAGCGTGTTATCTTTTCCGAGCCATAGGTGTCCATGATCGGGGTTCATCAGATCCTTTCAATGCTTCTGCCCAAGGATCCCGTGTTTGCGCCTTTGGCCGTTGATCAGATTCTGGAGGTTCCAGTTTTTGATCCCTAGGCACGCTCCACGAGACCGACGGAGACCGTGTCTCAATTTCAGGATGATGGCCGGGTGTATCCAGCCGCTCCCTGTTGGCTCTTTCCGCTTCATCCTTCGCTTCTAGAATGGCTACATTCAACTTAACCCGTTGTTGACGTGCTAGATCCGCTTGTAATTCCTGTGAGATGATACGTAAAAAATTCATGTTAAATTTTAGCATGAGGACCACGTTAAATTGTACCTCACCTCAATACTCGGCGGATCCGGCCTAGTATGTGTCAGCCATGCTGACCATTGCACTGCACACAACAAACACGATAAGAATGAGTAAAAGGGAGAAGCTAAAATCAGAAACAAGAACGTTACGATGAAGGTACGAACCTGGGAGGCGCTTGCCACTAGCAACGTACGCCCACATGTCTTCATTTTTGCTGTACTTCACTGTTCGTTTGGAATGTCCTTCATACATAAAAGTTACCCTATAAGTGCTTGACTGAGGTTCCATTACAGTCGTACCATTGTTCGCGTTTGAATGTTCGAAGTACTTGTTCCCTAGAGTATCGGATCAGGAGACACAGGATAAGGACTTGTATCACGGCCGGAACATACCTTCCATGTCTTTTCCAACGAAATATGCCTATAGGGAACCATTAGTAGTGGAATGTTCTGGCCCGGTCCATCACATACTGGCTTGAATATTCGCTGCCACACACGTCTCACAATTGACATAGCACCACGGTTGTGCTGTTGCGAGGAAGGGGCAATGAAAATTTTAAAACAGTTACAGCCTCTCGAGGTACGTATACAAACACCCGCTAGTCATTCGCCGAACGGAACAAAATGGTCTCGTTCACTGTGAAGCTCCGATGTTGAACGAATTGCCGCGGAGATTAAAATGATGACAATCGGAGCGAAAGCGGAGTTAATACTGGACGCCGGGAGAGTCTGGAGTGTGACTTATGTTTAGGAAATAGTACTTGCTAGGGAGCTGCTCCAACACTACCAACTCCAAGAGCCTGAACGAGTGAAGCGCATCGCATTATTTCTACAAGGAGAAAGAAGTTCTCTAGTAATCTCCAAGGCTCTCATCGTCATCCAAGTCTCCCTCTTGGATTTCCTTTGCGAGCTCTTTCTCGCGCTCCCGTGCATCCTGCGCAGCAGCAAGCTCCTTGCGGTGTGCATTAAGAGGGTAGCGCATAGCCTGCGAGATCCAAGTATGAGGGATGTCCGATGTGAAAGTTTCCAACGGAAAATACTTTACCTTGACACTCTCATTATGCAAATCCAAGCAATATCCAATTCGTCTGCCAAACACCTCGCTAGCCTCGGGGCCATAGCCATCCTTCTGGCTTCCGCATTCCATCCAACCTTTCTCATGGACGATTCGGCCTTCAATCACACCATCCCGAATGGCCTTACCAACAATATACTCCGCGTCTTCCTCGGAATCGAGGTGGAGTTTCAAGCAAATGTCACGCAATGAGATCCTCGAGTATGATAGAGAGAGTCTGCGAATACCAGTCTTGATAACGTTTTGCCGGAGCCGGACGATTAGGGTATAGGTCTTGTCGGCCTCGAATTGTGTCGCGTGTTTGTTCAAAGTCATCTGGAACTCCGATAAGGAGCCTGTCCGAACGGCTAGGGGAATGGGTCAGCATTAGCATTGCTTTGTACAGCAGTAAATTTTCCTACCCTTCACGATGTCAAAGTAAGCACTCAGGGCTTTCTCTAACACCGGATGCCGGAAAAGACCGCGGTCCGGAATATCACCCATTAAAAGTTCAACGATCACAAAAAGTTTGTGCACGGCCTGGTGAAATCCTGGCGCGGTCTTTGCGGCAGGGGCGCGACGGATAGCTTGTTGCAGGTTTGTGTGTGCCGCAGTATAGTTCAATTGCACCGCTTTGATGCGGCCGAGGAAATAGTGGTAGCGGGCATACTGCGGGTTGCTCGCTGAGGCAGGGAAAGTAGTCTTGGACACTAGTTTGTCAGCCTGGTCGTAAAGGTTATAGTGGAGATAACCCCGAAGTAGGCGATTGATCAGCGAAGCTTGCGTGTCATCGTCGTGACGAAGGGACGCGGTGCGTTGCGCAGCGAGGAACATTCTGGAAAATTAATAAGTTGGGAGTATGCCAAATTTACATGGATCTGAACTCACGGACGGGCATCTGCCAGCTCTCCGCCGAGCTCATATGATCGCTCCACGGCAAACCATATCTTGGCAGCTATTGGATCCATACTTCTACGGTTCATGGACTGCATTTTGTCAACAGTTTCGTGAGAAAGTTCTATAGACTTGGAGTATGTGTCCTTGGACGTGTGGAGATGATGAATGATGAGCAGGCGGAGATAGATCTCAGCTTCCGGTACGGGATCAGAAGTTGGCTTCGATGATGGAGGCGGAGGAGCAGTAGCATTCGCCTCTGATGTTGTGTCTACTTCCATAGACTGTTCTGCAGGAGGAGCAGGAGGAAGCCATGATAGAAGAGAATTCTTGACAGCAGAGTCTGCACAAAGTTGAACATGGAGGCAGAAGGTGTGAATGCATCACACACCTTTGGGATAATTTTCCTCGATGGCATCACGCAAAACCTTGTCATTTATGCGCTTTCGCAGCGCAGTCAGTGAACGTAAGACGCGATGAGTGAACCGGGTTTCGAGGTCATTGATAGCGCGATCGATGAGCGCGATGTTAGCCTTAATCTCCTGCGTCGGCGTCGGGGGTTCTGGCTTTGGTTCTGGCTTCGTTTCATCTTTCTTTTCGTCTTTCTTGTCTTCCTTCTTGTCGGTAGCCTTCACCATCTCGACGTCGGGCATGATGCAAAGGATAGTTAATGACGCGGTGACGCGTCCTGTGTTGATGGGTCAGTATTATGTAAGTTTGGGAGATGGTAATAAATCTTTTAGGTGAGCAGCTGGCAACATCGACTCTATAGCTCAGTGGTAGAGCATACGATTGCAGATCGTGCGGTCCCGTGTTCGAACCACGGTGGGGTCTTTTTTGCACCACATTATTTCGAAGCTCACGACTCCTCCAAATTAATTTGGAGAATAAGTTGTTTTTGTTGTGGAACTTAAAATGATACCGAGGGCTGGGTGATTCGCTTGAAATCAGCGAACCGGCTGAGTTGTTGTAGCCGCTGTAACGGTTAACCTCTTAGCTGAGCTTGAAGACGGTCAGTCGACACGCTAAGACACGTCACCCAAACTGGGATTACATCTTAACCAAAACCATGATATGGCAATTCTCTTGGCTGCTTCTTGCAGCAACTGCCCAAGCTGCCTCTCTGTCCCTTCAGTCTCCTCGTTTCACAATTAGCGCATCAGATGCGACCCAGCTGCGCTCGGACACGTATGCACTAACCACATTCCTGCCATAATATAACTCATATTCCATACAGCCTGTCCCTGACCAAAAAACCAGAGCCTTTGACTCTTGGCGCAACTGACACCCTTAAGCTTACGTTCCAAATAACGGAGAGTGACGAGGGCAAAGGTGTTCAACCTCACCAAACCTTCCTCCGATTCTATGACAAAGAGTCAGGCGAGGAAGGCATTCAGCCTGTTCGCGTGACCCCAGGAGGAAAGGCTAAATTCGAGCTGGTGCGTTACACTTTTGCTATTGCAAACAGCGTTAGACTTAATTGCTATGTTAGAACATGATGCGCCCACCTGCGTCCATTCCGCCGACTACGCACAACCCCCTCGAGGTCTCGCTTATCCTGGGCTCCTTCGTGCACGCACCTGCACAATACGACCTTTTTGATCTCTACATACCTGCCTCCCAAACTCCCGCTGAACACCCGGATGAAGCTTCATTCCACGTCCTCCCCACCATCAAGCATACCTTCCGCCCAGAACAAAAATCACCTCCTCAGTCTATCTCTGCCGTATTTGCAGCGGCTGTACTGTCGCCTTGGCTCGTGCTGATCGGACTGGTGCGTTTCTTCCCTATTAAACTAATCCTTAGCTGACGAACTTTGTTGTAAAGTGGAGTAAAATTGGCGTCAGGGTCCCGAACCTCTTTTCAATTAGCATCGTGCCCTTCACTGCTCTCCTCGGCGCTTTTGAAGTGCTACTTGTCTGGTACTGGGTAGATCTCAAGCTTGGTCAGGTCCTTCTGTACGGAGGCATCCTTACCATTCCCACTGTGTTCGCTGGTAAGCAAGCTCTGTATGCGACTGGAGAATGGAGAGCCGGTCGGAAGTAAAGACTGCATACTCATGACTTTGTACCGTCTCAATCACAATACCCCTGATACTATTGTGGCTTTCCCCTATGGACAGACAACACCCTCAGCATTATGAGAACATGTAGGCGACTACAGTTTGCCTTTTCATCAAGGGAGACTATCGCTCTGTGCCCTTGCCTTAAATAGAATTTGGTATCAATATGTTTGACGCCTGCCGGCGTTAGACACCGTTGCTGATTAGATTGCAGACATACACGCAAACACGCACTTAGGTTCACATTCCCAGTTTCGTAGGTTGGTAGGTAGGATTGTCCTGCAGCTGATGCAAGATAGGAGTGACTAGGGAAACCTCAATGGTGGCATCTTTGGTCGCGGTCATCCACCGTGACTTACAGGTAAGGGTTGGCCTTAAACTTGCTCTGAATTTTCTGACGTTCGACGACGCATGACCTTGGCTATAGCCGATGTTTGGCAACTTCCGGTATGCAGTTGGCGCAGGACCCCGCAAGACTGGATATTCCCACGTACTCTGAGGTCACCTCAGATCGGTGACTAGTTTATTGTATATCTTACCGTTTAATCTTGCTCATGGTGTTTAGCAACAAGAATTTGAACTCGGGTGCTTCCTTCGTGAGACATACCCCAATTTTGATTCGCCATCTTTCATCCAGCACTGATGTGGTAAATACCGGTCAGCTGGCAGTCGGCATAGATGCTGGTAGAGGAGAGGAGATGTCAGACTCGACTTCGCGTGTGCCCTGCTTCAGGATTTACACTCATCCACAGTCGGAGATAACTTTGGCGAATGGACGAACGGTCCTCCCTCCTCTTACTAGAGAATACCAATTTGTTTCAAACAAGTTGACCTGCTATCAGAGCTGCTCTTTCGTTCTCTGACTGGTCTGCTGTAGTGCATTCACCAGAGTTTTGGCAAGCTGCGTCTCTCACCTGCTGGATAGATTGCGAGACGTGAGTATCATCATTTCTTCCCAGGTTACTTTTGAAACCAGCGACAGTCATCAAGCTCTCACACTGGCCCGCGCTGTTCTCGACCTGCGGCAGACGGATCCCTCCGTATAAAAGAAATCATATCCTGCACAGCTCACAGTACACTTCACAACCACGAGACATTTTGTATTTGTTGATTCCACGAACTTAGCATGCGCCACCCTGATACACCGGCCTAAATCGCACTGCGTGCTTCTGAGATTTGGCTATCTGTCCGCAGTAGCGTTCACTTCCACTTCTATTTCGCGCTCAGTACGTGTTCCGATAGAGTTTCGTCGCTGACATACCGGCGAACTGCAGGTCGTTCGTGTGCAACAGACCTGATACAACTCCCTGCCGTTACTAGAGCAATCTCCGCTGTCCGCTATATATCTTTGCGCGCACGCATTTTCTGCCCCACACGTTTGCCAAACGCATGAGGTGTCAGTGGTCTCGAGGCCGGGCATGGCTCGTGCACAAAGAGGACCACCAGCCGTAAATGCCAGGAGAATGATTATCGAGAGATTCATCTATGTTCAAGACAAGTGCGTGTTTTTTGTTTGGTTGGTTGTTCGTCAGTTGTATGCTTACGGTGCTTTATGGCTGGTGGTGGTTAAGGCATTAATCCGTAAGTTTGAAAACAGCAACCATACCTAGGCAGACCAAGATTCTTGTCATACAAATCACTCCACATTGTGAGAATGCGGAATCTCTTGATCACGAAATACTTACATACTCTAGTCATGCCGACCTTTGAATTCAATGCAACGGCCGCTACATCGCACGTAGTAATTGGATATATCTATATCTACCCCTCTCCCTCCGACTTCTCATCTTTCAGTCCAATAGTAAACTGTGTTCCTGCACGCCCGTGCCTTTCTTCGTCTCCCCTGCCACCTAGAGCTGCGCGGAGTTACGGACGTGGCTCGGCATCATCAGGATTGAAAGTGGTTTTCAACTAGTCTTCTTGCTACTAAGTATTCTTCATTGATCAGAAGTTCAGTATCGCATAATATGATATGGCGCCGAGATACAGTTGTTGTGTGGAGTGGTGATTGTGGAAGGGGCGTGGCATATATATGTTCTGTATGATTCAATTGATTGTCAAGGTCGTGAGTCGGGGGTTGCTAACTTGAACACATTTTCTAAAAAGGAAGTCAAAGGCTTTAGGATTCAATATATACAAACAACCACACTTTTATGTCAATTTGAAACTTTGCCACCTGCTGGGGCCTGCCAAGTCCATGTTCGAAGATGTCAGCTGGTGACACGTGCAGGTTTGGCACGCGGAAGTTCTTATCTTCGTGGTTGTTTCCTATTATACATATGGTGAGCTGAGGATCACTTGATGCCAGTGCTCATCCATGATGCAAAGCTGTCGTTGGTAGGATCCAATATGGGCTGCTAGCCTTCATGTAGGTGACCATTGTGTGACGATATTGGACAACTTCCCACAGTGTTTAGAATCTTAGACATTGTTTTGGACCTTATATGTCAGAAATTCGGCTCAGTACTTCAATGACAACCTCTAGAAATATGTTCTCAGTTTCTGGTACCTTGTCATCAATCGGACTTTGCATGGTCGAGTCAGTTCCTTCGAACAACTTCAAACCCAACAGAGTCCTATATATAAGGAACGACTGTCTTTCTCTTTTGGTCTGACTAGTACAGGAGACTTACAAAGTCCAGACAACATTCATCAGTAAACCACAATTTTCTCACAGACTTACACAGCTGCAACAGCTCACACAGCACACACAGTCCTCTCACAGACAACAGCACCAGATGGCCACAGATACTCACATAATCACCAGTGCATACAGCAATTTGTAGTGTAAATTTGTGTTCTTGGTAGGCAACAAGTTAACATTAGTATACAAATGATATCGTGTAAGGCTCTCAGCAGCTCTTTCTTAGTTCAAAACTGATGTAATGGATGGGCACATGGTTTGAGAACAAGGTGAACATGGACACGAAATGCATGGGATGTGCTCTGGATATGCTTGAAGTGAAAGTCACCTGTTCCAATGTGAGACAAAAACAAGTATATTACTTGTACATAGTAGTAACGCAGACTACACATTCAGATGGGTATAAAAAAATCCAAGTCACAATACAACGTGCCTGTTAGCATTAGTTGAGTTGGATAGTGATGCGGTGCATGCAATATATATTTGGCTCTAGTAGTAGAAAGACGTCATTTTTAGTCAAGGAAATTCGCATGGAACATACCATCAGGGTGGCAGGTTGGTACTATGAGATTGTTATTCTTACAGGTGATCTGCATGCGACCAAGCTCATCATCAGTAGCATCCAGTTTCTTCCCCAAGGTGGTGGCTCTGATTCTGAACAAACTAGCCATGACCTCGTGTTCTCACACCACACAATCTGTGAGAAGCTTCTCTGCTCTAAAAACTTCACACTTTGCCCTCACCAGATCTACCATGAGATATGCTTTGAGGTCTTCAGGATCATCAACAGTCTGCAACACCTCTGCATCAGCATAATGTGGTGAAAAGAAAATCTCCAACATACCAATGTATTCAAAGCTTCAATAACATTGTGCAGCTCAGCGTGAGAATCCTGACCTATATGTTTTGACTCTGTCCAGTGTGAAAAAGTAATTGGTACTAGGTGGTTAGCAACTAGCACTACTTATCCTAAGAGGCATGAGTTAATTGATCAGCCCGAGAGGACTGCTATTGAAGCACTTCCTTCAATTATGTGTGAGGGAAGTAAGTGAGTGAAGGAGTTATAACCTATGTCAGCCTAAGAAACTTGAGTGTGGACCGTATGTATACCTTTGAATTTCTATGCCAAAGAATCGACCGTGAGTGTGGGCAAAAATTGACTGATGTTAGTATCACAAGAGTGGGATGAACCATTGGAAGATATGAGCAAGCATATTGGATGTCAGATGCCAGTGCGGCAGATGTAATGCGCACAAAATCGACTGTGCTCTATGGAGTGGCTGGTTGCAAGGGATATAGCATGAATGAAGAACTGCACTAAACTACTGGTTGTGGGTCAGGTACTCTTGCAAGAGCTTAAGGGTAAGATCCTAGTGGTATGGAACTTCAGAGCAGTCAAAATGCACAGGATTGCCAAGAAAGAGCAAAATAGATGGATTGCACAAGGTCTACAAAAATAATGTGGGAATGACTCTCCTATAGAGCTGAGTCCAGGGGGAAGGGAACTACTCAATTGTATGTACTGCGGTCGTTTATATTGTAGTGCATAAATGTCTGGAATGTGTAGGTGAGAATTGTAGTGTAGTTAGTGAGCATGCGATGAGTCTATAGGTAATAAGACATCATGCACTGCAGATCATGAGTAGTTGTGTAATAAGACCTGCAGCTTGTTTAGCAATGACATTTGGGAAAATTAATGCACCAGTGGAGATAGGTGGACATGGATAGGACATGGGAGGGCAGATTCCTAGGACCGGACCAGAGTAAGAGCAGATGGGTCGATATATATGGATTTAATGATCCATGCTTTATCTCCTTTCCTGAAGGTGAGAAGAACCATGCTATTGATCATATGTGCCTAGCACTGGTATGATCATCACACTGGGAGTGATTGGGGGGTAGAGAACAGGAGTCATGCCAGTGTGCATTGAAATCTTGAAGTCTGGGCATGGTAGTACTAGAGTATATGTATATCAAAGTTAGTCATCAACTTACTTACTATGATTCAGAGTTCAATCAGTGAATGCCAGCAGTGATTGCTTCTGCAACTTCATCATCAAGATGTTTCAGTGTCCTTTGTGCTGCAAAAATGGGTTCAGTACTCATGAAGCTGTCACACGCCACATGAGCCAGCCTAGATCCGGGTGCAGTACCTGGATTGAAGATGTCATCTGCCTGAAAACAATTATTCAGCCCTCAGAAGATGATCCCATCAATGTCAACCAGGAGTCCTTTGTTCATGATGACTACTACTCAGCTTCTTATGATGACACTAACATTCAGGCTGCTGGGGGACTATTTGAAGAAGAACATGTCCCAGCCTCCCATAACAAATTTCTCAATCTCTTCCTGGGCTCAGCAGAAGTGTATGGAGGAGGATATATGTTTCTTGGTTTGTTTGATGTGGATGAAAATAGTGCACATCGTGTGCATAATCCCTACTACCTGTTTAGTGGACAGAAAGAGTGAGAGGTCACATCTTGGCTGCTGCGTTCAGGCCTGAGCATGGGTAAAATTGACTCATTTTTATCGCTAGAGATGGTTAGTAGTGCTCTGGCTCATCTCCCTCTGTGATAGTCTGACTTGATATGCTTAGATCAAGGCCCTCTCCTTGTCATTCCACTCTGCTAAGGAGTTACAAGGTCAGGCAGAGCAGCTGCCAAGTGGACCATGATGGTTGTCTAGGGTGATTGAAATGGCACATCCCACGAAATCTCCTGTGGTTCTGTACTGGCAGGATCCTCTAGAATGCATCACTAGCATTATGAACAATCCTTCCTTTTGCAATCAATTCAATTTCATGCCTCAAAAGGTGTACTCTACCACAGAGTGAATCTGTTGCATCTACTCAGAATGGATGACAGGTGATGATGCATGGAATATGCAGGTATGTTGAATAATTTGTTTTGACTTCCACTCACTCATCTCATTGCAGTCAGTGCTGCCTGATGGTGCTACTCTCCTCGGAATTATGTTGTCCTCTGATAAGACCACCATTTCAGCTCTGACTGGTGATAGAGTTGTGCACCCTCTCATAATCAGTCTAGTGAAAATATCTATGAACACTTGTACCAAAATCTCATCTGACTCCTTTCTCCTTACTGCTCTACTGCTGGTGCCTAAATTCATTCACAAGAAGAAATGCATGTGGGGTGTATTGGAGGACCGCCTCATACACCAGTGCTTAGACATCATTCTTGAACTACTTAAGAGAGCCACTTGTGTTGGAGTCATGATGTTGGATCCCATGGGTAATAGCCAGCACTGCTATACAGGACTTGTGAGTTATATTGCTGACACCCCAGAAGCAATGATGTTATGTGCTGTTGGGGGTAAGACATTGCCATTGACCATGGCAATGTTTAAGCAGTTTGGGGACGCTTTTCGACATGAACCCTGAATGAAGTCTACCACTCTCATACAACTTGAAGTTGTCTATACATGGGCTGACCCCCTTGATCTTGAAGCATTTTTCTGTGAAGCACAGAAATTTCGATTGAATGGAGTTGCTAAGCCATTTTGGTGCAATTGGATTCTGGCCAAACCATCCCATTTCTTCACTCCTGAACTCCTGCACCACATACACTGGGAGTTTTGGGATCACAATGCAAAATGGCTCATTAATGCTCTTGGGGAATCTGAGATTGATTTTTGCTTTTCCATCCTATCTCACATTACTGGGTTGCAACATTTCCATGGAGGTATTTTGAAGTTAAAACAAGTCACTGGCCAGTGTCAACACAACATCCAATGCTATATCATTGCAGTCTGTGCTAATGCTGCACCTCAAGGCATCCTTACTGCCATACATACTTTCATGGACTTCTAGTATCTTGTGCAAGCTAGCTGAATTGACGATGATAGCCTTGAGTGTATTTCTGCTGCACTAAATGAATTTCATGCCCACAAAGACACCATCATCACTGCCAGTCTTTGTCATGGGGAGGGTAAAAAGGTCATCACCAACTGGCATATCCCCAAACTCGAGTTCATGCAGAGCATTGTCCTGAGCATCCACAATACTGGTGTCCCCATGCAATGGACTGCGGACACAACAGAACATGCTCATATCACTGTTGTTAAAGTTCCAGCTCAGTCGAGCAACAATAATAATTATGAGCTGCAAATCTGCTGTCATCTTGATTGTGAGGAGAAGTGCCATTGCTTTGACCTTGCCACAAATCTACTTGATCACAATAAGCTATGATCAACAACTGTGGTTGAAGTTGATGAGGGATATGAGGGCGACGAGGGTGATGAGGGTGATGCCAATGAAGATATACCAGTGGACCTCTTATCCACTGTTGCTTTCCCTGGTCACTCATGGCCAATCATGAATTGTTTCATGGTTGCAAACAGTTTATGCCACAAGGATGTTGGCACTGTCCCTCAACCATTACACATGTTCACTGTTGGATGGACAGCATTCCATCTTGCTTACAGTCCATCAATCAGAAGTATCACTGTTGATGAGGCAGCTGTAAAATTTGGTCTTCCAGACTTATGACCTGCCATCGCTGATTTTCTCTACCACCATGGTATTCATGGGCAACATCATGTCCATCCAGTAGGTGGGGGGTGAAGAGCTGGACCTGACATACAACTTCCATTCAACAACTTGCAAGTGTGGTTCAAACTGTGCTTGCAAGACACAGACTTTCATGATTACAGCGTTATACAACCTGCACAAACCCTCAATTGCACACCCCCTTGTGATGCATGGCCCTGGGGCTGCTTTGATACTGTTCTCATTAATACCTGTGCTGGTTTCTCATGGCCTGCCAGTGGGTTTCAAGGTACGCTCACACATAATCCATGAGTGTTTTTTCGACTTTTTTCCCCTTAGGTCATAGCATGGTTCAAATCAGGCTCATTATGAGGCTTCTCACAGGGAATGCATTGCAAGACTGCTTCCTCACATACATTCATTGCTTTGATTCTGTCACACTGTTGGGATCTGATGATCGTGACCTGACTACACAGCTACATGTCTTCAAGAGGGCTAAGAGGTCAAATGGAACTTGCTGTGGCAATGTAATCTTACTGTCCCAGGTCAAGTCTCCCATAAACCTCATACCTCAGTTTGGTAGCATTGCAGATAACCATCTCACTACTTCTAACTGCATGGAACACTGCTCGGAGTTTTGGCTAAACAAATACTGGAACAAACAATTATTTTTCTCCTTATCTACATAATAATTTATCAAATTGGGACAAGTTTTCATAAAATTAGTCTTTGTTAGTTACATCCTTCATCATGGCCATAGTAGCTCAAACTGTCATGCCCACGATAAAACTGGGATCGTTTCCTGTCATGCCCCATTCACATAACATTACAACTATGAACAAGCTCACCAGCAAAGAGCTTGATCATCTGGTCACTCATGAAGATCCAAAAGGAATCAGGCTGGGTCATTATCTACCACTGATCTTCAAATCACTTGCTTAGCTAGACAATGTTCCCCTTGCAAGTGAGCTGAAGATTAAGTTAGGAAAGCTGCAGTGTAGCAAAGCAGCAAAGGTTTGCTTTCAAAACTTCAAAGACAATGACATGGTGCCCTTGTATGATATCAATTTGAAATGCTGGAATTGGGACTTCCCTTCATCAGGGATCACTCCAGTAGTGCATATGCAGATTTTCACAGATAGTAAGATACTGATCAAATCATGTTGGTAGGGAGCCCAGGAGACAAATGGGTTTTCCTTTGGTCTTTATCTCAATGTCATCTGAGGCCTTATTGATCACAAATCCCAACCTCAAACAACTTACTCAAGCATTGTGCATTTGGTACTCAGAATTTGCAACCCATGCAGTTCCAACTCAAGATATTCAACAGAAGCCTGACTTAGTTCTATCCAACCATGTCGTCCAGCTGGGCTGGAACAATTTCATGGTATGCGCTGAACTCACATTTAGCACTTACCAGCCTGCTGCACATGTTGGCAGTTCCATGGACACCAAAGCTTACCTGTTGTTTCATGGACAGCCATGGTGCCCTTTTGTACTGCTATTGTCCTTTTGTAATCAATACCATGACCTTCGCATCCATCTGTACAACCATTCTGGGGGGCTGGTGTCCCCTGTGTTCAACATCAACAACAATCCAGATATATATTTGCAAATACTCACTGGGATTGTGTTTGGAGGTCCCCAGTGTCTTGGTTATGATTGTACCATTGTATTTTATGTCACCCCTTCCAAATCTACCAGCACTTCCCATTGCACTGCCACGTCACACCAGGCCATCATGCATGACATTTCCAAAGACATCAGCTCACTTGCACCTGGTATCACCAAAGAAAGTCACCCATCCAGTAGCTCAAATGATTCTGTTGCTGCCAGTGGAGGCAGCAATTTTTCCAAAGAAGTGACACATTATGATCCTCCCACTGACATGTCACATGAGGGCACTCTGGTGGAATTTTTTGAAGATGGCCCATTTTCTCTTTATGCCCCATTTGCCTCTACTACAGGGGTACTTCAGCCAGAAATTGTTCCAGAGCCAAATGAGAACATCCCAACAGCACTCTTCCCCCCTCCCCCCTCCAACAAGGACCCCATCAGTAAAATTCACGTCAAAGAGAAGTTCTACAATATACTCTGCACCTTGTTCTACAGTTGAGGTCTTATGGGCAGGGGAACTGTTTGTTATTTGGTCAAGTTGGGGGGTGAGGAATTCATTATCAAAGACCATTGGGTGCAAGGACAGGATGACATGGACATCCTGAATGAGGTGGGAATGCTGAAGTGGATGCAAGGTGTCCCTGGCATCCCTCACCTTGAAGACTATTGGATTGTTGAGAGGGAGAAGGGAGTTCCAGATACAACAGGTGACTTTCGCTTCAAGCATATCCAGAGCATATCCCACGCATTTCATGCACATGTTCACCTTGTTCTCAAACCATGTGCCCATCCATTACATCAGTTCCAAACTAAGAAAGAGCAGCTGACAGCCTTATGTGATATCATTTGCAGTAAGTATTCCTTGAATGCTCAAGCCAATCCCTTACTGATTGTTCTCCCCCCAACACAGTCATACCTGCAGCATCTGATTGTGGTGTTGTGCATTGTGATTGCAGCCTTCACAATGCAATGATTGAAGATCTCCCTGGAGGCATACAGGGTTGTTTGATCAATTGGGAGTTTGCAATCAATGTCTCTAATACTCACTGCGACAATAATACCCATAGCATCCTCACCAGGGGTGGTACGGGCACAGTTCCATTCATGTCTTGCAAACTCCTTAGTCAATTGGTCCAAGCTGATCTTGCCCATTTGACTCAGCCCATTGTCAGTCTGACCTTCTCCAATCTGCCACAGTCTCATAAGACATCATCTACCAGTGCTCCTCCCCAACCACTTGCAACAATAGTGCAAAACTATTCCGATGATCTTGAATCCATTCTATGGATATTCCTCTGGGTTCTCCTCAATTATTTGGGCCCTCTCAGGATGGAGTGGAATCAAGCTGGGTTGATGACGGAAGGCTGGAATGACCCAAACACCACACTGTGTGTTGGGTCCAAATATGTCCTTTACCACTCAGGGAAGGCAGCATTCCTTCATCAAATTGACCCCTACTTCATGGACCTTACCCAGCTCACAGATGATTGGTTGGAACTGATGAGGCACAATGATGAGCATCTGGTAGCCTTCAATGCAGTGCTGGAGCTCCTGGACTCTTTTCTGTCTAATTACAAGACAGAGGAGTTCTCTCCAGAGCGGTATTTCTTGTCACAAGAGTTGAAGATTCCTCTGGGGGAAAATACTGTGAGGTGCAAGAGAGTTATCCCAGAGTCCAAGGGGACTTATTTTACACAGAAGCAGGCAAAGGCTGTTGTTTAATACAATTCCCTCAAACTACTATCGCAATTCTAATCTCACATTACTCTAGCATGACTTTCTTTGAATGTAGAATAGTGTACTAGTAAATGTACTTCTAGTACTACGAACTTTTCTATGACTCATTTTCGCATCTTCAAGTTGTCCCAATGTGTTCACTGAGTTCAACTCTTTTTTTCTTCTATCACATGACATGAGCAGTATACACTCACAGATTCTCACATTCAACTGACATTCATGATTGCATGCTACTAGTACTACTAGTTTGCATCAGGTTTACTCTGTTCTTTGGCAAAGGACAGATCTACAGCAAAGGAGATGTCGGATGGGATCAGATGGCATGACTGCTATTACATGTGCACCTGGAGGTGTGTTACTCAATTTGTCTACCTTGCACTGATTTATTACTTTTATATTGACTCAGAAGGGCAACTGTATGGTATTGGATGGCAGCACCTGCTGTGATATTACACTGGATACTTCAAAGTCCGCTGTGATGATCATACTGGTGCTAGACATGTATGATCAATAGCATGGTTCTTCTCACCTTCAGGAAAGGAGATAAAGCATGGATCATTAAATCCATATATATCGACCCATCTGCTCTTACTCTGGTCCGGTCCTAGGAATCTGCCCTCCCATGTCCTATCCATGTCCACCTATCTCCACTGGTGCATTAATTTTCCCAAATGTCATTGCTAAACAAGCTGCAGGTCTTATTACACAACTACTCATGATCTGCAGTGCATGATGTCTTATTACCTATAGACTCATCGCATGCTCACTAACTACACTACAATTCTCACCTACACATTCCAGACATTTATGCACTACAATATAAACGACCGCAGTACATACAATTGAGTAGTTCCCTTCCCCCTGGACTCAGCTCTATAGGAGAGTCATTCCCACATTATTTTTGTAGACCTTGTGCAATCCATCTATTTTGCTCTTTCTTGGCAATCCTGTGCATTTTGACTGCTCTGAAGTTCCATACCACTAGGATCTTACCCTTAAGCTCTTGCAAGAGTACCTGACCCACAACCAGTAGTTTAGTGCAGTTCTTCATTCATGCTATATCCCTTGCAACCAGCCACTCCATAGAGCACAGTCGATTTTGTGCGCATTACATCTGCCGCACTGGCATCTGACATCCAATATGCTTGCTCATATCTTCCAATGGTTCATCCCACTCTTGTGATACTAACATCAGTCAATTTTTGCCCACACTCACGGTCGATTCTTTGGCATAGAAATTCAAAGGTATACATACGGTCCACACTCAAGTTTCTTAGGCTGACATAGGTTATAACTCCTTCACTCACTTACTTCCCTCACACATAATTGAAGGAAGTGCTTCAATAGCAGTCCTCTCGGGCTGATCAATTAACTCATGCCTCTTAGGATAAGTAGTGCTAGTTGCTAACCACCTAGTACCAATTTCTTCTTCACACCACCATAGAATCTGGACACGAAGACTCAAATATGAGTAAGTTCGGATGGTAAATTCATGTGTTCTAGCTTTTGTCTTATTCCCTGCAATGATGCCCAGCCCTAGGAAGTCCAAGACTAGTAAGAGAAAGGCTCAAGATCCTGACACTGGCCTTCCAACTGGACGATCCAAGAAAACTCCATGGGGTGCTTTGGATGAACTTGGTGGCACTCAACATTCTGAATGTTTGAATGCAGGGATGGGCAGACAAAACTCACAGCTAGAAAAACTTGATGCAGTCCTTGAACGACCATCGCATAAACAGTCCTCAAAAGGCTCAACAACCTTTGTTGCTGATGTTTCAAAGAACCCACAAGCTCCTGATTCTCGCAAAGGTAAAGGCCACAAGTCTAGAAAGGTAAGTCATCACAATCAGACACTAATTGATGCTTAATTCCAGTTCTTAGGTCACTGCTCCCCCACCATATGCTCCAGCAGATGTGAATCTTGTTGATGCATCTCAAGTAAGTCGTGTCCACCTTTATATTCATTTATTTTATCTACTAAGGCATCCAACACACAACAGGATGTGCCCCAAATGACAATTGTACCACCTGGTACTGAGCCTAACTTGCAGGCCCTGAATAACCCCTACATGGCTGCCATGATTGGTACTGCAGCTGCATGCCCCCCCACTAACAGCTCAGTGCCATCGCTTATCCCACACACACCCTTAGAGCTGAACTCGCAGGTCCTGAATAACCCCTACATGGCTGCCATGATTGGTACTGCAGCTGCATGCCCCCCTACTAACAGCTCAGTGCCGTCACTTATCCCGAGTGCACCCTTAGAGCCAAGGTTTTTGGATGCTATCAAGTATTATTATTAGCCTGCCACTTCCCCTCAAATGCCAGAGCATGTTATAGACCTGGCACTGCAGATTCAACCATCATCACTTGGTGTAGGTGGGCGCTTGGAGCCAAGTGTTCTGAATGTCACCCAGTGCGATATTCAACCTATGTTTCAATGCACTGCACTCCCAAGGCTCCCAGAGGGTCCTACAGGCCCAGCACTACAGCCTCAGAACCAACCTCCTCCAATAAGTGACAGATCAGATCTTGACAGAAGTGATGAGAATGATGAGAGTTTAACAGATGAAGATACCAAAGAAGGGGTCAAAGATGCTGGTGAAGATGATATTGTCAGATGGGGAGTGGTTTGTGGACACCACACAACATATTCAGGTTACGCTCTTCACATTTTATGTATGTCACTGATTCTTATTATATGTATAGGATTTTTGCAGGAACAACCACCTCAGCCACTTCAAAATCCATGTACTTTGACACCCAACTTTGACTTTCAGTACTCACACAACAAAGATGAAAATGGTGCAGTGGCTAGTCTCGCCTTGGTGCAGTTGCAGCCACATGTTCAGAACTCATGTAAAGATGATGCAGCTGCTAATCTCGTGTTAACACAACTGAAGGTAGATGATGTACTCAAGAAACACCAGAAAAAGAATGGCTGGCATCATCTCCCCAACCCTGAGGCTCTTGAAGTACTACACTGGCAAACTGAAACTGATGTTCAACAAGAAGCTCCAACATCACAATCCAAAGCAAAACTCACTCAACTTGGGTGGTATGGAACTGGCTGGAAAGGCTTCCTGGAGGATGCAAAGGCAGAATGTCATGCAGTCCATGCATTGGAAAACCCATTTCCATCTCTGACCCATGACTTAACATGTTCAATAATGGAAGTCCTCTTATCAGTCAAGCTTGCATGGGAGCAAGCTGGGAAGCAGGTAGAAACTGGTAAGTCTTCAGCCCATATTGTCAATATGATATATCATTTTACACTCATTAAAACCCAGCCATGATATATCCCTGGTGTTGGCTTACCACAGGCATCCACAGATGATATATCACCACACCCTAATATACACTGCCACATTTTGGGCATTTTTGAAACTCAGCTCTTTGTCATTCCAGGCAGCATATTATGACCGCAATTTTGGCTTCCAAAAGCGGAAATTCATAAAACATATACAGTGGCTCAAAAAACTGTCTGCATGTTTTGACATTTTTCACTATCTATGATATTGTGTGAGAATGAACAAATGCCTCAAGGACATGCTTATACCACATTGTAGTATGGCTTCAGGGCTTTCATTTGAGCCCTACACTGTGGGAATCGGTGGAGATATGGTGGAGACATAAGGCTTATAAAATGATGACTCATGTGGACAGTTTTTTGAGTGTATATTAAAACTATATAAATCATTATTTATGACACCACAAAAATCATGCCACTATTATATAAATTATGAAGTGGTGTCATTATGTTATTTTATGACTATATCTAACTATATAAACCAGAATATCTCATGTATCATAGTCATAATCACCATGAAAGCCATCTCCTCTGCTCAAAGAGATAATATCCTCTCTCTGTCTTATGCTGGCCTCTCTGCTTGCCAAATTTCCTCTAGAACTGGAGTATGCAAGTCCACTGTGGCCAAGTTTATCAAAGAAAGCCACCCAGACAAGGAAAACTCTTGTGGAGGACGTCCATCCAAGCTCACCTCTACTGACAAAAGGGCTATTATCCAACATATCACTACAGGAAAGGCTGATAATGCTGTCCAAGCCACCCATTATATCAATTCCACCATCACTACCCCTGTCTCTTCACAAACTGTGAGGAATGTTCTCAAGGCAGCTCATCTCAAGGCAGTAACAAAGAAGAAAAAGCCTCTTCTCTCCATCAAATATAGGCAGAGAAGACTAGCCTTTGTCTTAGCTCATCAACACTGGACTGTAGAGGACTGGAAGCATGTTATATGGTCAGATGAGACCAAAATCAATAGGATTGGGTCAGATGGGAAGGTATATGTATGGAAAAAGAAGGGAGATGGCCTAACAGACAGAGAGGTTAATGGGACTGTGAAGTTTGGAGGAGGTTCTTTAATGGTATGGGGCTGTATGGGATGGAATGGTGTGGGAATGCTTGCTGAGGTTGAGGGGAAGATGAATGCTGAGCAGTATGGGACATTTTAAATGACCACTTGCTGCCTAGCTTGGCAGAATCAGGGATTGATGAAGAAGATATCATTTTCCAACAGGATAATGATCCCAAGCACACATCCAGAAGAGCTAAGGAATGGTTTGAAGAACATAACATCAATGTTCTTGACTGGCCAGCACAGTCTCCTGATGTCAATGTCATTGAACATCTCTGGGGAACACTCAAGAAAAAGCTTCAAGCCTATGAAAACCCCCCTAAAGGAGTATGGGAGCTTTGTGTCATATTGTTAAGAACCATGCTCAAAGGAGAGAGAGACTGACTCAGAGGGGCTTGGCCTCAGCTCATACGCTGTGCCCCTTACCCGAGTATGTGCCCTTCATTTCAGAGGAAGTCCGATGATGGTCCGATGAAGTCCGGAGGACTTCTGGAGGCTGGCTACTCTGGTGGAGAGTGTGGGAGGACTTCTGGAGGAGCACAGGAAATGTCCGGAGGAGTGTGGGATAGTTCCGGAGGGATGCAGGAAATGCTCAGGAGAGTTCCCGCTGCAAGGTAATACTTCTACAGGAAAACAGGATGGAAGGATAGGAGGTCCAGAGGTCCGGAAGGAATAGGGGCTACATCAGATGAAGTCCAATGCAGAAGCAAGCAGAGGTAGACTACCCTAAGGTAGAGTTGGAGGGATGGGAAGTGGACCTAAGTCTGGAAAGAGGGTAAGTGCTGGAAAGGCAAGACTCCAGCCTAGGGAAGCAATCCCTAGACTTGGGACAGAGACATAGGGGACAAATCCGAAGGTCCGGAATTCTGGCCTAGGGAATCCTTCCCTAGGCCTTACGGAAAAGGACAAGACTTAGACGGACTGAAGTCCAGGAGATGATTGGGCAGATCTAAGGTGATGAACAGGATCTAAGATGATATTCAGACTGAGGACTCTACTGTAGTTGTACAGGGGTTATATACTAGAGGCTATCCGAGAGGATCAGTAAGCAAAGGAGTAAGGCTATGTATGAGCATGTGGAAACACATTGGTAAGTAAGACGGAACATAAGTAAATGAACTTGGAGATGAAACTAGTACAAGGATCAATCAGCAAGACAGAAACAGAGATAACCAAGAACTGGAAAGGGGGAGATGCCTAAATGGGGATAGGTGCAGGATCTTGGATGGAGGGTGGGAATAGGTCCAGAGATAGTACAGTTAATATCCGGAGGTCCGGAGATCTGGGGATCTGGAAGGCAGGGCAGAAACAGGACTGAGATATGTGAGGTGGTGGATGTAGTCTGGAATCTGAGAGGAGGTAAAGTCCGGATGTCTTGCTGGACAGAATGTGCGTAGGGTGGACAGGATAGGAGATCCAGGAATGAGTTGGATATGGGGTCCGGAAATAGGTCCGGAAAGCGTGGGAATATGATGGGACCTATGTCTGGCATACAGGATATGACACATATCCACATATCCGGATCTCAGATCTGACCCTTATCTCATCTCAGATCCACATATCTCTGATCCTATCCACATCTTATCTCCCTCCAACATCTTGTCATCCAATCTGTTCCACTCATCCGGTCCAGTCCACAACTCATCCAAATCCACAACCAGCACTCGTCTCCTTTTCAGTAACCCCCTAACTCCAGTATTTCGGTTATCTGTATATCTGTCCTGCTCCCTTATCCGCTACCTATGTTTCATTTCCATTTCATGATTTGTAATCCATTTCTACTTACCAATAGACTATCCACATGCTTTGTACATAGCCTCGGACTCTGCTGATTGATCATTCCATTAGATACCTATAGTATATAACCTCCTGTAACTTTCTGTAGTACCTCAGTTCAAATATCATCTTAGTTCTACTCATTCCTGTCCTCCAGACTTGAGTACCTCTACTCTCATCACCCTCTGAGACTTAGGATTGATTCCTATAGTCTATCTGTATCTGCCTCTGTCCCCGACAGTCCATTACCATTAGTTTCTAGTCTGGATTCGTCTGGATTAGCCTTACAATACTTATCCCTCATCCGGAAGTCATCTGGATCTGTTACACTACTCATCCAACCTTCCAGATGTGCTAGTCTTGCCTTCCTGAAATAAGGGGTGATACTTGGGTAAGGGGCACAGCGCACGAGCTGAGGCTGAAGCCCTTCAGATCCAGTTACCCTTTGAGTATGACCTTAACACTTTGGGAGAGAGTAGCAGTGGAATGGGGGAAGATCACAGTTGAGGATTACCAGAAATTAATTGAGAGTATGCCTAGAAGGATAGAGGCAGTAATTAAAGCCAAGGGAGGTCATACAAAATACTAGAATACCTGGTTATTATTGTAAAATACTTGAGTCAAAAAACTGTCCGCATGAGTCACCATTTTGTGAGCCTTGTATCTCCACCATATCTCCACCGATTCCCACAGTGTAGGGCTCAAATGAAAGCCCTGAAGCCATACTACAATGTGGTATAAGCATGTCCTTGAGGCATTTGTTCATTCTCACACAATATCATAGATAGTGAAAAATGTCAAAACATGTGGACAGTTTTTTGAGCCACTGTATATGTTTTATGAATTTCCACTTTTGGAAGCCAAAATTGCGGTCATAATATGCTGCCTGGAATGACAAAGAGCTGAGTTTCAAAAATGCCCAAAATGTGGCAGTGTATATTAGGGTGTGGTGATATATCATCTGTGGATGCCTGTGGTAAGCCAACACCAGGGATATATCATGGTTGGGTGCTGATTGAAGCAACTGATATATCATACCCACAGGATATTGTGAAGGCTGGTAAGTATTTCTCCATCATCACAAGCCTGCTCACACCATATAATCACAGCTCTATGATGATCTTGCAACTTGGTGGTCCAAATTGAAGAAGGTTGTGATTTCCCTTGCCCCGAGCATATTGGGTCTTGTTCCCCCTGCTGAGGTACCTGCCCTGGAACAGCCAGCGTGGGTCTTACATGAAGCATCAAGGCAGCACAAAGATTCTCTGTTCCTATGAGGTGGATTCAATGCCAATGTTTTTATTTTTATTTCCTTGTTTCACCCCTCACTGTGCTGATGTACAATTTGAACAGGGAAAGGCCAATAACTTCGCAAGTCCTGCGCTTCGAGAAGCTGTTGTGTTATTTTATTATACTGGACCTTACAGAATTGCTCAGCAAAGGCCAGAAATATTTCGCACACAGCTGCCTTTGTTGTGCTTAGCTCTCATTACCACTGCAGTATTATTTACTCAAGTTAAATATCAAGGTTACTGACTCATTATTTACAGTATGACTGTGGTCTCCTTGGCTTTGAAAAGAACAGTACTGGCAAGGTCTTTCCCAAGTTCACTGTGAAGGAGTACAAAACAGAATATGAGGAGATGCTGGAGATGATGGGTGTTGTTTTGGTTTTTTTTTTTTTTGGATCAGTGTTTATTGTCCATTGGGGCATAGCCCTATGGTAGACAAAACATGCGAGTATTTACTGTAGCATACTATATGTTTGTGTGTCTGGTGGTGTACAATCATTGGTCCAGGTGAAACATGAGGACAGTTAAGGCTAGCTAAAGGCGATAGTGAGGGTGTGAGCTTGTTCATTCTTCTTCGTCATCTTCATCTGCAGGTGGTGTGACGTCACCAAAGGTCTGTTCCATTCTGTGCATACTCACTATGAAACACAGTAGAGGTTTGATACACTTTGAATTGTTCAGCAGGTTCTTGAGGTGATTGGTTTGCGGGCTGAGTTCGAGTTGGAGTGTGTGGCGTTGTGTTGTGTACTTTTGGCAGGTGATTATGAAGTGGTGGACTGTTTCCTCATGCTCACCGCATTGCTGACAGATGGGGCTGGGTACTTTTGTGATATGGTGTAAGTGCTTGTTTAGCAGAGCATGTCCTGAATGAAGTTGGAAAAGGAGTGAAG